GGGGAGGGAGGGGAGGGGGGCTTTGTATCTAAAATCTCATAGGGCTGGGTAACGATCTCATCATGTATCACTCATTCACGACATCGCACTGCGGTTGCACTCGCTCACCCTATGTCCAGGCCACATCCCCCATCGAGCTGCCTCCAATGATTCTCGAGACAGCCCAGTGTGCTATCTTGTTATAGGGGGTGAACTGCATCGGATCCAAGGAATGCTGCCAATTTGAAAGAGCCGTAGACCGTCGGCAAGAGTCGTCAGTCCGCATGCGAGTTGTCGTTCACTGGTGACAGTTCGGACCATGGCCAAGCAAGCACACTCTGTCCCTGCGTTCTGCGCCCGTTCATTCCGAGCCGACCGCACCGGCGCTCGGTAGTCGCTTTCTCTCGCCTCACGACGTGCATTGTTTGCAGAGCTACGACATTGCTGAAGAAAGCTATTGTCGGAACCGATACGGACTCGGAGCCAGCAGCTGCGGTCGTGGCACAATAGGCGAATCTCCGCCTCCTCTAGCTCGGATTTCGGCGGCAGTTCAACATGGAGCGCAGTATCCGCGTAGTGCTATCTGCGCTCTCAGCCCTGCACAAAGCATTCCCGGTCTTCACGGACCGACTCCCCCGGAGTGTCCTTCTGCCAAGGTTACCCAATTCTCTTCATGTCACCCTCTGTCGCTTGGTCTCGGATGGTCTCAAGGTCAATGGTCTATTCTGAACATGCAGGCGAGGCTATAAGCAGAGCTTTGCACCTGGCTGGCCTGTTGTTCGCCACCTTGCACAACGTCGCTGGCCGACACCACATCCGTACTGCCCTTCGCCAGTCAGTGTTCACCTCGATCTTCAAGGCGCCATGCTGCCCGCCATCCTCCTTCTCGCACCTCTGGCAGGTGCATTCCCCTTGCTCCGTCGAGCAGACGTGTACGAGAAGCACACGTACCTCGTCACCGTGCACCCGGCAAACCAGAATGGCAACGACCCTCCGTTCCTCAGAGAGAAGTGCCTCGGCGCCAACAACGGTCACCTGTACAACGGTGCACCGGTACGAGTGTGAGTATCTCGTTCAGCGGGAGGTGTCGATGAACTCTTACGCCGCCTCTCTTCCTGGCGCACCACCTCCGCGCCAACGATGACGATCGGAAAGCCCGCTGACCACAGTGGCGATTGCATCCCCGGAGCCAACTTCCAGTTATGGGAGAGCTTCGGTGAGGGCGTCTTCCGCGTTTCTGGGAGTGACTTTTGTGTCAATTCCCCGGAGGGTGAGTTTGAATAACTGACGCATGGCCGTGCTCACTTCAGGCGTCAAGGTCGGCAACAGCCTTCAGCTCTGGGACTGGTGAGTTTTCACTCGTTTCCAGTGGCGTAGCTTACTCCAGTCGCGACCGTGTGCCCACGCCGCTGATGAAGACGCAGGGCGACACCCTGAACAAAACGGAAATGACCATGTCGATCGGGGCACAGGGTAGTGGTGAGTATCCCTCCTTGGGTGGAGGCTGACCCCGAGGCTTGTGCTGGACTGTGAACGACCCCAACAGCGAGCCAGTGACGACCACCGTCTACCTTACCGAGTGCTCCTGTGAGTTGCGGAATGATCTGAGGTCAATGGATATTGACAACAGCAAAACCGATTCCGCAAGGTCAGCTTTGGTTGACCTCGGCCAGACCAAACAGCGCAGACGATCGCCCGCTTTACTACATCTCCCCGAAGCCCGGTTCCGAGCCCACAAGTACGGATGCCAAAACCGAATCCACGGCAAGCAGCGCAAAGACCGAGTCCACGGCAGCAAGCTCCAAGTCCGAGCCCGCTGCCACTGCCACAGATGCCAAGCCCGAGTCGACAAGTACCGAAGCCCAACCCACCGAGGCAGCATCTACTGAAAGAGACTTCACTCTCAGCGCGGTTCTCAAGGATGGCTCGGCGAAGAGATGCATGGACGCTCGTGGTGAAGAGCTGAAGGATGGCTCCGCAGCTCATATTTACGACTGCGACGGCAACAGTGCCCAGGAGTGGGAACTCAAGTCTGACGGTAGTGAAACGACTGTCCGTCTGCGCGGCACCACGCTCTGTCTAGACGGAGGCAGACCAAGCAACGGTGCCCCTCTCAGCTTCAGGACGTGCCGGGACAAGGCTCGTACCCAAACGTGGAGACTCTCGCCGCGGGGCCACCTGTCTCTCGCGGACTTCAACCTGTGCGTCGACGTTCGGGACGGTGTCCCCGATAACAACACCCGCCTGCAACTCTGGGAGTGCATAAACGAAAACGATAATCAGAGGTGGAGCTATGCCGGCCATTCGAGTAGCTGAGAACTCTCGGAAAGAGGATGATAATGCTGTCCACTGCTGGAGGTTTGCGAACCCTTCAGTAAGCTTCTGTAGCTCGATGCAACGGACTGTGAGTGTGGCCGTGTAGTTGTCCTTCGGCTGTTCATCAACCAAAGGTGTCGCTATGGATTTTGAGTACCAGTATTGTCAAACTGATCAAGCACTGTCTTGTGCATCAGCTGTCTGACGGCCACATGTAGGCCATAAGCCGAGGAAATGTAAGCACGTTGACATGTGCATCACCGCTTCTCTTACAACAAGGAGGTGGCACTCCGCCTGTTTACCCATACACACAGCTGACCGCCATCATACCAGACGATACCTGTCTTCCACACATCTTCCACTCCTGTGTGGAAGTTCCATCATCCACTCTCTTCTCTTCTGACATCTCACTTCGTTTCCATCCACTTCTACTTCACAGCACTCGGCATGGGAGACTCCAAGGACACCCATGGTTTCGACAACCCCAGGCCCATCAAGCAGCGTCAGCTGAAGCTGGAGGACCTCGAAAACTACCCCATCTGGAGCTTCCTCTTCCAGGACGAGGAGCTGGCAATCGCCGTCATCAGGCGCGGCGAGCGCCTGTACCTGCACAACCTCTTCCTGGCCGACCACGGTATCGAGGCCGCAGGGCAATGCTACGTCCGGCGCCGGCTCGTGTGCCAGGGCGACGCGGACTCTGACGCTCCCGGCCTCTCCTTCGCCGTGCCCGCCGACGCCTCCTCGCTAGACTACGTCTTCAGCCAGGCGCACAACATCTACCTCTCGGCCATGACGCTCGCGTCGCGCGTGGCGTGGTGCCAGCTCCTCCGCGAGGTCCAGCTGCCCCGCTCCTGCACCATCAACACGTACCACCAGTGCATCATGCCGGATGTCATCAACACGCCCGCCGTCGACACGCACCGCGTCCACTTCCTGAATCCCTGCGTGTGCGAGTTTGCCCCCATCATCGGCAGCGGGTGCCGCCGCCTCGTCCTTAGCATGCTCATTGGGCACCGCGACGAGATCGTTCAGTTCGAGCCCGCCACGGCGCAGATGTACAAGACCGGTCTCTGGGCGCAGTCATTCATTCGGGACGAGTTCGAGGAGATCGTGTTCGAGCACTTTGAGCCGAGCCAGTTCTTCTATCTCTGTGGCTACTACGGCGCCCAGATGCTCAGCGCCACCGAGGCTCGCCGCGGCACGCAGAAGTTCACACTCATCGAGTAGAGCATATTGTTCAAATTCTTCGTCACTATTCCGCAACTTCTTTTTTTTCGGGCTTCTATTCTTAGCCTCTACAGTCTCTCTCTTCATGTTCTATGCACTTCTGATGGTAGACACCAGTTCGCCCCGTTGCCCCTCATTCGCCACAGCATTTGTTTGGTTCCACCACACTCACGTGACTAACCTCGACATGACCATCTTGCGACGCGCCAGCCGACGCGTCTCGCTTTCGTCACCTTCGACCTTGTCCACCGTTCACCAGTCCACCACAGCACCATGCCGCCCCGAAAACGCACGCGCGCGAGCGTCAGTGCGAAGCGTGAGCCCTCACTACTGTCCGATTCTGAGATCTCGGTCATCTCAGTAGCCTCGAGCGACTTCAAGCCCGGCTCAGCGTCGAGTGCGGCCAGCGAGCCCGAGAGCGCGTATGAGTCTACGCCGGAGCCTGAGCCGAAACCGAAGAAGCGCAAGGCGACCGGACCAGCACGCGAGAAGAAGCCGACGATACCGGTTGGCGATATTGAGGACGGACCCGTCGTCGCACGGCCGCACGGGAAAAGCTACCATGACATCGGGGACGTGGTCGCGAACCAGGATGCGCTGCTCGAGTGGTTCGAGAGCGTGCGGTGAGTTCACGATCAGCTCGAGAACTAATAAGCAGCGAGACGAGAGGCATGCCCTGGCGCAAACGGTATGACCGTGACGCGAGTCCGGAGGCAAAGGGGCAAAGGGCGTATGAGGTAAGCTGTATGACCTCCGTCAAGCTGACGACAGATCTGGGTATCCGAAGTGATGCTGCAGCAGACGCAGGTCGCGACCGTGATCGCATACTGGGAACGCTGGATGGAGCGCTGGCCCACGATTGCCGACCTGGCCATGGCCGACATCGAGGACGTGAACGCCGCCTGGCGCGGGCTGGGATACTACCGCCGCGCCAAGAGTCTGCTCGACGGCGCAAAGGCCGTCATGGCCAACCCCGGTTTCAAGGGTATGCTTCGACCATGACGTAAAGCTGACAGCAGGCCGTCTCCCGAGCGACCCGGACGTGCTCGAGAAGCAGATTCCAGGCGTCGGACGATATACAGCCGGCGCGATCGCGAGTATGGCGTACGGCGTCCGCACGCCGATCGTGGACGGAAACGTGCACCGCGTCCTTACCCGCTTGTTGGCCTTGCATGCGCCGCAGACGGCACCGGCGACGATTCGCTCCCTCTGGGACAAGGCCGAGGCGCTCGTTGACGCACTGCCGAAGGGGCTCGGGAAGGGTATCGCTGGAGACTGGAACCAGGGGCTGATGGAGCTGGGCGCGACGGTGTGTCGACCTACAGGGCCGGACTGTTCTGGCTGTCCCCTCCAGACAGCTTGTCACGCTTACGCTGAAGTGAGTTGCCGACAAGAGTCCGAACTGACAGACAGCTCTCTGCCCCGCCACCTAAGGAGGGAGAGGAATGCGATCTCTGCGCGCCGATACCGGGCACGGGGGACACGATACCCTCAGTCACTGTATTCCCGATGCGGAAGGAGAAGAAGGCGTCGCGAGTTGAGCACGAGGCGGTCTGTATTACGGAGTGGGCTGGGCCAGAACGGCGCTGGCTCTTCATCAAGCGACCAGAGAAGGGTCTTCTTGCCGGTCTGTTTGAGCCGCCGACTATCCCCATCAACCCTGCGGCTGACAAGCTCGCCGCCGCGCTTGAGGGGCTGGACGGCCTGCTCGGTACCCCGACAAGAGAGCTCGGCACGCTGAGCCACACCGAGGTCGCGGCCGTCCCGCACATCTTCAGCCACATCGACATGACGTACCACGTCCAGCACCTCGTGCTCGAGTGCGAGGCGCAGCCGCCGACACCGGAGCGCGGCGTGTGGCTCACGGCCGACGAGGTCGAGAAGGCCAATGTCGGGACGGGCGTGAAGAAGGTGTGGGCGGCCGCCTATGGCGCCTGGGGCAAGACGGAGCGGACGGGAAAGGCCGCCACAAAGGCCAAACCGAAACCCAAAGCCAAGGCTGCACCTAAGCGCAAGGCGCCCAAGATCAAAAGCGAGAACGGCAAGGTCGTGCGGAAGGTCATGATGCCTATCATGCCGCAGAAGTAGACAACGTAGACGCAGTGCCATGTACTCTTGTATCTTTTGCTCATCTTCGACGCGTCCACTGGGCGACCCTGATTTTTCTACCCTGGGTGCGAAATGTACGGTGACTGACAAATTTACATGTTCAAGTGCAACCAAAGGTCAGTGAGAAGACGATGTGTGCAACGCAATTCTCAAGGCGCAGTGACGAGCCACGGACTTAGCATAGTGCGTGCTGTCTAGCGACGGGGCAGTCTCGGAAGTGAATTCTAGAAGCCTGGAATCCATCCAATGATGCCAACTAAATAAAGTGTCGGAATCCAAAGAATCTCCAACACGATCTGCGCCAGAAAGCAGCAGAACGCTTAGAGACGACGACCACGGCGACCACCCTTGCGGCGGGTCGAGTCCGAGGGGACGGGGGTGACGTCCTCGATGCGGCCGATGCGCATGCCGGCACGGGCGAGGGCACGGAGGGCAGCCTGTCCACCGGGGCCGGGCTGCTTGGTGCCGGTACCGCCAGTAGCACGGAGCTTGACGTGGAGGGCAGTGATGCCGACCTCCTTGCACTTGGCGGCGCAGTCCTGGGCGGCAAGCATGGCAGCGTAGGGCGACGACTCGTCACGGTCAGCCTTGACCTTCATGCCGCCGGTGACACGCGAGATGGTCTCCTTGCCGGTAAGGTCGGTGACGTGGACGAAGGTGTCGTTGAACCTGGCTGTTAGCTAATCACTCTCTGAAGGCGAGCTTGTAACGAGGAAGGTAGTCGTCTGCACTGTCCGACCAAGCGTCGCGGTTGCTCGTTTGACCGTTGCAGAATTTCGAGAATTGCTGCTAGCAGCCATTCACTTCCTCGCCCAAAACTTGCTGTAGCCGATCCAAAACTCACGAGGCGAAGATGTGGGCGACACCGAAGACGTTCTCACCGTCGGCGACGTTGGGGCCGAGGGAGACGGCGGCGGCCTGCTGCTGCTTGGGAGCCTTGGGAGCCATTTTTGATTTTCTTGAGGACTGACAAGAACAAGTTGCGACCGCGATCGCTGCTATAGTTCCCGCCTGCACGCTGCGTGCAGCGCGAGGGGCGAACAGCCAAAACTCACTGTAATGCCGAAACGCCGCGAAAGTTGGATTTCGCACCAAGTCGTGTGGCAGATGGTTACGTTTGACACGTGGATGGTTTGGTTCCGTCGCCACCCAAGTTGCTTGTTTCAGGACGCCAGTGGGACCCCGCATCCATCCGACTTGCCCCAGTAGGACGTGCTGGGACGTCAGATAGCACGCCGCCACCACCTGCCGTCATCACAACAACCACCATGCCCGCCGCAGTCGCCGACTGGCACGCGCTCCTCAAGCCCGATCCGAGCTCGTGTCCGAACGTGAGCTGTCACAACTCTCTGCAGCTGACATCCAGAACCATGACCCGTGGACGCTCGCGCTGTCGCTGTGTCTCTGCTTCGGCCTGATTCTCAGCTATCTCCCGCAGGTGAGTTGCCCCGTCTTCAACGTAACTGACATCGCACAGGTCCGTTGTACTTGCGAGCGCATTAACTGACCTTCAGCATCTTCGCATCATTCTCTCGGGCACGTCGGAGGGTATATCTCCCGTAAGCTCGATCTCCGTTGTCAGCTGACATCAGTGGTTCCTGCTCCTTGGTGCGACGTCGAGTGTCTCCGGCATGCTGAACCTGCTCATCATGCAGTGGCCGCTGTTCCAGTGCTGCCGCGTTGTTGTGAGCTCATGTAAAGTTTCGCAGCTGACCCCAGGGCATCGCGCAGTGCGCCGAGTCGCTCCTCCGCTTCGATCAGGTCTTCCTCCAGTGGCTCCTCTTCAGTCTGATGTGAGTGGAGGAAGGGTGGTGAGCGGCGTGAGGCGAGCGCAACCGAGCTCGAGATCTCAGATAGAGGGGCGTAATGAAATGGACTGCTTGCAGAGCTTAGCCGCGCCCGTGGTATGCGGGACCTCCGACCTCTCAGCTTCCACAACTGGTCTGGGACAAGCTGACTCCAGTCTCGTCCTGTACATCGCGTACTTCCCGCGCAAGCCCGCGCTCGCGAGGGAGAACACGACCGAGGAAGTGTACGCTGCCAAAGTGGAGGACCTGCGCGTAGAGCGTAGGAAGGGGTACGCTGTAGCGTGGGTCTGTCTGGCGCATTTGTGAGTACTCCCCTCCCCCAGCCCCCTCCTCACACCTCCCTCCTCGCCCCAGCTGACTCTGTTCCGGGAGAAGCTAACCCCAGCGCGGTGCTCACGATCGTCACCGTGATTCTCCTCCTCTACTCCCCCGTGCACCCGCGCACGCCCGCCCTGCGCCGCCTCGCGACATTCTGCGGCCTCAGCGCCACCCTTTTGGCGATTCTCCAATACGCGCCGCAGATCTACAAGACGTACCGCTCCGGCCTCGTCGGCGCGCTGAGTATTGGCACAATGCTGATCCAGGTCCCTGGCTCCATTCTGTTTGTCGTCAGCATCATGCTCGGCGACGGGACGGACTGGACGTCCTGGATCCCCTATGCTGTCACGGGGGCCATGCAGGGGGTCCTCCTCGGTATCTGTGTAGCGTGGACACTGCGCCAGAGACGGCTCGGCATTGACGCGTTCGGGAACCCGATTGAGGGTCGTGCGGTAGTGGTGGATGAGAGGACACCTCTCATCTCCAACGGTAACGGGAACGGGAACGGGGCGACGAACTAGCAGGCCCGGAAAGTGGCAGAGGAGAAGGGTAAAGAGGGAGTTGACGACACATTCGGACTCTTGTTTAATGACGCTCAGTACCACGGTCTTTGTTGTTCTGGCATTTATGAATGGTATTTTACCGAAGATGCATAGATGATGCAGTCCTCGACGTGGCAGCCATTGGCGAGCACATAGCCACGTAATGGCTCGCTTCTAATAAACATTCTTGAGGTAGAGCCAGTGTCATGCAGGTGAGCCATCGCTGGGAATCCTCATCTCTCCACTTCCTATCGGTGGCGGAATCCTTATCAGTGTCAATTGCAAGTCGTTCCTAATAGATTCAGGCACACTTCCTAATCGTGACGTACATCACGTGACTAGAGGCAATGACGTTTCGACCGATGTCCGACTTCGATCGACTTCGATGGTGAGTGAACGACACACTCCCATCATCTCCATCGTCTTCACCAACACGCTCGGCACTACATTTGCCGTCTCAACTTGAGAGAGGCTTAGAAGAGACTTCAAGCACCGAATTCACCGGAAGAGACCCCGACACCATGTCCAGCGACGCCGCGAAGCGCGCCGCAGCCCGCCGCGCCAAGATCATGGCGCGCGGCAACGCCGGTCTGGCCAAGCTCGCGCAGACCGCTAGAGGCGAGGAAGCGCAGAAGCTGTACGGCGACGAGATTAACGCGCCCGTTGTTTCCACCAGCACCGACAATGCTCCCTCGGCCACGGCATCCACGACGGCATCGGAGTCGCAGCCTACGCAGTCGGCCTCGGCGGCGACGACCTCGGCACCCAAACCCACGACCGCAACTTCTTCGTCGACTGCCCGCTCCAGCGACGCTGGACGAAGCCTGGCTCCTTCGACGGCCTCTAGGAACAAGCCGTCCTGGGCCGCTGACCCGACCGCTGCTAGTGGCGCGGTCACGCCCTCGGAGGCGGAAGACCAGGCTAGGCAGCAGATGGAGGCTATGATGGCTATGCTGGGCGGCGGACCCTCGGGCCCCGGAGGTGCCGGAGGGCAGGGCGAGATGCCCGACATGGCGTCGATGTTCGCGCAGATGATGCAGGGCATGCAGCAAGCGCAGGGCGGTGGTGCCGACGGCGAGATGCCCAACCCCTTCGCGGCGCTGCAGGGTATGGGCGGCGGGGCCGGTGGTATGCCGCCCTTCCCCGGCATGGGCGGCATGGGTGGCATGCCCGGTATGCCTGGAATGGAGCTGCCGCCGTCCAAGGCCGCGCGCCGCTTCCCCCTCCTCCATGCGCTGGTCATCATTGCGCTCATCGTCTTCATCGCGGTCTGGTGGGAGCCCAACCTCCACATGGTGCGTGCGGGCGATCTCGCCGCGCGTACGGCTGGCGACTGGGCTAGGCGCTGGTCCGGACTCGCCGGCGCGGTTGGAAACACGAGCATGGTTGAGAAGCTGGTAGGTACAAGCGCAGACGAGTAGCAATCCTGGTCGTAACGGCCATGAGACTCCAGCTCTCCCCCGTTTCGGTGACTTTCGAAAAGCTCCATAGCCTACGTTGAGTACAAGCTGACTCCAGCCCGTCTTCTGGGCCTTTGTGACCCTCGAAGTCCTCCTCTTTAGCACGCGCACAACTTTCATCCGCAGCGGTAGCGGACTGCACCCGCTCCTCGCCAACTTTGTCCCGATGCTGCCGCCCGCGGCGCAGTCAGCCGTCCGTGCTGCTGGCAAGGCGCTGCCCGCGCTCATGCAGACGTACCGCGACGGATGCCTGTTCTTCTTTGGACTGGGCATGGCTGTTGTTGCGGCTGAGTGGAAGGCCGGATACTTCAAGAAGGATTGATGGGTATGCATAGACTGGTATTCGGTTCGATGGGGATGAGCGATTGGTCGCGGGATCACTAGAGTAGTCGCCGGGAAGCGGGAATAGGTCTGTCACCGGACACGATCTCGTTCGTCGGACGCCTCGCCAGGATTCAGTCACGGTCACAAACTGACGCAGAGCGAGGAAGGCGGACGAGCGCTATCCGATCTCACGTCCGCATCCTTGCTCGGATGATTCCACAAAACTAACAGCACTAACAGGCTTCAGTAGAAGTAAATCGTGGACGCTCTTCTGTTGCAGGTTCGCCTTGAAGGGGACTCATCCGTTGCCACTCTGCGCCTATCCAACGATAACCGATGACCGACGGCCGAGTCTGGCTCATTGATCAGGATCAGTCATCGCACCTCGGAATCATAATGCGTTGCGATGCAGCCGCCAAGCCATCTCGTTGGCCCAGATCGGGCCGAGATATGGCGGGAGCCTGCAGCGGCGCCGGGAGCGTGCGACAGCGGCGGACGGTGTGTGCAGAGTAGATGGCAATCAAGCCCGTAATCACAGCGGTCCCAGCGAGATGAGCGGCGCAGGAATGGGATCTTTCAGCCGAGCCAGGCGTCCCAGCCTCCCGCGGGCCGCTGCGCAAGCCGTCCCAGGCCGTCGCACGCGTCGCCTGTCATTGAGCACAGAGCTTGCGGTGTCTAAGGCCATTCAGCCCTCGGCCACACTGTCTTGCCCGCCGCCCTCTGCCCGTCACTGTCGACCTGCCGCGAGAGCAGCCCTCGCCCGACGCGCTGACGGCCTGATTAATTCACGACACTCGCGTAAACTTATGCCAGACAAGCATGTCGGAGATTTCGGTTCGTGGTGACTGCCACCTCGTGTACCTGAGCATCTGCTCCTCGCGACTGAGCGTCAGGAAGAGCAACCTCTCGGGAACTCGCGTATCGCCTTGTTGTTATCTCGTCTCGACGCTATCACGAGCTCATCGACACTATGTATCACCCGAAACGAGGGACGGGTGGGCTTATCGCCTTTGCTCCGTTCTTACTTGCTGTTGGCCATTATTTTTGGGAGCAACTAGCAGAGGGATGTCACTGATTACTGAATCGCACGCGAGGGCGCCATCGCCCAACCACCCTTTCTCCAGAGCAAATGTCAGCGGGAGCTAGCCGCCAGAGACAGGGTGCAAGGACGCCGAGTGTGAGCTATCCCTGCAATCTTGCGATCCGACCAGCACGGCACACCCCGCCATCCGCACGTCAGAAGCCACATTCAGCCACGGCACCTAACCCGGCGACGCAGCTCGGCTCCACTGACGGGCGGGGGTGGAACAAGGGCGCCGCAAGCGCCGAGCGCCACGCACGAGCATGGGTCAGGAAGGAATGGATGCACGAGGATGTCGGACATGCTGACCTGAGTTCGTCTGAGACCTCCAGAGCTTACCTGAGCTTGCTCGAGCTGCTCGAGCGTACTTGAGCCTGAGGCTGGCCCGTGGCCGGCTTGGTATGCGCTTGCTATCCTGTGGCGCTGAGCTCGAGCCCAGCTAGCCCCAGCCTGACCCATTCTGTGAACCTTGCAATAAACTTTCCTAAAATACACAGCCGCACCCAGTTCTAACAGGCGGTCCGCGGAGGTGTGCCTGCGCTTCAGCAGACCCGGACACGCCGAGCAGGCCGATATGCGCCGAGATGGGCAGACAGATTCGGGCGCGTGGGCGCTCGGAAGCAGACTTAGCGTTGTACAGATGCGGACGGCGATCAACGATAGACTGCAATGGCGCACAGATCACCACCACTGCGACCGAGAACGCTCGTGCCCCCCGCATCCCTTGCTCTCAGCCCCCAACTGCATGACAGCACACCTGTCCTCGTCCACTCCCAAGCAGGCGAGCCATGCGGAACGTGGGACGAGACAACATGAATGCCTTCCCCCCACCATCGCGTGCGCGTTGTCATCACTCCGAGCGAGACTGGCACAGCCAGCATGGCACGGCTGTGCGGCCCGACCCCGATGCGCCCCGCCGGACCTGGGGTAACGGCGAGCAAGGGATGCACAATAGTGATCGTCACAACTCACTCAACTCACCACATCACACATTGCACTAGACCACATCGGGACTTTCTTACGTTCAGCATCACGGCGTGTATCCGATCGAGCGGCGCCGCACCTCCGACCCCGCTCCCCAGTTCAGCGCCCACGCCGACACCTTCTGCCAAGCAAGCGACCCCAGTGACGCAGACCCAGAGACGGCCTCGGCCGAGTTCGACTTCTCAACTTCTGTCCCACGGGCGCAACCTTGGTCTTCTGAGATCTCGTGCAACCGCCGCTTCGCAAACTTCGTCTCGTCCCCACGCAAGCGCAGTGCCGATCTAAGGGTCCAGCGAGCATTCTGGGGCAACCTCGCAATTCATCGCCGCCATCTAGCACTAGCGCGCATCACTTATCGTGCGGCTCGCGCGGCAAAATCACCGAAACCAGCACTGAATTGCGACTTGAAAAGTCAAGACGATGACTTGCGCCGAAAACAACCCGACGGTGGCAACCATCGATGACTGGGTGGAGGTCTCTTTCGAGGAGAGATTGGAATGTCCACGGAAACCCAGGCGAAACCCCTCCCTCCCGGCCCTCAACCTGGTCACGGTCCAGCAGCCCGATGAGCCTGAACAGGTCGTCGACCTGCTCGAGTCGCCCGAGCGGCGTACCTACACATTCGGCAGGTTCGAGGAGACGCCATGGCCGCACAGTCCCTCCGGGTCTGTGGCTAGCCTTGCCATGGCGTCGAGCACCGGACTCTACATCGAGCTTGAGTGAGTACCACTCTCCCTGGCCCCACATGCTCCCCTTGAACAGCGAAATTTGTGCCGGGGTTGTGCGTCGCAAACATGGCAGATGGAGAGAAATAGAAAGAGAAGAGAGAGGGGGAGAGCCGTAGTGCTGACTGCAGCGACACGGACCCAGCCGACACCCTGAGCCACAGCCGCCACATGCCTTCACTGCTACCCTGTGCCAATCCACCAAGCTGGCCCAGCTGGCCTAGCCAGCCTAACCGTCCCGCCAAAGCTGGTCTGGACACCTCGTCGGGCCAAAAGTCACTGGACCTCCCGTCGCTGTCGCTGTCGCTGCCACAAAGCACTGGTGACGGGTACGACTCGGACGGCAGCTCGTGGTCCGAACTGACAGAAACGGGGCAATGGGCCGTGTGCGCCGTCTCGCTTGCGTCGTCCCCTGGGCCCGGCCTCGCCCAGCTGGCGCCAGAGACGCCACCTGAGGCATGTTTCCCCACTACACCTAGCACGCCTCTCGCTCTTCCGAGCAGACCACACTCGCCCGTCTCTTCCATCAGCGACAGCGACAGCAGCAGTGAGGATGCCTTCGACCCGATGCTGGGCCTGTTGGCGCTGGCTTCCAGTACAGATCTGACGGATCCGAAGCGGCTATCGTTTCGCTCCCAACGGAAGCAGAGAGAGGGGGCCGTAGTCGGCAGTCTTAGTCTCGGAGGCGGTCGAGGCGGTGGAGGGACTAACAATGGCGCCAGCTGGGCCTGCCGGGACAATGCTGCGAGTGACTCACGAGGTCGCCCAGATCTCAGCTATGCGGGACTAGGCGGCGCAGACGGCGCCATTGGGGCCAACGGGGCTGGCCCACATCGCCTTGCAGAGTTTGGCGTCGCTGGCGTAGCAGGCGTAGGACTTGCTGGAACCTACGCTGCATACGGGGCACGGCGCAGCTCTGCCATTCCCCCGATGCAGCCTGCGGTTGCCAGCGCCGAAAGACGGCGGCGCTCGCTGCCAACGCTGGTTTTGCAAACTTCGTCTTGCACCTCGTTACTCCTCGACCACACCTTGACACCCGTGTTCGACTCGGACTCTGACACCGAGAGTGAGGGGGAAGATCTCCTCGCCCAGATTCCGTTCGACCTCTCGCCGTTACGCTCCGTGGACGTCGATCAAACCACTTCCCCTTGCCCTGCCCCTGCTAGCCCTGCTCATCTGGCTCTTACGCCTGCGCAGACGACTCCAGTCACGCCTGCGCCTGCCGCTGCGCCTGCATCTGTGGTTCCTGCAGCTCGCACCGATCGCGCCGCACGCACTGTCTCGAGCATCTCGACAAGCTCGACGGCAGGACGAGTCACGCGCCCCCCGAATCGAAGGGCGGCGACGAGCCCTGCGGAGCACGACCACTCGTATTCTTCTTCTCGCGACATACGAGGCGGGCTAGGCGGGATGATGAAGGGGGACCCGAATTCGACGCGCATCGACAGTCTCTTCCCGCCCTCCTCTTCGTCTTCCTCTCATTCGAAGCACGGGCACGGGCTTGGTCTGGGCGGCCTAGGCGGCCTAGGGGGCAGGCGGGGGCGGGGGCCGCTGTCGCTGTTCGGGCTGAGGCGCTCGCTCAGCGTTGGCCACCGGTCCGACGCGAGTAGCAGTGTCGGGGCCAAAAGTTCCAGTCCCAATTCCAGTTCCAGGGACGGAGACGCACCGGAGGGAACGGGGGCAGTGGAGGGGACGGACCGGGGGCCCGAGCACATCTACCCTGGGATTTCGGCCAGGTCCGGGTCTCTGTCTGCGCACTCTGCACACTCTGCGCATACCACACATTCTGCAAGTAACAGCGCGAGGAGCTCGTTCGACCACCATCACAATGGATACGGACAGGTTGGCCAGGCTGGGAGAGGGGACAGTGCGTACGCCACCGTGGGCGGGCTGGCGACACCCACACCCGGCGAGCGCAAGCTGCCCGCCGTGCCGCTCCCGGTCACTCCCACCTCTGCGCACGGGCCCCACAGCCCCGCCCTGTCCAGCCCAGCCAGCCCTGTCCACTACGCCAGCTACGCCACAGACCCGTACCCATCCTCGCCACTGCGCTTCCAGCGGTACCACTACCTCCCCTCGTCCTCGCGCGCGTCCACTGCCTCCAGCCCCCGCTCGCCCTCTTTTCCTCACCATCCTGCCCATCCTCACCATGTGTACGACCAGCTTCTGAACGCTTCTGACGCTGCGTCCCCGGGTTCCACTTCAGCGTCTGCTTCCCCGGACCCAAGCAGCTGGCATGAACATACTACCCATGGTTCTGGTTCTGGTTCTGGGTATCCTGGGGCCGGGGCCACTGCAGGCCAAGTGGGGCCCGTTCTAGACGCTGGGCATTCTGGACACTCTGGGCACGCTGGGCAGCAGGCTGGGCAAAAGACAGCCGGCGACCTGGGAGAGGCTCAGCCGGTGACCGGGTCGCGATGGCCGGTCTACATCCACGAATGCGAAGGGGACGATTGCGGCGAGTTTATCTTTGGTCATGACGGGTCTGAGGGGCCTGACGCGGGGGATGAGGTGCTCAGCATGCTCCTCGCTACCCGGGGGAGTCGAGGAGGAGACAATACACGGAAGGGAGACAGGGAACCCACGATCCAAGGCTTGACTGGTGCAATGGACGGTGACGCGAGCGAAGGTGGTCAGGGCCGGAACGCCATTCACGCCAGCCGGTCCGTGCATCCAGGGACGGGGCCTTGGGAAAGCGACCACTTGGGCTTTATCGATGCACGCTCCGACCTTGGCGACCTTGGAGGAGTGCATACCGCAACTCGGATACCACCAAGCAGCAGCAATGCAGAGCTCGATCGCACAACAGAGCAGCCAACAGCAGCGGGCAATCCCACCAAGCCGCCGCCCGCCCCGTCTTTATCACACCCGGCCGCCTACGCTGCTATCCCAAAGGACGATGACTCGCCGACGCTGGAGCCACTCTCTCTGCCCCTCAACGACCATCACTCGTATCACTCCTCTTGTGACCTCCTACCCTTGACCTCTGATCCAGTCCAAGATCACCAAGACCCCCAAGACCCTCTCTCATCGACCCAACCCCTGCATCTGCAGCTACAATCCTTGACTTTACCCTCTTTAGACTTTTCTGCTCCTCCTACACTCCCTCCTGCCGCTCCTGCCTCACCTACTGCCGCTCAGGTAACCGCCTTCGCATACCACACATACCCCACAGACGCCCAGACGCGCCAGACAACGGCTGTGGCCCTACATCCCCTACCCGACTCTAAGGACGCGATCACGCTCAAGTCGCCTCCTCCTCCTCCCATCGAATCCCCCGATCCCCCCTCCCCGGACCAGCACGACCAGCACGACCACCAGGATCCCGAATCTTGCGACCCTCCCAACCCTCCTATCCCTCTCGACAAGCATACCAAGACCACCAGTGTCCCGTCAGTCACGGCGGTCGGACCCCCTGTGCTCGCTGTCGCCCCTGGGCTCCCTATCGACGTTCATGACAAAGTAGAAAGCACCCCATCGCACCCGAAAATGGAGCGTTGGAATCCTCATCTTTACTCTCCCCGCATGTTCCCCCCCGAACACGGCCACGGCCACCCCACCTACGTCTCCAACGGCACTGGCAACAACAGCCTAGGGCGGAAGACGTCGCCGAGGCCGTCGCCCCTGCCCTCGCCCGCGCCCTCCCAGGGCCTGTCCCACGATGGCTCGCCCCTGTCACCGACGACGACGTCGAGCGCCTCGATCCACGACACGAAGTCGATAAAGGAGAAGCCGAAGAAGAAGGGAGGATGGTTTGGTCGCAAGAACAAGGACGACGTTGAGAGTGAGTCAAAGTCGAAAGTGCGCGGGATCGCTGTGCGGATAAGCCGGCGGCACCGCGGTGCGGCTGAAATGGGTTGGCTGAATGGGCCATGGCGATAAGCCGGGCAGATGATCAGTCACTACTCTGTCCCACTCGTGTGGCTCCGTGGCTCCCAATGTCTCTGGCGTACCAGAAGGTTTCTTATGGAACGGAAAACTGACCGATTCGCAGCGCCAGCGAAGCCCGTCGAAAAGAAGAAGAAGAAGAAGCCCGCCTATAGCGGAGGCGGCTATCTTGACAGTCTGATGCTGCCGCCGGGCCAGCCGCTGAACCAGACGGTGCACCCGCCAGGAGGCGGAAGAGCGGCGACCAAGTCGCCCAGGCGCAAACCGTCGTCGGTCGAGCCCATGTCGCCGACATGGTCTCACTCGCAGCCAGACTCGGACCGGGCGCGATCCGTCCGCAGGCCCTCATCCAAGGACGGTACGTTTCCAGTTGCCCACCCATTCCCCAACTGTCTCGTGCGGTCGGCAGGACAACAATGTGATGCTGTTTCGGCCGTGACGGGCAGTGACAGTCGAAGAAAACTCATAGCTGACGCGCCCTCCAGCGGACAATAACGGTATTGTCGTCGAGATCGATGCCCGTTCTTCACCCCCGACCCCTCATCACATCCCCTTACCACCGCTCACTCCGCAATCGACGTCTGGCCAGACTTCTGCGCAAAGGTTGGCGAGCCAGAACCGCCCTCCCCTCCCGACGCAACCGCATACTCCCAACACACTTCCCCTGTCGCTGTCACCGCGAAGCTCGACGCTGCGCTTGGACCCGCTCCCCGCGCACCTGCAACACGGATCTGAGTCGAGTTCCTCTGGATCAGTGGCGAACAAAGAGGTCGACAAGCGCCGCCTCTCGCAGTACACCATCTCGTCCTTTTCCGGAAGCGAGTACTCGCAGTCGCTCCCGAGCGCGACGATGCAGCGCTCCACCTCTGGCCCCAGCGGCCTGTACCCTGTTGGCGAGCGGGGGACGGTATCCACCGTGTTCGAGGAGGAGTACCCGCAGCAGACGCAGACGAATGGACGACAGGCGGCGCAACAATCAGACCGGCGACCGTCGACAATTGACTCAGACGACGGGTGGGCTCGCGACAGCCAGGGCGGGCACGGCGGCCTGGGCCACAGTCAAAACCACTACCGCGAGCGCCCCTCTGCGCTGCAGCTGCAGCACACGACGCTCCCCGCCCGCAGGCAGTACACGCCATCGCCTGGCCTGCCCACCGTCTCGCTGTCGCCCCGCACGCAGCGGTCGAGCACCATCTCGTCGACCAACTCGGCCACGTCCAAGCCCAAAACCCCCGCGAGCCACCCCTTCGCCTCAGGCCGTGCTCCCTCCCCAAACCACCCTGCAGACTACCTCACCCCTCCAGCTGGCTCGCCCCCGGCCGTCCCGTCGCACGCGTTCCCAAGCCCAAACGACAGCTTCAAGATGCCTGCCCCAGCCGTCCCTGCCCATCAGGTCGCACTGGCCTCCCCAGAGGACGAGCAGGGGGACCCCGACTGCCCGGTCTGCTGCGAGAGCATGAGCTTCACTTTCCGTCTGCCCGGCGAGAAGCCCCACGTCGTCCCCGAGTGCGGCCACGCCCTCCACGAGGTGAGCTAAGTCGACGATTAAGTAGCTGACAGATACAGGAGTGTTTCGTCACCGTGTACGGCCCCGTGCCGCCTGAGGGGTCGCAGAAGAACATTGGCGTGTGCGGCGTGTGCCGCCAGCCGATGCGCGTCAACGGCAACGACCGCAGTTCAGGCAAAAACAGTGAGTTTGGGTGTTGTTGCCGGAACTGACATCCCCAGAGCTCGCCACGCTCATGGGCGGCAGCGAGTCCGCCTCGTCAGGTTACGAGATTGTCGACCCGCAATCAGACGACCCGCTCGAGCCGGCTCCCAGCCCAACATCCGCGGTTAGCGGCCGGGCGGGGCCGGCCGAGGCTCCGCCGCTTCAAGTCGTGGTCCCGCGCATCGAGGTCCGGCCCGAGTTCCAGTCCGTGCGCCGCTCCAAGACGGGCAAGCAGAATGTCACTGCGCTCGTCGTCGTCGAGGTGCCCCCCGCAGCCGACCGGTCCAAGTATCCCGCGCGCCAGCGCCGTACAAGCGCCGCCGACTCGTACGCCAACCTGCCTCCTTCGCCGAGCTCCTCTGGCTCGTTCCGCGAGAGCGTCATGTCCGGCCTGCAGGCGCAGAAGACGCCGTTCGCCAACGTGCTCGCGGACCTGAAGCGCCGCCTAGTCGCGTACAAGTACAGCGGGCTCGAGAGCGTGGGTGCCCTGTGCCTCTTTGACATTTTGAAAGTGCGCAAGGCGTCCAACGTGCAGGACTTCCACCTGTATCTGTTCCAGGACGCGCTGATCTGTGTCTCCGAAGAGCGCAAGTCGGGCATCACGGGCGGCATCTTCAAAAAGTCGCAGCCGGAGAGTCCCAACGAGAGCGTGCTGCGTATGCGGGGGCGCATCTTCCTCCGCGACGTGCACCAGGTCACGGACTCGAGCACGGTCAGCGAGCTCAGCATCGCGCTCACGCTCGAGACGCAGGAGCACGGCGTCGACAGCATCGTCATCTGCTTCAGCGACCGGAACAGCCACGAGATGTGGCGCTCGACGATCCGGCGTCTCATCGACGACGCCCAGGTCGCCAGCGGAACGAATGGCAACAAGATTGAGAAGCTCCTCGGCAGCGGTGGACCGCCGCAGCGCCCTCCTTCCCGCGCGCACAGCACGACGTCGAGTGGTGGCGGGCACAGCGCCCGTCCCAGCGCAGTCGTGCAGGGCAGTACCATGAATCTGTTCTCCGACGCGAGCGAGGCGTGCACGCCTTCCTGCCCCACGCCCTGTCCCGGTGCACTCGCTTTCAACGTCCCCATTGCGCCGCACCACACGCCTATCGACATTGTGCTCGCCATCGCGACGCCGGCGCTGGCTCCCGGCGCAACCCTCCCGCTCAAGACGCGCCTGATGCGGACCGCTCTCCACTTTGTCCTCGCGACCATGGGACCGAGAGACCGCGTGTCCATCGTTGCAGCGGAGCTGGGCCCCAACGCCGTCGTGCGCCGCACGCCCTTGCTGAATGCGACACGGCACGACAGCCGAAAGCGCCTCGAGGCGTTTGTCGAGGGCATCGGCGCCGGCGGGCGGGGCGACGAGTTTGAGATCGAGACGCAAGAAGAAAAGCCCGACGTCGTGACGGCGGTGAATGTCGCGCTGGATGTGATCCTGCAGCGCAAGGTGAAGAACCCCCTCGGCGGGCTCGTGCTGATCAGCGACGCGAGCGACCTGATCAAGCGGCAGCAGATGGACCTGGTCACTGCGCGCCTCGATGCGGCCAAGATCCCAGTCCACTGCTTCGGGTACGGCAAGGCGCACGACCCGAGCCCGCTCTGGATGATCTCGAACCACACGCACGGCACGTACACCTTTGTGAAAGAGTGGTACCACCTGCGCGACGCGCTGGCCGGCGTGATTGGCGGCCTCATGTCCATTGCGCTGACCAAGGTCGGCCTGCGGCTCGCGTGCCAGGACGACGACTTCCGCGTCGTCAAGGTCTCGGGCGCCTCGCAGGCCGTCATCTCAAGCAGCGGGCGCGACATTGACATCGACCTCAACATCCTCCGTCACGGCGAGGTGCGCGAGATCCTGATCGACTTTGAGCTCGAGAGCGACCCTGTTCCGGGTACGCCGTTCGGGAGCGCGACGCCGATCGACTCGGAGGGCGACGAGGGCGGTCCTACGCGGCCGCTGTCCCGCCAACAATCGACCAGCACAGCAAGCAACCGCCGCCCCTCCCTCGCACGCGCCTATAGCGGAGGCAGCGTGGGGATGAACGGCAACGGCAATGGACTGGGCGAGCTGGCCGCGCGCGAGGCCCAGCGCGAAGCGAGCGGATCCTACGACGACAATGGGATGGAGGAGGTCCCCGTCGTCGAGGTCGACTGCACGTTCCACGACCCGCTCGCCGGCCGCAGCGCCGCGCGCATGATGAACCCCTTGCTGCTTACGCTGGCGCTGCTCCCGCCCTCTTCCAATCCTAGCAGTTCAGCCGCGGACAGCGTCATAGTCCGGCGGCGCATGGAGCTGCTCGCCAGCGACATGATCACGCGTGCGCTGCTCGCGGGCTCCCGCAAGAACTTTGGGCAAGCAACCCGCATTCTGCGCGAGACGAAACGGATCTTGGAAACGAAGAGCGACCATTTACGCGCCTCTGTGTCCTCGTCCCCGCACAGATCACGCCGAGACGTCGCCACCCTGGCAGCCATCGACGGGCTCAGCGCGACGATCCAAGACGTCGACATGATCCTCGACGGCATCGAGACGAATCAGGACATGTTCGAGGCAGACTATAGGAACTATGCGGCGCAGCAGACGGTCATTCTGCGCACGCAGCGGTCTTGGACTATCCGCACGCCCACCGAGGTCGCGTACGCTACGCCGGACGTGCAGGCGCTCATTGCGGGAAGTGGAGAGTATGCGCCCAGAGCCCAGTAGGGAGGGCGACTGGGGCGGTAGCCGACCCGAGACGAGGCCGGAGGCCGAGTCGAGGTGGGTCATGGGCATGGCTGGCTCTCCATTACTTCTCCTCTGGCATGGCACAGAGTCGAGAAGCCCCGACAACGTAGAAGACACTCCTTCAGCCGCCAGCTGTCGCGGCCCCACATCCCAACTATCGCCCCCGCGGGCCCACCTAACGCTCACTTGAATGTCGTAAGTTTATCTAGTTCTTATCTCTCGTTTCACTCTTCTCTTTATCTTAACTTTTGATCTAGGCGGTAAACAGTCATTGGCGTAGAAGAATGCGTTCCGGTTATCTAGCAGTTTAGCAGTGTATGATGAGTCCGGTGAAATGTATATGTTGCCCAACACTGTAGTCCAGTTCGCAGTCCTGGGCCTACTGGTCGGCCACCTGACCCTTCTCGCTCCTCTCACTCCCCTCACATTTACTGAGTCCCGTTCACTCCCCGACTCGCTCCTTCGCTCCTCTACTCCCCCACTCTTTCACAACCCTTTTCCACTCTTCCACTCTTTCCACTCTTTCCACTCTTTCCACTCTTTCACTTCACTCCCCTCCGCCGCTCGCTCCGCTCGCCCACTCGCAAAAACAAAGTGTTCATCATACAACCAAAAAAAAGAGTCTAGTTCTAGCTGATATCCCGTCGAATCCTTTCCGTCAGTTCCCCAATCGAGCTGCGGGGCAATTTCGCCAGGGACACTTTCGATGCGGCCCGGGTATGGCGCCAGTGTTCGGCTTGTTCCCGCGGATCTTCTGGTTTCAGGAGCTCACTGTCCCGATCGCCTGGGAATTCCTGTCGTTGCTGGGACGGGGTGTGCGCTTGCGAGCTGGGGTTGGAGAGATTAGAGGGGTTGGAGGGTGTGTGCGGCAGAGCCGAGTCGGCGGGCTCGTCGGGTAGCCACTGCGCCGAGTGCCTCGTCGGCTCGGAGAGATGGTGGTGCGACGTATAGCCCAGCTGCAGATTCGCCAGACTTTGGGGCACTGCCGGCGGCGATGTCGGGATCGGCGCGCCGGTCAGCATGGCCTGCGTGTGGGCCTGCGCCTGCGCCTTGTTCTTGAACTTGCTCGGCGAGAGCGAGAGGCTGGGGGACCGCGGGCCAAACGTCTTGTCCAGCTCGGCCTCGAAGGAGAGCATACTCGACCGCGCGGACATGTACTCGCTCCCACTGCCTCCTGCTGAGCCCTGCGAGATCTGCGACATGCGCTCGCTGCCTGGCGACCGGGGGCTGCGGGGACTCGCGGGCTCCGCGTCCTTCAGCGGCACGCTGTAGGAGGGATATTGTGGTGCAGGGTGCGGGAGGCCGAGGCCGTGGCCCTGCGCTGCCAGGCCTGTTGTCAGGCCCGCCCCGCTGGTCCCAGCGACGCCGACACCGACGGCGCCCGCGCCCGCAGCGCCGGCCGCCAGCGCACCGATGGCCACGTCCTCGCGCTCCGGGAAGGGAATCGGCGAAGCCACCCTGAGTTCCAGCTCGTGCTCCTCGTCGTCGGCGTCGGGCAAACTCAGCTCCGGGACGCCCAGAATGTCCACCGTGTTACGGCGCCCACTCTTCGTCTTGACGAGGTGCTTCTCGGCCGCCTGCAGCGCGACGCTCTTCGCCCACGACCATTCGCGCGCTTCCCGTTCTTGGTCCTTCAACAGCATGGTAATCCAGAGGTGCAGCTTGGAGAGCTCCATGCGATCGGCGCGGATGCGGTCGCTGAGTTCCGGGAGAGCGGCCTCGATGCGCTCCTTCGTTGCGCGCTGGAAGGGCGTCAGAAGCGCCAGGTTGCGCGCCAAGCGCAGGTCGGCTTGCAGCGCTGCCTGCACTGGCTCGGCCAGCAGCTTGAGCTCCCCAATCTTGCTCTCGATGAGCGCGCGGCGTCGGTCGGCGCGCGTCGGGCCGTCACTGCTCGGCGGCACGGGAGACGTTACTCGCAGCAGCTCCTCGCGGACCGAGCCCATGACGGCGTCAAACTGCTCGCTCCCGCCGACGACCATGTCGTTGGCGCCACGAATGTCGACGGTAGGTGTGGCGCGGACGGAGCCGACACGGCGTAACGCTCGCGGCTTGGGCGCAAGCGGCTCCGGCGTCTCCGATTCCGCGAACACAACGGCACGTGTGTAGTTGCTGCTCTCTGCGCTCCGAAGCAAATCGACAACACTTCCCACTCCGGCTGCGAGGTCGCGGCGGTGCGACTCGGCGGCAGCGTTGCCCGCGAGCACCGCCTTGTCGCCATCCATGCCGAGGGGACGCATGCGGATACCGGCCGTCTTGAACGTGCTTGCGTAGTTGATCAGAGTCAACCACTCGTTCATCTGGTGCTCGTCCGACGCCTGTAGCAGGTACGAGTTGCCACCGGGCATGAGCAGGCGGAACGTGTACGGCGTGGCCGCGTATGAGCGGTCGTAGATCGCGACGCAGTCCTTGACGCTCATAACTTCGTCAGGCTGGAACGCCGTGGTCTGTGCCGCCTGCGATTCGCCGTTCGCGCTCCGGATCTTCTCGACCAGCGTCAGCGCCCAGATCGTGTCCTTGAAGAACAGCAGCTGCGCGCCCGTAAGCACGACACTCCAGTTCTTCCATCCTCGGCGGATCGCACGTCGCGAGTTGCCGTGTAGGTGGTCCTCTCGCCGTCCAAGGAGGCCGACCTTGGTGATCTTGATCGTCGCAATCTCCTCCTTAGGGACAGGCGTCGTGGGGCGTTCCACGACTCCAGTGAGCGTTAACGACTTCCGTCGCGGTCGCGACTTTACAAACTGCAGCGGGTGAGCATTCGCGAAAGCCTTTTGCAGGCGGTCGACATCTAGGAACTGCCGTGTGCCCATGCACGAGAAAGGACTGTCGGGAGGAATGTACCGTTCGACGTCAACACGGAGCGAACCTAGCTGGCCGCCCACAATGAGGTCGTACACGTCGATCTTGCCAGAGTGGTTGGGACGCGATGAAGAAGACGGCGCCATGCCCGCCGCAGCAAGAGCAGCCTCCTCGTCGTCGTCGATAAAGACGAACGGGGTGAACGTGATGTTGTCGAAGAACGCCTCGAGCACCGTCGGCGAGACACCGTCCAGCCGTGTGTTCTTCACGTAATCCGCCTTGGTCATCTTGTTCTTGTTGTGACGGTTGAAGGCGTCCGTATGCAGCATCATCATTGAGAACGCCAGCACATACGCATTGTCCGTGGAACCGAACAGATTCGCCTCGCACTCGTCGTAGCGCTTCGAGAACGCCTCGACGACACGGTCGATCTGCTGCGTCTCCTTCGGCAGAGACATGACCATTAAAAGACGGCGCAACGCGACGTCCAGCGGGATGTGCGTAAAGTCGAATCGGCGCATGTACTCGGCGAGAGCACCGGCGTGGAACGGGTCAGCGCTTTCGGCGAGCAAACCGGCGACCTCCTTGCGGCTGACACTCTCCAATCGCTCCAGCCAGTCCTCTGCACTCTCTCCCGGTCGCGGGTGAAGCTCGGCGTCTCGCTCCTTCCTCTCTTTCTCCGTAAGCTGGGGAGTGGAGGATCGCCCCTGCAGTGAAACGTCGCCGCTGCTGCTGCGTCCGGGTGTGCCCATCGACTGCGGGATCTCGTCGTTCAGGGCAATCGTGGGAGTCACTGGACGGGGTGGCAGTGGGAACGCCCCTTGTGGCTTAGGCGAAGAAGGTCCCGATCCACGGAAGAGACCTTGCGAAAGCCGCCGCAGAGAGCCTGTCCGCTGCAAGCCGCCGGGCGATGTCGGCGAGAACGACGTAGGTGGGGGTGCCACGAGGGCTGGTGTGGAGCCTCCAAACGTCGATCCATGCCACGATATGGCACCAGACGCTATAGTGGAAGCTCTTGCTCGTCGGTTTCGTCCGTTCGTCACCGGCATCAAGTTGTCAGTAGCGGACCGGCGGTTGGATTGCGCAGTCTGCACAGTCGACTGCGTCTGATACGACGTCACCGACGCGGCGTAGGACGATCGGGGTGATCTTGGTGGCGTTTCCGTCAGAATGATCCTTCGGCCGTCATCGCCCGACTGCAGTGCAAGTGTAGATACCTGCGGAACGTCCTCTGGCCGAATCCTAACAGGCGGGAGAGCAGGCGAAGGGGCGAACGACGATGACGCGGATCCAGGTCGCGAGTGAGGGGTTTGGCGACCGTCTTCCCGCTCATCAGCACTGGTACCAGAACCCGTGTACCGCAGTAAGCTGTTGCTCCGCGGACGGCTGCTCTTAGTGAACACGCCACGCATTTTGCCCAGCACAGCAGAGTTGCTAGAGCTTGATCGACTGGATAACGGAGGACGAACCGGTGCACCGTCAGGCGACAGCAGTCCAGGGTCCTCCGGAATGCTGGTACGCGCAGCGTCCGATAATGATCGGCCGCGGCCATGTCGAGGTGGCATGGACGTCGATGGTGTCACCACATCGGGCACGGGCGAAGCATCCGCAACTGTTGTCGTGATGGGTGGAGCCATGCTGCCTTCTGGTAGTGAACCCAAGGGAGAAGCAGCGCTGGATGGCTTCGTCATGAGCCAGTCAGCGCCTGCCTGGGCAGCTGTCAAGTCGATCTCGTTCATCGGGCTCTCTGCGATGGAGCTGTCACTCCACTCCTGGGCTGGATAGAACTCCTGCTCGGACGTCGATGCGAATGAATCAGAGGACGCTGGTCGGATCATCGAGAACTGCGGTCGGGGACCGTTGCGAACAGGGATCATGACCGGCTCGGGTTTCACGGGTACGTGTTCAGGTACTGGATCCGTGGGGCCAACCTCTTGCGAGCCATTCTCCTGTCGCACGGCGTTCTGTGGGGGTTCGGGAGACCGAGAGGGAGCGATACGTCGGAAAGGATCAGACAGCACAACCTCGGGGGCCGGTGATCGAGACCGATTCGTGTCCTCGGACCTGTGTTCCGGGGTGCGTTCACCTCCATTCGGAGTAGTATCCATCGGGCTGCTGTCGTTGCTCATCTCGTTGTCCGTGAGAATGCCGCTTCGTTTCCGCATCAACTTCATGTCGGACCGCCGGCGGCGGATAACCTTGCCGACTCCGAGCCAGCTGAACTTGCTGGTACCGGAATCCTCATCGTCTGTCACCTCCCCGCCCGACTTGCTAAACATGAGTGACAAACTGCGCGGTCTAGTCTTGCTGCTACCAGGTTTGGACGTCGGATGATCCTGCTCCTCGTCGAACGCGACCTTGGGCGAAGGGTTCTGCGGTAACGGCGAAGACACGGCGACCCTGGGTCCGGGTGACGAGCCCCTCGAGTGCGGCGAATGGCTACGAGGTAACCCTAAGCCCAACGCAGACTGCTCTATGTCGGGCGTTCTGGACAATGGTGATGGGATACCGGGGCTCGTTCCAGCGCTGGAGCTTCCTCCCAGAATACCATGGCTGGTCAGAGCGGTGTGCATTGTCGGCGTTGGCGATACGGGCGCGGACATGGAGCGGTTCGGAGCAGACGGTCCCAAGCCGAAGATGTGCTCGAATGGATCCTCCTCAAGTGGACTGCTGGGCGTGATGACAATGTCGGCCGGGCCCGCAATGTCGGTGTTGAGAGTTGGACCGCGGTTGAAACCATTCGAGAATGGTGGAACATCGGGCAGGGGCTTGGGCATCGGGGATCGCTCGAGGTCAAGCTTGGTGGGTGGAGGTGGAGGGTTGGGGTTTGTCTCAACAGGGATACTCGACGAAGTAACAGACGAGGAGCGCTGTGGGACTTTTGACGGAGAGATGACGCTAGTAGGCATTTGTCCTTTGCTCGGTGAGAGAAAGTCGGCAGGAAGAGTGTCTCGATCCGTCGCGCCTCTTGAGAAGATGCGCCGTGAGAATGACGGTTTCTGTTCGTGTCAGCAATGCATGAATTCTTCTCCTTTGGGCGACTGGGCGCTCCCACGGCACCCAGACGCGAACGCCATCGAGTGTGCAGGACGTCCATCCGGGGGGTCCTAGAATACGCACGGGCTTCACCGTATTGTTACGGGTCAAGGTTGCGAGTGTGGCCATGTCCTTCATTCGAATCGGCTCATCTTCACTGTTGGCCTTGATGCGGGATCCTTTATAACGGACAGTTCCGTCCTGGTCGCTGTCCCAGTCTCGTTCGGACCCCAGCTGATCTTCGTCATTCCATTGTCTCTGATTTTGGACGGGCGTCTTGTTGATGGCCTTGGCATCGGGGGTGGCGTCGAGTTCCTCTAAGCCATTCGAGTTGCTTGGCGTCGTCGGCGTCGGGGCAGCTGCTGGCTGTGGTTGATGTGATAGCGTTGCCGTGCGTCGCTGGTCCTTGCGAGTCGGGGTGACTAGGCCGAACCATGTTCTTCGCTTGTTGCGGTCAGGTGTAGCTGGGGCTGCGAGGGTTGACGGCTTCGCTGCGACCGGCTGGGCAGGTCCCATGGGATCTGCTGAAGGCATGAGATACTCCTGGTTGATTTAGAGAGTCGTTGGTCGGACCATGGATGAGGAAGAAGGAGGTAGTCGCTGGAGTCGCTGTATGAAACGAGGGATGTCGTATGCGGAGGTCTCTGGGCCAAGGGAGGTGATGCGCGAGGGGAGGCTGCTGTCAGGGGGGCGTCGTGCTCTGTCGGATGAGGAGCAAGAGAGACGGAGCTCGTTTTGTTGTGGAAGGAAGGACAGCTGGGATGCTGGAGTTGAAAGTGTCGAGTCGAGAGACGGTGGGTGAGAGACGAGGTGATGAAGCGATGTGAGGAGGTGGTTGCAGAAAAAAGGAGAGATGACAAGGCGACGGGATGAGGGGGAAGTGTGCGGGAAGTGTGGGTGGAGGTGAGAGTTGGCGGGCGCGTCGTTGGCGGGACAAGGGAGTGTGTGTGTCTGCAGATCAAGGTTGTGTGTGGGACGAGAGCCGGGAGCTAGTAATGTAGTGATAGAGCGAGGTGGAAGGATGGATGCTCGACAGACAGACAGACGCGTGCCTCTGTCTGCAATGAGTGAATCTGCTGCAGGTGGCTGCTGTCGGATAGCGTTAGTGACCCTTAGCGCTCGTCGGCCCTCGGGAACGGATGCCCTGAGTCACCCAGGTCTGTCGCCTCTGTCCGCCCCTCAGCCAACGGACCCAGACACTCATCCACCCAGGGAATGTCCCCGCCCCTGGGCCACCATGTCCGGTCCCCCACTGAGATTGACTGAGAGAGCGAGATTCAAGGCCGTGACTCCTTTTGTCGCTCCTTGAATCCTCGACCATCCACGTCGGATGCTGCTCTCTCTCTACAGCGTACCGTGCAGCGTGCAGATTACAGGAGACGCGCGGTCGAGGCACATGTCCTCCAATTCACCCCGCACCCCCGTGTGACCTCCACTCTTGTTCTTCCTCCTTTACCACCGTGACCACTCTGCCGCACCTTTGCGCTATGCATTCATCTGGTCACTGCCCACCTCATCCGCCGAACTCACCGATGTCACTGAACGCTATACCATGCATTGCCGCGATGTTGCTCTTGCTAGATCTGACAGGCTGGAACGGCGACTAGCACTAACCTTTGGCGCAATCCATCGCAATTCCCCTGCTAATCCCTCATTCGCGCTCAGCCCGGATCCGCATTTCGATCTTGTCTTCCTCCATCCATCCCGATCCACTCACCTCGACTAACCACACACATCCAACACACAGTCAGACCCTTCCACCTTCCTTCACTTCCCCCCTCCTTCGTCCACCATGGCAGGAGACTACGACCCCGTCTCCCCCGAGGAACACCGACGAGGGGTCGCCCTCCCCGAAGACGATGCGACAGTGAGGGAGTCCTTCGAATCCACCGGCTCTGGTTCCGACATTGTCTACAGAGACCACCTCGACGAGGACCCGTTTGATGAGAAGACTCACCACCGCCAGGGTAGCTACGACCACGAGGATGGTATAGGATACCCCGTCGAGCCCACCCGGATACGCCCGCGAAAGTCGTCCTCGCGAAGAATCCTCGCCGCCCTCGTCCTCATTGTCGGCGGAGCTGCTGCGATCGGTGTCCTGGCCGCAATCGGCTACCAGACCCCAACCGTCAAGCGCGGCTCGCAGCACATCACCCTCGACCACATCTACAACGGCACCTTCACCCCCAAGTCGCAGCGTCTCTCATGGGTTTCTGAGGGTGGGTTCTAATTCAGTTGCCGTTGCGACTATGCATGAAGCTAACCGACAGCCGCGGACGGTACCTTCTCCCGGATCGACGATGACAACAATATCCTGCTGCTCACGGCGCAGCAGCGGAACAAGACCGAGGTCCTTGTCAAGGCCGAGGATGTCAAGGACCCGCGGACGGGCAAGACGCTCGAGTGGGATGACTGGCAGCTTAGCGCGGACATGGAGTACGTGCTCTTCACGGCGAACAGCAGGAAGCAATGGCGTCACTCGTCGCACGCCAACCGCTTTGTCCACCGCTTGAAGGACCACAGCACTTTTGCACTGCAGGAGCCGCACGACTAACCGATCATGGCGTACGCCAAGTGGTCGCCCGTCGGACACTCGGTTGCTTTCGTCTCGGAGAACGACCTCTATGTTGTGCCCGGAAAGGAGCTCGAGACCAGCAAGCCCAAGGCGACTCGCGTGACGTTTGACGGCTCGGATGTGGTCTTCAACGGCGTTCCCGACTGGGTGTACGAGGAGGAGGTCTTCTCCACCGATGGAGCGCTCTGGTGGAGCCCGCAGGCAGACACGATCGCCTATCTGCGCAGCAACGAGAGCGCCGTCGAGATCTACGACCTGCAGATCTTCAACCCGACCAATGACGCGTTCAACATCAACCCGTACACGAGCACTGTGCAGATGCGGTACCCGAAGCCGGGAACGCCGAACCCGCTCGTCTCGGTGCACACATTCTCTCTGACTCGTTTCGAGCACGCCTCTGCGAACGGTGTCGCTTCCTCTGCTGCCGTGTCGCAGGCCAAGTCGACACTGACCTGGCCGGACGAGTACCCGCAGGACGACCGGATCATCACCGAAGTCGGTTGGGTCGGGAACGATACGCTGCTCGTGAAGGAGGTCGACCGGCCATCGCGCAAAGGACACGTTGCCGTGTTCACGGGCGGCAAGAGCGTCGGCGAGGTCACGCGCAAGCTGGGCAAGGAGGGGGAGCAGGGCGACGACGGGTGGATCGACCACGGGCAGAACATTGTCAAGATCGAGACGCGTGCCGACGGTTCTGGCATCGACGGATACCTCGACATCGTCCCTAATGCGGACGGGTACGACCACATTGCGCTCTATGCGCCCGTCACGGCCAGCAAGCCCGTGTGGGTCACCGAGGGAGAGTGGGAGGTGACGTCCATCGCGGGTGTGGACCGCGAGAAGGGCGTTGCGTACTTTGTCGCCGCCAACCCCTCGATCGACAGGCACCTGTACGCCGTGACTTTGCCCTCCTCTCCGTCGCTGGTCGGATACAAGCCCGAGATGACGCCGCTGACGGACGTGAACGTGCCGGGGTACTACGACGTGTCCTTCTCGCCCTCAGCGGGCTTCTACAGCCTAAACTACCGCGGCCCCAACATTCCCTGGCAGCGTCTGAAATCGACCGACGAGACCCTCGACGTGGTGCTCGAGGACAATGCCGCGCTGAACGCGACGATTGCCGAGTTCCACCAGCCCGTCGAGATCCGCTCCACGCTCAACCACGCCGGCAACGAGCTCAACATGATGACCGTCCTCCCGCCCAACCTAGACCCGAGCGGACGCAAGCACTACCCCCTCTTCATCAACATGTACGCCGGTCCCGGGTCTCAGACGGTGGACAACCGGTGGAAAATCGACTGGTTCTCCTTCCTAGCCTGTGAGCACAAGTACGTCATTGCGCGCATCGACGGCAGAGGAACGGGGTTCAAGGGCCGCAAGCTGCGCAACCCCGTCATGGACAATCTGGGCCAGCTCGAGGCCGAGGATCAAGCAGCGCTAGCGCGGGAGATGATCAAGCGGAAATTCGTCGACCGGAGTCGTGCGGGCCTCTTTGGCTGGAGTTATGGCGGGTACGCGACCGCCAAAACCCTCGAAGCGTATCCCGACCTCTTCACGGCCGGCATCTCCGTCGCGCCCGTGACAGACTGGCGGTTCTACGATTCGGTCTACACCGAGCGGTACATGAACACGCTGTCCGCCAATGTGGCAGGATACCAGAACAGCAGCGTGCACAACGTGACGGCGTTCCAGGGTCAGGACTGGCTGCTCGCCCACGGGACGGGGGACGATAATGTGCACTATGCGAATATGGCGAGTCTGGTGGATAAGTTGACGCAGGAGCGGATTCGCGGGTGGAGCATGCGCGTGTTCACCGACAGCGACCACAGTATCAACACGCGCGGGGCGAATCGGGAGCTGTACGAGTGGATGACGGAGCATCTGTTGAAGAGCTGGGGCAAGGGAGGCAATATCAAGCACTAGTCGCGCGTCCGGGGTGAGGCCGAGCGGCACAGTGGCTGGGCTGGGATCGGAGGCCGAGGTGGAGGTTCCCGGCTGCCTCGGCCACCCCGGCCGCCGCGGAGTAGACCTAGAAGCTATACACTTTTGTTTAGAAGTCATGCAGATTGTACTCAGAACAGATATTAGATACATGAGAGAGGGGAGTACGGGGGTATGTTATGGGTATGAAGTTATCCTCAGAACCAAAGTCTATGGAACCGGAAGAATCCAAGAAGCGGGCGCGAAATACACGGAGCAAAGAAATGTTCACTCCTCCTTGAAGCGCGAGATGCCCGCCGAACTCCTAGAGCTCGACGAGGCCGTACTGACGCTCGAGGAGCTGATCCGTCTCAAGACGCCAATATGCGCCACTTCGCGGGGATACAGCAGTCCCTCGATACGTTCCTTGTCCTTCTGGCGGAAGAACTCAAAGTAGACGAGCTTGAGCAGCGTCTCCTGGATCGCAAACTTGCCCAGCACCTTCTGATACTCCCTGTACAGCGGGTACTTGCTCGCCGTGATGGTTTCCGTCAGCAGCGTGCTGCCCGTGAACAGCAGACTGAGGGCTAGCGCGGGCAAAAGGCAGGAGGCAGCGTACAGCGTCGGGTTTGCGCACAGCGGCCACAGGCCTATGGAGAGGTGGAAGAGCTGCTCGCCGAGAAAGTTCGGGTGGCGGACCAGAGAATGAAGGCCGCGCGTCGGGAAGCCCGGGTAGTAGGCTGGCGTGTAGAGGGCCTCGGGCTCCTCTGTTTGCGGCGTGTCGATGATGGCGCTCCCGTTGCTGTTGTCTTCGACGCTGAGCAGCTGCGAGCGCAGCTCGCGGTCCACGACCGCCGCCTTTTCCTGCTTCAGCGCTGCGTGCTTGCCCTCCTGGAACGTGAACATGGCCTCGTCTGCCGCCGCTTCGAGGATCACGCACGCAAGCGACACGAAAAGGAACGCAATGTCGCCGGCATGCAGCGCCGTTCCGTCCCCGCCGCCAAAGAGCCAGGCGGGGATGCCCGCCTTGCCCTTGGCTAGCTCGGACTCCTCCCGCAGCAGTCCGACGAGCGGAAAGGACAGCGCGCCGATCAGGATCGGCTGCAGGAGCACGACGGCGAAGAGGTGCACCATCTGGAAGAACCAGGGGGGCACGCGCTGCCGCAGCCAGACATAGCGATAGTCCTCGCCTGAGAGCTTGTACAGGCCTCGCCGGGCTGTGTGGTACGTCAACCGCGCGGACCAGATACACTGCACGAAGAGAATGACCGCGAGGCGGGGCACGCTCGCTGCAAAGCCGTGCGTGTGCGCCCAGAGCAGGATCGCGGCGGACACGAAGAGCGGCAGCGTCGTGTACACCCTGTCGACCCAGCCGACGTTGCCCGTCGCGAGACCGAGGGCGTAGCTCGTCCCCGAGACGAAGGAGACGATGAGCAGCGGGAGATGGAGCGGGTCGCTGAGCTCCATGTTCAGAAGCGCCGAGGGGAGAGTGCGCAGCGCACCCGGGAGGTCGAGCGCGACGGACATGGTGTGTCTGTCGAGCTCGAGGCGAAGATGGAGGGACGAGTAAGGTGTGGCGTTGGTGTGTCTGTTGTCTTGTTTGTTCAAGGAATGAGGAGGGGGTCTATTCTTGGAATCGGAGGGCCGGTCGGCGGTCGGGGATGTTTAAAGCTGGATCTCGTTGGCCGCCGATCGGGTCGTTTGGGGTCGATGTCGTGGTCGGGTGACGATGGGAAAAGACTTGGGGGAAGCCGATCTGTGGTAACGACTGGGACACGATGGTCACGAGGAAAGGCGTGGGTTGTGTGTTCGGACTAGCGAAATCGGGCTTTGGGCTGTTGGGCAACGAGGGTCGACGGTCAGATCGGCAGGTCGGTGCAGTGGAGCTGTGCGTCTGTTCACAGGATGGAGTTGATCAAGGAGTAGGAGTGCGATGTTGTTGTTGATGCCAAGATGGACATGGTAGTCGTGGACGGGTATGAGGTTGAGCTGGAGGGGGGGGGGGGGACAAGGCAAGGCGATGAGAAGGCAAGTGGTCTGGGAGAAGCAATGAAGGCTGGAGGGGAGGAAGCAGGCAGACGACCAGAGGAGCGTAAACAAAGAAAGACTTTGCTTAGGCACTGACTAAACGCGGTATTAACACTGTCCAGGCACGCAAAGTTGAAACGCCTCACCGTCAGCACATGCGTCATCATCCCTGGCCCATACTTCGACTGTCCAGTTTCGGCATCCCGACGCAAATGTCAGCGACATGACACACTCCTGCCCAACCCAACCATTCATCGTGCACGAATACTGGCGTCGGGCCAAGAACTCTTCCCTCCTGAATCGCTCACTTCCTCTTCTGGCTCGTCCACATTGGGATATCAGATTACACAGATTAGACGCATGCAAAGGCCTGTCAGTTGGCCACTGCAGCCACTGGGCCACTCGGCGCTGTGACGATCACGTTCCTGTACGGGTTGTGTGCCCCACACCTTTTGGCTTTATTGTTCGCGCGCAACGTGCCATACGTGCACAGAATGAGCGTGCCATGTCGGCCATGTCGGAGGCATCGGCAACATCCTGGTGCCTTTCTTCTGCGTGGCTGCATGGCTTCTCTTCTCTCGGCCGACACAACGCAGCGGGGAAGAGTCACTCCGGCACAGTGGAACGAGACAAGGTGGCTACGGCATGACACGATGCATCACGCTATCGTTATCTTTGCCCATTCAGTGGGGCACAGAAGGGGAGTCGTACGCTCTGGTGATGCGGCCTCGTGATCAGGGAGTGGCCAGAGACGGCGCCCTGCAGTGCCCATTCACTGGCCATGAGTGAGTCATGTTGAACTGACTGGAGCGGCGCTCCGTCGATAGCTCGCTTGTGTCTCTGAGATCTACCAGGTCTGCCGCGAGGACGGAGAATAATCAACCGCAAAGAAGCGGTTGCAGACGGCTCAACGCTGTGGATGGGGTCGAGGATTCAGTTCCTTCATGACCTGATGCAATTGAAATCAAACCGAAAGGTGAGAAATATACAGACACTTCCTGCATCTCGAAGGCTTGAGGTCGTTCCGCCGGAGACCAGAGTCCACGCAGCGGGATGCATGATTAAGCATCTTCGCTTGGCGTGCTTCTTGGGTCTCGTCCCATTTCTTGCATGCCACGGCATTTCTTTAGGAGACCTTCGTAGCTTAGTCGTGGCCCAGCCGGAGGGTGGTGGGTGGCAAATTCCTCTCAAGTGACTAGCCCAAGCCGCGTGCCGTAGTGCCGGCATACCTTTCCCCAGTCGGCACGTTATCCGCACACAGTCAAACTTCTGCACAGAGAATCACGCAGCAAGAACGGATGGATACATACACTACTGATACAGAACTACTTCTTCTCCTTAGCTTCCCTCGGCTTGAAGAACGACGTCATCTTGGCCATACCGCTTGTATTCACCTTCTTCAGCGCCTCCACGCCGCGACTCCCAGGCTGCGCCTTCCGCTTCGTTGCGCCTGAGGCAGTCTTCTTCTCGTTGACTATTGGCGCCGCAGCGGCGGCGGCAGCAGCGGCCCGGTCGGCCAGGTATGCGTTCAGCGGGAGGAGGCTGCGTGTCAGCTCAGTACCGCTGGACTCGGAGCTTGTGGAGACTTACTCGTACGAGTCGGTCAGGTCCGACACGACAGATGTGGGCAGGTACGCTGCCAGCGTGTCGATGGCGGCTTTCGTCTTCGCGCCTGCTTGTCAGCTATGAGAGGTGAGAAGGTAGCTTACCCTCGACGAGTTTGGCGTCCGCGTCCGCGCCGAGAAGGCCGTCTCGTCCCAGGGAGCGCACGAGGTGGTCAAATTCCTCGAAATGGGACGCTACGTGGGTCACCTTTCGTCGGAGCACCTTCAGAATCACCTCGCGCGACGGCCGGTAGTACACCTGTCCCTCCCCCTTGGAGTCCTTGCTCTCCGCTGATTCTGGAGGAGGAGAGGGCAGCTCGCCGCCGACACCTGGAGTCAGCTTGGCCCCGTCACTACAGCCGTCGAAGAAGGAGAGAAGAGGACAGATAAACTCACGCTTCACGTCACAGCACGCCTTAAATGCCGCAACGAACGCGGGCAGCTCGGTCAGACGGGCCATGTCCTTATTCCAGCCCTCGACTGCTGCGCTCGGCGCAAAGGCGGGTTTCAGGCCCCATTGCGCAGACGAGGAGGCGGTCGAGAGCAGATCGGGCAGGGGCTGAAAGGGTGCCGTTCGATCGTTCTGGTGGTCAGCTCGCGAACGCAGCATGGCAGCTCGGCACCCATCGCTCTCATCATCACGGCGCGACGCCCCCCATGCGGACAGCAGCGCTCGCTGCGCCCGCCACACTTACCGGAATCAAGCTCAGGGCAATCGGCACAGCGAGGAAGAAAGCATCAAACGGCGCGTGCAGGAGTACATCGCCTTCTGGCTGTCAGCTTCACCCATCGTATCACAGCTCACGAGAGACGTTGTCGCCGCGGAACCAGGTTCGCGGACGCGCACCGCGAAGCTTCACGACTTCGTACAGCGCCTTCTCGGAGGGGAGGTACAGTTGCGGCAGGCCTGGGTGTCAGCTTCAGAGCAGTTGAAAGACAGCTGGAGAAAGGGAGTACTCACCACTCCGCGGGTGCGGCAGGCGGAGATACCGGTGCTGTGTGTCGGTTGCGATGTCTGTCGTCAGCTCAGTGTCCGGAGAGCGAGCTCGCTGTACAGCTCGCTTGGCTCGCACTCACCATCAGGAAGCACGCTAACGTACTCCACCGTTCCCGCCATGGTTCAAGATGCAAGAGTAGGCAAAGCAGATTATGCCTTAGATTGCAGGTGGATGAGTATCTTGTTGTTATCGTGAACGCGTCCGAAATCTCGACGCGTCCGTCATTCTCGCCTCGTCTCAGGGTCCACCGCGTGGCATTTCACGTGACCAAACGACATGACGATCGGTGCTGACACCGAAGTTACCGACCGGTACGTCCAACGCAACAACAACCACTACCGGCAACGATATGGAGGTCGAGGAGCGAGAAAGCGTTCGGCTAGAGTATACGGCTGGCCAGGCCGCGGCGGCCAAGAAGCGCAGACGGCAGGACCTCGTCATCGACTTTCTGTGGAACAACCTGGGCTATGTGCGGTGAGGCCGAGATTCAGCTTCCTTGCTCTCCAGTATCAAGCTGACAGGCAGACTGGTCTTGCTCGTTGTTGCCCTCGCGTGGATTGCAGCGATTCCGCACCCGCGGCTCTGGAAGGGCATCTTCGTCGACGAGCATGCGCTCATCCCCGCTGGCCAGCGGAGCTACTACGACTGGGGCAACGTGCACAAGGCCGACAACTACCTCGCTCAACTCGAGGAGCTGCAGGCGCGCAACGCGAGCTGGGACGAGAGGAGGGAGTACCTCATGCACGAACTTAGGGCTGCTGGCGCCGACGCGTACAACACCACGCATTCCGTCTACGGACGGATAGTCCCGCCGCGCGCTGAGGGTACTGAGGCTATCCTCCTCACGGCGAACTGGGACAGCAGGGACGGGGGGCCCAACCTTCGCGGCGTCGCAAGTCTGCTCTCGCTCGTGGATTTCTTCAGAGGTTCGTAACTGATTCTCTATCTATCCAAGCTTCGGTATCTTCGCCGGCTAGCTAACTTGGCAGGGCAGAATCACTGGGCGTTCGAGATCATCCCGGTTGTTGGCGACGGTTATCTGTACGGACTCGAGGACTTCCTGAAGAACTACAAGCTGCGCGCAAACGTGTGGAACGCGCTGAACCTCGACTACCCCGGCCACTCGTTCGAGCGCCTCGGCTTCTTCTACGAGGGCGTGAACGGCCGTCTGCCGAATCTCGACGTGCTCTCCACTGTCTCGACCGTTGCGCGATGGAAGGGCGGCTGTCCCGTTACGCTGCACGATGCCCCCGCATACCCCGCGCGCATCTACACGAATGGCCTGAAGCACCTCTGGCGACACTTCAGCTACGCTGCTCTCGGCCGACCCTCTGCCGCTGGCGGCCTGCTCGCGCGGCACCGTATCGACGCCCTCACACTCTACGGGCCGCCGGCAGAGGGCCCTCACGGCTTCCACACGCTCGGCATGGTCGTCGAGTCCACCTTCAGGAGCTTCAACACGCTCCTCGAGCGCCTACACGCGAGCTTTTTCTTCTACCTCATCCCGCACCCCGAGAACTTCATTCCGGTCGGACACTACCTCCCCGCCGCCGTCCTGCTCGGGGCCAGCATCACGCTCGGCGGGTTCGTCTGCCCCGCCCCGCTCGCGGGCACGTTCTGGGCCCTCGTGCCCATCGCTCTTGGCGTTATTGGCTGGATAGTCCAGACGCCCTACGTCGCGCTTGCTGCGCCCCTGCTCCCGCGTCCGAGAGGAGCGGCCAGGCGCAGCTTCAACTCGCTCGCGCACCTCGCTTACGGAGCTACGGTGCCGACGCTTGCGATGGTCAACTTCCCGCAGGCCATCTTGCTCGGTCTCCTGAGCGTGGTCGCGCTCGCGCCCGTATCGCGCTTTATCAAGATCGCTCTCGTGCCCGTTGCCATTGGAGCGCTTGCCGGTCTCAAGGCGGCGGGCATCGACCTCCGCGCCGAGTGGGAGTTGTTTGGTAACCTCGCGTGGCCAGCGCTCTTCGCGGTCATTATCCCCCTCATTGCTGTCAGCGTCATGATCTAGAGTGGGCAGTGTAACGACTTCATGCATCCAGATATAGACTTATCGATCGCATGTGCAGGAGCCCGCGATGCTCGGTGTTCAGGACAAAATTGATGCCGGCGCTGCCACAGGAGACGGGAACAGCCCACGCAGCGACGGTTTTTCACAAATCTGGTGTGAGCTACAAGAAGACAAGAGCCTACTTAGCTCACAGGTCTGCAGGATCGGTGCCAGTAACTGCGGTCAGCTTCTGCATTGTTCGCGCAGTCACAAAGCTCACAGGTGAGGGTGCGGTGAAGTAGCCACTTGCTCACAGCGGCAGTGCAAGGTTTTGCCATGAAGTCCAGCCTGCTGTCAGCTATGAAGTGCATGAACTAGCTCACAAGAGTCTGTCTGGCCTGTGAACTTGGCCGCGGCTGCGAAACATACGTCGCTGGCAAATACCCTGGCTACCAGTCTCTTGCCTCGCTTCAACAACTGCGGCTGCTTTTAGCTGAAAGCAAGTATGTGGGCTCACCAATGACATCGTAACCGACCAGCCGGGCTCGATCTTCGAGACCGGGCCAGGAGATTGAGATCTGAACTCAGCTGGCATAATCGAAGGCCTAGCTCTCCAGCATCCTTTCAAACTGTCAGAAGCTTTGCGCAAAAGGCCGATCTTGTCCAGCTGTCAGTGCGAGGCCAGTCCATCTGGTGTCAGCTCGGGAAGGTCGACGTCAGCTTACCAGTGTCCTCAACGACGCAACAAGTGGAGGCTGCAACCAGTATAAGCCCAACCATCAGTCAAGAGTCTGGGGAGACATCTCGCGTAATTCAAACTTCGTGCAGTCTGTGATGGGCTTCAAATCGCAAACGAGTCAGCTTACGATTCCTCGTATGCATTTTGGGCCTGAACGGGATCAGTGGGATGACAGGTTGCTGCTGGGCACAAAAGGTAGAGGTTGCATTGATTATACTGTATGTCTGCTCGTCAGCTCGGGAAGCAGTTAGTGGAGCTTACGGGGTGTATGCTTTGTATGGGATTTCTGGGATCAGCTTCCGCTGGGCGAGCTTGCTCGTAAGCTCACGTAGAAGTGAAATGTCCGGCTGAAGTTAGCTCAGAGCACTGCAGAAGTGGCTCACGGAGTGACATAGCCCACAGGAAGCTTGAAGCGATGAGGTTTCCTGAGACGTCATATAGCAGTCTGCACCGGTGGATGATGGCCGTTCGACCTGTTGTCAGTTTGTGGTCAGGAGCAGGAAACTTACTAATTGCCCTGCGCACGCTCGTTGCGGTCGAATCGCCCACGAATCCTGGAACCTAGCGCCGAGATGGATCTGAAGTCTGAGCGTCAGCTGTGTCCTTAACGATCTAGCTCACGTCTAACGGTCCTCTGAGGACGGGGGTCTACTTGACGTATGGTCGAGGTTGAGCTCTCGCTTCGGCTGCCTGAGCCACCAGAGCCACCCGATCCACTGTCGCTCGTGCTCCGTCCAAGCCGAGAGGTGCGTACGCTGTGCCGAGTCACGTGTACGGCCGATGCACTGGGGCAATGCGTGCTCAGCGCCGAGACACTCCGGTGACCGTGCCCATGCACGCCGAGTGCGCTGTGCGATCTGTTCACTGCTGGTGGAGGCAGCGACGAGTTTGGTGGCGGGAAGGCGCAGGGGCGACCGGTCCATCGGCCACCGCCTGAGATCACAGTCGAAGTCGACGTGCCTACGCCAGGCGTGAACACAACACTCTCCTGGATACTCGCCTCATCGTCGCTCTCTAGCGGCGTGTGCAACTCCTCGCTGACGGTGCTGCTGACACTTGACCGCGAGGCTGGCGGCTCCGAGAGGAATTCTGTTGTCAGCTCTGGAGGAACAAAACAGCTTACGCATGCGCATTGGCGAGACGATTGCACGAAGGGCTTCGACCTCCTCCATCACACGGAGCGAAGACGTCATCGTGCGTCTGGGGTCAGCTAAGCAGCGCTTCCGATACTTACAGAGCATTGCGCTGTTCGGCGGCGTCGAGCGCGGTGGCGAGATGCAGGATGGCGGCGCGGAGAGATTGTTGGGCATCTCGGCTCGATCGACTGCCAGGAGCAGGAAGCCGATCAAGGACCCAGTCCTGATGGCTTTGGGGCCGGCGAGATGAGGAGGGTGCTGAAGGTGCCGACTCCGCAGAGACCGGGGCTGATGGTGGCGCTGGACGTGACATGCGGCGCTCGGACACGGGTCGACTTCGTGGCCGGTCGGCGTGGCGCTCGGGCCGCGGCGGGGGCAGCGACGCCGCAGAGTCCAACCGCGGGAGCGTAGCAGGCGGCTCGGAATCGTTGATGCTGGAGAGGCTGATGTTCGAATCTCGTCGGACAGCGATTGTCGGAGCCTCGCTCGTTAGGACTGAAGACACGAGAGATGCCATTGGGGGGTAGGGCGGATCTCGAATGCCACTTGTGGGCTCGAAGCTCGATGTTGAGGCAGCATGTCGCAATTCAGGTTGTCCGTGCAACGACATGCGCCTGATTTCGTCCCTGAAGACCTCAGTGGGTGAGAGCAGGATGCTGATCGGCGACAAGGGGTCGTCGGTCATGCGCGCCAGCTGTATCTTCAGCTCTTGGTTCTCCGCCTCGAGGAGCGCCTGTCGCCGCTCAATCGACGCGAGACGAGCGTGATTCGCCTCCAGATACGGCTTCAGCGGTTCGTACGCGCAGGTCGCTATATGGGACTCGAGGTCTAGCCGAGGCACGATTGCGCTGCAGCCCCATACCTGGTGTGGACAGGCTGTCGGTACACGCAAACATGCCCACTTATGCAACCGTGCTGGAGCTGCTGTCAGCTTCAACCGCTTGATGCGGAAGATCTCAAGCCTGGCTCAGAGACTCTCACCTACCTTGCTGCCCACAATGAACGCACACCTTCGCAGTTCCCGTTACACAATCGTGCTTGCCCTCCTGTCAGTCAGCTTTCTCGGTCCATCCGTTGGCCAGCCCGCCCACATTTACGGCTCGAAACGACACGACTTGTCCGCACTGCGTGCACTCCATCTCCCGACGAAAGCACTCGTAGGCGTGGTGCTGTATCATGTGCCCATGGGCGACCTGGTGTCAGCTCGAATCACCTCAGGAGAGCCTAAGCTAATGAGTGTAGGCTGTACACGAGCACGAGGTTCTCACCTGAACTCCGCAGCCTCTGGGGCACGCTTCCGTCCTTCCTCCACAACTGCGGAGGTGCGACACGAGCAGCGCCCTGTCCATCTCCTTTCCACATCCCGGCATTCCGCACCGCACTCGCAGCTCGTCGAGCATTGTCCGAACTAGTGGGCCGCTATCTCGCAGGTCGGCGACTGAGAGGGGTGCTCGGTCGATCGGGCAGGTGTGCGCGTGCAGCAGCGCTTCGTCGATGCATGCTCGACAGAATGTGTGCGCACACGCTGTCGTGACCGGGTCAATGAGGGCGCACTGGCAGATAGCACAAATCTGGTGTCAGCTCATCTCAAGAAGCGGGGTGGGCAGCTGGAAGCAGTCAAGCCCACAGCGAAAGAGACGCTGGCTGCAAATGATGGGTAGAGGGAACCTCCTTACCAAGTTAGGGTCGACTTCTGCGACGTATTCGTACACAATCTCTGTTCGTGACGTAGAAGAAGAGGCCGCAGCAGGGCCGAGATCGATGTTCATGCCGTATCAACCTGTGGCCGGATGTCGTCGAATGTGATATTGCGCTGGGTATATGCGGACAGTCCCGCGAAGTGAACAACAGTGAGTTACAGAAAGTGTGAGAAGTCAAGAATGGCATGGGAGTGACAAGTGTGCGTTGAGCGGTTACATTGGTGTGTCGCATCGGTGCATGGTCGCATGGTCGGCTGCGCCCGTCGCCCCGCTGCACAGAGGGCTTGTTTCAGTGGCGTTCCGTCGTCTGTTCTCTGTTCGACCTCGAAACTGTCCGCTTTGCGTTGCATTCATGCGTTGCCTAGGTAGCGAGTTGTTGCAGGAGTAGAGACGTTTACAGGGTTGGGTGCTCGCAAGATCGGGGGAAGTAGGCGTCGCGACGCAAATGTCAACAAAGGGTCTGGGGTTGCCAGCCAGTCGGGCCATGGGCATTGCGCCATGACGTCGATCGGCATCCTCCGGGTTCCTCAGCGGTGTCTGTGTCCAGCGGCTCAAGCGTGCATGCCACCCGAATCCTCCGAAAGCATGCTCGTGCCCTGCAGAGCCGCCGGCGAGTTCACTGATGGAAGCTTGCGATCTGTGAATGCTTTGTCGGCTGTTATGAATGGCTGATAAGGACGTGTCGTCGGTTGATCCGAGATTCAGCCAGCCATCGCCTTGGATATCGCCGACTCCGCGGCCTATCACGGCCTTGCGACGTAGGCTGGCGCTGACACCACCGCCAATGCACCGGCAGGGCAGGTCACCCACGGATTTGGTATCCAGGAGTCGCCGCGGCGGGCTTGCTGGCGGCCCGGCGCGTGCCTCACGTGTGCAGCTCGTGCTGGGACCACCGCACCTGGCTAATCTCGGGCAAGATATGGTTGCTGGGGTCTCAGGGCAGCGGCAGTGCGCGGTGCGAGTGACCCGACATCATGGAGAGGGTGAACAGTGCGCCGCTTCTGCGCTTTCTGTGCTTTCTGTGCCGAATTGGCTCCTGGTGGAGTGCTTGCTGGGGCCGAGGGCTCCGGAAGCTTGAAAGAATCGATGTGGGGAAGGCGGATATGAGGGCGTCTTCGGCTGTGTCTTCTACGTGGAAGGGGTTCGGTGGGATTCCAGCACTAATGCGCAATAGAAGCACTCCTTCTCGTTGCTGCAAGGTCTAGGATGACAGTGAGGGCAGGGCTGCAGAGCATATGGAGGATGGAGAGGACTCAAAATGAATGACCTCCCCGTTATCGGTATCGGCCCGATCACCAGGTCTCTTACGTCACTTGACCAGAGCGGCCAGATCTCGGTCAGTTTCCGACGTCCCACTATCATAACCTCGGACGGTTTCCAACCTTCCTCATCATCGTCCTCGTCAACACCCCAACAACTATAAGACTTGCATCCCACTTTCTATCTCATCTGCTCACTTAATCCTCACGCATCATGAGCATCCCGTTTGGAACCGACGTTTGGGTGCCCCTCGACCCCTCACACGCTATCCTCGGCAACGTCGCCGATGAGGGGCGTGGGCTCGTCTCCAAGACCGTAGGCGGAACGGACTGGTGGCGTACGACGGAGCGTCACTCGACGAATGGCCCGACATTAGGCTTCTGGCGCGAAGTTGGAACGGGGTTTGAGGTCTCCGTCGACATCGAGATCGAGCCGAGGGTTCAGTAGTGAGTGACCTTCCTGCACCGCTTCTCTCCTCGAGACCTCCCTGACACACCATGCTACTGGTTTTTCGTTCTTTCTAGCTGACAGCAGCGACCAAGCGACTCTCTTTGTGTACGTCTCGCCTAACCAGTGGCTGAAGACTGGAATCGAATACGACGCCGGGGCGTTGTGGAATGGTGCAGTCGTGTGCAACCCCTACAGTGACTGGTCCCTGTCTCGGCGAAGGGAAGACGACAGTGCTCGCTTCAAAGTCCAGGTTGCGCCGAACGAGCTCAAGGTCTTCCTTGGCGATGACATGATCCGTGAGGTGAAGTGGTTCGGACCGCCAGAAGTGCACGCCCAGCGCAACCAGAAGATCTTTGTTGGCATCATGGCCTGCAGCCCGAAGGAGGGCGGGGCGGATGTGAGCTGGGCTAATTTTGAGATGATCGAGGGCTTGCCGAAGTGAGCGCTGAGAATGATGTATCAGTATCTCTGCATCTGATGCCAGGCTCCGTCCTTCTGAAAGTTCTGCATTCTAACAAGATAAGGCTATGAAGGCGATTACTCCTCATCAAACTCGTACCTGGTCATGACGGAGTTGACCTGGTCGGGGATCGCGTCGACCTTGGTAGGCCACCCGTACAGCTTCTGCCACCACGGAGGGAGCTTGCTCGCCCCCGACTTGGCTCCAGCCAGGGCGCCCGCGATGGCGGCAACGCGGTCGCTCTCACCACCACCGCGCACGGCACGGTCGAGGACATCCTGCACGTCCTTCGCGCCGTTGAGAGCCGCAATGGCAGCCTGGAATGCGCCGTGCGACGTCTTGTTGTCGCTGAAGTCCTCGACCTTGCTCTTCTCAGCATCGGTGATGCGCCTCGTCCAGACATTCTTGCGGATGGGACCAAGGAACTCAATCGCCTCGGACCACTTGGGGTCGCCGGTCAGGATCGTGTTGCGAATGCCGAGCGCGACGAGGGCGGACGCCTCACGCGCGTCCTCGTCCGGTTGCGTAAGGTCCGTCAACTTCTGGGCAGCGTCGACGAGCGCCTTCTCCTGTCCGTCGCCGAGGTAGCCGAGGGCGAGGGCCGAGATACGTGCCGGGGCACGGTTGAGGTCGGACTTGCCCCACTTCTTGATGTCCTGCTTGCGCGCGGCGTTGGCCATGTTCGGGCCCGTCGCCGTCTTGCCCTCGTCCGGCTTGTTAACGTCCCGCTCGGCCGTGTCGGCGAACAGAGCCTTAAGCCGGTCGTCCATGCCCTTTCCGCTCCAGTTAATCCAGCGCTCGGCGATGAAGGTCTGTCCGTCGTCGCTGGCCGGGTCCATCTTCTTGACCAGGGCCTCGAGAACTGGGAGGTCCATCGCTGTGGAAGACGCCCACTCGCCCTCCTGCCATTGTCCCGCCGAGGTGAGGGGAACAGGCTTGTCTCTGGAGGAGAGCGGGAGAGGACGCATAGGGAATGGCGAGCGCGTCACCGGCAGCAGAACCAACAACGGCGCCGAGAGCGCGGTCAATGGCCTGGCTGCCGGTGATGTTTAGGGTCATTGCCTCAGACATGTTGAAGGTGATTTAGTTGAGTGAGGGCGAGGAATGTGCAGGAGCAATGTGGTTATCTGACGTTCAAGAGGAACAGACGCCTTTTGTATGTGACCTCATGTCTCCCACGGATAACAGTGCGTGCTCGAAGCTTGGCGAGCGCAGCGTCGATCGCGCGAACCGAGTACCGATGATGCATGGTTCTCTCCGTTTCCATTCGCATCCACATATGACGAAGCCAGCCAAGAGCGCGCGTACCTGGCCGTAACTGTGTATCGAGGCTCGGTGATCATCTCGGTGTTCATGGTCTCATCGCCTCTACCATCACTAGCAACCACGGACAGCCGGGAACAACAACGTCGAACAGCTCAGTGCACCCTAGGCGGGGATCTTCTGAGAAACGTGCATTATCAAGAAGCTACTTTGCACACAAACTACTGCTTGTACCTGTTCATGACAGTGGAGACCAAGGTCTGAAGGTCATTGGCCTTGCACGGCCAGCCATGCAGCTTAGAGCTCCACTGCGGAACGCTCTTGGACCCGAACCTGGCTCCGGCCCAAGCGCCAGCGATGGCGGCGACGCGGTCGGACTGACCTCCGCCGCGGGTAGCCTTGTCGATAGCCGTGGCGACGTCGTCGGCGCCGGCGTTGGCAGCAACGGCGGCCTTGAAGGCGCCGATGGCCGAGTGGTTGACCTTGGCGAAGTCCTCGGGGTCGACCTTGTATCCGTCGGCGATGCGCTCCTTCCAGGTCTCCCTGCGGTTCTCGGGAAGGAAGTCGGTCATCTTCTCGAGATCGAGCTTGCCGGTGAGGATGGCGTTGCGGATACCGAGCGCCACGAGGGCGGAGGCCTCCTGCGCGTCCTGGTCAGGCTCGGTCAGGTCCGTCAGAGCGATAGCAGCCTTGACGAGGGCAGTCTCCTGGCCCGGAGCGAGGAAGCCGAGCGCGAGCGAAGTCATGCGGGCGGGCGCGCGGTTGTTGTCGCTGTTGCCGCTCTTGCCCTGCTGGCGGGCGAGCTTGGTCATCGCGGTGCCGTAGGGGAAGACGCCGCCGCCAGACTTGGACTGCTCGTCGGCCGTGGCCTGGAAGAGCTTGGAGAGGCGGTCGTCGCCACCCTTGCCGCCCGACTTCTGCCATTCAAGCCACTCCTGGGCAACGAAGTTCGGCACCTCGACAGGTGCACCGGGGCCCAGACTGAAGTCCTTTGAAAGAGCCTGGAGCACAGGGATCGACATGGCGGTGCTCGATGCCCACTCCCCTTGCGACCACGAGCCGCCCGAGGTGACTTGCAGGGGCTGGTCTGCCGGCGCCTTGGACAGCAGGTCGGGCGATGATGCGTAGGGGATGGCGAGGGCATCACCAGCGGCTGAGCCGAGGACGGCAGCAATGCTGCGGTCGGCCGCAGTGTCGAGGTTCTTGACGGCCATGGTGTTCTGAAAGAAGAGCTAGACTACGAAAAGCTACGAGGAGTTTGGGTAGGTGTGTGTCGAGGATAATCACTTCTCATTCTTATACGTGGTTACCAGCGTATGACCTGGGCGAGACGACCGAGAAGCACCTGGCGGCAGAGAGCTGGCATGTCATGTGTTGCATGCGAGCTGGCGAAGAGTGCTTCGATGACTTTCCATTCTCATTGACGTCTTGAGGCGGGTTGACAATGGGCCACGAGGCGCATCTTCAGTGGTCGTCTACTTGGACTCTGAGAGGAAAGTATCGTTCGGTGAACCGAGACGCGAGGAGGGTCGGTCTTCAGAGGCGTACAGGCTGCAACGGTCGAGAATGACACCCACGTATCCTACACACGAACCTCGGTCGCGGTGATGCATGCACGACCAGATGACCGAGAGTTGATGTCAGTGCTCCGGAAGAGTCCCGATGCACTGAGGCATAACCTGGCGACACTACGTAGATTCGTCTCACATTGCTTCGAGCAGATTGTTGACGTAGAATTACGATGATCATCCACACCTAAACCATGTGAGAGACAGCTCAGATTCTCAAAGTGCGATCGATATCCGGAAGCTGCCAGATGTTGTGCTGTAGCTCATCTGACTTGACCTGTGCCCCTGGTAGCTGCTGAAGGCATCACCGCGGCGCCGGCCGCTAAGCCCGGCTCCGTCTTTGTCACCGAACTCTGGAACGGCGGCTGCTTCTATGCTTGACCTGACCAAGAAGAACACCAGATCCGACGTTCGGTACGGTTACCCTAAACCCTCTCGCGCCAGTCGATCGCACTGCTGGGTGCGAATCTGCACCGCATCACGCACCTGCAATGGCGGTCGGATCTCATCATCCCTTGCCAAAACACGCAAGAATGATCGTTCCTGCTCTCGCTGTTAACGATGTCTGCGGCCTGAAGCCTTCAAGTTGGTACTCGGGCTGGGTGGCTGAAATCGTGATCTGGTGGACAGCGACGGACAGTAGGGTTAATCTAGGGCGAGCCCTACGAGCGGTTGCTCAGATGCTTGAGGAGATGGCAGTGCCCGACGCTGCAGCACTGCCCAACGACTATTGTGTTCCCATGTAGAACGCAGGTCCTCCCTTCTGTGCCATTCTCCCAGCGCTCGGAAATGTAATCCAACCCCTTCTGGGACATCACATCGGTGTCTTTGGCGAGCGTTTCGAGAACCGGTATGGCCATAGATGTGCTGGACGCCCACTCCCCCTCCGCCCATGGCCCAAAGGACGTAGGCTCCAGAGCCTCGCCAGTAGGCGCCTTTGACAGCAGATCAGGGGAGACAGCGTAGGGAATGGCCAGGGCATCGCCAGCCGCTGATGTGAGTACGGCAGTAATACCCCGGTCGGTCGCTAGGTCGGGTCATTCAAGAGGCATTGCACGCTGAAGGTATGATCACGCTACAGTCACACGGGAGAGGAGTATGAGGTGAGCTGATCCAAGTAGGTCTTCACTGCTTTTATGTGTGTCTCCCAGCAGCCATGCCCGGTTTCGACTGACCGAGATTGACCATTGCTCAAGGGTGGAGATACGGCGCGGCGTGATCGAGTGAGCAGTGCTGGGCAGAGGATAAGCTTCGATTCATCCTTTATTCAGACGGGCGTCCACATGATCGTGAGGCTCATCTGCTGAGGTTAGCTCTGTGCCTGGTTTCGCCGAGGTGTATCGATGCTCGAAGCTGGCGTGGGACGCGAGCGGTGTGCTGGCTACACTGATCCTCATCGTTCCAGCTGAATCTCTCGCCATGGCGCGCTCTGATGCTGTCCGGCAAGTACAGTATGAAAGAAGGGACATGTCTCCTTCTATAAACTGTACCAGGTGTATGTGCTCTTCGTCTGTTAGCTAAGTGCAGTGCACTATCTGTCGAACGGCCGCGAAGCAGGCCTCGATTCCTTCCACATGATTAGGAGGCGAGCGATGTCTCTCACTGTTCACATTCACCATTCATTCACATTGAGGAACGACTGTGAGGCTTCGATGGACCTCGGTGCCGAAACCTTATCAGTGTCACGCGCGGTGACTGATAGCACTTCACTTACAATACACCACGGCTGGCAATCGCTGCTCCGAACCAAGCTACGGATGTCGCATGGGACTTCTATGACCCTGATCGTATCGAAGCCACAGCATCCAAGGTGCGATGCGGTTTGCAACATCTCACAATTTATATTCATCGTGTCACGAGTTCCAGAAATAGTGTAGTTCTGTCCACCCTAGCTGATCCCACGCCCTTTCAACATCTCGCACACAGCCCCTGGAGCCGCCGATGTGGCGAGTTGCTCCTACTGCAGCTGTTTCGCGAGGGCTCGATCGACGTAAGCCTCCAAGGATTCCGCCGCTTTGCCAGGATAGAGAAGGGGCTCACCCCAAACCTTCTCACGCCACTCATCGGGGACGCTTCCGCCGCGAGCTCCAGCGAGAGCGCCGGCGATGCACGCTACGCGGTCACAGTCACCTCCTGCACGAACCGCTCGCTCGAGTATCGCCTTGACATCAGGCTCTCCCGCGTTTGCAGCGATGGCAGCCTGGAGCGCCCCGATTGCCGTCTCGTTTGTGTCCTTGAACGCCTCAGGTGTCGACTTTTCCGCCTCCGTGATCTTCTGTGTCCAGAACTCTTTGCGCTCTGGTGTGACACGATGCAGATGCCCGATTTGCGCCTTCAAGTCGAGATTCCCCGTGAGGATCGCGCTGCGCATCCCTAGCGCGAGCAGCTGTGCGGCCTCGAGTACATCTTCATGTTGCTGCGTCAAGGAGACCGTGGATCGCACGGCCTTGACGAGCTGTGCCTCGCACCCTTCGCCGAGGTGCCCGACGGCGACGGGGACCGATCGCGCAACAGCACGATTACTGTAGTCGCAACCCTTTTCTCCTTCTTCGATGCCCGTAATGTACCATATCTTGGAGCTCAGGGGCCTGTTTCCAATTTCAAGTTTGCGAAAGTTCGGTTGCTTCATTCGCGCGAAGATGTTTACGAGGTGCGGGCCAAGGTCGCGCCCGTCCGCCGAAAGCCATGCGGACACCACCCGGTTCAGCGGATGGACATCTTGCTCCACCTGCCAATCCTTGGCCACGCATTTCAGAACGGGCACGGCCATTGTAGTCGAGGAGGTCCATTCACCTTCCCGCCACTGCCGGCTCTTTGCGAAGGTTACGGGTCCGTCCCCTAGAGCGGCCAGCAGTTCGGGACTCGTGGCGTAGCTGGCACCAAGCGCATCGCCTACAGCAGCGGCGACGATGGCAGCGCGAGCCCGCTGTTTCTGGGCTTCGTCGAACGAGGGAGAGGACATTGGCGATTGCTTTGTCGATGGCGCGGCTCTCAGTGAGAGAAAGCCAAAGATCGAAGGTTGGGAATGAGGATACGCTTGCTGGTGGCCTGCCTTGTTTATAACGATGCGAGAAAGCTGGACGGTCCTGAGCGGAGTAGCGATTAAGCTTCGAATTGTTCGATTGATCAATTGACGACATGACGTGAGGCGCTAGTCACGCCTCTTAATACCGGCCCCCTGAAATCCTGGAATGCGGTGTTGTCCTCCCTGGTCTGAAGTCCGAGAGCCAATGTCGCCTCGAGATGTATATGGAGGCTGTCAGCTCTCCCGTTCAGCTCAAGGCGCAGTGTGGGTCCGCCCTGACCTGCCGGTCTCTGTTATGCGCCTTTTGACCGAGAGCAAAGTCGGCCACAGCTCTCAACCTACGACCGCACTGCACGATCGTGGCATTGCTCTGGTCGCCTGCCGAGATCCTCCTTCAACGGGCACCAAGTGCAATGAATTCAACGACGATGCATGGGTTTCGCCTACTCTGCAGCCGTCTTCAGCGGACTCATCTTCTACTAACAGCCTAATCTAGTAAAGGTCCACCTTATACGTAACCTTGACCACGGCCTCCACGTCCTTGGTGATAGCATCGACGGCGCTTCCCCGGCCATTGAGGTTCTCGCCGTGTAACTTCGATGTCCAGTCGGCGGGGATCTCTCGGCTGCCTTGGTCACCACCGGTCAGAGCTCCAGCAACGGCAGCGACATGTGCGTTAGCCGTACTGCGAACCGCCTGAATGAGAACATTCTCCACGGTTGACCGGGATCTGAACGCGGCGACCGCAGACTGGAGCACGGCGACCGAAGCCTTGTTGGCATCAGAGGACTTGACGTGGATGGAGTTGAAGGATGCGGCATTACCTCCCTCCTTCAGGAGCTGCTTCCACTTTTCTTGGCTCCCGGTAGGCAGGTACTGGATCTGCTCCTCGATGCTCACGGAGCCAAAGCGGGCTGCCTGCTGCACCATGAGCGCCACGAGGACAGCGGCCTCACGTGCCTCCTCTTCGGGATGCGTCATGCGCGCGAGACGGTCCGCGGCCTTGGCGAGATCAGCCTCTTGGTCTTCTCCAAGGAAGAGGAGAGCGAGGGGAGCAACATGGGCCACCGGCAGCGCACCGGCACCCCCGCTCGCTTTGGCACGCGAAGCCAGTGCCTCCTCACTCGCCTCCTCCCGAGACACGCTCCGCAGCAGGTCTCGCGTCCGCGAGTCAAGCCCCTTTCCCCCCGAGTGGGCCCACTCTACCCATCGTACCGCGAGGTAGTCGGCCCACTTCTCTCGGTCGTAGAGCACAGCCTCATTCATGGCGCTGAGCACGCTGAGTGCCATGGCGGTCGAAGGACCCCACTCGCCCTCGGACCAGTCGCCGCCCGAAGTCATCGTTACGCCCTGGTCGACCTTTTCGGGGGAGGATACATAAGGGAGCGCAAGTGCCTCGCCGGTTGCGAGGCCGAGGACCGATCCGGTCGCGTGCTCTCTGTTGAACTGGGGCGCCATGGTGATGTTGACAGCGGGTGTGTGTGGTAAGGTGAAGACTGACGCTCGGTCGTTGGATGCAGCAATGTTGCTCGCCCTTGTTATATACCTTCCCAGAAGGGACGAGCACAAACCCATACATACCCATACCCAACGCAATATCCCCATAGCGCAGCGTTCATTGCCTGGTCGAGCTGATGTGGGGCCTTTTTCGATGCGAGACAGTATGTGTGCAGACCGGGGAACACGGCTCGGATTACGCTTCAAGTCCTTCCATTCACCGTTCCTGTCACGCCACAGGGTAAAGGCGCGATAAAAACGTTCCACGACGACAACGACTCCAGGGAATGCTGGGAAGGATTATATGGCTTCGATCGCACTGGGTGCTGAAACCTTATCGAAGCCTGGCGTAGAGCAGAGCACCAGGGCACACCAACGGTCGAGGGCTTCAGAACTGCGCACCACACTATGCCTGCTCCCGACCCGGCTAGGATGTCGCGCAGAATGCCCAGCGGCGGGATTGTATAGGGTGCCAGAGTGCAAAGTGCACGTAGGAAGACTCGCCTCAGTATGCTCCCGAGCTCAGCTCCATCCGTCCGCGAGGCGTCACAACTTCTCACTTTCATCACATCACAAGTACTACGGATATCAATGGCCGTGTGCGCATTGACGGGCTTCAGCGACCGGAAACCTCTTGTGATCAGGTCGCTGTACCGCCTCACTCAACGTTGAGCACGTTATTGACTAAACTTTCCAACTCCTCCGCCGTGCCTGGTCCGACAGACTCACCCCAGATCTTCTCGCGCAAGTCAGAGGGCACGCTGCCTGTTCGCGCTCCTGCGAGGGCGCCAGCCAGGCAAGCGACGCGGTTGCACTCGCCTCCCGCGCGGATGGCGTGCTCGAGCACGGTCTTGACGTCGCCAGCTCCCGCGTTCGCAGCGATCGCCGCCTGGAGAGCGCCCACGGCCGTCGTATTGGTGTCCTTGAACGCTTCTGCCGTTGACTTTTCGGCGGCGGCGATCTTCTCCTTCCAAAATGCCTTGCGCTGGGCACTGACGTAGGGCAAGGAGTCAACGTGCACGAGCAGATTCAGTTCGCCCGTGAGGATCGCGCTTCGCAGCGCCAGGGAGAGCAACTGTGCGGCCTCGACGACATCCGGGTGGCTTTGCGTCAGGCGAACCATTGCGGTGGCGACCCCCACCATCTTAGCCTCTCGTCCTTCGCCAAGGAACCCAATAGCAACGGGGACCGACCGCGCCACGGCTTCACTACTATCACTTCGACCGTCTCTAACATCTTGCTGACGGGAAATGTACGAGCACTGCTTGAACAGCGGCTCGTTCTTGACCGGTGCGGGTGGGTACCCCAACGACGATATCAGGTCGTCCAGGCGCCAGCCGCAATTGCGTAGATTGAGTGACTTCCACCCCGACACGATCCAGTTCAACGGGTGGACACTCTCGTCCGAGTTCTGGTCGCTGGCGAGCCAATTGATGACTTTCAAAAGCGGTACGGCCATGGAGGTGGACGAGGTCCACTCGCCCTCCCTCCAAGGACCCTCCGTTGCGAACGGTACAGGCCCGTCACCGAGAGCGGCGAGCAGATCAGGTTGTGCGGCATAGTTTGCGCCTAAGGCATCGCCAGCAGCTGCGGCGACAATGGTGGCACGAGCCCTCTGCTTCTGGATCTCTTCGAGTTGGGGCGATGTCATTGGCGAGCGGACCGTGGGTGATGGTGGAGAGCCAGAGTCGAATGGCTGGAAAGGTGAGGCTGAGCTTGGCAATCCCCTGCTCATAACGATGCGAATGAAGCCGCAACTCCTGAGCAGAACAGTGGTCAACCTTCGACTCGTTCGATTCAGCAATTCACGACATGACGAGAGGCATGACGAGCGCCCATCAATGTAAACTTCCTGATTTCTGAATTGCGGAAGCGTTGTCCCTGGCCGGAGTGCATGAGTCAACGGTGCCCAGAGGCACATCACACAGAAGGCTGACACCTCCCCTATCCACGTCTAGGCGCAGCGCCAAACCGCCCTGGCCTTCCAGCTTCTCGCAGTACTTTGTGACCGAGATTAAGACCCGCCGCAGTTCACAAGATTGGTATGTGTGTGCAGACCGAGGTTCATGGCCCTACATGGTGCTTCGAATCCATCTACTCATGCCAGTCACGGTCTTCGGCGTACCGGCACCAGGGCAACGAACATCGTTCCGCGTCTCGGGCTGATGGCAGTAACTGGCAGTATCTTCAATCAAGCTCTGTACGGCCTGGGCCAGGCTGGCGGCCACTGGCGGCAGGGTGTTGGCGAAGAGCGGTGTTCGTGGACGTATTACACTCCGTGGAATGCAGAAGGGTGGGTGGCTTCGATCGCATTCGGTGCCGAAACCTTATCAGAGTCAAGCTCAGGAAACGCAAGACGGACAGGCCTTTCCCTAGGGCGTCAGCACTGTTATTCGTGCTCATCTGTTCATGTCCCGAACACCGCTACGGATGTCGCACGGAACGCTCATGGAGTGTCCGTATCGAGACCGCAGTGAGTGGGGTGCCCTGGCATATGCTTCGAATGACTTCCCCAACACAGCACTTGACCCATAAGAGCGTTACAACTCGTTGCTTCCTCGCGCCCGGGACCCTAGAAATGTCATGACCCTATCCTCCCAGGCTGGTTCCCACGATGTGGACCATCCGCGTACTGGCCACGCTTCCGCACAGAGAATAGTGCACTTCAGAGATACCCATTAAGCATTAAGCCTGCTTCTTGAGGACACGATCAGCATAGACCTCCAAGACCACTGATGCTTGGCCAGACATAGGGAGAGGTACAGCCGAACCTCCTCGCGCCATCTGGATGGTCCGCTTCCGCTGCGGGCGCTGGCGATGGCATCGGCGATGCACGCAACGCGGTAGCACTCGCCGCCGGCGCGAACTGATCGCTCGCGTACTGTCTTGCCGTCCTGGCCTGTCATCTCGCTCTTCGCAATGCCCATGAGTCTGAGGATGCAGGACAGGGCCAACGGGACTCATTACTGCCCAGGGTGTTCTCGATTCGCCCAGGATCAAACCTTATCAGCCAGCATGATCTGGAGGGCAAGATGCCACAATGCGTGGAAGGCGCGGAATGCAAAGGTGGAGAGCGGAGGCTAGCCTTCTCTTGTTGACAACCCTGCTCGGGGCATGGAAGCGGCGCGGTCTCCGACACTACCAGCAAGGGGGCCAGATGGCACCCAACGAGCGGAATACGTTGGGTTGTTTGCTATGGGATCCGAGGCGCGTTGAACGCCACTTAATAAGCCAGACCTGAGTCCTGGATTGACGAGGCGCAGTCTCCAGATAGGCGTCGTCGACCTATGCGGCTACAGAGATGCATGCCGAAGACTGTCCCGCAATTCCTAGATCGAGCTGCGCACCAGTGATCGGTCCACCAGCACCTCGAGATCTCGCACCGTCAGCCCCGGCCAACCATGCAGCTTCTCCCTCCACTCGCTCGGTACACTGCTCGCTCCGAACCGGGCTCCAGCCAGCTGCCCCGCGATAGCCGCTATCGTGTCCGTGTCTCCTAGTCCTCGCACCGCACTCTCCAGCACGCTCTTCACGTCCTTCCCTCTCCGGTTCGCGATGTGGGCGCATTGCAATGCGGCGACAACCCAGTAGTTCTTAACGAACGCTTCAGATCCCTTCTCCTCCGCTTCGGTTAGTCGCTCGGCCCACAGCGTACGTCGGTCCTCCGGTAGATATGCGAGCTGCTCCCTCAGATCGTAGGCGCCAGTGAGTATGGCTTGCCGGATTGCAAGCGACCAGATGACGGCCGCATCCCCCCCGTCGGGCTCGAAGTGCGTCATCAGCGCCTGCCTCCTCGCCGCTTCTGCCAGCGCTACCTCCCTCCCCGGCGCGAGGAAACCGAGAGCGAGCGGCCCAACACGCATGAGGCATCCGTTTCCTCCACTCCGTCCTGAAGACTCGTGCTCCAACCTTGCCATCTCCATCATGATCCTCGACAGCGGCTGGGGATGTTGCAGTCCCTCAATTTGCGCCTGCTGGACACTAACGACGCGTGCAAAGACGCGTGCAGTTTGCAAGCCGATACCCTTCCCGCCGTCGTTGCCCCAATCGAGCCAGCGCTTGGCGAGATAGCCTAGCCCAGATTCTGTGGTCAGGTCCAGTCCCTGTGCCAACGCTTCCAGGATTGGAATCGCCATCGCCGTGTCGTCGGTCCATTCGCCTTCGGCCCAGTCTCCACAGGATGTGAACAGTACGGGATCACCGTTGGTGAGTCCCGCTTGCAGCTCGGGAGAGGTTTCGTATGGTGCGCCGAGGGCGTCGCCGGCTGCTGCGACGAGTACCACGCCGCGCGCGCGGTCGCGCAAGACGTCGGGTGAAGGAGCAGCCATGACGTGGAGAAAGCGGTGGGGGGGCGATCGAAGCCGAGGTGGATGACTCAGGGTCCCCGTTCGGAGGAATGCGCGAGCAACCTTCAGGGGTCTGTCGATGTGCAGGATGGTCGACGTATGATTGTAGGATAGTGAAGTCAAGATTGGGCAGCGAACTGTCGAGAGCAATGTCGAGGGCGGAAGGTGGAGCGAAGGCAAGAAGGTTGAAGGTCTAGGAACTGCTATCGATCGGCGTTCAACGTTCCGATATCGGGAGCGAAAGTATCCGATCCAGGAGTGTCAGTCTCACTGTGTCTTTTGGCTTCCATCTTTGGAGGCTACACCTCCGCGCCTTTGAACAGCGTAAATCATGCATTGTTATCTAAGCTACATCTAGAGCTCTGCCTCAAAAGAGTTGCACAGCTACTGGTACCACCGGTCGTACCGCTCGAGTACATCATCGACCAGCCGCTTAAGGTCATCCGCCCTCATGTCGTTCGGAAAGCCGTGGAGCTCCGCAATCTGCTCCGTCGGGATACTGCTTGCTCCATATTTGGCACCAGCCAGCTGGCCAGCTATGGCTGCGACGCTCGCCTTGTCGCTCCGGAGTGCAATGGCGGCAGGATGGGTTCGAGCAGTCGCTGCGGGATTGTGCGCATGGGAAGGTGGTTGCCAGTTTGCGGCCGCCTGCAACGTGGACTGAACGTCGAATCCGCGAGACAGCGAGACAAGAGCGTGTTGCACAGCGACGTGCGCTCTGCCAATGTCGGATCGAAGAGGGATGGACCGGTCGCGAAGATGTTGCTCGGTTTCGTCGATGTATTCCTCCCACGCGTGCTGGCCATCTTCGGGGAGATACTCAAGCTGTGCTCGGACCGCAGCAGTGTCCGCTTCACCAGTGATTATGGCGTGTCGCACGGCCAGTGCCCAGAGCGAAGCTGCCTTCCCGACAGATCTTGCATGAGCCAACCCAGTGAGCTCGGTGACTGCCTCTACGAGCGCCGGTTCAGCTCCAGGTTCGAGGTAAGCTAGCACGAGCGGCGCTACACGGGCGACGGGGCCGCTGCTCCCGCTGGGGCCGATGAACTCGCTCATCCCCGGCATGGCACCGAACCATGGCTTCCCGCTCAGATCTCGCAGGCTGGAGCTTGGTATCCTCCCACTGGCAAGTCGGGCGAGCCCGTTGAAGACCGCTAGCGTGCTTGCGTCGACACCCTGCCCTCCTCGTCGGTACCATCCGATCCACCTGCTCACCAGCTTCCGTCGCTCGTCCTCGGTGGACAAATCTGAGCCCTCTACCATGCTCTGAAGCAATGAGATAGCCATTGACGTGTTGGCACCCCATCGCCCGCCGTCGTCTTGTCCCAGAGCATCGCCCAGCACGCCGCCTAGGATGGCTCCCAGGGCACGATCCAGAAGGACTTCTCTGGCCGGGAGGTGAGAAGCGCCCGAAGCCTTTGGAGCAGAGAGGGAAGCAGCGATGGGCATTTCCATCCTGTTTCCTGGAAGTTGTTGAGGCGTTGCGGTACCGGGAAGCGTTGGTGACTTGCTCGTTGATGGTGTTGTACTAAGTCAGCAGGGAGTGTAGGGTGGAGGTCGAAAGTGGAGGCTGAGTGCCGACATCGGAAATCAAAGCAGCCCGGATCGGCCAGTCAGTGTTGAGAAAGCTAGCGCGGAGCGTTCCCTCCTGAGCGCCGGTGAACATTGCGAGCAAGACGTGAATACAGCTGCATGCAGTTGACAAGGTACAGGCGCTCGAGCGACGTGGGCGAGCATGTGGATTAGGAAGGCAGTTAGCCATGAAGCGTAGGGTGATTAGTCGGCGCCGACAACATCCCAGTCGGTGACGAGATACTCGTCGAGGTCGTCAAGCTGGACATCAGCTGACACGGACACCCATACACCTCGACATTGACTCACCTCGTCCATGTCCTCCTGGCTAATCTCAAAGTCGAAGATCTGCGCGTTCTCGACGATACGCTTCGGGTTGGCCGACTTCGGGATCACGATGTAGCCCTGGATGTCAGTTGCTGTGACAAAACCTTCATCTGCTATCCTGCATGGGACCGGAAAGCCCACTCACATGCTGCAACCCCCACCGGAGGAATATCTGAGCCGAAGACTTCCCATACTTCTCCTTCATTTTGATGACAACAGGGTGGTCGAACCTGAGTCCTCGGGCAAGGGGGGCCCAAGCCTGCCAGTCAGCTTCCGGTCCTCGCCACAGCTCACCTCAAGCGCGATACCGTGCTTCTCGCAAGCGTCGACGATGTCCGGATGCCGCATGAAAGGGTGGAGGTCAATCTGGTTGAGCACGGGCAGCTCGACACCATCCTCAATCATCTCGTCGATATGCTTGGCACCAAAGTTGCTGACGCCGACAGACTTGACGAGTCCCTGGTCCCGGGCGACGAGGAGGGCTCGCCAGACCTCCTTTCGCTTCGCCGCACCGCCGAGAGGCGAGTGCATCAGGTACAGGTCGAAATAGTCCAGCCCCGCCTCTTGCAGCGAGTTCTTCAAGTCGGCCAAAGCGAGGTCGTACGTCCGATTCCGCATCAACTTGGACGTGACGAAGATCTCGGATCGGGGCACGCCCGAGGAAGACACAAAGTCGCGCACGGCGCGGCCGACCGGCGCCTCATTCTCGTACCTGACGTCAGCCGAAAGAATATGAAGGAAAGAAGGGAAGGAGCGAGAGGATAACGTACCACTCCGCAGTGTCTATGTGTCTGTATCCATCCTTGAGTGCGGTAATGCACGCATCGTACGTCGCCTGGTCCCCCATCTCATACACGCCCAGCCCAAACTGGGGGATCTCGTTCCCATCGCTCAGCTGTGTGTCAGCTCACCGCCACCATTGCAGCTCACCTTGACCTTCCCCTGGAGATTCTTCGCGACAGTCGGCTTGGACATGGTACAGAGTGATGAAGAGAGAGGTCGTGCGATGCGTGTCGATCGTGTGAGCATTGCGAATGCCCAAGATGCCAAGGGTCAGAGTGGAGTGCGGGGTACAACCCTGGCAGCGCAGCGGCGCCGGCAGCGCCCGGCGCGTCATGTCCGAACCCCGCCTGCATACGGTGGGGTGCCGTAATCTCGGCGGGAGTATATGATAAGCGGGCCACGTGTTTAGTCACCGCAGCAAAAGTTCGAGCCAGAGCCTCCACCTAGGTTGGTAGCTCTCCTCCACCTCGTCATTTCCAACTACATCCACCAACATGGCCGACACGAAGGCCGCCAACGGCGACAGCAAGGAGGAGGCGCTCACCGCCTTCGTCTCCTTTCCCTCGCCGTACACGCAGACCCTCCTCCTGCGCGCTCTGACGGCCACCCTCCCCTCGCTGTCGATGTCTCTGCTCCCTCCTGACCCCGACCATCCCCCCCGCCTGCAATGGGCCGACTACGACCTGATGACCTTCGACATCCCGCACCGGGACCCCTCCTACCTGATCTCAAGCTACATCTACCGCAAAGCCCTGATCCGGAAGCACCAGCTCCACACAACGATAACAGAGTACCTCGCCAAAGCACAGCATCGCGGGATCGAGTCCTCCCTCCGCACGGGAATTCCGAAGGGGTGGACGATCGACGTGCAGTTTGCCGACGAACTCGACGAACTCCTCATGGACGACCTGTACGAGCTCGCGGACACGATGCAGGAGAACGAACGCAAGGACGAGGGCGACAGGCAGTGGTTCATCCTCAAGCCTGGGTTCGCGGACCGCGCGCAGGGTATCCGTCTCTTCTCGACTGAGGACGAGATGCGCGCGATCTTTGAGGAGTTTGAGCCGCCAAGTGATGACGAGGAGGAGGAGGGGGACGAGTCCGATGCCGGCTCTGGTGATGGACGGGGCGAGGGGCTTGAGGAGCGGACAGAGAAGTTGCGCCTCGGCGACGACAGCGACGAAGAGGGCGGCACGGCCGTGATGACCTCGCACCTGCGCCACTTTGTGATCCAGGAACTCCTCCCGGACCCCGTACTTTTCGACCTGAAGCAGACAGGCGAGGGACACAAGTTCCACCTCCGCGCCTACGTCCTCGTCACGGGCAGCTGGACCGTGCACCTGTCGCGGACGATGCTGGCCCTCTTCGCGGGTGCGGTGTTCACCTCCCCCTCGAGCGGGGGTGAGATCGACCTCCAGCCCCACCTGACGAATACGTGTCTGCAGGTGAGTACACTGGTCGCTCCAGACCTCTCCGTCACAAGTGACGGACCAGCTGTGAGAGTGCGAAATGGTAGCTGACGGCAGACGGACGCCTTCGGCGCCCCCGTGCCCGAGGACGACCTCGTGCGTCTCTTCTGGTACCTAGAGGGCGAGGACGCACTCGCATACACAAAGGGCAGCTACGCCTCGCGCGGCCGCGTGACTCGCCCGTGGCTCGACAGTGTCTTCGCGCAAGTCGGTGACGTGTGCGCCGAGGCCGTGCGGGCCGGCGCCGAGTGTGGCTCCTTCGGCCTTCAGCTCATGCCGAACGCGTTTGAGATCTTTGGCGTGGACCTCGTTCTCACCTTCCCCCCCGACGCGGCTGTTGGGGGCGATCTGCCCATTCCCCGCGTCTCGCTCCTCGAGTTCAACGCGTCGCCCGACTTTGTCCAGAGCGGAGACGCGCTCCGGCCCCGCCTGCTCGAGCTGTTCAAGGGTGTCGTGCATATCTCCGTCGCGCCATTCTTCGGTCTGCAAACGATCGATACCGAAGAGGAGGACAAGAAGCCCGAAGACTGGGAGATCGGGGAGGAGCACTTTGAGTGGAGACTCGTGGGCAAGGGTCAGGTGCGAGGGCAGTGGGCTTAATAGAGGCTATGTACAACACTTGCATTTACATTATCTACAGTGCATGGTTCAGACGCGGGTGCGCTTCGTCCCGCTACTGTAGTCCAGTCCGGGGACGCGCTCGTTGATGACGGAACGGTATGTGCCGTACAATTCCTCGGCCTCGAGCAGGCCCTGTGTGTCAGTTACATGCAAGCGCAGTGGTGAACTTACCTTCTGCTTAATGCGGTTCAAGCACTCTGCCTTGGTGCCCTCGCCATCCCAGATGGTGAGCTCAGAAATGAGGATGCGCACTGCGTCGATGTGCGTGCTGAGGACCGTGGGCGGGAGCTCGATCTGGGGCGTCTTCGACCAATCGTAGTGACTGGGGATATTGAGGTGCACGTCCAGATCGATGAGCATCTCCTCTCCGTCGTCGTAGTCGAGGTTGATAAGGCCGTCATCGTATGCCAAAGTGCTTTCAAGAGTGTTCTCGACAGCAGAGGGAGGCGTTGGCGGCAGCCTTCCGGGAGGCGTAGGAGGGTGCGGAGTCGAGTCCTTCGGGTAGTGTGGGTCGGGAGTCACAGGGCGGATACGCTTGCGAGCCTCGGGAGGTGGCGACGTCGCAATCATCGGTGTCATCGGAACGGCAGAGGCGCGGGGTAGCTCAGGTCCAGCAGTGACCAAGTATGGCCCGCAGTCGAGCAGCTTGCCGGCACTGATGCACTTGTCGATCCACTCCTTGGCCACGACACTTGACCCGGGTTTGCGAGGGTGACGCTCGCCTCGGATTGCAGAAAGGAACGTCGAGTTGCGTGTCTGGCCAGGCTGCGTGCGGAGAATGACATAATCCGCCTCCTTCGATTCGCCCATTCGTCCACCATGGCGCTTGATCCTGGCCACAAGTCCGTCTCGGGCCCCTGAGAAGTCCATGAAAACAAGTGGCTCAGCTGCGCAGAAGATCTGGGAAACACTGGACTTCGCCGGGGCAGTCTTCTTAAGCGTGCTGGACGCACTCGGCTTAGAAGAGGAGGTGATCCTCTTGCCCTTCACCTTGTACTGCTTCCTTCCCCCTGATACGCCGCCTCCACGGCTGTAATCTCGGTCTGCGCGATGACAATCTGGAGCGCGGCCCATGTGGAAAGCAGACACAGACAAAGGCTGTCTCTGGGCATCCCATGCAGCGGAGCGGAACAGACGCCCAGGAGACCGGGGACGACCAAAGTCGGGACCGGTTCGGAGATCGGGACGCATGTCGTCTTGTGGCTTTTCGCGGCGGGCTCGAGAGAAGGCCGAGTCCCTCTCGGACCAAGGAACACGGTACCCATCGAGTTCGCGGAAGCGCCAGGGCGAGGTCTTGGGGTCACGCGAGGTCGGTTTGCTCGGTGTAGAGACGGAACGAGAGCTGGCATTCTACACCAGTCCACCAGCCCTGTTGAAGCTGAACCGCCTGTCCTCGTTCATGCGGCGGTTGATCTCGTCGTGGTGTGCAAGCTCGGCAGCAGTCGGGCGTGGACGTTGCCATGAGGGAGGAGAGAGAGGCCGGGCTGGCAAGGGAAATGGCGATCGGGGCCGTGCGCTGGGAGGTCGGGGCGGTAATACTGGCTCGCTCACGACCCGCATAGGCGGAACGCACCAAGGAGGAGTACCGGCGCGCTGACGAGGTGGCGACGGCGCAGGAGGCGAAGCGGGAGTCGGCTGTGTTACGGGCTCCTTCCTCCAGCCAAAGCCGAAGCCGTACTCATCAACGCGCACACCCCAAGTCCACCTGCTCTGGTCTTCGCTGGTAGCAATTGTGTTCTCCTCTGGACGAGGCTTGTCCCACTCAGGGTACTGCCAGCCCTCGACGCATTCGACATACCAGCCGCAGTCATGGTCGAGCACGCGGCCAGCCTTAATGCACTCCTTCAGCCAGCAGCGCTGAACGACGAGCTTGGAGGCGACGGAAGAGCGGGTACAGGAGATTGGGAGGATCTCGCCGTCCTCTACAACAGCGGCAATGTCGGAGACTTCATCGTCATCGTTGTCGTCGTCTTCGACAATCTTGTCCTCGTCGTCACTTTGATCGTCGGTATCGGTATTGCCAGGTGCACAGACCAGTCGCTGATCGGCAGCAAGTCCCATCAACTCGTCGAGTGTCCAGGTCCAGTCGCGAGACCAGCGGTCCCAGTTGCTGAGGCTGCTGTCTAAACGACGCTGATGGATGTAGAACTTGCGCTGTTCGGGAGCGGTGCGTTCAAAGGGAATGTCCACCAAGACATAGGCGGCGAGGAGGGGAGAGGTCACCAGTGTTCCACCGTTGCTCTGTAGTTAGAGAGAGCCATTCTCTCGAGCCCAGGAGAGGCCAAGAACAGTATGCTGGATGGAGGGAGTGGCCGTGTCCAGATGAGCACACGAGGTGGTGTACACACAGGATGGGAAGCCAAGGTTGCAACAGGGATCGGCTTGCTGACCACCGTACACACAGAATGCACCGTCTTCCAGGTTCAAGAGAGGTTACTCACTGTGATCATATCACAATCGGCTGCGAAGTGGTGAGTCGGACGATGATGTTGGTGCACAAAGAAGCTGAGGCCGCGAAAGACCCCGCCAGTGGGCCCAGGCATGGTGGAACGCGCAGCAGCTTTCAGTACAGAACTGAGGAGGGAAGAAGGGTGACGGAGGATAGAACCGGGCTGGTAGCGGAAGTGGGAGCAGGGCGTCGGAGAGCTTGAGAGAGTGCTTGGGGTGCTCGAAAGTCAAGGCAAATGAAGCGGGTGGGAGGTCGAAGAGGATGGGTAAAAGTTGAAAGAGCTGACTGGACTGGTGTACAGAGACATCGAGACCGCGCGCCTGGCGCGCCTGGCACCCGAGTGAGTTGCGTACCGCATACGGCGAGCAGGCGTGCATGACTGTGGAGGGCCGATGGCTCATTAGTGTGATCGCTGGTACGCCGCTCGCAGTCGCTCGATTGGCCTCCTTTCCACTCAATGGCCGCTGGCGAGGGCGCAACTAGCGCGTGTACCGTCGACCGCTCACCGGATTACCGGATTACTGGCCTCTGGCTGTTCGCGCTCCTTCGATCAATATAAGTCAATGCATCAATGTCTCCCGTTCCGGCACCGTCTCGTGTAGGCCGATCAGCCCAACTGAGCGAGCTTATTCGTCGACGTCGAGCATGATGCTGTCGGACGATGCTCGACCCCCTCCCGACTGCTCAAGCTTGAAGATGGGTCACTAAATCACTGGAGTATGCGTCCTCTGACCCTCCGGAGGAACAGGCACACAAAGGTGAGGTCGCGGTCGCGTGACGAAGCCCGCAATCTTCCACTACGCGCGCCCCCGGGCGCCCTCTGCGCCCCTCCATTTCACCACCCCCACTCGCTCCTAGCGCGCGCCCCGTTCATCACCAACTCGCACTGTCCACACTACATGAGATCCACACTCGTGCGCTCAGCGCTGCAAGCAACACACCCTCGCTCAGTCTTCGCACCTCGTATGCATCAACTTGGAAGTTTCGCCCTCCGCTTCAGTGAGAGGAAAGCACAACAATGGACTGGGGGGTAGGACTGTGGAAGACGCAATTCGGTGGTGCATTTCCGCGCTTCCAGCACTCAGCTCCCGCTGAGGCACGCGGGCACAAAGTCCCCTACATACCAGGCCACGGCAAAGCGAGACGCCGCACAACTGACCATTGCCTGATCAGTGGGTGATGTGGTCAACAGTGCCATGGTTGCGGGCCCCGCCGCATTAATGTCGTGACGTGCTCTGTGCAGAGACACACAGGAAAGGAATACATGAATACACAACTTGGTTTACTCTAATGAAGGATCTATGATATGAGGGAACGATACAGGTGTCTATAAGATGCGTTTGTTAGACAAGATGTTGTTTATGAAAGGGTCGATGCAGTGCATGAGTTGGTACAGTGTGAAGATGCAAATAGTCCGCAGAGCTCAGAGGGCATTTGGCCAAGGGGCGGAGCTGGGAAGGGCACCCGCGACGGTCCTGGGCGCGGCGAGCGTTGGAGCGCAGCTAGCGCAGAACTGGCAGCCGACTCTGTCCCGAGGAGCGATGAGGGCTGGGCATAGGGGCCTAGCTAGTCCCGAAGTTCGCCAGCTCGCGAGGTGCGACACGCAAGTTGGCCATTCTTGCCGTCAACGGCGATTCGACGTTGTCACCGTTCCGCGGGTCGACCACTGCGCCTGGCCCGGCGTCAGGTGGCGAGTCGGGCGGCAGTGGAGTCGGCAAAGGGGTCGCCTCCAGCCGGCCCAGATCCATAATGAAACTGGGTCTCGTATGGACAAAGCTCTACATCATTGATCGTCACATGGGGGCTCAGGAGCCGAGGCAATGACACGTGCCTTCCGCCCTAGTGCTGTAAGGTAAACACAACACCAACAACAACAACGAGGCGAGACGTTTGCTTCAACATTCATCACTGTCTCTCGCCTGATGTCCCGCCGCAGCCCCGTTTATTCTATCTGTTTCCCTCGAGTAGATTGGACTTCACCGGGGGCGATCTGTCACCCGCCTTTCACCGCAAGAGACTTCGGCAAAGAAGTCTGTTGGGCAGCACGCGCCGCCAGTCGCGCGTGGGCGGATGGGACAGCTCTCAGATTGAATCAGGATGATCAAGCGGTCGCCTTTCGACTCGCCGTCCTTGACAAAGTGCTTGAGTGGTAAGTGCAAGAGCACGATCGCGCTCGCTGCTGACGTCAGGAATCTTCAGGATCTGATTGCCCGCATTCGCACGACTCCTAGGCCTTCGCGCACCTTTGAGGAGTGGTCTGAAAGCACGGATCAGTACATCAGGAAAGCATACAGTCTTGTGAGTTGTTTCCCTTACAAGCAAAGTCTCCGCCTAACTTTCAGGCCGTACCCGCCGCAGCTGAGAAGGGTATCACTGTTCTGCCTCTGGAAGCGATCCTTCCTTTTCTCCGCCACGCGATGCGGGAATGCTTGACGTACCACGACGCCGACTACGGAGGAGAACTTGCAGGCGAACCGCAGCTGAATGAGTCTACGTTGGTACCGTTCACGAGCAAGATGACGGGTTTCACGGTCTACCGCTGCGTAGACCTGCACGATCCCCACTTTGCCCGCTCGAAGCTGGTCGTCAAGCATTACCCTGGCCAGCCTCCCATTGGCCCTTTACCTCTCCCGCCAAAACTCGAGGAAGCGGAGGTGATAATTTGTGAGCCGGCAACATCGGCGTCGGCAACATCGGCGCCGCATGCGTCGTTGACGCCTAAGGCGGCGCGGACGCGCGATTCGTCACCGACACCGACACCAACACCGAAGGCGGCCGCCCGGGTGCTGCATGGCTCGCCGACACCGAAGGCGGCGCCCAAGCCTTCACACCGGTTGCCCACGCTCCTTCCAAAGTCCTTGCCCACTCCCGAGTACCCATCCTCATTTCCACGGACAGACTGGAAACTGCTTGGCGCCATAGGACTCCCGCCTTTCACCGCCGCCGAGCTCGGCCGGGAAGTCCGCTGGGCAGCGCGCGCTGCCAGTCGCGCGTGGGCGGATGGCACAATCGTCGACTTGGACCCGGTCTACCAAGGGCTTGCATTCCGGCTCAGCGTACTTGACAAGGTTTTCGAATGGTGAGTATCCGGGCGTTTTTTCAGAACAATGCTGATCTCACAGGAACTTGATGGATTTGTTGGCTCGCGCGAACGCCTTCCCGACGCCACCCCGCACGTTCGCCGAATGGTCGGATGCGATAGAGAAGCATATCATATCAGCTTACAGTCTCGTGAGTCATCCCTTGCGCAGCGTGCACCACCTGCGTCGCAGATTATCTAACATGCAGGCCGTGCCTGCTGCAGCCATCGCCGGCCTTCCCGCTCCGTCACTGGAGTCGATCTATCCGTTCCTTCGCGCGGCGACCCGGCAGTGCTTCTCATGCTATGACGCCGACGACTGGGAAGGTCGGAAGGGCGAGCGCCGGTTGACCGAGGCCGAGTTGCAGCCTTTCACAAGCAAGATGACGGGCTTCACGGTGCACGGCATTGTGCCCCTGTATGACAGCCCCTACGTTCGCTCCAGGGTGGTCGTCAAGCATCATCCCGGCCATCCCCCCATCGGTCCACTGCCTCTCCCGCCAACAGCCGAGGGGGAGGAGGTGGTGTTCTACCAGTTCCCGGCGCCGGAGGGGCTTCCAATGCAGACGCCCGAGGCGGTGTCCCCGACAGGGCAGTCGTCGTCTGCCCCGAAGGCGTCGACCTAGGCGTCGACCCGGACGCTGCACTCATCGTCGACCAGGAAGGCGGCTGCCAAGGCGTCACACAAGTCGCGAGAGGCCGCCGGTGCCAAGGACAAGATGAGCAGCATTGGCAACACCGAACACTGAGCGGCGTTGTCGGCGTTGTCGGCATTGTCGGACGGGCATGCTTCGAGCAGCTTACGTGGCTGAGTCTTCAGTTCCGGGGGAAAACGAGAGTGCAGGCGTCGTTGTCCCAGATGATCCCGGGAGGGAAACGTAAAGGAGCTACGTTGTGTATCGTTCGTATCCAAAGTTCTTGTAGCACTATTTTCTAATTATTATGATGTGACGCTTCAGTTTGCCTGCCCTCCATTCTTGGTCACTATCGTTGATGCCATAGGTGCATCGTGGGTCGGCGTGAAGGGAAGCTGATGTGGTGGGAGTAGCTGGCCAGATGTCAGCGGGTGGGTGCACGCCAATCCCCCAGGGGTTGTGTCACGAATTGTGTTTCTTCGTTGTTGTGGACAGCCTTGCATGCATTGCTCTGACGAAAAAGTTCAGTATGGACTGGGGGGTAAGAGTGTTACGCCTCGTGCAAATTCACAGATTACATAGGTCCCAATGTGAAAGTTCCAGGGTCAGTGTGACCAGCTATGGACAAGTGTGATTGGTTGTCGAGTTCAGAATCGAAGAGAGTACGACCTGGTGGGAAGGAGCTTGCCGGCCCTGAGGCTCTCCTTGACCCATTTGACGGATACTGCCAGCGGGCAGCTGGTGACATTGCCCTTGACTGCTGACTTCGAACGCGAGAGGACGTTGGTTGAGCGGATGACGAACGTCGAGTCCCACTCAGGAGCAAGCTCGCCGCCATGGTCCAGAATACTCATCGCCATCTCGGCGCGGCTATCGTCATCCAAGTGAAACCTCAGGGGTGAGCCGTCGTGATCGCAGAAGAGGTCTGGTGAATAGGCCGGCCCAGCCGTAGAGAAGGCCGAGGTGGGAGTGGTGGTTAGAGCCGGTGAGGGGTATGGAGCCCGGGCGGCCTTGTGTGGAGCAGCCGAACGGAGCTTGCTGCCCCTGTCAGATGGGGCGCTGGAACTAGGCGCAAGCCCTACTGCGAGAGGAACTTCTGGGCTAGAGCTGCGGGACTGATCGAGGAAGGTTTGCGGATCGCTGCGTTTGGTGAACTTGAGCTTCGAAAGATCGAGCCGGGATCGTTTGGGGATCGAAACTGATAAGGGCGGGTTTCGTAACCCGATGGCCTGGGTAGTCGAGGACGAGCGACGGCGCTTCCTCCTGTCGTCCATGTCTGGCAGTTCCCCGACCGTAGTGGTCCGGACGCGCGCAGTGTTGGGAATCTTCTTCGAGGTGGCCGGAGTGCGACGGCGGTGAGATGTCGATCTCAGAAAGGCTGGCTGAGAGGAAGAGAAGGCTGGAGGGAAGGGTGTGGTCGTGGTGGACTGAGACAGCGGCGAGATGGAAGGTAGTTCGGGAGAAGGTGTGCTGTCAGTGATGCTGAGGAAAGGCACGGCGGAGTCGTCAGGTGTTGCTGCTCGGGTTGGGCACCGGGGGGAAGTCGGCGGAGAGAAGAGAGAGTCGCCCAATGGCGAGGAAGGTACTGTGAGCGCAACATCGCCCTGATCGGGCATGTTGCGGGTCTCTTGAGACGCGATGTCAATGTTGCAGGAGACGGACCGTGTGGTGTTGGCCGGCGCTGACTGCGGCGGAGGCGTTGAGCTGGCAGCACGGACTGCCTGAGGGTTGTCGCCTTTACCAGCGGCTGAGGCATGCATGGCCCTAAGTGTTAGCGTCATTGGCGGGGCTCACTTACTTGACTAGCCAACCTCCGCAATCCTCGACAGGGCCGAGAATCCTTCCTCTCTCGCAGCACTCGATCACCCACGCCGACTGGACGACTGTGATTTGTCCCTGGCAGGACTGTGCGACTCGAACCAGGTCGTCGAGAGTGAAGTCCTTCGCCAAGCCCGGAATTGGACGGCCGCCCTTTATCTTGTGGGTATAGTTGCGGCGCTCACGCTCCATTGGAAGCTCTACGACATAGTGGGTGACACGGTCGCTGAGTGGGTGGTGGACAATGTTGCCACCACACATCTGTCGTGTTAGCCATGTCCCGTCATGGTGCTGTTGACTTACGCGGAGGAAGCGCACGTCTTCGTCTACCGACAAGGAAGACCGGCTGCAAGACTGCACATAGAAATGACAGCCACGGAATATGCCTTCCTGAGACACAATGTCAAAGTCAGCCATGGTTGGAATGTGTTGAGGTCGCAAAGGAGATGTGAGATCGAAAGGAGTTGTGGTGGCGAGGAGTGGGCCTTGGACGTTTGCTGATGGTGGAGAGACATGGAGGAAAGACGTGAAGGAAGTGCTGGCTGAGGACAGCGGTTTATATGCTCGTGTCGGGGGGCGGCTGCGCCTGTGTATCCTTGAAAGGACTCTATCGCCGGGGTGACAAGCGCTGACTGGCGGGGCGACTGAGGGCAGGCGGGCCAGGCGGCAAGACTGCACCCATGGACACATGAGGAGCGCTCATCTCGCAGAGTCTCTGGGAAGGCAACGAGGAAGACCAAACCCGGCTGTGGTTAGAGGAGGGCAGTGATAAGTTGATGGGTGCGTCACCAGGAGCCCATGTCCTCGCGATTGCAAGGGGAACTGGCTGATGACACAAGCATGCAGCGATCAGTGCGTTGGCCGGGGTGTCCAGGGCTCAGCCACGCCGTCTGTCATGCTGCCGCCCGTAGATCGCAGACGACCCGTGCGCCCCATTTCCCAGTCTCTCTGGGAACCCTGCACGGCCTGCACTGCGCCGGCTGCGAGCCGGGATTCCTGGGAGACCCCTGTGGAGCTGAGTGCACGGCGCGATCGAAAGGGACTCAGCTCATAGACGCAGGTTGACACATGAAGCTCGCCTTGGCGGGGGCGCAGTCTAGTGCTCAGACCTTGCGGCTCCCAAATCCCAAAACCCCCCTAGGCGGGAACCTCAGCCTTCGACCGCGCCACCAGCGCCTCGGCAGCCTTAAGACCTTGCGTCTGCGCGTCTCACCCGTGTCGCGCGTGTCGCCAGCGGCCAGCGGAATACCGGCTGATCTGGTATATGGGCTGAAGAAGGATGCTGTCAGATCAGGCCCAGTGGTGCTCTCAGGTGCCCCCGGGGCAAAGCAGTGCCTCCTGCTCCTTCCGAGGTCATTGGCGGCCGGCGCCATCAACGCCCCTCACGCTGATGATTCGCGTCTCTACATTGATCAGCCTACTCGCACTTGGCACCTTCCTGTTCTAGCTCCTCCACTTCAGCCGGTAATCACATTGGACTGCGGTCTGGACAACCACACGCGGTCGGCCACACCGGCCGTCTCTCACCCACCTCCACTGGAGCAACTGTCAACTCACCACCCGATGCCCACAACTCAACACACCTTCCCTGTCATTGTCAAAACAACATTCTACCGCCCTTCACTGACCATGGCCAGCTCGAAACGCCTCTTCGAAGGCCTCAACTTCTTCTTGCAATACAGTGATAGGCCAAAGGAAACCTTCTTCAGCGACTTGCGCCTCATCCGTGTTGGTCTTCCCCCATCTCGCGAACGGTTGCTAATGGTCGGCAGAAGAACGATGGTCGCACAACTCGCTTCCCCCTCAACTCGAAGCCTACACACGTCGTGGTGGACATCCCAGGCCAGTTCCGGTTTCACACCTATTCTCTACCAGCCCACCCGCCTCCATCAAACGAACCGCCAGTGAAGTGGTCGCTGGATCAGCTAATGGAGCACTTCACCAGCCCCGAGACAGATGACGAGGTCATCGTGGTCCAAAGGCAATGGATCACTGATTGCATTCGACACGGGAAGCTTTTGGCAGCCAGCGATGAGTGGGGCGGGTGGAGAGTGCGGTAAGTCCAACAGCTATACAGCTGAGGCTAAACGACATCAGGAGCAGGCGTCGGCGCTCGAGTCCCGAGCCTCCTCAAGACTTCTCTGAAGTCCCTGGTACCGGTGAAGCAACCACAACCAAAGACAGCGCAAGACCTTTTAAACGCCCTCGGATGACGCGCAGCGCGAGCGAAACCTCTCCGCCGAGGAATCTTCTTTCGCTCAAGGAGTTCCGCAACAGGCGCCCGGTCTCGTTCCTTCAAGACGACACACTGGCGGAGAGAATGAGTCGCAGCCATTCTCCGACGCCTACACAAGCTCATCGCATGAGCTCAGAACAGCCAGCACCTTTACTGATCCGTATTCCCCGCTTCAAGCCCATCGCAGACTCAAACCCCACTCCGGGACCCTCCGTGTCTTCCTCGGCACGACCTTCGCCACCGACCGGTGACTCACCGGCTGTGTCACATTTCACCCAAGCCTCTGAGGCTGCCCCCAACCCCAACTTCGTGGTCGACACAGTGTCTGCGCCAGAGCCGGAGTCAGACAATTCATTTGTCTTAGAAACGCCTGACACTTTGTTCGAACCTGCGAGGGACTCACTGCTCAGCGTGTCCTCAGTTTCGTTACATCTTGACTCTGCCGAAGCAAATCCGGCCATCGAGTCTTCAGGTACCGACAAATGAAGAGGTCGAACCACCATTCGCAATCATCCAGCGCCTACGGCTCGGCTCTGTCACGACAATGACGCACCTGTGGGAACAGCAAGCTATTCCCCCTGAGAAAGCCTCTTTGACGTCGGGGGCGGGGACCACCGAGCTGAGCACTGACGACTTGGCGTCTGAAGCACCTTCTGAGGAACCAGCATCTGGTCTTGACGATTCAATGCCCTCCGAGCTGCACTCTGGTGCTGCTGCCGCTGTCAACGAGCCTGCTGCTCCTGATAAGGAGTTGGGTGTCCAAGCAGATCAGGTGGAACTCAGCGGCAATGCCGCTTCGCGGTCTGGATCGCTCTCAACGGACCTCAACGAGGCTGAAGAGAAGTTGGCAGTTGAAGACCAGGGCTCCAGCGGAGAAGATGAGTTGTCCAGCCTTGGTGCATCGCACACGCACGACTATCAGGCTCTTGGAGATCACATCCAAGGCGGCGGCAGCAGCAGCGCCTCGGATGTTGTCAGAAGATTAGTGGCAGACATGGTCATGGATGTCGAGCAGCAGGTCGAGGCCGTTCTTCAAGCAAACCACTCCATCAGCTCTCCTGTTCACTCTCCGCCACCGATCCCCAACACCCCCGCGCCCGTTCGACCGACCGGGGTGTTCGGTCTGTTCTCTTTCGGTCTCACGCACCCTATGTCCTTCTTCGTGACCGAGGGAACCGAACCAGGTATTCCCAGAATGATCTCGGTGAGTCCAGGTCATCGGCTCATGCTCACCATCAGATGGCGGGTGGAGCCCAAGTGGCCCTCGAGAGGGCGCGCTTTATCATCGTGCCCGGTGCCGCTGGTGCAGAGCTGCCCCGGGAGCTGCAGGCATTGGCCAACGGCGAAGGCATCGCGCCCTGGGGCCGCGTCGTGCACGAACAATGGATCAAGCACTGTTTCCGCGACCAGTCCGTCCTCAGCCCAGACGACTACCTCGCACGCCCCTCGGCCGCGCCAGCCAGCGACGTGGAGATTGAGTCCATCAGCTCTGATGACGACGACGAAGCCTCGGACGTCCCGCCGCGCGACGTGCTGGTCCGCGTGAACAAGATCATCAAGGCCGTGCGCGACTGGAGAGCCGGCAAGGGCAACACCAAGACGACGTACAAGACAGTGTACAACTTTGTCGACAATTTGTCCAGTTCCCAGGTAAGCTTCAAACTACGTTGTGTGAAGCTGACAAGACGCAGGGCATAAAGGGTGCCGCAAACCTCTATCGCACGTATAGGGCTTACATCGCCCGCGTCGCGCCCGACGTGGCTAAGGCGCCCAAGTAGTTCTTCTCATTTCTGACCTCTTCTGTGTATGTACTTTAGGTCGTTTCGTGTTTGTAGAATAGCTCTTTTGTTGTAGACAAGCCGAGAGACGGCATATGACAGTCTGTGCATACCTGTTAAACCTCGGTGCACAGCGTGGTCATGGTGTAGCGTGATCGTGTCTGGATGGTAACTGGCAGCAGTCAGCGGCCCCGGTGACGAGCACAAGTTATGCGTTACTGTCCCACATGTGCCACGACACCCACCGCCCACCTCGCATCCACTTCGGAGTTAAGTCAAATGAGCTATGATACAGATGCATGCTGAGTTCGCTGTTCTGTTCCTATCGTACTTTTGTCCATATGTTACACGGTGTCTTTGAAGGAGACGAAGAAATCTCGACGACTCGAGTGATCGTGGGTCCTCTCGCTTCGTCTACTCCTTCCTGCTTTTCTCATCGATACACATGGTCGTGCTGCGCTCTCCTGATCCACTGAACGTGCTGCGGTCGGCTGCCTCTCGCACTCGGCTGTCGAGGCTGTCGCCTACGGCGACCGCAGGCAGTTGGCTCGCCCCAGCTCGCGCTGGCTCACTGCACCCTTGCCCTCTTCTTGTACGGCCTCCTAGCCCTGAGGTCGGGCACGTTCTTCTTGATGTACTCCTTGTACGTGTAGTAGAGCTTGCGCGCGTTGGGAATGCCGACGTCCCGGCTGCAGCGCTCAAGCTGGTGTCGGATCGGGCCGCGCTTGTCCCATTTCAGCAGCTCGTCGACGAGCCAGTACACGTTCGAGATGTCAGCGTCGGTTGGCTCGCGCAGGGGGGCGGAGGCGGCGCGGTCGCGGTCGCCGTCGGTCCCGTCGCCATCTCCGTCGTCGGCCTCGTCGCCCGAGCCGATGTACGACTCGTCGTCGCTGTCGTCCACGTCGATGACCATGTCTTCCTCGGGCTCGGGCTCAGGTGCGGGGGCCGGGCGTTTGGGCGCGCGGCTCTTGGTTGCCTTGGGAGACTCGATTTCAGCGGACGGGAGGGTGGCGCTCTTGCGCTTGCGGCTTGGAGCGCTTGGGCTGATCGAAGCGACCAGGGCCACGGGAGAGGGCTGTGCGCTTGGGACACTAGCAGGCGGGTCGACAAAGTACTCACGCACGTTCTGCAGCTCATCGTTCAGGAAGCTGTCGTGCAGCCACGCTTCGTCCACGACCACCGCCCACTGCGGGACGGGGCCCGGAAGGCTGCGTTTCGTGGCATCACTGGAAACAATGACATAGTCTGCGTCGCACAAAGGCACCTCTGACGCCTTTCCGAGCTGCAAGTTAGCTAATGCAAGAATGAGCAAGCTTACTGCGACGATGTTGCGAGTCCCTCGCTTTAAGCCTTCACTGAGGAACATGCGGAGAGGCATGGGCGGATCCCTGGGTGCGAGCAGACCAGGCTCAGCGCGCTCAGGTGGGCGTGGAGCTGCCTGGGCCGCAGCAGCAGCGATCGGTGCGCTAGGCGGCACAGTGGTTGCGGGAGTCACCGGTGTCGGCAACGTGTTTGCTGGCGGGGCGGCAGGAGCCGGGCTGGGCTGGCTGACCGCTACCGGAGCGGGTTGCGCTTGCCCGACAGGCACTGCACTGCTCTTGTACGTCATGGAGGTCGATGACAAGACTGGCGAAGGCAAGGGAGTCAATGACGCGGATGAGCGATTCGACGCAGTAGTCGAAACAATCAGCGCAGCCTGGGAAACTACAGGCTCCCCTCCAGAGACAGAAGATGCCTTTAAGACCGCGGCTGGAGCGGGCGCAGCTTTGGAAGTAGAGGGAGCAGGCGCTGCTGCGGCGGTTGCGGTCGTAGTTATCATCGTCGCTGGACCTGAGGCTCGAAGCGAGGTAGGCCCCGGTGGTGGGCTAGAGGTCGTAAGACGACTCCATGGCGCTGGGCCCTTTCCGTCAGTTGACGCCTTGCCCCCATTCGCAGTGGCCGTCGCAGTCGCCTCTTGTTGACCCGAAGGTGCACTACTCTGCGCCGAGCGCGGAACGTAGCAACTCGAGGGTGCCGTCTGGACACTCTGATTTTGGGCAGAGGGAATGCTGACCGTGATAGGAGGAACGGCAGGCTTGTGCGCCGGCGCGGGGCCGTTTAGGGAGGTTGATCCCTTCAGGTCACGGCTTTCGAGGCTTGTGGGGCTTTGGGGGCTTTTGGGGCTGGCTTTCACAGAAAGCCCTACGGGAGACTTCGGCGGCGATGGGCGTGGCGTCTGGTGCGGGGAAGGCGTGAAAGAATGGATAACGCGCTTCTTAAGGCTTTGGCGGTTTCTTAAAGGCTCGTCTTCCTCGGACGACTCGCTTTTCGCAGGCGAGGGCCTGCGACGATCGTCGTCTTGTGTGTCATTCGCGGATTTCAGCTGCTTGCCCTTCAGTCTAGGATCCTTCGAGATGTCCCTCACAGGACCGGCGTAGGTACTCTTCACGCTCGGGTTGCTGGGTAAACGTTCACGTCCTGTGAATGGTCGACTTGACGGACGGCCCATCTCGCATCTGCCGTCAGCTTCGTAGGAATCGGTACACGCCCAACTCACTGGATTCGCCACCCACCCCAGGACTCGTTAGGCCCCAGACGCCTCCTGGCACTGATAGACTCATACAGCCATTCAGACTGCACGACCCTCGGGTTCCTCTTGCCTACCTGATACGTGAAGTAGTACAGGAGGTGGTCGCACGTCCACTGGTGACAGTCCTTGGGCGGGCTGTGCGGTGGTTCGTCGAAGGTTCGGATGAAGTATGGTTGAGGTTTTGGGGAAGGTAGCGAGACTATGCAGTGCGTGATTCTTGGATTGTCGGCATTGACAGTCGCTGACCCACCATGCTGCTGTCGTTGTCAGCCATATCCTCCTGGGCGATGCCATCAAGGGAGGAAGGCGGGACTCTCACCTGGATTGTGCGGATGTCTCTTCCTACATCTCTTGATGGGCGGTCCTTCACCTGGACAAAGATGTACAGGCCATCGAAGAGGCCCATGGTGGACACAGGGGGAGGAGATAGTGACGGGGAGGATGAAGTAAGACTGCCAGGCTAGTCGGGTTGCTTATAAGTGCAATGTCAAGAATTCGCTTGGCGGTTGTCGAGGAGTCGTCGGCAGGCAAAATGTTGTGTGTGGGACGTGGGTCTGCCGTCGATGGCCCGTGCGCCGGACTCCAAGGTACCAAAGAGACCAGGAGGCGAGTCTGTGTCAAGTGACTTGTGCCATCACAGTTTCACTCCCAGACACGCACACCTGACCGCACCGCAGCAACCTTCGCACTCCAAACGGTGCAGCTCCGTGTTCTGCCGGATGTGAGAAGTCCTCGATGTCATACTGCATGCGCAGCGACCGTAGTGCACGTAGTGTGCGCACGCCGCGGGTGAACTGTGGAATACACAAGAATCCAAAAGATCAAGCGCTCGGGCCGTAGTGCATCCCGGCTGATCCAGTGAGATCCCTCGTCGCGAGGGCGTATTGTGTTTTCAGGGATCCACACTGCGCCCCCGCACAGATCTCGCGCCCACTCACCTGGGAATCTGGGGACCATGTCGCGGTGACTTGATCGAAAACACGATGTGAAAGTGGGGACGACGAAAACGTGTGTCAGGCATGGCAGGCGTAGTGCAGGTTTTGCATCGTCGAGACGTCCGTAGTCGCGTAGTCTGGGGGAGAGGTGAGAGTGCGAGGCGCAGTGCGAGGCGCAAAAGACAGAGGAGAGCTGAGAGAAGGCGCCGTGAGACACGTCAATGACAGCCCGCACAATAGCGCTGGAGTTTCCGATCGACAACGGCCATTGTCTGTGAATCCGTGGGAAAAGACAAAGGTCAGTGAGTGAGCAGATAATGGTTGCGATAAGACGCCCGGGTTGGGGTGCAGCTGGAATACGGTGGACGAGATCGCGGCCGAGAGTTCGTCTCAGACACGGCTGATTCGCGCGACTCCGAGTGGCCACTGTCTCGTCTGCGGGGTTTCGGGTTCCTATTAATGCATGCTGTCTTCTGTTGTCGGCGGCCGTGTTAGCCATTCTCGTATGGGTAGGTGGGTAGAGGTTCGATACTGCTGATGGCCGAGCTTAGCCGATGAAGCGGAAGTTGGCGCTCTGGATGGCGTACTGCTATCAGCTATCTGTCGTGCGCGGTAAGCTACCTTCGGCTGCATGCCCTCAGCAGCCTCGACGGGACGAAGAACGAACACCTCCCTGAACTTGCGGGGCATGTCGCTCGGGTCGACGTTGGGATTGTCGCCCGTCTTCATCACGGAAGGGCCGTGCAACACGCTTCCAGTGACGGTGAGAAGGAGCTCGGGCGCTCCAGCCTGTGCGCCTTCGACGGCTGCTGTCAGCTCATAACACTCGCAATAGCTTACCCTTCAGCGGATGGCAGTCGAGGGTTTGGCAATCGTGCCGGGATAGCGGCATCGCCTCGAGGAACGCGGTCATGCTCGCTGCATCGGCCTTGAGGGGATTGCCGTTCCATACAATCTTTGCAGTCGGTAAGAAGAACTGGGGAATTTCCTGCTGTCAGATGTCGACCGAGCCATGTATATCTCACGACAGCGCGGCGTGTCGGCTCGTCATACGCCTCGTAGTAGATCTGGCAAAACGCAATCGCACCGTGCGAAGCGGCGTCGATGGCGGACGACGACCATGGGCCCCTGTTTGTCAGCTTTCACGCAATCATGCAGCTCACGCTTGAGTCGTGTCCGCCATTTCGGATGAATGGAGGATGGATGGGTGAGTGTGAGGTGCTGAACGCTGGTGGCGGGCTCGATCGTTGAAGACCGCGAAATCTGGCTCTGGTGGCAAAAGTGGAGGTCCATGCTCGCGTGGCAGGACGTCAGCCAGGACCCTCTGCGTAGACCGTCACCGCACAGCTGGACCTGAAGCAGCAAAGGCGGTCATATGTCGGCCTTGTGTAAGGAAGCATTGCACTTGCATCGTCGACTGCGATGAACAACGCAGAGCTTGTCCGATTCACGATCCGCAGCCCTTGCTGATCAGTCGTGGTGAGTCTCATTCAGGCAGACTCTTCTGTGCGGTAGTGCTGGGCATGACATGACGGCTCGGTTCGTTCTCGATGACTTGCTTGCGAAGTTGAGTGTGCTTTTGCATAGAGCAAGTGTCAAAGCATGTTCCAACAGTCATGCAGAAGATCTCACAACCAGTTGTTCGAAGCAGCAGTCGCCTTCACGTGATCCAAACGTCGGAGTCAGCGTGGGAAGTCGAGTGCGCAGATCGTATCAGCTATCCTCCGCAACCAAAGCTCCGCCAGGCCGCCAGGCTCAACAGGCTCAGATTCACATCTTAGCTCTGTGCCTGCCTCGCGTAATCCAGTCTTGCTCATCTGTGCCCGTTGTTCTTGGGGTGCACTACCACCTCGGAGCATGCACACAGGCGTCCAGGTCATCCGGTGCACAGTTCTCTATATGTGCAGTGGCAAAACACACACGCACACAAGCCGCCGCTGCGCCAGTGCGCCTCATTAACCAACTCCGGCCCGAGTTCCGGAGGCTGGAACCAGCTGGGTGACAAAGAAACCTCGGAGGTCCGGATCGGTGTTGCAGCGATTTCGATTTCTCGTCGATAAGAAGGAATGCAAGTCATGGTTGGTCACGGATCTGAGTCAGCGTGTGTAGTTAGCAAGGGAGGCAGATTCGGGTATGGACGTGGTCCGGAGGTGACGTCGGGGGAAGGTGAGTCGATGATCTGGGTCGCGGAGCCGGTCTGTTCCGACTTCGTGTCCTGCGCATTCGCACACGTCTGCCCTTGGGTGTTGGGCTCTGGAATGCAAGCTTTTGCTCGGCCATGGCCGTGGGCATCGAGGGACATTCGTGCAGACCGGCGTCAGACATTTCGAGTCCGAAGCGAATGCAGACAGACCATCAGCCCGCTCTTTCCCCAATGTGTGAGACAGCGAGCACGCAAGCGAAGGGCGGCAACAGCCCATTGCCGCAGGAACCGAAGGAACCGAGGCTGAGGGCGTGGCTCTGCTCGTCTGCCTGTTTTAAGGCACGGAGAGGACCACTCCGACCAGTGAGGCCGCACGTCAATTCTTTTTTGGCCCTATTTGCCCCCGTCTCACTGCTGCTGATAACGAGATTTCTTTATTGACCTGGGTCCTCACGCGTGCCCCCCAGAGTTGAGAGCGAGCCTGCGACCCCGTCCGAACCCCCCTCTCATACGCTCACCCCACACTTGCACTAGCTCTCCTGTCACCTCACGCGACTATCTCTTCCTCTCTCGGACTCTCCACTCGACGGCGACAACAGTGGCGACAGCCCAAAGAACACAGTAACAAGGAAGACAACGACGGAGAATTACGACACCATGACTATCGAGCTCAACCCCGAGCGGACGAGGCGCGCGCTCGTGGTCGGCGGCGGCCCCGTCGGTGCGCTCACGGCGCTCAGCCTCGAGAAGCGCGGCTGGGACGTCGAGCTCTGGGAGGCAAGGGACGGTGAGTGTTCTCGGCGCCACTGTGGCCCGCTGGCTCTGCTGGGTATGCTCGTGTGCCCTCCTTCACACAAGGGCAGCAACGCATTCCGCGGCCTACCGAGCAGCCGAGCGGCGACAGCTCTCATCCTCCAAGTGCTAGCTGACAACAGACCCCCGCGGCCGCACCATTGCCATGACGAACCTGCGCAGCATCAACATGAACATCTCCTCGCGCGGCCTGGCCGCTCTGGCAAGCGTGGACCCGGCGCTTGCCGACCTGCTCCTCTCCGAATCGATTCCCATGCCTTCCCGCCTAATCCACCACCTGGACGGCCACCGGGAGGCGCAGCTCTACGACCCTCTGCGGGGCCAGTGTTCGAACTCGATCTCCCGCTCGGTCCTGAACCAGCGGCTCGTCGAGGCGCTGCCGAAGAGCATTCAGTGTCGATTCAACACCAAGCTCGTCCGTGTCGACTGGGCCAACAACGTGGCCTATGGGCGCGAGACGCGCCCCGGCGCGGCGTTGGGGACGGAACAGACCTCGGGTCTGGCCGAGGGCAGCGTCGAGGTGCCCTTTGACCTCATCCTCGGCGCGGACGGGAGCTGGTCGGCGGTGCGGGGCCAAATGATGCGCGCGAGCCGGGTCGATTTCGCGCAATCCTTCATCGCCCACGCCTACGTCGAGCTGCACATGCCGCCCATCAATGACGACTGGGCCATGCCCCCGAACCACCTGCACATCTGGCCGCGGCGGCGGTTCATGCTCATAGCGCTGCCGAACAAGGACAAGTCGTTCACGCTCACGCTGTTCGCGCCGTTCGAGGAGATTGCCGCGCTCGAGACGCGCGCGGACGCCGAGGCGTTCTTCTCCACTGAGTTCAGCGACGCGTACAAGATTGTCGGGAGCAGGATGGTCGACGACTTCATGTCCAACCCGCGCGGCAACCTTGTCACCATCTCCTGCAAGCCGGGCACGTACCGCGACCGCTGCGCGCTGCTCGGCGACGCGTGGCACTCCATGGTGCCCTTCTATGGACAGGGGCTGAACTGTGGTCTCGAGGACGTGCGTGTGCTTGGAAGTTACCTCGACCGGTTTGGCGTCGGTCCCACAACGACGAACAAGCAGGGCGAAACCGATACAAATCTCGAGGCGTGTTTGGCCACATACGCTTCGGAGCGTAGCGCCGACCTCGACGCCATCTGCCAGCTGGCCATGGACAATTAGTGAGTCCCCCTTCGGTCTCCCTCGGCCCGCGCTTTTAGCTTCATTGAGGATGCTATCGTAAGCTAACCCCAGCACCGAGATGCGCTCCTCCGTGCTGAACCCGCTGTACCACCTCCGCCGGGCCGTGGACTACACCCTCACGCGCCTGATTCCCTCCCGCCCCGCACCGCTCGATGGCCCAGACCCCTTCCCGACCAAGACGGTGCGTGGCTGGACGGCGCTGTACGACATGGTCACCTTCCGCCCCGACATTGGGTATGCGGAGGCGAGGCGGCGCGAGGCGTGGCAGAAGCACGTCGTCCACTCGGCCGCTTATGCTGGTCTCGCGGCTGTTGTGGGTGCGGGTCTCTTTGCTGCGCGTCACTTTCAGTCCCGCCGATGACCCCTCTTCCCTCTCTATAGACTTCTGTTTCTTGACTCGTGGCCCGGCGTGGTGTGTATAGATATGGGACTTGCAGTGTAGACAAAACCTCCTGATGGAATAATGATAAACAGGAAGAGCAAAGGCTGCATAAACCCAAATGAGAAAGCAAACGTGTCTAACATGCTATGTATCGTAGTCTACTTGCGCGTGCTGCGCGCGACAAGGCCCTCGGCGCCACTGCGCGCAACGTCCGAGACGGGCTCGATCGAACCAAACTCGATGCCCTCCTCCTTCACCATCTCGAGGAGACAGCGGCGGTACGCCTCCTGACGCACGACACCGCCGCAGCACGTGAACACTGCGTTCTGGAGCGTGCGCTGCGAGCCATCAGGCAGTGGGCGGGCCAGCAGCTGCCTCGCCAGCTGGACAATGGAGTCAGCTAGAGGACAGCACGCCGCGCGAACCGCAGTCACAGCGACGGGATCGGGCGGGGTCGAGGTGTAGCATTCGATCACGGCGGGAGAGAGGTCGGAAATGCGCAGCTTCTGCTCGTTCGTCGCCTGGATCGGGTCCGCGGAGAGGTTCAGCTTGTGCTGATGTCAGCTTGTCGATGCAGAGTTCCAAGCTTACCACTTCGCTCAAGGCGCCGTTGACGGACTGGATGCCAAAGTGCTTGCTGATCCTGGCCGACAGTGGTCCATCGGGTTCTCCGGCGTCGAACGCATCAACCGCAGCACGGATGGCGCATCTGCTGACGTCGTAGGCCGAGCCGTCGTCGCCAAGGAGGTATCCGTATCCTCCGCGGCGAGCCGCCTGAACAACCTCGCCCTGCGCATCGACCTCGACTCCGACAGCAATGCTTCCAGTGCCGGCAATGACGGCGACACCCCACGGGACGTTGTGCTTCAGCAGTCCACCGCCAAGAAGGAGTGCGTCGTTGTGCACCTTGACCTCGCCGCCGAAGAAGGGCGTGAGAAGCTCCGTCATAACCTTCTGGTCCTGTGGTGTGTCGCAGCCCGATACTCCGATCCAGGCTTCCTCGAATATTACAGGACACGGCGCGTTCAGACCAAGCGGCGTGTTGATCCCGAGGGCAGTTAGCGCAGAGAGGATGGTTCCAGCGATGCTGCCATCAGCTTAAATTCAAGATTGCGGCAGCTCACACTTCGAATGCCCGCTGTAATCCGACCTCTGTCATGTTGCCCGTGCTGCCGATTGCTCGTCCCGACTTGCCGCTCTTGGTCAGAATGCACACATCGGTCTTGGTGCCGCCAGCCTGATGTCAGTTTTTTCTGAGCAGCTGCGCCAACTCACGTCAACGCAGAGAAAGAGGGGGTCGTCCGGCTGAACCGGCTGGGCGACGGGAGTGGCGTGTCCGTTGCCGTTAGCAACAGCTTTGTCGCGCGTGAAGGCCACTGTGCAGACCGTCTGGCCCTTCTTGCCACCGAACGAAAACGACTTGTGGGGTACGCTAGAGCTGGGTCCAGTTAGCCTTGTCCCGAGCTCTGACTTACTGGAAGGAGAGACCGACTCCCGGCTTGGTGTAACGCTTGATGACCTCCTCCTCGGTGAAGTTGCAGCTCGTAATCAGGAAGAACCCTCCGGGAGAGACGAGCTTGGCGACCTGCTCTGGGTACACCTGACTGGGTAGCCTTCCTCCCTTCTCGGCGATCGGCTCGTCCGAGAGAGCGAGGGCGTCGAACGTTCCCTTGTCCATGACGAGGTCCCAAGTCTCCTGGTACTCGTCCCGCAACAGGTCGCCAACGCGCCACTCGCAGGTGCACTCGTTGACGACGTCGTCAATGTCGATCACGTCCTCGTCGCCTTCCTCGATCGCCACCCGTCGCGCCTTCTCCACGCTCTCACCGAGCTTGACGGCGCCCTCGGAGTAGTCGATACCCGTAAGGTGGTACTGTTGCGGTTCAGCGTCGGGGTCGGGCGTCGTGAGGAAGCTGAGGAGGAGGGTGCCGTTACCAGAACCGCACTCGAGGATACGAAGGGGCTTGCCGGAGGTGGAGGGAAGGTTGTCGTGCGCCCATGCGCGCATCTTGTGGACCGAGTCCTCGCCGAACCAGACCTCGCCCTCGTCGCCGATGTCCTGTTCGTCAGCTCTGCAACTGCATGGACAGCTCACATTGAAGACTCTGTTCTCGCGCCTAGCGGTTAGCGACTCTTTCATGTCACGCGCGTGATAGCTCACTCATAGACCATGTCCCAGTGTTCCTGAACGTCAGTGCATGAGACAAAACGCAAGCCAGAACGTACCTTGGTACCCAGCTTGCTGGGAGGGAGCTCTTCGTCGTCGCTCATGGTGTTGGAAGGGGTGGTGATGAGAGATGAAGAGGAAGGTACGATCTCCGGCTGAAATTGTTTACAACCTGTCCACTCAAAGTGAATCCAGTCGGATGTCTGCCTGATCTGTCGGTGGCCAAAAACAAGACGAATTGGGCGTTCTCGACGTACTTCAAAGCTGCGCAGGGCTTGCGGGAGTGCTTCAGCGTGGTCTACGATGGATAGTGCTATTTATGCATGCGGGGATACCTGCGGCGCGACCGTCTTTGCCGGGTATGCCGTGTTCTGCGCTCGGCGTGACCCGTTAGCTCTTTTCGGCGGCGTCCGTTGGTCTCTCTGCGCACTTGGACCGGCGCGTTTTTGGGTGCGCTCGGCGTATTCTCCGACCCTTGAGAGAGTGACTGGAGTGACTGGACTTTTGCCGCCCAGATGCACACCTGTTGTTCGACCCTCCCACTTAGCCATGCGACGCCGGCGCGTGATCTCATCTTTCATGAAGCCAAGTTGTTTTGCCTGCTGTCATCCTCCACCTTCAGTCCTTTGACCACATCCCTCACCATGGCCCCGACGAAACAGGACATCAACGTGCGTCAAGCTCGAAATTCTGAGACTGTAGCTAACGGTCACAGAAAACCAGCTCTGAGAGCTCCGACTTTCCCATTCTGTAAGCTTCAATGACCACCGGAGACGTTAGCTGACAAACCAGTTGCGAAACATGTAGGCTATGCGTCTTCGCTTCGTAGCTAACCACAGGTCTCGGACCGAATCCTTATGTTCGAATGGTAAGCTTCTTACTCCTTCTACCCGCTAACGCTCAGACAAAGCAGGAGATGGGACAGGAGTGCAAGATCTGCAACCGTCCGTTTACGGTATTCCGCTGGAACCCGGGACAGGGCGGGCGGTTCAAGAAGACGGAGGTGTGCACGACGTGCTCGAAGATAAAGGGAGTGTGCCAGACCTGCCTCCTTGACCTCGAGTACGGCCTGCCGGTGCAGGTGCGCGATGCAGCGCTGCAGCGGAAGAACGAGGCGCCGACGGGTGACATCAACAAGCGTGAGTGGTACCTACCATTGGTTTCCGCAGCTGTCTGCGCACGTATGATGAGCTGACTTCAGAATACTACATTCAGCAGATGGAGAGACAGATGGAGGAGTCAGGAGACGGAATGGCGTACGACAGTCAGGCGGCGAATGCGCAGGCGCGCGAGATGCTGAAGAACCTCGCCCGAAACGACCCCCACTACAAGCGCAACCGACCGCACGTCTGCTCCTTCTTCGCGAAGGGCGAATGCAAGCGTGGCGACGCCTGTCCGTTCCGGCACGAAGCTGCCGAGACTTCCGCCAGCGGTAACTCGCAGCAGTCCATCAAGGACAGGTACTACGGTACAAACGACGCGGGAGCACAGAAGATCTTGCGTGCGGCGGGAGAGGCGAAGGGTCTCAAGACGCCGGAGGACAAGAGCATTGTGAGTCCAAAAGCTGTTTCAATGGTACCCTTTAGCTGACCGCAGACGACGCTTCTTTTCCTCGGCCTCCCCTCTGTCGGCGAGGACGCGGTCCGAACAGCACTGCACACCGCCGTCCCCTCCGTCAAGCCGACAGACGTGCGCTCCGTCTCCCTCGTGACGGCGAATAGTGAGCTCACTGTATGTTACCCGCTAGCTAACCACAGACGTCGCCTTCGTGAACTTTGCGGATCGCGCCAGCGCAGAGAAAGCGGCTGGCGCCCTGGGCCTGCAGGACGGGATCGAGATTGACGGGAAGAAGTGCAAGGTTGTGTGGGGCCGTGCGCGGGCCGGCAAGAGCAAGGCTGCGAAGACTGTTTCGTGACACTAGGGATTAGAGATACCATAGATGCATTCTTGTACGATTAGCAGCATGTTTCTGGCCTGCATGCCCTTTCTTCCATCTGGTCATCTGTAGCTTGCAGACGGTGAGTGACGACAAGGTGAGCATCACCCCACGGGGTCACCCATCGGCGGGAGCAAATATTGCGACACCTTCACCGTCATAGCTGAGCTCAAGCAATCGATGAGCTTTCCGGACGTTCAGACCTAGACAACATAGACAGCCATGGCCGGTATGTTTGCAGCTAAATAGCTGTTGTGTAGCTGACAAAAAACAGACCACGAAGCGATCCTTGCGGAGGAGTTTGAGGTGCTCGAGTCGATCTTCCCCGATGAGCTGGAGAGTGAGTCGTCACTCACCACATTCACTCCTCACCTTGCCCGCCGTGCATTCGCACGGAGGGAGAGGGATGCGTAGCGGAGCCAGCTGCCCTGAGATGTTGATAGCTAACTGTAACAGTCGTCGACAATGTGGTCAGGATACGTGTCGAGCCAGAAGAGGAGGTCAGCGGCCACCCGCGTGAGTTTCAGGAGGCGTTCAGCTTAGTTGCCGGGCGGTGATAGCTGACAACAGTGACCGTGACGCTCGTCGTGTCGTACCCCGAGACATACCCCGATGTGATCCCGGACATGGGGCTGGAGGACATCGACGAGGAGAGCGGCACGCTGCGCGAGGGCGAGGCGGACGCGGTGGTAGAGCAGCTGAAGCAGACCGTAAGTAGCCTCAAAATCCAGCTCTTTAAACCTGCGATCGAGCTGACATTACAGGCGGAAGAATCCCTCGGTATGGCCATGACCTTCACTCTGGCTACAGCAGCGCGCGAGGCTCTCTCCGCGGTCCTGGCCACGCGTCTGCGGAAGGAGCAGGAGGAGGACGACGCGCGCGCGGCAGCGTACGAGGAGGAGGAAAAGGCCAAGACGCGCGGCACGCCGCTGACGAAGGACCGGTACTTGAGCTGGCGCAAGACGTTCCTGGAGGAACTGAAGAAGAAGCGGGCCAAGGAGGAGGAGGAGAAGGTCCGCGCTATGGGGAGCAAGGAGAGGGAGGAGTACAAGAAGCGAAGGGACAGGCCGAGCGGTGAGTACACACCGAGCTGCCAAAGCACCGTAGGTGGTGAGGCGGTGAGGCGGTGATGCGACACAGTGGCGAGACATCTGCTGGACTGAGCCGTTACTAGGCGATGTTCTGGGACCAGAGCCATGAAGCTACACAATCCGCGAATAAGCTGACAACTACAGGCCGGCAACTTTTCGAGACCGCCAAGGTCTCCGCCACGTCCGACGAGGCGCTGTACGAGGACGGCGAGGCCGTCGACATGTCCAAGTACACGCGCGAGGAGCGCGATGCTGCCCGCTGGGCCGAGGAGGGTGAAGGCAAGGCTGGCATTGATCTGGATGAGTCGGATGACGAGTAGCGCTGAGATTGCTTGCCGAAGCAGGGGGAGGGAGATCATAGAAGTAGCTATCTTTCATGGTATACGCATTGTAAAGTACGGCCCGTTGCATTGACCGAGACGATTCGCTAACCTGCTGATTGTCAGTGATCAGTTCGGAGAAAGGGGCGTGCACGCTGAGTGTCGGTTTCTGGGCTACTGACAGATGACCATGCACTAGTGCACATGTTCCGTGTCCTGCTGTGCTGTGAGAAATGCATAATCTCTGGTGTAACAAAATGCGTCTGAATACAGTCTATCGGGGCTGTTCTATCGCCTCTTCTTCTCTTCCTCTCGCTTCTTCAGATAACGAGCGTGGCTTGGTGGGCTGCTCCTGCTCGCTGATCACTCGAAGGCCAAGCAGCCGGGAGCCAGTGCCTCACGGCTCGCGTCGTTCGCCCTTCGCCACTCGCGCTCAGTCCGAGTCGCTCAGGATCTCCTCGTCGCTGCTGTCTCCCGCTGTGCTCGCCTTCTCCGCGTCTCCCCACGCACTGCCCTCAATCTTCTCCGCGAACAGCGCGCCGCCAGCCGACTTGACCATGCTCCACACCTCCTCGCCGCCGACCTCTGTCATCTCCACGGTGCGGCGAGGGAAGTGCGTAACGAGCCTGAAGTCCCAGGCGTGCTCGTACCCTTCGGGCGGGGAGTCGGGATCGCTGTCTGGGCTGTCCTCGGGTGGGATCAGGAGCGTCTCGGCGTACACGAACAGCGGGAGCGTGCTCGGGCCGGGCGTGAAGGCGCGAACGTGTCGCTCGGCACTTAATGGTGTGCGCACAGCGACGCGGACAGATCCCTCGTTCGGAGGAAGCAGGTGCTTGCGCGCATACCGCCGCCACTGCTGTCGGTCCTCGATCGCCTTCGCCTTGGCTTCTGCCTCGCGCTCGGCACGTTCCCGCTGCACACGCTCCAGCTCGCGTTGTTGCCGCTGAGCGTCCAGTCGCTCCCTGTCCTTCCGCTCTGCCTCGCGGAAAGCGCGGTCTTGCTCCTCACGCAAATGCCGCGCCTCCTCGAGTCGCAGGCGCTCGCGCCGCAGCCGCTGCAGGAAGGCGTTGGTGCGCGGAAGGATTTGCGTCGAGATGACCTGTATGAAGCTGGCGGTGTTTGTGACAGTTGACGGCGGGCCGGCGACGGTCGTGAGAATCGTGAGACGCGGGGACGTGCTGCCGGAGACAGAGGACGAAGCCGGGGGAAGAAGCGAGGCGAACGTGATGCTCGGGTACGTCGTTGTGAGAAGCGTCTGGGCAACCATGTAGCCCTCGCGTGACGAGATGTCCGCTCCCCAAACCAGAATGTCATTGTCCTTCAAACACTTGACAAACTCGGGGTCAGACAATACGTCGCGCTTGAACTCCTCGTCGTTCTCGTGCTCCGAGCTGACCAGAACGACAGCGCCGACCTTGCCCTGCTTGCGCACCTCGGCGAGGAACTCGCGGTACGGGCCGATGAAGAAGTCGGGGAGGTTGCCTGTAGCCGATGATCCGCCAGTCAGAGTCTCGAGGTCACGGACAAAGCGCAGCGAAGACGTTGTCGGATCCCGGGGACCAGTCGGAGGTGCTCGAGACGGCGGGGGAAGCAAGAATCGGGGCAGATGAGGAAGGAGCGAAAGCGGTACAAAGGTACGAACTGGAGATCAGCTTCAGGTCTGGAGGCAGACAGCTCGACTCACTGAAGAAGTACCATGTACCCGTCAGAATGGAAGCCAGAACGGAGAATGGCCAGACGATTGTCTCCCAAAGGCCGAGTCCGACAGAGGCTTGGCGTCGCGCGGTCACGGGAACTGCAGTGCCCGACAAACGCCTCCGCGGCGCCATATCCCCGTCTGCCGGCGCGAAAGTCGACGACTCAGTCTCGACCTTCAGCGTCTCGCTGGGGTTGGGCATCTGGCCGCCGCCGGTGAATATCTCATTGACCGTCGCCTGTTGTCAGTTATCAAGCACTCGAGACCGAGCAACTGAAAGCGCACGCACCTCTACGTTCCAGCCGTTCTTGCGGAGGAGACGTTCGTCCCTGTCCCTTTCTGCCTCGGTGGCTGCTGCCGTGATAGCGGACAGCTGGTCGAGGGCGGCCTGCTGGTCCGGGGTCATGGTGGCAAGGGGTGGCCGATGGACGGATGTCGGAAGTGAGAGTGACGTATGACGTGGATGAGAAGAAGGTCAATACAGACCTCGGTGTCGGGGCATTAGCTCGGATTAGCCTGGAGGTGCGACGGATGCTAATCGCGCCCCCAACCGAGTCGTATTCATCCGGCCAGCACCGGCGCACCAGTCTACCGGAACCGCGGATTCCAAGAGTTAGGAAGCAGTGTGCGTAGTTGCCAATCGTCGTCGTCTGCATCGTTGCCATTGCCATCGTCGCCGTCGTCTGCTTCGATCGCACTCCTTTGCAACCGCCTCTCTGACTCCTGCATGTTACTCGTCTCTTCTTCTGCGTAATACGACGTCACGAAACGGAATCTGGGCGCTTGGGCAACGACGATCACTCACCGATCGCGCAAGTCGAGTTCCAGAGGCAGCTTCCTGCTGCGCTGCTGCGCCCGTGATACAGACGACGATACTGACGTGTCACCTGGCAGCTGGGGATCCAAGTCCACATCCTCACACCGACGAGCTGAGTACTAATGGTGCTGAGCTCTCCTGGTCTGTTTTGATTACCGTTTCGGCACACCACTTTCTCGCCCTGCAACTTAGGATCTCTGGGAGCAGAATCCAAGCAAACACCCAGCCTAGAGCAAAACTACATATCGGTCTTGGTATGTTGGCTTGTCCTTTCTCCCTCAGAGCATGGTCTCGACTGTTCCCTTGCGCTCAGTAGCTGACTATTGCCGTGAAGCTAACCCCTGTGACCATAATCCACCCTCCATAGGGGCAGCTGGTTGGTGCAAGGTCGAGGCTCATCAGATGAGCTACGGCACCCTGGTGACCGGCTTTGTCTGCTGTCTCTTGAGCTGATGATCAGCCAGCACGTCCACAACAGTGACCTTGGAAGCCGACGCTTGAGAGTCCTGCGCTCCTATATACCAACGCCGTGCTCTGATGGGAGTGGCATCAGCAGTGGGCTACATCTTTCGCTCCTGTGAAGCTGACAAAGCAGGCATAGGCAGCTTGACTGCTACATGGACAACCTCAAGTAGCGCCCTCTGAAACTGACGACACTTACGCCACGAAAGCGGAAAAGTGAACAGTAAGCTGAGCCAAGTGCAGTGAGCTTTTCTTAGTCGCACTCAGTTATAGCTGACAGACAGCTGCCAGAGTTCCGCCATTCCGTTATCGACCATAGCTAGAAGGCAGCCATCGAGCGCTGGGCTGTTCCCCTACCTACTGCCCCAGTGAACGGGACCAGCAATCCCGCGAGCTCATTACATAGGTCACAGCTGTGAGCTGCGTAGCCTTTACACAGGAGCTAACATCAGCATCACTGTCATAGTCCTCCAGCCCTAGTTGCTGGCGCTCTGCGCTTCGCAGCCTTTGAAGCATCCGGTGAGCTCCCACGATCGCGAGAAGAGCTTATCACAGGTTTCCAAGTCCTCCACTGCCTCTCTCTTGGTTACTTCTCTGTCGGGCCGCCACCATAAGGTCGAGGCGGCCGGCGAAGGTGAGCAGAGCTGTGGAGACCATCCAACAGAATCCAGTGGCTCCCGCGGGCTGCAGCTGCGTGAGTTCACTGGACTGGCCTACGGAACTGAACGCAGGTTCTAACCACTGCAACCGAGTGATGGTGAGTCACGCGCCTCCCTTTCAGCTGACATCCAGATCCAGGTCAGTTGGTTACGTCCTTGACGGAAAGCTGACAGGCAGAACAGAGCTCCACCCCCCAATAGACTTCAGCTGCATGGTCAGTTTGCTGTTCGAGCTGTATGTTGCCACTCCGAAGCTAATGCCAGGTGTCTCGTCGACGAAGTCACGCCACCAGTGGCAGCCACGTCAAAAGTAAGCTGAGTTGGAACTCCGCGTAGCTGACCGCAGCTTGGTCCCAATGAGGTCGATACGCGGCCGGGCCATGTTCAGTAAAGGCTGTTTTCGTGCTAACGTTCGAGTCGTAAGCTTTGCGATACGCTACCATTCAGCTAACACCAGAGACCTCTCGGTGACCTCTGGGTCAAACGTGTGGCGTCTGATGGTGAGCTCTCCTGATATCCCCCAGGTGGTTGTAGGCGCAGAGCCTGATGGGTGTGTTTCAGTGCTCAGTGCAAGCTGGACATGGCGGCCACCCGCTAAAGGAGCCTCTGTCCAGCCTTCCGGGGCGAGGTGCGTTTCGCGAAGTCATACATATACCATCAGCGTACTTCAGATCTCCCAGGCTTCAAAACCGCCTATGCACACCGAGGTGGCTCAGGTACTCTCGACTTCCACGGTGTTAGGCGGCGCCGACGGCTGACCATGTCCTGATACCACCTCCGCCTCAGTCATGTCCCACTCTCGTATCGGACGATACGTGATCCCTGTCTCCCCTCTCTCCGAGCTGAACAGCGTCAGCTTGTTCGCCTTCCAAGCGAACCCTGGCGGCCGCTTCACTCTCCACGGAGGGCACTCCCTAGCCAGGGTGACATGGGGACTGAACCTCCTCCGATCCACCTTCAGTCCCAGTTCGGCACACCCTTCATTCAGCGCTTTGTGCAGTTCGGCCAGTTCAGGCGGTATTCTTGACGGCGCAAGGTGCAGGATGCCATTTCGCCAGCGCGTTGCTCGGTCAAGCGCTATGTCAAACGGGCGCAGCGGGGCGCGGGCCGCGACTTCGTACAGCGCGTCCAGCGACCCGCGGTCGGCGGGGTATGATCCGAGGAAGACGAGTGTGATGTGCAGATTTGGAGTTGGTTCCGGGCGACCGGGGAAGCGCCGGGAGACGCGCCAGGTATCGATCGCTTGTCGGACCGATGGAGGGAGGTCGATCGCGAAGAAGAGGCGGAGACTCATCGGGGCATGGTGGGTTGGGAGATGTCAAGTTTCGTCTGCTGGATCATGAACGGAATGGTGGTGGAGGGCAATCTTATCTCGCAACCGAGGTACCCGACGTACGCGGCATATCGTCATGCCGCGTCCTTGCTTCTTGCCGTGAGCTAGCCGCACGTCGGAGACCAAGCTCACATCAGGTCACAACACCATGCACTCCGTGTGGAGGCCGGGATTGACAAGGCCAAGTCCTTACAGTCTCGCTGCCGACTGTCATTGTCACAATCGACCCGTGTATCAATCAGTACGCGTGCCGGTGGCGCCGAGGCGGCCAGCCGCGGCCCAGTACTCACGGCAGGTTTTATTGTTCTAAGGCTGCAACCCCTTGCTGTATCCGGCAATGTGACGGGCAAAGTGTCGCAACGCGTGATGCGTGTCGTCGATCGAAGCAATCGGAGACCATTGTGCTCGTCATGGAACATCGCTGCGACCTTCTTTTAGTTCTCCGACTACTCTCTCACCCGAGAGTCAACTAGCACAACTTACTCGACTACCAAGCGGCAACTGGATCACCTTCCAGCATACTCCTCCATCGCTCTCCAATCTTCATCTACTTTCAACAACAGCTCATCGCTCTGCCCACCGAACACGTGATCCCCATGTCCTCCGCCAGCCCCAACATGAACAAGCGTTACTCGCTCCGTGACCAGCCCCTGCGCGGCAAGACGACAACGATGAACCACCTCCGCCTCCGACGGCTTATGGAGCACAACTCTCGCCTGTGGGACGATCTGCAGAGGCCCCGTATTCGCACCAGCGAGGCGAGTCTGAGGTGAGCCCAGGCTCAGTGGTCACAGCTGTGTGAAAGGGACTCCAGAGCTGACAGCAGCATTATCGAGTACTGCAAGACGACCCAGGACCCGCTCATCCCGTCCTTGTGGGGCAAGCTGGAGGATCCGTACGCGCTGCCGAACCAGAACCAGTGCTGCTGTGGTGAGCTGAGCTACGCAAGCATACGGCATAGCTGACAGCTAGTCCAATAGCCCCACCTTACGAAGCGACAGTGAGCAGCTATGATACACATTTCACCAGCTGACTTCAGGCCCGACATACCGATGATAATGATACATACATTTATGCCATACTCCCCCTCTATTCCTTATGAATCTCATGACACTATCCCATCATCTGCGTCAAGCTGTCGGGCGGGCGGACAGTTTGTGAGAATGTCAGCAGACTGTCAGTCAGCTTACAATCCCATCTTCATTCGAGCTCACCGCTTGACGGCCTGGATGTATTTTCGGCTGACCTCGTCGTTGAGGACATGCGCGACGTTGTGCGTGATCTTCGAATCACTCGAACGCTCGTGGATACCGACACTCGTGACACCGAGCGGCCAGGCGGCATTACCGATCGAGAGCTTGAGGTAGCTGTCGTTCGCGTTGCGGTACTCGCGTTTCTGGACAAAGTGCACGATCTCCGCGAGCGAGATGACAACGTCGTTGTCGAGATCGCGGTTGCGCAGCTTCTTGAACAACGGCTTCAGGTTCTGCGCGCTCTGCAGCTGTGTCGTGGACGCAAGCTTCCCCGCCGCGCTCTTCTTAACGTCCTCGGGACGCGCCTCCAGATACTCCTCCCACTCCTTCAGGAGCGCTTTGAAGTTCCAGAAGATGATGGGGTGCAGCTTGTTGAAGTCGGTCTTGATGAGCTCGAGGTCGAGCAGCTCGGACGTGTACTGCTTCGCCTTCTCCTCTGATTTACTCGATGGTTGAGGTGTTCCAGCTCCAGACGCCTCACCGCGCGCCCGTCGTTCCTGCTCTCGCCGGTCGAGATCCTCCTTCGCCTTCTTGAAGTCATTCTGGACCTGCTTCAGCCCGCCGCGCGACTCGCTCTCGAGCTCCAGCGCCTTCAGACGCTTCTTCCGCTCAGAATCTGTCTCGCCGAAGTATCGGATTGGCTCGCCGAACAGTCGCAGTCGGCGAGTGCACTCCTCGGGACTGATCGCGTACCGGTCCTCGCTGTCATCGGCGACTGCCTCGGCAGCCTGCGAGCGCGACTTCTCCGCCTGCTTGTCAGCTTCCGACGGAGATCTCGAGCTCACCTCCTTCCTCATCTTCGTTGCTCGCTCTTCCTGCGCTTCATCGGCTTTGCGCTTCTTGGCTGCTTCGCGCTCCGCCTCACGCCGCTCACACTCGGCACGCTCTGCCTCCTCGCGCAGCCGCTCCTTCTCGCCGCGGGAGAGGTACTTCTCCTCTGGCTTTGCGGGCGCAAAGTCCTTCGATTTCTTCTTGTTGATCTCGGCGAGAAGACCCTCCATCGTTTTGGTTACGCTGATGTAGTGTGTGTTCAGGAAGCAAGGGGGACGAAACGAAACGAAAACAAGCTCAGCTCGAAAGGTGGAGGGCTGGCTTCGGTTGATCTTGATCGAGTGGCCAATGTTCGTCGCGTGGTTCTCGCGCCGGATTACCTAATCCGGTAGCTGGACCGTGAGTCGTCGCTGCCCCTGCCCTGGCACCTGGCGTTCGTCGTGACCTCGCATCATCGCCGTCATTGTCCATCGATCATCTTCCTCTGACGCATTCACAATGGCTAAGAGTAAGCTAGAGGTTCTGAGGTGGTGTAGCTGACACAACACAGTCCCGAGGAGTTTCCGTCTCCTCGAGGAGCTCGAGAAGGGAGAGAAGGGTCTCGGTGACGGTTCGTGCTCGTACGGTCTCAAGGTGAGTGACGGCGCAACCGGTTGCTGCAGACGATGAGCTGGAGCATGACGCAGGGGTACAATCGATGTTGATCAACTGGCGGCTTGTGATAGCCTTCCCAGCTCGCGCGGCATCCTAGATATCGTAGTCTCGCGAAGCTGACATACAGGACGGCGATGACCTCGCAATGTACCAGTGGAACGGCACGATTCTTGGTCCTCCCCACTCTGCCTTCGAGAACCGTATCTTCTCTCTGAGCATCTACTGCGGTGACAAGTACCCTGGTAGGTGTCTGCCTTCAGCTGTCGCGAGACCGGGCTAGCTGACAACCAGATGTCCCGCCCATTGTCCGTTTCGAGAGCCGTATCAACCTTCCCTGTGTTGACCAGAATGGCCTCGTGAGCTGCTCCTGACTTCTGATCTAGCTGACAGAAATAGGTGAACCTTGCGCACGTCCGCTCGCTCGGCAACTGGCGCCGCGAGAACAGCCTCGAGACGATCCTCGTCGAGCTCCGCCGCGAGATGGCGTCCCCGGGCAACCGCAAGACGCCCCAGCCTCCCGAGGGATCCGAGTACCCGCCCCTTGACATTGTCGCGGTCGCGAAGCAGCGCGGCGCTTAGGCGAAGCGTCAAACGTAGGAAGTTTAGCAAGTGTTAGATTCATGCAGTTCATTTTATCAGAGCTGCCCGGTCGGTCGCGCGAGCAGACGCCGTGGGATTATTGTGCGGCGAACTGCTCGTAGAGGCCGCCGCCGAGCCTCTCAGCCATGGCGAGGGAAACACGGGTGAGCGAAGTCTCCTTCGGAGGAGCCGCCTGCGCGGACGTGATGTCGCAAGCACGCAGAAGCCATCGAACAGGTCGGTCTGTCGGTATCAAGTCTCCGAAGCCGCAGGAAGTCAGCACTAGTCGAAGTCAGAGTCACGCAGACGCCCTTTGTTTACATGCACATCTTATATACCAACAGACGTGCGACACCAGGAGTTGCATGCATTACACTCGTCGGCGTCGCAACACGCTCGCACCCAGATGCGGTGACGTTATGGGCCCAGACCTCAGATCCGCCTTGCTTCCTGCCCGCTCCGGGAACCCTAAGGCGTTTACCCGCGACCTCCACCGCGACAGGAGTCACCCTCACCCGACTCTTGGTCATTTTCCGGACGCCTCCTTTTTCGAACGTCAGTCCACCTTCGTCTTTGACAACCTGCCCATCCTTTCATCATGACGACGTACAAGATCCCGGACCTCAAGCTGAACAACTCGTGGCGCGAGCTCCAGAAGGAACTGCCGCATATCAAGAATGACCTCGCGCTCCGCGCCGCCCGCGGCGAAGAGACCCCCCGCGCTCCCGTCTGGGTCATGCGTCAGGCCGGACGATACCTTCCTGGTGAGTGTAGTTCTGGACTGTCACTGCGTTTCACTTGCGGATTAATAAAGAGCGCCTTTTGGACATTGTGCTTTACTACCTGGGCTGCAGCGGTAGTGGCCATTCCTTCCTTGTGAGAGGGAAGGATCGAGGAGGGCGCGCCAAGAGCCATTCGGACCAGCGTGACGCCGCTCCGTTTGAGGATGCCATGTTCCCGAGCAAATACAGCGCATCATCTAGAGGCGCAAACAGTGCTCAGCTACGTTTCTCGTGTCGTGAGCTGACATCAGAATTCCTCGAGGTCCGCAAGCACCACTCGTTCTTCGAGTGCTGCCGCAAGCCCGAGCTGGCGAGCAAGCTCACGCTCCAGCCGATCGACCGGTACCCGAACCTGGACGCGTCGATCATCTTCTGTGACATCCTCGTCGTTCCCCAGGCGCTCGGTATGGAGGTTATCATGGAGCCCTCGAAGGGCCCCGTCCTCCCCGCGCCGCTTAGGAGCCCAGCCGACCTGGCACGCCTGCCGGACGAGGTGAGTTGCTACAGACGCTCTGCTCTCCGATCCCAGGCAGATACTGGCCTGTCCGCTACTTCTAGCAGACAGAAAAAGCTGCAAGCACCGCGAAGAATCCAGCTAACCACCAGGTCGACGTTCAGAAGGAGCTTGGCTACGTCTTCGACGCCGTTACGATGACGCGGAAGGGACTCGCTGGCCGTGTTCCCCTCATCGGCTTCTGCGGTGCCCCCTGGACGCTGATGGCGTACATGTGCGAGGGCGGCGGTTCGAAGACGTTCGAGCACTCCAAGTCGTGGCTCTACAAGTGGCCCGAGGAGGCCAAGGCGCTCCTGCACAAGATCGCCGACGTGTGTGCGGACCTGCTCGTCGGCCAGGTCCTCGCCGGAGCCTCGATGCTCCAGGTCTTCGACTCCTGGGCGGGCGAGCTCACGCCGTACCAGTTCGAGACCTTCGCTCTTCCTCCCCTCGTTCACATCAGCCGCAAGGTCAACTACGTGCTCACGCACCTCGGCCACCCGACCGTGCCGATGATCCTGTTCCCGCGCAACGTGCACTCGCCCCAGAGCCTTGCGCTCCTCAAGCCTGAGAGCATCGGGTACAATGTCATCGGGCTCGACCAGGGCCTCGACCCCGTCGAGGCCAAGAAGGCCCTGCCCGGCATGAACCTCCAGGGCAACTTCGACCCGGCCATTCTGTACGGCGGCAAGGAGGGAATTGAGAAGGAGGTCGAGCGCGTGTGCAAGCGCTTCCACCAGAACAGCGGGGGCTGGATCGCCAACCTCGGCCACGGCATTACGCCCAACGTCAAGCCCGAGGACATGGGGTGGTTCCTCGAGTGCGTGCACAAGTACTCCAAGCGCAACTAGGCCGAACTCGCGAACACAGCGAGCGAGCGAATGGAGTGGCTGTAGAGTATGAGTGTGAGGTTTTCCGATAGACAAAATGAACGGGTTCCGGACAGTATGTAGCGCAAGCAGACCGCAGACCGCAGACCGCGATGCAACCATTCACCACTTGATTCGAACAGGAGCTGCATCTATAATAGTAACACACAAATCTAAGGGCCGTCGGTGATGTAGGTCGCGCCTCCGGACTGCCATGTCAGCTTTGACTCCTGCAGCACGACAGCTGTGCGACCTCGTACGAAACTCAGATCACACTGTCCACTTAGTACTCACCATAACGGCGTCGATCTCGGCGTCCGAGAACTCGCGCTGCTGCCAGAGGTACGACGGCGCCTCCCAGTCCTCAAAGTCGGCCGGTTTTGACGACTCCTTGTACAGGGGGATGGCACCAGCGACGGGTCCGGACGAGACAGAGGCGCCAGCGGCGGAGGAGAACTTCTTCAGGAAGTCGTCAAACGAGGCCTGGATCTCCTTCGGCGCGAGGGGGTGGACGGCGGGCTTGGCCGCGGCTGGGGTTAGTTGAGCTCTAAACCTGGTAACTGGGGAAGGTGACGGAGACGACGGAGCCGGAGGAAGGTGCTGAGTCGTGGGAGCAGGCACGGGTAAACCGTATCACACCGCCGGGTCGCACACCAAGAGAGCTCAAGGTCGCAGCACACATCGAGGAAACACAGCGAACAACAGGAAGACAGGCATGGCAGCTCTCCGCGGAGAAGGAGGACGGTGTTGCCTTCGTCTTGTAGCACGGTGGAGATCAAAATCTTTGACCAACAACAAACGCCACCGATGGCTAGTCACCGTCCCCCGCATGCTTCGTGCGCAACGGTCCCCCGCGCGGTATTGTGTGCTTCTTTTCTCCGCTGCTGTGTGCTTCCGGTGTTGTTGAGTGATGGTGTCGGCGGCGTCGGCAGTGATTTCGGAAATGAGGTCCGCGACCCTCAGCTCATTTGCGCCTTCCTCTGTCGCGATGTCCGTGTCGTCATGCTCGCAGTGACGACTTACAGGTGGGCCATGACCTCTTTCCGAGGAACTTGATGAGGGGGTTGCGGGCGCGGACGGCGGAGGCGAACATGGTGGGTTGTGTTTTTGGGAGAGGAGGTGGTGGTGCAGAGACAAGAATCGGTGGTGAGCTCGATGTCTGCTGTGACGACGTTGGTTGCTCAGGTTGCTCAGGTCACGGGATGGCTTCTGGGGCGGCGGCGGGGGTGGAGTCACGGCGAAACGGTCAACCGTGCATCTCCTTCAACGGAATTCGCCGGCCTCAGCGCCGATGCAATGATGACTAGGCGCGGGGTGTCTGCGGACGCCTGCGACCACGTGTTTGCAAGCCTATTCAGGTGACCTCATCGAAAACAATCTGGCCATGCTTTCGCGTCCACCGACGCCTCCGCCAGGTTCGCCGCGCAGCATCGTTTGCATCGTCCTCTGCACCTTCCTTCGGCTCCGTACCTCCAGAGACATCCAAAAAGAGAGCAACCATGGCCGACGCTCTCCGAGGTACCGACCTCAACCAGGACCGCCGCTTCAAGGACAAGGAGGCGCTTGCAATCAAGTCCTCGACCTTCCCCGAGCACTTTGACCGCAAAGTCGACCTACGCAAGGTCAATATTGGTGTCCTCCGCCCCTGGATCGCGAAGAAGATTACAGAGCTCATGAAGTTCGAAGATGACGTGGTCATCGAGTATGTCTACTCCATGCTTGAAGACAAGAGCAAGCCAGTGAGTCACGCTTAGATCCAATATGCGGCAGCTCGCGAAGTTGTTACAAGGTAGCTGACGACAGTTCCCGGACCCACGCAAGATCCAGGTCAACCTTGTCGGATTTATGGACAAGTACGGCGCTGCTTCGTTCACGTCCGAGCTCTGGCGCCTCCTCCTCAGCGCCCAGGAGACTGTTGGCGGTGTCCCTGCCGAGTTCATCGAGGCGAAGAAGCGCGAGCTGGAGGAGCAAGCGCGCAACACTCCCCAGGGCAGCATGGACGACATGATGCGCCAGCGCAGGGAGATGATGGATGCTCAAGGAGGATACGACCGAAGGGTAAGCTGAGAGCTCAGTGTGCCAGCTGACATTTCAGGACGACCGTGATCGCCGCGGAGGACGGGGCGGATGGGACCGTGATCGCCGAGGCGGAGATCGCGGAGGCTATGGTCGCGACCGGGACGGAGGCTACGGACGTCGGGATGGTGGCTATGGACAGCGCGACGGAGGCTGGGGCCAGCGCCAGCGGGACAGCAGCTATGGCGGACGTGAGCGTGACAGTGGGTACGGCGGACGGGAGAGGGACAGCGGCTACGGAGGACACGAGCGGGACAGCGGATACGGACGAGACCGCGAGCGCGAGCGGGATAGCGGATACTCGCGCCGCGACGATCGCGACAGGGAATACCGCCGCCGCGACGAGTCTCCTCGCAAGCGCCGTGACGACTCCCCGCCGAGAAGGCGTGACGACTCGCCTCCGCCGCGCCGGAGACGCGAGCGCGAGGACACTCCTCCTCGCAATCGTCGCGACGACACTCCTCCTCGCTCCTCTCGCCGCGATGACACGCCTCCGCGCTCTTCTCGTCGAGACGACTCCACCCCTCCCCGCTCGCGCCGGCGCGACGACTCGACTCCTCCCCGCCGGAAGCGTGATGACTCGACTCCCCCGCGCAGGAAGCGCGACGACGACACGCCTCCGCATCGGAAAAGGGATGACTCGACGCCTCCTCGCCGAAAGAGGGATGACTCGACGCCTCCTCGGCGCAAGCGCGACGACTCGACCCCTCCTCGAAAGCGAGACGACACCCCCCCTCGTTGGCGTGAGGACTCGACCCCGCCCCGTCGGAAGAGGGACGACGACACCCCGCCCAGAAGGGAGGAGAGGGAGGACACCCCGCCCCGCCGCAAGCGGGCCGAGGACACGCCGCCGCGCGAGCCCTCCCCGCTGAAAAAGAAGGAGCGCAAGCTCGAGGGCAAGCTGGCCGCGAGCAAGTGGGCGTAGAGAGGGAGGACAGGGGATGTATCATGTGACTCACTGCGAGTGTGCGAGATCTGGAGCGACGAGGCAACGGTGCGATGGGGCGCAATGGGACACTGACACGGATTGACACCACACGACTGACACGCTCTCATCGTCACACTGACTTCTCTTGCTTTCTCACACTTCTCCATCTCACATCCTCGGACGTTTGGCATGTTCCCAGCGTCCCAGGCCATTCAATCGTCCACTGTCGAACACACCTTCAGCACTCGTTATCGGCAGAGGTGAGCTGAGAGGTCATCACCGTCAATGCAGCTAATCTTTGCAGAGGACATGTGAGCTATTCGGACCATGCACAAAGCTAATGGCAGTGTGAGCTGTGCGATTCTGCAACCAGCTCACCGCAGCCGGAGTGTAAGCTTTCAAACCTCGCCTGGAGCTGACTCCAGTTCGGACACAGGGGTACGGCTGCGGACGAGGCTGCTGGCTGTCCGCAAACCGGCATCGGATCGGTGAGCTGTCCGGTTAGGTCAGATAGCTTATATCAGTCCGCGGTTCAGTCACTTGTGAGCTTCAACTATTGGGCCGCACAGCCGATCCCAGCTATCATCGACTACGTTGTCGCTCAGCTAATGCCAGTTGTGAGCGACGGCCGGTCGGGCGCTGTAAGCTGGCGGCCCTGTTGCCGTATAGCTGATGTCAGACGGTGTGTGCTGGGCCAGCCCTACGAGCGTGGATCTGGCTGGCGGCAGTCCCAGAATATGTTTGTAAGCTGCTGACACCCCCGCAGTCAGAAGCTAAAGTCAGCGAGATTGCGGGCGTGAGCTAGCCGCCTACTTCTCTGAGAGCTGACAGGCAGCCGAGCACGGCAGCCAGACCATGAGCGTGAATCAGACGTGGGCTGCTGAGCACAGTATTTGGAAGCTGATAACAGCCTCAACAGCGTTGCTGTAAGCTACGGCGTCATCGGATATGAGCTTACGGCAGAGTAGTGGTGGGGCTCAGTACTGCTACATGGTCAGCTGCCTGCGAGCTCAAGCTGATAACAGGTGACAAGGCGAGCAAGTGACTGGCTGTCTCGGAGTTTGCCAGCTAACAACACCCCGCTATGGTGATCTGTACCGTGAGCTTCCGAGGGGCCCCTTGTTGAGCTGACCACTGATCCAGTCAGCAGCACCCCAACGCACCATCGTATGCTGCGAGGTTGGGCTCAGTACTGTAGCTCATGACAGGGGCCGCCCTCGGGCTGCGTCGTGAACTCTCCACGATCCCGAGACCTCGTGACCTCTGGCGTCTGAGCCTTCGGCTCATGCGGTAAGCTTCTTTTACCCAGGAAGGAGAGCTGACTTCAGAACTTCAGACTCAGGACGCAACGCCACCTGGCAAGTTACGGAAGGGTCGAATAGCTTACAGCAGCGTGTCGACCACTGCCCCCTTTCGTGAGCTGAGTAGTGGACGTTTCATACATTACAGTCCAGAAGACATTGTGAGCTCAAATGAGCTAGGCTAGAGCTTACCTCAGGGGGCGCGGCAAAGTTGAAGCGTAGGCTGTGACTTCCTGTAACAGCTGATGTCAGCCTTGCTCCCTGGGTGATTGCGGGTGAGCTGCCCAAGGGGAGCCTTACAGCTGACACCAGATCAGCGCCTTGCTTTGGCTCCAGTGGACTACACGATTCACCGAGGGAGCTGACTCCAGAGTCGAGCGAGGTGCTTCTCAGTCAGCTGTTCTGAGGTTTCCGTTAGCTGACGACAGTACAGAGTGCGCTGTCATTACTCGTGAGCTTTCGTGTTGTGTGCTAAGCTGATAGCAGGACCCACGCCAACGTGGCCGTCACGATCGTCCATCGTACGCTGTTGTAAACGTGTCGGACAAAACCGACCTTGTCTGCGGTTAATAGTCCGTGGGCACGTAAACTGTCCGCCACTGAGAGCTGATGACAGCCCGATATTCAAGTTTACACGTACAGTAAGCTGTCCGCGTTTCTTTGCCGAAGCTGACATTAGTGCGACTGTTTCTGCCATTTGCATTGTAGGCTACATCGATGTTGTAGCTCCGCGAGCTGATTCCGGCTTCCTGCCCATAGAAGCGCAAAGTCAGCGAGCACGACTCTGCGAGCTACTAATTCGGCCGTCTTCTTTGTATCAGTGCGGCCACACGGTGGTGAGCTACGCCGCGCCACCCACACAGCGACGAACTCATGCCAGGGTGAACAATGTCACGAGTCCGTAAGCTAGCCAAAGCATGGCGAGCAGACAGACCAAGCTAGGCGCCGCCTCCGTTCGATCGGTGAGGTGAAAGAACGGGCGGGGAGCCGACGACAGCCTCATCATCGGGCTCCATGCTTAGCTGTGCGGTCGGCTGTAGGAGCTAATACCAGGACGATTGCTCGAACCGGCCTGCACTAGTAAGCTACAATGCGAACCTGTTTGAAGCTGACCTCAGCGTCTTGAATGCGCCGACGTGTCTCTGTGAGGTTTGTATTATTTCTTCGAGGTCACTTGTCAGTTGGCGAGCGAGGGAACTTAAGCTGATTCCAGTTCACCAACACCGGCTACATTGTGAGCTTCGTACGTTGCGTCGCGGCTAGCTCGCTCCAGAGCTGCGCATTCATCCAGGGACTGATGAAGTCCAACGTCCAGCTGAACACAGTCTTCTCCGAGCTGCCGGTGAGCTATGATGTCCGTTTCCAAGGAGGCATAAGAGCTAACAGCAGAAAGGAGTCTTGGCCGTATGCTCTCTTGTGCTTCTTTAGCGACCTCAGCGTCTGCGACTGGGTGGGACTCGATGAGGACGGTGAGCTAGAACTATGTTATTTCAGCTGACTATAGAGCGACTCATCGGTCCCAGAATAATAAACGGTTAGCTGTCCTGACTGTCGTTTCGAGCTGACTGTTGCAGTAACCCAATGCAAGCTTCTCGTCTGGTGAGCTGAGTGGCCCCCCTCTTCGCGACAGCTGACGACAGTCGACAAGCAGGTCGCGTCGACTTGGATTCTGCGCTGGTTCGCCCAGTCTCCGGCTGTGCTCGGCAGGTATCTGGTATGCTTTCGGTTGGCTCTCCAGCTGATAAAGCAGTCATGATGCGGCTTCGCCTCGAAGGGATCTACGTGCGCTGCGAGAAGCCTCCTGTAGCTGACAACAGGCTCAAGTGCAATGCTCAAGGTGAGTTAGACTAGCCGCTCATGTACAGAAGTCAGCTGATAACAGTGGGAATCCGCGCTCTCGAACGCACGGTTATTCCAAATCTCTGTGTTCATGTTTCTGTGAGCTGTCCGGGACTCCGAACGACTGACACCAGCCGCGTCCGTCAATCAGCACCTTCGCGGAGGTTAGCTAGCATGTGACTCTCTTTAGCTGACGGCAGGGCCAGCTGCTGGCTGCAAGGTCATGAGACCGATTCAGACGGACTGTTGGTAAGCTGTGGCATGCTAACGCAGCTGACAGTAGCGCATGTTAGGTGTGTCCCGTGAGCTACCATTTCCTATCCGTCCTAGCTCATGCCAGACCTCTTTCCTCGATTCGAGCGAGCAGTGGAGACATGCCGGCAGCAACCAACATTCCGGTTGCAGGAATGGGACTGTGTTGCACGGCCGCGGGCATGGCACCGTTGGGACGTAAGCTCAAGGTCAGCTCCTCGGGTGACCGACAGCCCACGGGTACTTGCTTCGAGACCCCGATCGTGTAGCTGACAGCAAGTTTCGCCCTCATCGACCTATCCTGCGATGGCTTTGCTGTACATGGCCCCCAGTCGCTGACCTTACGTTGTCATGTGAGCTCGACCACCTCTAGCCGGCGGCTATTTGGAAGGCCGAATCTCTTCTCTCTGATGCTCGTGAGCTAGAAATTTCGGCGAAGCTGAGGTTCAGACCGTACATACCTTATGACGCGGGCAGTCCTAGCACTGTTCCCCTTCAAGCGGTGAGCTTAGACTGTCTGCCAGCAGAGCTGATGTCAGACCATCGGCGAGCTACTCGGTGGTTGCGTCATTCAAGTTAACGAACAGATAGCCTGCCATGGTGCGGCGAGATGTAAGCTTTGACGCGTCGCACAGCTGACAGCAGTCAACAGTTCGCCAAGTCAGCTTTAGAGCAGCGTTAGCAAGCTGACGGGCAGGCCAACTGGCTGTGACATACGAATACACGCCGTCGCTTCGTCTGTTGAGCCTGCAGTGAGCGGGAGGGTCAAAATGCCGCCTGCTGCGTCAAGATGTTCCCAGACACTAGCCTGCAATGCGTGAGCTGCGAAGCCATTGTAGTCCACGAGCTCACGCCAGGACGAAAGCAGTACCGAAACCTCGCATAGCTCATCACCAGATGTACGTAGACGGGCGCGCTACAGCGAGCTTCCGTTGAAAAGCCACCTCGTTAGGGGGAGCCGGAGCTGCCCATTGACGGAGCTAACGGACAGCATACGAGGCAAACGAGACAACTTGGTAAGCTTCTGATGGCTTACGGTAAGCTGGCCGCAGGCACAGAACCCATGCCGCGTTTGAGTCTGATCGCGGAAGCGTGAGCCGACAATGGACGTGTTCGAAGGGTGAGTGTGTGGATGTGAGTAAATGGAAGTGATACTGTTCGAGATGCAAGTTTTGCCCCAAGTTTGGTGCCGCTCGGTATAGGTCTGGCCGCGGTCGTAAGCCTCTCCCCCCTCAGGCTCTTTGGATCTTCCGCATCACCGAGGATTCACCGCCTACCATGAATACCTCGCCGAAGTGCCCAAAGACGACAACAACCGACCCCACAGTCGACGCAGCCAAAGAGCGCCTCCGGCACGTCATCAGCTCCGGCGCGGGATCCAACCATCACCTGCAGGTAGCGCTTCGTCTGCTGAACTCTGACGAAGGCCGCGAGTACAGCGATAAGTGTGACCGGTGTCAAGCCGAGGGTGTCCTATGCTGGGCTAAAGAGGATGCCAGTGGTGAGCTGAAGAGTAATCAAGAGCTGACATGCAGGTAAGCGGGGGAAGTGCGTGCTGTGCAAGCGAAGCGCGAAGCCTTGCAGCGCAGCGCCCCAACCTCCAAAATCTAAAAACCAAAGGGACGGGGGTGGTACCGCCCCAGAGCAACGAGTCGCCATAACGGCTGCTCAGCTTGAGCTCCTCCGACAGGTGGTCCGCAATAGCGAGGGCATGCTGGACATGCTCGCACCCACTGTGAGCGACACCCTCTTGTCCCGGATGGACTTCCGCACGGCACAGAACACGGTGGAAGGTGCAAAGCGTGTCATCGATGAACTGTCGAAGCAAATGAACGAAGGCGGCGGAGGTCACGTCGAAGTTGATGGCGAAGCAGGCTACGAAGCAGGCGAAGTGGACGACGAAGCGGACGAAGCCGACGTCGAAGGCCAGTTAATTTAGCGGGTTCGTCGATCAGGGACGTGCGCGTCCCCGCGGGGTGGGCGTTTCGGTTCCGAAGTTGTCCGTGTCGTCATCGCCTGACTCGCGACGCCTTCCGCACCGCCCATCGCTTGGAATTGACTTTGACTTTGACTTTCGCTTTTCGTCCTCTTCTCATCACCTCTCTCCAAAACGATCTCACCTACGACACAGCGAGATTGACAAACTCAACCTGGTATCCTCTTCTTCTCTTCCTCAACACTTCACGCCTACCACCATGACTACCCCTAACGAGATCGTCTTCTACGACATTGCCATGGCGCCCCCGCGCAACAAGACGGTCTGCTCGCCTAACCCGTGGAAGACCCGTCTTGCGCTCAACTTCAAGAAGACGCCTTACAACACCGTCTGGGTTCCGCTCCCATCGATCAGCAAGGTGCGCCAGGGTCTCAAGGTCCCCGCCTGCCGCAAGTTTATGGACGGCACCGACTTTTACACCCTCCCCATCATCGAGGACCCGGCGACGGGCAAGCTCGTCGGCGACTCCTACGACATCGCCGTCTACCTGGACCAGCAGTACCCTCAGTCTGGCGGCGATCTGTTTCCCGACATCCAGATCGACTACAAGCTCGAGAAGGACATCCCGATCCTCGTCCCCCTGACCGACTGCAGCGGCTCTCCGCACCCTCAGTATGCTGCTTTCAACATGAACGTCGACGCAACGTTCACCCCTTACGTCGGTCTCGGTACGCTCAACTTCCCCTTCGACCCGACTACTGCCGAGCAGACGCACGCCGAGTTCGTTCGCCGCGCCAGCGTCGCGGGTATCACGAGCTGGGAGCAGTTTGAGATGAAGGGCGAGGTCCGCCAGAACACCCTCCAGGCGTTCGAAAAGGCCACCTCAGGCCTTGCGAAGCTGTACCAGGAGACGCCTGGCCCCTTCCTCACTGACAAGCCGTGCTACGCCGACTTCATCGTTGACGGATGGCTCCAGTGCCTCTCTGTCATCCTCCCCAAGGACGAGTGGAAGATGCTCCGCTCCTGGCACAACGGCACCTTTGGCAAGCTCTTCGACGCGCTCGCGCCGTACAAGCACGTTGACGAGGAAACCGACTTCACCTTCTCCGAGGGTGCCTAAACTCGCGCAAACGGTCCTCTCAAACCAAAAGTAGAACTCTAGAAGACATGGATACAACACTGCATTGATTCGAGAACCAATGCATCGCCTCCGCGACAACACGCCCATCGCAGGTCTGCGACACGATTGTTTACATCTTGGCTACTAACTACTGAAGCATCGCGACTACGCCTGGCCCATCGGCTGCTTGGACACAGAGTTGTTCAGGGAGATGTCGTCATCGAAGGGGTTGCTCGTCCTCCTCCGCTGGTGGAGGTTGTAGCTAGAGCGAGAGAAGAAGACGCATCCTCCAAACTTCAGACCCAGCAACACCAGCCCACAGGCCACAAGCGTCACCGCTGCGCCAATGAAGCCGGCTCCGACCGGCGACACTTTCTGCTTACTCTTCACGACCTCGGTGTTCGTGCTCGTGTTCTCGTCGACGCGGATAAAGCTCGAGTTGCGACAATCGAGGTGGCTAGGCGGGTCGTATGCGTGGTCGCTCGTGAGGTGCAGGTCGACGCACGAGTACATCGTCTGCTTCGTGACGTCGTCATGGTACTGCAACTGCACGGTAACTTCCTCGCCTCGCTGAACGCCGACGTCGGCAAAGTTGATCGGGTCGTCGAGACAAATACTCCCCGCTGTCGCCTTTTCGAGCTTCTGAAACAGGTGCGCGTCGCTCATGTCAGGGTTCTTGGACCAGGAGAGCCGCACGTCGCTGACGTCGTTCTCGACTTGCATGTAGAAGTCTGCAAGCATGCCCCAGTACTGGTGCTCCTTGCCTGCGAAGGAGATACCACCACAGGGGCCCTCGGTCGCCTTCGCGGAATCGTAGCCGCGAGGCTTCGGCTCCTGCTTTGTCAGCCGGCGAAGCAGTAGGAGGATGACTCACAAGAAAACCGGCTTTGCCCTGACTCTGACGAAAGAGCAGGAGCGGATTGGCGACGACACTAGTCGCGAGAAGAGCGTAGAGGACTATCATCTTGGTGAGACTTTTGGAATGGCTACTGAGCGCAGTGGGCTTGAGGGATGGAAGCGGGCGGGAACGATTCACTGGAGAGTAATATACTGGCTAAGATGGAGGGAGATGGGGAAAGACAAGTGTTGACCCGCTCCAGTTCTTCGACTTTGGGGCGCCCACTTGGCTTCGGCCCTCGTGCGCTGATGACATGAGATTCGAAGGGTTCAACTTCATCGGCCGTCATGTCCGCTGCCGCCCATGTGATATCCTGTTGTCGTCGGAAGGGCTCGCGGCCATATTGGCGCTCTCCTTCATCAAGGGAAGTACGTCTTGCTCTCCTTAGATGCCTTCGGCGGCTGCCTGCCCGCCAATCCGAACTTTACGCGCGAACCGGTCGGCTGAAAGCCTCAACTCTGTTTACACTCATGTCAGATCGATTGGGGGGCCGAGGCGTTGGCTCCTCGGAGACATCGGCGGAGCATATTGCTCAGCATCTGACACTCTCAGCGCAGCAGCCGCGATGCAGCTTGTTCTTGGCGGGGACTGGATTTCAGCAACTTTGAAGCAGCGACACGAGCCATCACAAGATATCGGCCGACACTAAGCGACGCTGCCGAGGAGCCGCAGCTGGTTGGCCGATGGACGCCGATGTCACTGACGCCGAGCCGTCGTCCGGTATCAGATAAGGCCAAGCCCGCCAAGCCGAACCCAAATGCGGCTAGTCCTGACACCTCGTGCTCGCCTGACATCAGCAACGGGTCCGAAGCCAGGTGAGGAAGGCCCCATCTTATCTGATAAAATCGAGGTTCGTATATCCGCCCTGATTTCGCCAAGAACACGCCTGGGGCCAACGTGCCTGCCGAGAATGACTGTCTTCCCACAGACGTCGATTCCGCATCTTGTGCACCGATGCGCCGGCAGTTCCGAAGCTCCTGGATTGACCTCAAACATGTCTCCAAACTATCGCCCAACTCAATATGTCATGGGTCGCCGAGTTGCATCGGACTTGGAAGACTGCCGAAAGAACGCGATGCGGCCAAGTGGCCGATACGGCGGTCCACTGAGATATCGCAATCATCCAGCCTGGACACGACCCCAGAAATGTCATGTCTGCGCGTCGGCCGATCAGCTCACGTCAGACTGACACTCTCTATGCCGATTCTGCCCACTCGGACCGACGATTCCCCTCCTCCTCCTGGAGCACTGGCACTGTATAAGTGTCGAGAGAAGGGAGCCCTCGCAAGTCCCCCAAGCCTCACTCACGCAAACCAGTCCGAAATGAAGTTCACGCTCGTCGCCCTCACCGCCGCCACGGCCGCCCTCGCGTAAGTCTCTCCGTCCGACATCACTGACTCTCAAGCCAGACGGCAGACCAGTTCTCGCAGTGCCAGCTCGGCTGTGCGGCCGAGAAGGCTCAGGAGATCTGCAAGACCTCAGACTGGAACAACACCGACTGCCTGTGCACTGCCGACTTCCAGCAGTCCGTCAAGGTGTGCCTGTACCGACATGACGACGACTGCAACACGCACGTCGCGCCGTGGTTCGAAAACGTCCGCGGGACGTGTAAGGAGAAGGGCGTCGAGATCAAGAACGCGACCAAGAACTGGAGCAAGGCCAACAACGGCGGCGACGGACCCAACACGGCCCCCGTCGAGGGGAACGGGAACGGAAACCCGACTACCAGCGCTGCTGCCGCCGCGGCGGAGACTAAGAAGGACGGTGGGGCCACGCACGCCTCTGTCGGAGCTGCTGCGCTTCTCGTCGTCGGCGCTGTCGCTGCTGCCCTCTAAGCGCAGAGTTACTAGAAGTAGATGAGGGACGGTTAGAAATGCAGATGACATCCAATTTCATATATGTTGCGCTGGATGGATGTGTTGACCAAGGATAACGGCGCAAGGGTTGATAGGGACAGCGGTGGCCATGCTGCCTCTCAGTACCTCTGCGGTGATGACCAGTCATAGATCTGGACCGAGGGGCGGACTAGGGTTTCAGGGGGTTCCAGAAGTCTGTCTCGATGGCGAACTCCTTCTCCCCTATCTCGGAGGTGTACTGCTCAAACGTCAACACACGCTGATTGGGTATACCGCCAAAGTAGCAGGGGTACCCGGTGACGAAGGTGGTTATCAGGTTGTCATACCACGAGTGCTGCTCATGGAGGCCGGCGCACTCCTTGAACCAATTGTGAATCCTGATCACTCCGAGTCAGCATGCCCACCTCACCCAGGTCGCTCACGATACTCTTCCGCCGTCTTTCGCTGCCATCCTGGCTCATCCCATGCATGAAAGATGAACACCAACTCCCCGACTTCGAAGCCGGGGAGGCGGCAGTCCGCCCCCGGTGCCGCGAGGTAGGGGAACGAGCCGCGATAGTTGACAACGAGTTTATCGATGCGACGTGCAATGCTCAGAGCGAAGTGGTTGTCGAATACGAGGCGGGAGCAACCGTACCCAGCAAGCGGTGGGATCTTCGGCGCGATGAGTACCGGAGGGCGAAGCCGAGGTAGGCGCATGGTGTGTACCATGATGTCGGGATCTACCTTTTCGCCCAGCACGCCCGCAGCAAGGTCGAGGATGCGACTGAACTTGAGAAAAAGCGGGTCAGAAGTCTGAGCCCACGTGTCGGACAGTGTCTGGAAGCTGTAAGTCTGCGTTGAGATACCGGAGCTGGTCTGCTTTCGCCAGGTGGAGAAGTCACGCAGGTGGTGGAGCTCCGCACATGCCCTGCGGCGCCAGTCTCGACATGCGGTGCCCAGCGCCGCTAGAGATTCTGGAGGCGCGAATGCAAAGATGAGGTCGACGATGTGCGGGAACCCTAGGTGGTCGATTGTCGCCATGATGAGTGTTCGACGTTGAGGTGACCACATATGGACGAAGTCGCAATAACAGAGCCTCCACTCCGCACACGGACCGGCCAGGGCGAGGTAGGCACGAAACCAGATCGAGTCACGAATTCGACGCTCGAGTCATCGTCTTCCATAGAGCGGCGATCGCTTACATAGCACATTGTGTTTAACGATCAACTGAACGAGGGAGCTATGGATACAGGCGGGAGTCGAAGTCGGTCTCTATCGCAAACTCCTTCTCCCCGACCTTCGCACGGTATTCCTCCACGGTCATGAGTGTAAAATCAGGGTGCCCCCTGACCGTTTCGTGGTGCTCAAGGGGAGCGACATAGGTGACCTTGGCGGGCTCTCTTGCCCTGAGGTAGACCTGATGCGCTGGTCGTTAGCGTTGAATACCGTGCGACCATCCTTACCCCATGCAGCGGTAATGAGCGGCTTTCCGCCGTGAACAATGAACACAAGCTCGTTGACGCGGGGACCATGGTTGCCCATGATGTGGAATCTGTCGTTGCGATAGTTGACAACTAGCTTGGCAATGTCGTCATGGTATGGAGCCTCCGCGTCGAAGTGGTGGTCGAACACCAGGCGGGCGGGTGCCAGGGCTGTCGGTGGCCCGTTGCGCCGGGGGCTGCAATGAGGGTAGAGGAATCTCAACGTGTCGATCCTGATGTTGATCGGCGGCCATTTGTACACCTTGGGACCGAGGTCGACGATCTCAGTGCTGTCGTACCCAACCAACTTCGACACGGAACATCGCTTCCTGCTTGCTGTCTGGTAGCGATAGCGGTATGTTCTCTTCCCCTCTTCGACGTCTTCAGCCCTCACTTCGGCCCAGAAGTTGCGAAGGTGGTAGAACTCAGCGTCCACCCTAGTCCGCCACTCGCGGCAGACATGCCTCAAGACGAGCAACGACTTGAACGGCGCGTAGACGAAGATGAGGTCGACGAGGTGGGGGAAGCTCAGGTGGTCGAAGCCCGTCATGGTCAGTGCGATGTTGAGATCTGTCAGTGTCTCTTTGTCTGCAAAATGCAGAAGCAGCCTCCACCTGACGCCTCCAGGGCGGCGCACAGACTTGTCAGTGATGCGCCTTCATCGGCCTGAGTGCAATGTTTGCCTTGTGCTTTCCTTGCAGCTGATATCCACAGCAGATCGCATGTAATAGCCTTGGATTGAGTCGTGCTCTGGAGGCTGAGAACGAGGCGTAGTGTACGCATGGCCGCAAGGCGGGAAGCGGGCTAGAGTTGGAGAGGATTGTGGAAGTCGGTCTCGATCGCAAATTCCTTGTCTCCGACTGAGGTGCGATACTCCGAAATGGTGAGATGCTGAAAATTGAGCATCTTCAAACCTAGGAATGAAGGAGGTCGCTCCGCAACGTAGGTGACCTTCATGCTTGAAAAGCTTTCTTGAGCGTCCGACAGAGCCCACAGAGTTCGGCAAAGGTCCAGAGCTGCTAGTCAACCGACGATTCCTTGGTTTGCTCACCATCAACTTCTGCGAACTCTGTGAATCGTTGTGGAGAACCTCGAGGATGCACCACAAAGACCAGGTGAAAGACCGTCAGTAATTCGGAGCAGTCTTCACTCCAGTGCGGAGTATGATGGCGGTAATCGTCGTTGCGGTGGTTCACGACGAGTTTCGAGATCTCGCGTTCCGTCCTCAGCCCAAAGTGGTTGTCGAGAACCACACGAGAGCATACAAAAGGAGCGATAGAGCCCATGTCGGTCTTTTCAATCGGGTGCAGCTGAGGAAGACGTACGGTGTCAACCCTGAGGGTGTGTTTCTTGTTCTCCACATCCTCAAAGTCGTACAGGGTGGCGAGGTCGACAACTCTGCAGAACCGCAGACAACGAGGATCAGTGATGGCCGCGTAGCCTCTTTGAGTTTCAAAGTAGAAATGCCACTGAATGCTGTTGTTGTTGTTGTTATCAGGTTCCTTCTCACCGATCCACCAGGTGGGCTGATTCTTGGAGCACCCAGTCGAGAAACCACGAAGATGGTAGAGCTCGGCGGCGACCCGCTTCCGCCACTCGCGACAAGTGTCGCCCATGACCACCAAAGACTGGACGGGCGCGAAGGCGAAGAGGAGGTCGACTACGTGCGGGTAGGAGAGATGGTCGATAATAAGCATGGCGATGCCAGGAAGTGCAATGGTCAAATGTGCAAAGTTGAGGTGTTTGATGGTCATCCAAGTTACAGCGAGCGAAGGGGCGCAGCCTCCACCTGCCCGGTGGGCACCATTGAGTTCTGAGGCTTGAACTCGTCATCCCGACAGATTGAGATGTTGTAGGTGAACACATAATGCATGATATACTTCTATCAGCCGCTTTTTCACCCGAAGCACCCTTCTCTCTGATTCTATTCTGCTGATGAAGCGGTCGGAGACGAGCTGGGCCTAAACCGGGGTGCCACGGGCGGTCGAACGCCAGATCCCACCGTAGGGGCAAAAGTCGAGAGTCGAACGAATTTCGATTGATGATAACTTCACAATCGTTCAGAGCAACCGCATCAAAGTTGCAGCATGAGCGCATTGCTTGGTCCACAGTTGTTAGGGCAACTTTCAGAAGCTTGCAAGCAATATGGGTTGAGCAATGAGCGATTCGATTTTGTTCGCTACGGTGGCGTTCGACTTTCCGTGGTACCCCGGTTTACAGTGGCGGGCCGACGAGAAAGGTGTAAACTGTAGGTCACGGAGAAAGCGTACAATCGAAATCGGTCTCGATCGCGAACTCCTTCTCACCGATCGTATCACGATACTCGTCGAGAGTCAAGAAGGCTACATTCGGAGTCTGTAGAATGGAAGGCGGTGATCTCGCGACGAAAGTGAACTTCGGACCATTGTGCTCCAGGTTGTTTTGCCACCGAGGGAGCTGCGTCACGAAGTTGTACAGGCTGTCGGCTAGGCGTCAGCTCGAGATTGGCGATCGTCTCCCGTCCTACCTCTCATCTCTGTTAACCATCTGTCTGTGCCTTCCGCACCGAAGTTGTGAGATATGAAAACGATCTCTCGGACCAGCAAGGTGCTGCGGAAGCCCTCGTAGCCCCAGGCACTGCGGTAACTCGAGCTATCGCGATAGTTGACGACAAGCTTGGGTACCTCGTGCGGTGTGCTCAGGCCGAAGTGGTTGTCGAATACCAATCGATAGCATTGCACAGACATCAAGTTTCTCACGACATGTGCTGTGTAGGGAGGCATCGGTAGGCGAAGGGTGTGACGTTGAAGACCACTCCATCTGCGAGGGGGACTGGGCCATCACCAAAGTCCACAACACGACAATAGTCCATGCAAGCCAGATTGGAGACTGCTGTGTAACATCCGGCTGGCGACTCGAAGACAAAGTGTTGACTGTGCGCGCTGATGTCCGAAGACTCATCCGTAACGTTATCGCTGATGAGTGCACCGCGTCTGACAGTGAGGTCGCGGAGATGGTAGAATTCGGCGACAACCCTCGTTCGCCACTCGCGGCAGGCCCGGCCCATGGCGAAGAGGGCTTCCTCGGTGGCATAGTCGAAGATGAGGTCGATGATATGGGGATAGCTGAGATGGTCTATGGTCTTCATATTAGAGGGAAGTGACAGGATGAGGACAAGTCGAAAGAGACGTACCGTTCCTTGACGCCGACAATGGCGCAGGACGCAGCCTCCACCGGCGGCTGCGTCGCTCGGGCCACCAACGAACAGAACACATCACACCTCCACCGGATTCACGAGCATGCGTGCAGGCAATGCATACTATCCTATGAAAAGAGTGTCTAAGTCTGAATGCACTGTCCGTGTGAACTTCACAGGCTACCTTGTTTGATGGCCGAAGCAGCATTTGGCGACTATGCACTGGTGAAGTGGTGCGCGCCAGAACCGACCCCTTCATCAAGGGGACAGAGGTCCGTCGAAGTTGGTCTCGATCTTGAACTCCTCCTCGCCAATTTCGGCCCGGTACATCTTGAGCGTCCGATGAAGAATGTTCTTGCCGGACACCATGGTCGAAGGTGGCGTGTTGGAGACAAAGGTGAAGATCACTTTCCGCGGTCCACGGTAGGCACCCCCTGCAGTTCGCGCGCTCGCACTCAGCTTGTGGAACAGGCCAGCGGCTGATCGTCAGTCAGTGGAAGGAGACACATTCTTCTCACCTTCGTACTGTGCCATTCCTCTGGTCTTGGTGTCTGCAGTGGGGTGCACGATGAACACGAACTCATGTACTTTGAAGGAGGAGTTGGAGCACTCCGGACCCAAGCGAGGCTCGCGGGCGCGGAAATTGCCATCGCGGTGGTTGACGACGAGCTTGCGCACCTCACGCCTAGTGTTCAGAGCGAAGTGATTGTCAAGTACCAATCGTGAACACGAGAACGGTCCCAGCCGCCCCATGTGGTTGATGGAGATGAGAGGGGTCTGGGAGATTCGCAGAGTGTCGACGCGGAGAACCCGTTCCGGCCGAACAATGATGGGCCGGGAGCCTAGGTCGAGAACTCGACAGCGTCGTATGTATCCTGTATCCGTTACCTGCAAGGACACGCCTCGCACCGTCGTGAACTGGTAGTGGTGAATGACGCTGGTCGACCCGCTCAGCTTGTTGTTCCACCAGGGCGGCTTGCGCTTCGCCGAGAAATCACGGAGATGATAGAGTTCGGCCTTGACCCTCTTCCGCCACTCGCGGCAAGTCTGACCCATCAGCACGAGCGAGCTGAGCGGGGCATAGTAGAAGATAAGATCGACCAGGTGGGGAAAGGCAAGGTGGTCGATCACTGCCGGAGTGCGTCGAACTCCGAGGCGAGAGAACGTGAAGCGTAGGCGGTCGACGGAGGTCATTGCAACTGGGAGTGGGGCATGGTTAAGTTGTGGAAGTCAAAATGCGACAAGCATGACCCAACCTCCACTCTACACACTACCGACTATGGCACTGATCCGGGCGTGTGTAAACAAATGGGTTGGACTGTTGAACGACTGCGAAGGACATGCATGACAGATCATCAACAGCTCGCTCTATCTATGCTGTCTTCTCCGATGCATAGCACCAGCTCCTGACATGGAGCTCAACGCACTTGGCGGAAATGTGAACGCCCTACGCGGGCACTGGAGAAAGGGGAGTATCAAAGTTGGTCTCGATGGCGAAGTTCCGCTCCCCGATCTCGGCACGATACTTCTCCAGCGTCTTGAACTCATAGCCGGTATCGTTTTTATCGTCTCCGAGGACGTCGAGATGCTCTTGGTCTGCGACGTAAAGTACCTTAGGGCGCTTCTTGAGCATCAGGTGAACGTCGTCAGCTGTCTATTAGCATTGGCTGACCATCAGGACTTCGAAGTGGACTCACCCCAGTCTGCCGCCTGGCGATAGCTCCCGCCGTGGACTATGAACACCAGCAGCTCGACCTCATTACCGACGACGCCTAAGACATAGAACTCGTCGTCGCGGTAGTTGACGACGAGTCGGGGCACCTCATCGAAAGGGAGGTCCGTGTCGAAGTGATTGTTGAAGACGAGGCGGTGGGGGGCAAAAGGTGTGCGGAACAGGTCACTGTCAACTTCCCAGCGGGGTTCAGGAAGACGCATGTCATCAATGGGGGCGCGCGTGTCGGCTCCGTAAGACATCGCCCGGTAACTGAGGTCGATGATCTTAGTGGTGCCAGATAGTCTAGTCACATCAGGCAGCTTTCCGGGCTTGCCGCTTGCTGTTTCGAAGTAGTAGTCGTACTTGGGGTGCTTCCACCAGTCGTCTCCCTGCTGCTTGGAGTCGTATCGGCTTGAAGCTCGAAAGTCGTGCAGGTGGTACAGTTCGGCGTCCACTCTGCTTCGCCACTCACGGCACACCTGTCCTAGGAGGAGAAGTGTGTCGAAGGTTGCAAACTCGAAGATGAGGTCGACGATGTGGGGAAAGCTGTGATGGTCGATGGCTTTTGTGGGGCGCCCAACATGGAGGAACGAGAAGGTGAAGGTGAAGTTCTCGAAGCTTGTCATGGCGAGTGAATCATGGAGGAAGGTGAGGAAGCGAAAGTGGTATGCCGCCTCCACCGTACCTGCACTTTACCTGGGCACCTGGGATGACATCGATCGCGAGCCCCTTGTGGCTCAGTCAGAGATAGGTTCGGTGAAGGTGATGCATACGAACACAGCAAGTAACAGTGATTGTTGCATATCTCCCTCACATACACTACACGTACGGCATCATCACTCTACCTATGCATCCAGGTGTTCTCTGTTTACCTTGTCGTATAGCTTGCATTCACATCGCGAGACAGAGCGCCAAGGACATGGCTGGCACCGTTCACGTTCACGGTGACAGCGCAGTGTTGAAGTCGGTCTCGATCGTTAACTCCTTCTCTCCAATCTCAGTCCGGTACTCCTCGAGACTGATGTGCCGAAGCTGTGGAATTACGATTTCCAATCGCGCGCTATCCCCATCGGAAACAAGAGTCATTTCCGGCTTCACCGGGCGTGAGCGGTGGGGTTTCGACCAAAGGTCAAAGTAGCACTCGCAGGCAAACTTGAGGGCTCGGGCTGTAGCGTACACAATCTGTTTCCGGTCGTCGCTGTGGAGCCTGCCCTTGACTGGCGTGTTGATCGGATGGACAATGACGACCAAGTGACGGATCCCAAAGAAGCGGTACCAGCAGTGTTGACTAAGCTTATGCAAGATGAATGGACTGTCGTATGTGTCCCTAAGGTTGATCACCAGCTTGTCGATGAAGCAGCTGGTCTTGAGGGAGAAGTGGTTGTCCAACACGAGCCGGCGGCACTCGAACGGAGCGAAGGAAGATTCGCTTCCCGGAGGAAGCCGATTGCGGTAGGGTACGCGGATGGTGTTGAAGTTGTAGCGCTCGATGCAGCCGAGGGGAGCGGGGCTGTCGTCGAGGTCGACGACCTTGGCACTAGTGCACGCTCCAAGGGTTGTTGTCGTGATAGACTCTTGCTGGCCAAGCCGGAAGCGGTAGAGGCGATGAACGGAGTGGTGGATAACGGAGAAGTCGCGCAGATGGTGAAACTTGGCTTCCACTCGCTGTCGCCACCCGCGACACACCCAGCGAAGTACGTTGTACGACTCAAAGGGCGCAAAGTGGAACACGAGGTCGACAATGTGAGGGTAGAAACTGTGGTCGATGGTTCTCATGTCGTTTCGAGTTGTTGACGGAAGGAAGGAGATTGCTGAACGTGAATTAGCTGGTGATCTCCGCCGCCGGCCCTCCACCTTGTGCACGGATGGTGGCGTCAACGGGGCCGGGGCGCAGACACTCCTCAATTCGAATGTTGGACGCTCCTTCATTGCACAGTTGCACAGTCCAATCGCATGCATACGCAAGCAAGATATCGACTGCGAAGAAGCTGCGTCACTGCACAAGGCACCAGCTGCTCCTCTCCCGCTCCGGCAGTGCCTTCAGGTAGAAGATGGGCGGACCCTTCAGCAACGATGTTGTGAAGTCCGTCTCGATCGCGAAGTCGACCTCACCCACAGACTCTCGATAAGCCTCGCGAGACATGTACGTCGCTGGGTCGAGCACCGTGTCCTTGAGGAACTCCACAATCGCGTGACCCCTCAGCTCAGGCTGATCGGGTGGTCGCTCCTCCGTCAAATCGAGTGCCTCCGCTCCCACCACCGTAACGGGCACGCCCCTTGCCGCCGCAGCATGGAGGATCTTGCCGAGTCGATAGAAGGTTGAGATGAGAACACCCTCAGGCGCGGAGAGACCCTCAGCTTTCTCCAGTGCGAGCTGCTCGGAGTCAAAGATGTACACGACCTCCTTGACCTGGGGCAGGTCGGTGTGCGTAATCCGATCCCACGCAAGCCCAGTGTACGAGTTGTGATTGATGACGAGCTTGTTCGCCTTCCACATTGGGTCAAGCACAGGTGGCATGGACGAGAGGACAAAGCGGTCGACGAACGGCAGCTGCAAGCCCTCGGGGACACGGGCACCGAGGAATCGCACGACCTCAACATTCGGCGCCAGCGGCTACAGGAAGAACTCCTCGTCCGCCACGTCCAGGATGCGGCAGTAGCGCAGCGCGTGCTCTGCACCTCGGAGAGAGAGCTCGTGCATGTTTGCCCACTGCTCGCCCTTGAAGTAGACACTCTGGATATCCTCGCCCGTCATGTCGAGAGTGACCCCGGGCCGCAGGTGGTAGCATCGCGCCAGCACCTTGAGCCGCCACTCGCGGCACACATGCCGTAGCGTCAGGTACGAGATTGGGAAGCTGTAGTCGAAGATGGCATCGAAGATGTGCGGGTAGCTGGAGTAGTTGAGCATGAATGGTGGAGTGTCTGGTGTGGAGGGTCCATGCATCGTCCGGTTATGAACCAAGGCTCGTTAGCGGCCCGTCGGCTTAGCGTCGTTCGGAGACGGAGCTGAGTGTGTGGCGCGATGGACGGATTTTAACGTTATTCTGATTTATTCTGTCCCCACACTGCTCCACTCTGTAACATGAGTATTGACAACGCAAGCGGATAAGCCGACACTGTGTTTCCAGAGATCCTACCAAATGCATGAAGGGTTGGGTTTCGCCCTAAACATAGGCCGGGTGGTGGGTGCATCCCTTGCTGGATGGTCCTCGCTGCATGGTACATTGCCAGCGAAAGTCACAAAATTCGAGACGCAATAGCCGGCTCCGGGCGGTTATCACCAAGTCATCCTAGTTTGGCTCTTATGTTAGGAGATGGGGTCGTAAAGAGAAGGTGTTGAATACCTATTGACTCTCTCTGGCATCTTGAAGTCGGTTTCGATGGCGTACTCCTTCTCACCAATGAGCTCCCGATACTCTTCATGAGTCAGAAGTCTGATACCTCGGACAGCCAAACGACGATCGCCGCTCGGTTTGGTGAACTTCTGTCCTTCGACTCTGTAGGGCTGGAACGTCGCGTGTGTAGTCAACGTTTCCGCTCCGACGACGGTGACGGGGACATGTGTTCTGCGTGCCGAACGTAAGACGCTCAGGAAACAGCAAGGGCATGCTTCGTGTCCATGAAAGACAAAAACGACTTCGCGCAGAGTCATAAAGAAGCTTCTCGGCTCGAGCTGATGACATCGGCTTGTCCGCAGGGTGTGGTTGATTATGACCCTCTTCACCCCGATGAAGAGAGCCCGCCCGGTAAAGTCCTTGTCTTGGAGGAAACGCGGATTCCAATTGCAATGGAACTGTCCGAACACGAGCCTGCGGGCGGCGGCATACCAGATGGGCGTTTGGAGGTACCCAACATCAACGAAACGGATGGTGTCAAGGTTTAAAGCGTATGATGGCAGTCGGGCGTGGCCAAACTGTTGAGCCTCTGCATCAAATCCCGATGAGAGCGATGTCGGGTGAAAGGCAACATCCAGGATTCGGCATTGCCTGACAATATTCTCTTTGGTGGTATCAAACGGGTGATAAAAGGACTCGCCGTCGAAATGGTAGATGTGACCGATCTTGGCGGACGCTCGGTGCCTCCAATCCTGGCACGTTTGCGACATTGCGACCAGGGAATCGAACCCCGCATAGTCGAAAATGGCTTCGACGATGTGTGGGTAGTAGGCGTGTTCGATCATGACGTTGAGTTGTTGGAAAGGAGGGGTACGTCGGTGTATGTTGGGATACGAGAGGAGGTGTGACAATGCAAAAGGAGTCATGGGAGGTCGATGTGATTTTCAGTGCGCAGAAGCGGAAGAGAATGGGTGCGCCCCTTGATCGAGCCCCCCTGGGCGCAGCAAACGCCCGTTATTGCTAACGCCGCGTCATCTCAGTCCAAGAACCGCTCGCAGATGACGACAAGGATGCATCGTCTTGCTATGAACCGGCTGCTACACCCCGAGAATCTGTGTAAGGGACTCAACGACCTCGCGTTTGCTGCAAAGGTTGTCGGGCAGGTCGAATGTCTGATAGGGAACGGGTACCGTCCAAGACGTCTCCACGTCGTACTCCCTACGCCCAACGAGCTCGCAGTACTCCTCGTGTGTCAGAGCCTCTACGCCTGGCCTGATGTCCTTGCGGAGGTCCTGCCTCTGGACGAGTGCATGCCCTTCCACGATGTAGGGCTTGAATTGACCCCTCCTGCGAAGGGTTTCATGACCGACGATGAGGACGGGGATGTCCCCGTCGAGAGCCTCATCGAGAAGCTTGAACAGACAGTGCGTGCAGATTCCGTCTCCATGGAGTATGATCACGATCTGTTTGAGCTGAGACAGCAAACACCTTGTGGTCCCGTTCTTATCTCGGTCGTTGCGCGAGGAATAGCTCGTCTCTCGGTGATTGATTACGAGCTTGTCCATGGTTTCCCATGCACCTGTTCTAGCACCGGGTTCGAAGTTTGGCGCGGGGTAATATATTGTAGACCCGAACTCGTAGAACACAACGCTACGCGCAGGTGGGAGCCAACGAGGTCGATCGAGGTAGGGCGCCTTCAGGCGCAGCGTCTTGAGAGGGTTGGGAAGTTCATGGAGAGCCTGGAGTCGGGAAAGTGGATCAGGTTTGTTGTACAGTCTGCTGTCCCATGTCGGTGTCCCCACGCCGATGTCCAATACTTGGCATTGCTTTGCAACCTTGGCCAGTGGAACTGGCACAGGAAAGCCGTACGAGTTGCTGCTGAAATCGATTTGGAGGTGCTTCATGTGAAACAGAGCGCGTTGCCGCCATTCGCTGCACACGGCCCGCATGACGGCGAGCGACTCGCAAGGCGCAAACTTGAAGATGAGGTCGACAATATGTGGGTAAAACGCATGGTGAAGCATGGTGGATTTGATGATATGGATGGTGGATGATGAAGTAAGGATAACGAGAGAGAGATGAGGACTGGAAGTTTCAACATCCGGTGGATGGCGGGTTTTGAGGTGAGGCGGGCAGCAACGGCTGCGCCTGTGCACCACTTGACCCGCAAGACACCGCCTGTACCGCCCACCAGAATTCAGCCTTAACGCGAGTGGCTTGGCTTAGCAGTCGCACAGTGACGATGTTAAGCGCTCTTGAGGGCATTCCTTAAGTAGCGGATAAGGTATGGGGGAAATTGAGCAACTGGACAAGGGTGCACATGTCACTGCATCGATCTAAAAATCCGGGGTCCACAGGCTAAGTACGGCAAAGAAGGGGGCGGGTAGACGACGAGAAGAGTGTGTCCTTCAACTACCGCCCCGACGCCAACGCAGGCTGTCGGGCAGCTCACGGACATACCAATGCGGGGGCGTTTCCCAGTTTGTTTCGAGATCGTAATCCGCTGCTCCGACCAACGAGCGATACTCCTCATGGCTCATGACATTGACACCCGATTTTGTGTGCTTGCGGTTATCTTCGATTTTGACGAGACTGTTTCCCTCTACTTTGTAAGGCCGAAAGGCGTGCCAGATGCGGATAGTGGCGTCGATGACGAGGGTGACAGGTACCGATATGTCAGAGGCCTCGTCGAGGAGGCTGATGATGCAATGCGGGCACACACCGTCTCCAAACAGGATCAATATTACCTTTTTCAGCTGGGAGGACAATGTTGGCGTGGGACTTCGCCTGTGTAGCGAGGGGCTGTGGCAATCGAGACCATGAGCGTTCCCCACAGGTTTAGTGGACGATGACCAACTTCCCCATGTCGTACCACCCGCCAAACCTCGGACCGGGTTCAAAACGGGGAAGGTTATCACGTGAGGGTGCTTGAAAGGCCGAGAAGACAACCCTGCGAGCGTTCGGAAGCCATCTAGGCTTGTCAAGATACGTCGAATCCCTTACACGTAGAGTGTCGAAGTGAGGCGCCAGCGCCTGAATTGGCCAGAGCTTGACCATGTAATACACACCGTGGCTACCCGTGTCGATATCCAGAAACCGGCAGTGTCTGATGGCGTCGGTGAAAGGTATGCGGAAGGGGTAGCTGTACGTTTCGTCGTTCATGTTGATGTGGAGGTGGTCGAGTTGGGCAAGCGCTCGATACCGCCACGCACAGCCAACGGCAGACATGACGACCAGCGACTCGAAAGGCGCGAAGGCGAACACGAGGTCGATAATGTGGGGAAAGAACTCATGATCGATCATGCTGTCGCTGTTAGAGGATGCCGAGAGACATAGCCCGGAGACGTTAACGGCGAAGGAGCGAAGATGGAGAAAGGTGAGTGACTGGATGAAAGGAAGTGCGGGCTGAAGGGCGTTTTGGCTCCGTCAAGCGTCAAGGCAGTGACGCCCCAATGTAGTTCCGCAGTGCATTTCGGTAAGGGTACTTAGCGATACTTGAGGGTTGTAGCATTCGCGCGGAGGACATCGGGGATTGTCGCTGACAACGTTGCGAAAGGGCCAGAGCAGTGAGTCGCAAACGGTCACGACCATAAGGGCTTTGGATCCGTGATCGCGTCTGGGATGTGCTTGGCCGGATATGAGCGGCTGAGGGTCTGCTGCTGTCGACGCCGACGACGCCTTGCCGCACGCATGTTTCTAGGCTTAGTTTTCATCAACTCCTAGGGATCTAGGCTCGTGCACCCTACGGTGTCCCCGTTGGTCTCCAGGCAGCAATCGGAGCTGTTGAGCACGCCTTTGTCACTGGCCCACAGGCTTCCCCTCGTGCATGCATCTCCTCTCAATACCTCATCGGTCCCAGTTCACCAAACTATCATCGCTAAATGTTTGGCATCCCCCGAAGCCGCTTACTCGAGCGCAGGTCTGATTTCGGAGTGGAGGAAAGTAGTGGTTGGAAACGTCGAGCGGCCTGAGTAGGGGCGTTTGTTCCCAGTCCGCCTCTATGGCGTACTCCCTCTCATCCACCCTCCTGCAACACTCTCGGTGAGTCAACACCTCGACACCTTCCCTCAGGCGCTCCCCGTACTTTGTGAGCTGGATGACAGTTGAGCCTCTGACTTGGAACGACTGAGACGGCGGAACACCTACAATGGTGACTGGGACTGATACGGCCTGAGCCTCGTTCAACAGGGAGCGGATGCAGGACGGACAGGCCGAGTCGTCTCTCAGGATTAGCACGACCTGCTTCAGCTGCGGGAACAGCGTGGCGTAGTCTTTGATGGTCTCTTGGCCGCCACGGTCACTGCTCCCCTCCTCTCCATTAGCACTGTGTCCTCCATCGTCGTCCTTTGCTCGCTTGTGCTTGCAACAAGTCCAGACCAGCTGATGGTGAATGATGACGAGCTTCTCCATCGTCTTCCACTCGCCATTTCTCATACCCCTCTCCAGCCCCTTGAGCGACGTATGGTCCGGATGGAAAGCACCGAAGACGATGCGCGGTGTGCTGGGTATCCACATGGCCTTGTCGGCGTACGCCGCCCTTCGGAGCCTGATCGTAACCAGGTCCGGTGCGAAGGTCTGGAGTCGGGCCACCTCCGGGATGAGGTGGTTGTCGGTTGCTGGGTTGCCTACAGCAACGTCGAGGACACGACAATGACGAGCTGCCTCCTCGAAGATGATAGGTGATGGGGAGAGGTACATGTCATCCAGGAGATTGTAGACGAGGCTGGTCTCCGACAGGGCGCGTTGCCGCCACCCTCTACTCACTCGGGCCAGGACGGCGAGCGACTCAGGCGGAGCAGAGGCGAATACGAGGTCGACGATAGGGGGGGAGGAGAGGTGGTCGATCATGTGCTTGGATCTGTTCGTGAGTTAGAGGTGGAGGATGGAAGTGAGGGAGGCGATGAGTGAGGTGTGGGTCAACACTGGGCTTGCCTTGCGTCCCTTGGTTGACTGTGCACCCGCGCACCTGCGACGATCAGTCCAGTCAGTTGCGGACACTCTCGCCATCAGTCACTCTTTCAGCGTCCAACAGATCCACGTGCATGCGTGTGTGCGTGTCTATCTCTACTTCTTGCCCTTGTCCTTCTCGTCCTTGCTCTCGTCGGTCTTCCCCTTGTCGCCATTCTCCTTGTCCCTCTTGTCCTTGTCACCATTCTCCTTGTCATTCTGCTTGCCCTTGGCGTCTCCCTGCTGGTTCTGGTCCGGGATCTTCTTGTCGACTTCATCATCGTCCTTGTCATCACTCTTACCCTCCGCACACTCCATCTCGTCACCCGGCTTCCTCCTGGCGAGAATGTGGAAGTGGCCAAAGCCCGGAATGCTCTGCAGGCGAGGCGGATTGACGAACCAGAGACACTCCCACCCGCGAGGATCCCAGAGCGCCTCAACCATCTTCTCAATCTCCTGCCCGCCCTTGCTCATGTGTTCGACACCTGCCCACTTCTTGAGCTCGGGACCTCCGGCCTCGACGTCGTCCTTGTAGCTGCCGCGAACAGGGGTCACGCCCACGAATCCGTGCAGTCCCTCGTCCATGATCTTCTCGTACGCCTTCTCGTCATACTTGACCAGCGCGGGGTGCACGAGCGGCACACGGGACCAGACACAGTAGTGCTTCACGCCGGCGGGCATGGAGTACGGCCAGTCGTTGAGGATGAGGGCCCAGCGCGCCTCGTCGAACTTGCCCTCCCACTTGACGTAGCTGTCGTTGTTGGGGTGCTCCTCGTCGTCCTCGTCCTTCTGCAGGCGGTCCTTGATCTCGTCTAGCGAGACGTACGCAGCACTCTCGGGCATCTCGTCGGAGGACACGGTGTTGGAGGAGCCGGAGGAGGAGTATCCGTCATCGTCCCAGTCCTTCTCCTCCTTCTCGACGCGCTTACGCAGCTCCTTGCGCAGGTTCTTCCGATTGCGCTTTGACCAGGGCAGCCGGCCCTCGATCATGAACGTCGCCATGTCGCCCCACTCCTCCTTCATCTTGTCCGACCACTCCTTGTACTTGTCGTTCAGCGCCTGGTTGCGCTCAAAGCGGTCGCCATCGCCAGACTCTAGTCTGTCAGCGGCCGCTTCCCTGTTAACTCACTGATGATGTCCTTGAGCTCTCCCCAGGTGAACAGCGGCACGAGGTCGTTCAGGTCCTCCTCAGTGGGCAAGGTCTTCTTGATATCCTCAGGCGGCTCGAACACCTTGGGCGCGGGATACTTGTCCTTCGCGAGCGGCTGGGACGTGTCCTGGTCGTTCTTGTTGGTGCCCATGTCTTTCTTGTTCTTGTTCAAGCTCGACCGATGTCTCTGGGTGATGAAGACGTTGCAAGAAGGGTATGGGGTGTTGCGCGCAGCTCCAAGAGCAATACGCAGTGCATACGAGAAGGGATCTGATGCCAAGACATCGAAACCCAATAAATCCCTCAAATCGGTCGTGTCCCGCGACATCGGTAGTGATGTCATTGTCATCATGGCCAGCCAGGCACCGCGTATCAGACACGCCCAACGCCTTGTCTCGGGTGGGTGGAGGCGATTAAAAGGGATCTCGCTCGGTTTGCGTGGGGAGGGTCTGCAGAGTCTGGACCAACGCATGCTGCGCGCTGCATAGCCCGGCGACATACGTCGACGCGACTGCTTTTGCGGGGACATGTGCTCTGCATGGATGACTACATGGTAGGGCGGCGTGATGCTAAAAAGACTCTCCCACCATCTTCTCCGTGAGAGCCCACAGCCTCTCCGCACTCTCCTCATCTATCGCGTGCTCCGCAACACCCCCCTTCATCAACTCAGCCATGTCCCTCGCAGCCGCAACGATCGGTGCAACCTGACAGTCATGAAGATACTCTCCGCCCCTCAAAGCCGGATCGAAAGCAGCCACGATGGTAGTGCTTGCGCCCTGCTCGAGCGTTTTGAACTCCCACCCACTGTCCTCCCTCATGCTCCCGTCGTCATTGAAGAACCGCCCAATCATGCCCTTCATGTCCTCTTTGCAGAGGTACCTGCCCAGATTCGTTCTGATTCCTCCCGGGTGCAGTGCAACAGCCTGCACTCCCCTGGCATTGAAGCCGACGGCGTCGAGGACGCACGCGGTCTTGCTCTGCGCATAAGAAAGGAAGTTGGAATAAGGTCTCGAGGCAAAGTTGGGATCGTCAAGGTGCACCGGAGACGTGCGGTGCGCCACCGAAGACACAAATACGACCCGTCCCAAGATGGGAAGGAGGAGGTTCGTGAGCAGCCACGGACCGAGATGGTTCGTCGCGAGCTGGGACTCGTGTCCGTCTTCTGTGAACTGATGGGGTGTCATCATGATCCCCGCATTGTTGATTAGGACGTCGAGCCTGTCCACGGTTGTCTTGATCTGCGCGGCGGCGGCTCGGACGGAGGAAAGGGAGGAGAGGTCCAACTCGACGGTGGAGAGATGGGCGTCGGGGACCTCGAACCGGATTGCGGCCGCTGCGGCCTCGAGCCGGGAGAGGTCACGGCCAGCCAGGAGGAGGAGGGCGGGCGCATGCCGCGCGATGGCGAGGGCGGTCTCGTACCCGATACCGCCTTGCGAGGGGCCCGTGATCAGGACTGATGTCAGCTCAGCCAGACCGGAGGACCTACTCGTCTTGCCCTTGATCTGGTCAGCAAAGGCAGCCGCGGCCTCGGAGGCAGTCGTCGTGGCTCCAAACTCGGGATGGGAAGTCGTCCCTGCCTGCCGAAGGTGCTGGGACTTGAGCGCCGGCTCCGCCGTATGCTGCTCGTCGGTCTGGACTGTCATGATGCTTGTATGTATCCTGAGGATGCCCCTCAGACAGAGGGGTGCTCTTTATAGACCACCCCGTTGCTGCGCACCAGAGCTTATCCTCTTTCTAGAACCCCTCGTGCAGCACCTTCAGTGTCACATCTGTGATAAGCTTTGCATCACCCCCCCTATATGAGCTCAACGTGATCGAACAGGCCCCGAAGGGGTGCAGTCGCCGAGCCTTCGCCGAAGGACAAGTGGAAGCACATGGTGCATGTGAGCGTGACATGGTCGGAGTTCTTGCCGAGAAGGAGACTTCCATCCACATGCATACGTTGGACTAGTATGTACAACTGCTACTTTCCCTCGCCTCCGTCCAGAGGCCGTCAGGTCCACAGACTCGCCCCGCTACGCTCGGCTTAGTTGGCGAAAGCGCTGATGCCCGTCATGGCCTTGCCGAGGATGAGGGTGTGGACGTCATACGTTCCCTCGTAGGTGTTGCACACCTGGAGGTTGGCCTCGTGCCGTCCAATGCCGTACTCGTCGGAACACGCGTTTCCGCCGAGAATGTCGAGCAGGATGCGGCTGTGCTGCAGCGCGTTGCCGCAGTTGTTCCGCTTCAGAATGCTGATCATCTCGGGGTTGTACACGCCCTTGTCGATCTGGTGGCCGAGGTGGAGCGAGCCGAGGAGACCCAGAGTTGCGGCAGATGAGGCGTCGACGAGCTTCTTCTGCACCAGCTGGAACGAGGCGAGGGGACGGTTGAACTGGTGCCTGTGGGTTAGCTAAAAGAACGAAAGGCATTAAGCTAGGATAAGTGTGCTCACCTCTCGAGCGCGTAAGTGCGCGCCTTGTCGATGCAGTCCTCGAGCGCGCCCATGACTCCCCAGGAGATACCGTAGCGCGCATGGTTAAGGCAGGAGAACGGTGCTCCGAGCCCATTGCTCTTCTCGAGCACATTCTCAGCGGGGATATGGACGTTGTCAATGAACACGCTTCCAGTGACGGAGCCGCGGAGGGCGAGCTTGTTCGTGATCTGCGGGGTCTGGATATCCCCCGCATCGCGCGGGACGATGAAGCCGCGGATCTTGCCGCGGACGCCGTTCTCGACCGTCGTCGCCCAAATGATGAAGAAGTCGCCGTAGGGCGCGTTCGTGATCCAGGTCTTTTGCCCGTTGATCACCCACCCGCCGTCCTTCTTCGTGGCTGTCGTCTCCATGCTCGACGGGTCCGAGCCGTGGTTGGGTTCCGTCAGGCCGAAGCAGCCCAGAATGTCCGCCTTCGCAAGTCCCGGCAGATACTGCTCCTTCTGCGCTTCAGAGCCGAACTGGTTGATGGCCGTCATGACGAGGGAGCTCTGGACGGACATGGCGGAGCGGAAGCCAGAGTCGGCACTGTCGTCAGCTGACTATCCCTTTCCCAGCTGCGCCCCTCTGCGCCCCTCGTCATACCCAGAGGACCCTCCACGACAACTCACCGCTCAACCTCGCGCATGATGAGTCCGTACGAGATGTAGTCGGTACCGGCGCATCCGTATCCCTGGATCGTAGGGCCAAGGAGACCGAGCTCGCCCATCTCCTTGAGAATGTTGAGGTCCAGCTTCTCCGTGCGCCATCCCTCCTTGATGCGGGGCACGAGCTTCTCCTGCGCGTACGTGCGCGCCGTCTCGTGGATTGCCTGCTGCTCCTCCGTAAGCAGGGAGGACATGTTCAGCGGGTCCTCCCAGTTGTACGGCGCAAACTTGGCCATGGTGCGGGCTTGCGGCCTGGCGGCGCGGAGGGCAGCTTGCGGGCGGATCGTTCTCAGCATCGTCGTGTCGTCTCGTGGAAGGGCTTTAGGAGTGGAAATGCAGTTAACCGGCAAAGCCTTATAAGCACTAGCTAGAGTGTGCAGACTAGATCGTAGCGTGCACACGAACGCGCGACCGGATTGTGGGCAAGGCCGAATACCGTCTCTCATCGTCGTGCACAACAAGGCCAAGAGTCGGACATGGCCGACCTGGATGGGTGCATGCCGATCGAGATCGGTCATTTCCACATGCCTACCACCTGCGTCACTCTCCCACGCCTGTCCCGACCTCCAGTTACCCAGTCCATCTTCCTCACTGTTGCGGAGCCCACCGTCCTTCCGCACTCATCGCGGCATCCTACGGCCGACAACACGACTTAGGCTCGACCGTAAGTGTCACAGCCGCCGGAGCGCACCGAATCACACCGCCGAGACTGCAACGACTGACTGTTCGCCGCAGACTAGCTCGGAATTCACGAAACAACTGCTACAACAAATCAACATGCTCGCTTCCGTCGTCGGTGCGGGCGTTGCGGGAGTCACTGCGCTCCTCGCATACAGCGCCATCAACGATGCCTTTAAGGAGAAGGTCGACAGGGAGATTGACCTTCAGTGGATGCAGGCCTCGATTGACGCTATGCCGAAGTGTCACTACCTTGCCTATGGATCTGTAAGTGCACAGCTCCACAAGTCTTCCTCCATCTGCCTTCCCCGGCTGTCTTCCCCGCCTATTTCTCTCGGGCAATATTACCTCGGAGGACTCCTCGTCCCATTGGTAGTGGAGCAGCAATCCCCAAGGGTTTCTCAATCGCATACGAGTTGACTCCACCTCTGTCGATGGGACACTGCTATGCCGATCGAAGACGGGACGGATGTCGCTGAGTCAACTCCGTTCGACAGCTGACGCTCAGGTCATCGTGAACGCAACAAGCGGCGAGAAGATCTGCGAGGGCTACAACCGTGAGATGGAGACGGCCGACCCCACCGAGCACGGCGAGGTCGACGCCATGCGCAACTGCGTCAAGAAGTACACCGACCTTGGATGGACCTCGGAGCAGGTGAGTCGCTGCTCCCACCACCCTCTCTGCGAAGCGTTCCACAATTTGCCTGGAGGACCATCTCTCAGCTCATCTGTTTGGCGAGCCCTGCGGCGTCCATCGACTGCTTGTCATGCCCGGCGGCCTCCGTATGCCTGGCCGGGGCTCACTCTGGGCCTCCGTTCTGTGCGGAGACGGTGAATGGCTTGGCTGGTGGTGAATAATGTCCGGGACCCCGCAGGAATCAGAGGTGGAGGTGGAGGCTTCGGCCAATGGCATCAGCCACATTCCCCGATAACCCATGGCTGACTGTTCAGATCAAGAACGACCTGTGGCCCAACAGCTGGATCTACACGACTGCTGAGCCGTGCCCGATGTGCGGCGCGGTCATCCTGCATTGTGAGTAGAAGCGCAAGGGATGTGGCAGTAACATGAGATTGCGGCGAAGCCAAGCTGTGCGCCCGATTGAGTTGAAGCTGACTTCCAGCCGGCTTTAAGCGTGTTATTTTTGGTACTGACCAGCCGACGATGCGGTACATGGGCTGGAACGAGTACCTGGTGACTCTGCGTACTGACTGGCTGCGCCGCCTGGCCTTGATCCAGCCCGGGTTCGGTAACGGACGCCCTGTGACGGACGTGCTGTCTGTTGGCTCTGAGCTGACGGACCCACTCCTGTGGTGGCAACACCACGCCAAGTACCCGTGCCCTGCTGGGTGCCATCGCGAGGAGGGGGACAAGGTGAACGGAGTGCCTCTGTGCAAGCCTGACGCCGGGCAGTAGGCAGGCTAGGCTGGAGGAGTCGTAGGGTGAGCACCAGTGTGACGGATGGTCTAGGGCGAGGCGGAAGAAGACGAGGGATATTTTTGGTCCCGCTGTGTCCCTTCCGGCGGGGCGGGTGTGGTAACGATCCTGGGCCATCAGGATCGCTCAGGGACGCGATGCCGGGTAGCCAACCACAAGTCAGAGAGACCACGTGAGGATCTGCGGCTTGTTTGTTCCCAGCGCAGGGCAGAACCAATCGCAGCGATCCCAGCAAACACGTCCATTGCACCCAGTTACAACCCTCGATCTCCCCCTAATCCTCGTCTCCGCACCCCCCCTTCCTTGCTCCCTAATCGGCTGTTCTACTCTGTTGCTCCTTCTCTCTCTCTCTCTATCTGGAATGCAATTCGATCGATCACTCCTCCTACTCGGCCTTGTGGCTCACCAACCCGGGGCTCTCTCTTGGCACTCCCCAGCCCTCGCCCCTGCCTTCCCATCAACCGTCCGCCATTCACAACTGAAACTCAGTGGGCCAAACCTTGCATCTCGCCCACTGTAGCCTCTTTCGGCAATTCGTCGCACGCCACTCACTTTCCCTCACATCACAGACATATGCGCAGAGCTAGAACGTTGCTTGCTAGTCCCTCTGCTCTCAAGCTCTCACGGCATCTGCAACCTGCAAATATGCGCCTGTTCCGAAACCCAGCGCATCGGAAGGTCACAGATCCAGGTACTCTTTCCGGGCCTGCGCCAGGATTAGCCAGGCTTTGTGCAGGTATCAAAGGCAATTAGCATACCTCCGACCACCGTGGCTGCACACTACCCAACTCAGGTCGGTCTGCCCTGTCCCCCTCGCTTGCTGGCTTGCACGCTGCGTGACTGTGCGACTGTGCGACTGTGAGCGCCATACGCGCGCCAGGCTTTGAGTACTGGCGCCCACTTGACGCGGGCCTTAGCGCCTGATCGCTGCGCCCAATGCGTCAGAGCCAAGACAAGACCAGGGCCTGGGGCCGGTGTCCAGGGACAGGAGCAAAGCAGACCCGCTAGAGTGTCTGATCACGACGCGTTGAATCAAAGCAAAAATACGACAGTTGGCCACCCACGGCTTCACCCACTCTGTGCTGCGCTGCTGCATGGTGTCTGAGAGTTTGCCAACCTGCGCCTCAGCCGCCTCCCCTTCAGCCCCGCTGCACGCCATGCAGCCGCTGAGCTCAGTCCTGTCTTGCCTGGTCTAGAGCAAAACCAGACCTCCCGGCATCCCGGCATCGCCCCCGCTCCTCTGTGCTGCTGCTGCTGCTGCTGTGCGCGGTATTTCTTCGCCCTCTTCCTCTCTCTCACTTACTCACACTTCTCACTCTCTCTTTACCTTTTTTCGTGACCCCAGTGTAGCAGTGCCCGCCATGAAGCGCGCCTTCCCCGCTTTCTTCATCGCCCGTGAGTACGACTTGTCGTCGTCACGCTCGTGTTCTGGCGTGCCGCTGCAGATCACACATCGCACGTCCCTCGCGACTGTCCACCGTGCGGTGGGTTGCGAAGATCAGCGACAATTTCTTGCCACCGTATCAGTAGCTGACTTCCCCAGTGTGCGCGTTCATCTGCTTCATCCTTGTTACGGTCTCGGCGCCGTTCATCCGCAGCCTGTACGTTGCGCACATTCAGTCTGCCGCGAAGCAGGAGCTCGCGCAGAACCTCGGCGTGTTCGGATACTGTTACCCTGGCGGCACCACCGTCCTTGGCTTCTCGCTCTCGGACACTGCGTGCTCCAAGCCCACGTACCCTTACCAGCTCGATGAGAAGTTCTTTGGCTACAACTCGTCGACTGCCTCGAACCTGAACCCTCTCGGCAACCACTTCCTCGACAACCAGGCTATCTCGATCACTAAGGGTATCGGCAAGGCTCTGATCCTCAACCCCATCGCCGCCGCCCTCTGCCTGCTTGGTCTGATCCCCTCGCTCATCTCGGTCTGCACCACCTGGCGCTGGACTCAGATTGCCGCGTGGTTCTTCCTCCTCCTCGCCACCATCTGCTCGTGGATCGCCTTCATCATCAACATTGTCTTCGCCGCCCTCGTTAAGAGCCGCGTCAAGGACACCACCAAGGGCAACTATGTCGGCTCGATCGGTAACGCCACCTGGGTCTCGCTCGCCGGCGCGATTCTCATGAGCATTGCCATGGCTCTTGCCCTCTTCGGCTCGTGCTGCTGCATCAAGACGAAGAAGGAGAAGATTGCCGCCGAGCAGCACGACATGGAGGGTCTCAACAAGGAGTCTGCCGCTATCGGCACCACTGCTGGTACCACCACTGGCACTTCGAACGCGTACAACCCCAACTACGATGCCGAGTACACCCCCGCCGGCTACGACACGACTGTCGCCGCTGAGCCCACGGCCCACAAGTCGAAGTACGCTTTCTGGAAGAAGTAAGCGGAGCGGCATGTGCAGCACGCTGCGATGCAAGGCTTTAGGATGAGCAGGAGTTAATAATTTTACGATATACACTTTATAGTCGATACACGCGCACTAGACATGCACGAAAATATTGCACAAAGAGGTCGTGACGAGTAACAGTGGGTGGCGGTGCACCGCCTTGGCCGATCAGTGATTGCCCGGTTGTGCCGTAACGGCGCGGTGCCTGCGGGGTGACTCTGGTCTCTACCATGCATTCTACAATTTCTACTCATGTCTACAACTTTGTCGTCTTCTGCAACTCCTGCACCGCCAGCGCATTGACACGACTCCACATGCCTTTCCTGAGCTCGTGTCCCTCGCTGAAAGCCCTATGCCACTCGCGTCTAAACACGGGTAGTTTCCTGCCCACACCCTCCGCCGTTCTGCCCTCTGTGGCGAGTTCTCTGAGGAGCTCAAAGTACGCCTCAAAGTCGGGGCTGACGAGGGAGAATCCGGGCCCGTCGCCCTTCACCTTGACTCTTTCTTCTTCCCACTCTTCCATCTCTTCTCTACTCGGCAAGGGCTTAGAGCGCCCAGCAAGAAGACGGGCGACATACACTGCCTGCCACTCAAAGATCTTGAATGTGAGTCCAGCACCCACCGCGCCGACAAACAGCAAAGAGGGATCGTCCTGGTGCACGATGTGCTGCCAGAGTCCGGGGACTCTGTTGTTCCTAGGCTTGATCTGGGGCAGGAAGGGCAGAGACCAGGAATATCCCGTACCGAAGATGATATGATCCACTTGCGGGATCTCCGTGCCATCTTGCAAGTACACAGTCCTCGATTTCGGGTCGATGCGATCGATAGTGACACACTGCGTGATGCGGGGGTGCTCAAACGCCCCGCCGCCAAAGTACGCATTGAACGTGCGTCCCACCATGATGGCGAAGACGGTACAGTGCGGGGCGAGGTCGAACGCGATGTCGGCTGCCGAGACGGAGGCGCCGACGACGACGACGCGCCGACCAGCATACAGCTCGCGGCCGCGGAAGTGCTTACTGTGGATGACACTGCCGGGGCGGGAGGCTTCGTATTCCTCCAATCCGTCAATGGGCGGGATGTACGGCACATGGTAGTGTCCGCTCGCGACGACGAGGGCGTCGAACCGTTCCGCCCACCAGGTATCCACCTCACACCCCCCTTTCCTCAGAACGAGTTCCCACTCGTCCCCAACTTTCGAGGCGCGCTCAACTGTGACGCCATACTCCACATAGTCCGGGTGTAAGGCCGCCACGTCCTGGACATACTGCCTCACCGCCGTCCATGGCCTGAACGGTGTCGAGTCGCCATAATGCCCGCGAGACCACTCTGTCGTCGTACTCGGAAAAGGCTCAAGTTCGAAGGACATTGGGATCGCGTCGACGTTGGTCTCGAGGTAAGGGTAGATGCTCGACTCGGAGAAGCGGGGATACTGCGCGGGATCCAAGGGCGCCGTTTGCAGGGGCAAAGAGGGGGGGAGGGGGATCGGGGGGTCTGCTGTGCGAGCAGCCAAAGAGGTGAAGTCTCGGAGTGTAGGGGGTGGGGCCGTGTCGCCGATCCTGGCATCAGCTTTCTCATTCGGAACAAAGCTAGGACGGTCTCGCTGGCTGTCTCGGCGTACTCACCAGCAGCCGCCTGCCGCCTCCCTCCGCTCGAACACTCGGATCACATCGAACGCATGCTCCTTCACTAATGCGTCGAGCGTGATGGCGCCAGAGGGACCGGCACCGATGACGGCGACTCGTTTCTTGCCCTGGCGCTGCTGGGACTGCTGCTGTTCTCCCATCTTCTGGTCAGTCGATTCGTCGGCTGTCGTCTAGTCGTCTAGTCGTTGTCGTTGTCGCTGTCGCTGCCGTCGTTGTCGGCGTTCGGATAGTCGTGGTCACTCCGCAACAAGGGAGCAAAACGAGTCGAGTAGGTACTGAGCCAAATACCGAAGAAAGTGTGAAGCCAAGAAAACAGGGCATGCATGGAGATTTGGGGGCTGAGAGGAAGTGGGCAGAATCACTGCCGCACACGGAGACTCACACGTGAAGGCTTTACAGGCACATCCCCACGGGGTCGGGGTCGGGATCGGTGTCTCAGCCAACCAGTCGGGCCGAGCATGTCACCATCGCGGACACTGAGCACGCAACGGCGAGCACGAGCACTTACTCTTCTCTGTCCCTCCTTTGCTTCGACGGAGGGTTCCTTCACAGTCGAGAAGAGGACTGAGCGATGAGACAGGGGGATGATTGCAAAAGGGAGCATGAGCAGCGAGCACGGGCGAAGTTCTGCTTGAGACAGCTGTTGTGATTGCGGTGGAGCCGTCGCCGAGACTACACCCCGGGGCCGACGTCGGACACAGGATGCTTCTGAGGCTTCTGGCTCTGCTTCTGATCCTGGTTCTGCCGTAAGATAGATGAGCGACTCATTGAGCTCTCCGAGGTGAGTTTTTGCAACGCTTCTTAGAAGCAATCGCACGTGCTGACCTCTTCCGAATACTCTGCCTCTGACCGCAGCGAGCGCAGCAACTCGCCAGCCGAAGTAGGACTCACCGAAGCCATCGCCGAGGTACTCTGCCGTTTGCGTTTGCCCGCGGCACCGCGGTGGATGATGGACATTGATGATTTCGTCGGGAGCAAGTTTATCCGAACGCTTATCATATCGCTGCTAATCGGTCACACCTTGGCTCGACATTGGGGTAAATTGTGCGAAGGGCGGAGAAGGATAGATGGCTGTGCAGGCTTTATTTCAACAGGCCTGCTTCCATGACTGCGAGCTCTTCCTGATACTCTTGACTGGTGTGCTCGAGAATCGTACATCGAAGGCTGCAGTGATCAGGACATTGGCCGTGTCCTGCGTCTCAACTGGAACTGGGCAAGTCACCAGTCACCAGCGGAGACGATCTCCTGTGCTCCCTGCTCCATCATGCTCCAGTCGTTGGGACTTGAGCTCCTGGGTGAGACTCCTCCGTCGATCTCGCTCCATGGAAGGCCATCATCTCACCGTTGCGAGTCGAACCGTGATCTCTCGGAGCCGGCGGCTTCCCTCCGATCGCCGCGCCGCCCGTGCCTGAAATGACTTTTGGAAGCTGACTTGACAACCTGTCAACATCTGACACTCGACCGTTAGCAATGCCCGACCTCATTCCGCCATGGTCGACCTCAGCGCCTACGGTCTAGGCCAGTTCAATCTTACCCCAGAAGACATCTTCTACGTCGAAAGTCCGAACTGCAGAGGCCCCCTCCGACACCTGAAGGCGGGGAATCCTAAACCACCGAGACAGCGCATTTGGTACCCCGACAACCCCCCCGACCATGTCTTCCTCGCGCAAGTGCCGTGCAAACAGCCCGTTTCCGTGGAGAGGATAGCTGCGTATCCGAACAATAACATCCTGAGCGGCGTCGCATGGGACTTCACCAGCCGCTTTGTCGGCGACTATCGGCTCAGGCGCAACTTCCATCGGGTCATCAGCACCCTCGTCCTGAAGGAGTCGCATGAGGCATCCGACTTCGTCTCCTACACTGAGCAAGCTCAGATTGACGAGGACATATGGCAGTTCTTTGGTGACCGGCACCTGCAGACGTCGCTGCTCCTGAGGAACCATTTCTCGCTTCGCATGATCAATACATCGCACGGAACTTCGTTCGAGGAAGCATTCTTCTCGAAACTGTACCAGGGGATCTTTGACAGGGACTATCGTCGCTGGAGGAAGACACACCTGCGCTACAGGGAGGGTCCGAGACGGCCCTCCTTCCTCCTCGTCGCTCGCAGCCGCTTGCAGTCGACGTCCGTGTTGGCGGAATGTCCCGTGCAGATGGTTGCCTGGCCAAACGTCGACATCAACAATCTGTACGCACCATACGACAAAGCGCTTTGGGACAGCCTTAAAGGGCAGGAGAAGGTCGACGCTTGCGATATTCTGCTGCGCGATGAAGCAGACGACGAGGAACTGGACGAGTACAGGCGGCGCTGGATGGAGGAGGGCGAAATCGTGAGTGGACCGCCGGCGAGTATGACTGATGCCCACAGCCCCCGAACACGTTCTTTCACCTGCGGCCCGCCGAGGCAGAACAGGTTAGGCGCGACGCGCATATGCCCTATCTACGGCAAAAGGCTCGAAAGGCGTTCGCGGCCGCGTGTGCGAACCTCCTGAACTTGTACGACATGTGCGGCTCGGTCTACGGCACCGTCATCGCTGACCGCAAATTTTCGCGGATGTATGTCCTGTCACGAGGACGGATAGCGGTCGAGCTGTCAAACGCGGGCCAGCTTGTAAACCTTGCTCTTCCGGTGCAAGAGCGCTTCGGCCTGCCGTACTCGCAACTAAGAGAGATGGACCTGTACGAAGCTTTAGCCCAGCGGCTGACAGACGACGAACCTCGGCCTCCGCCTTCGCCAGGTCGCTTCTTCCGGTGGCACTTCCGCGGGGATCAGAACGTGGAGCCTCCCGAGGGGGACCCAACACCCTCGGAGGAATGGGGAGAACGTCGCGTCACACCCGACCTCGGCGGTCTGCAGTCGTTCATTGACTTCATGGCTGCTGGCGTCGCTCGCCTGGGAGCTGTGCGAGCCGACGTTCCCGTTACCGAGAAACTCCCTACGCCCATCCAGGACAGATGGGACGCGGAGATTGATCACTGCCTCATGCTCAGGGGCTTACCTCTCGAGCTCGCCACGCGTATCAGAACCGAGTCTACGTTCCCAGACGGTCTGGAGAGTTATCTCAACTTCACGAACGAGGAGCAGGCACGCAGGCCTGAAAGCAAGGGCCTGTGGTGCCGTGTCGTGCGCCGCTGGAAGGCGGGCATGAACCCGGGCTGGGACCCGGAATCGAGTGTCGAGGGCTCCTCAGAGGCTGAAAGTGATGACACTGGCAGCGAAGCTGGCTCCAGCGCCAACGGAGACGAGCCATTATCCGACCCCGAGAACTCCGCCGCTAGTCATGGCACTGGTTCTACCGGGTCTGATGTAGGTGAAGATGGAGGCTCGGACGATGATGTAGATGGGGGTCATGGGGATGACAGCGCCAGCGTTGCCTCGACAGTGTACACCGCGAGAACCAAGCAGTGGATCCTGGAAACGGGCAGCATTAAGGGGACAAACGCCCGTTACAGCGATTGGGATGTGTTTGACCCAGACGATCTCGGGCTCAACGAGATGAACGACAGGGATGATGTGGCTGCCAGCGAGGCGGGCTACTCTATGTGTTCGGCCGAGGCGGACTACTACGAGGAGTACCACCGGGTGGAGAACGATACGTGCTTCGTACTGTCCATTGCCGAGCAGGTGCTGCAGGAGATGTGCCACGTCGTGCCTGTTACGAAGGAGGAGATGGACGAGCTCGTCCAAACGCAGTACGCACTCGACTTGGAGCGGTACAAGTAGATGAGCCCATGTATTGCGTCTCCTCGGGAATCGGCAGTTATAGAGATGTCAGCAGGTGGAGGCTGATGTTACGGTTGCTTAAGCTGGGCACGGCCGGCGGCGATCTCCGACCCCGAGTCCTCTCGGGAACCACAGACCTTGTGACCGGGATCTCCACTCGTTTCGCTTATCTATCAACTTTCTCCTCTCGCATTTCTCCACTCAACTCCACACCCAAACTCCTCGCCATGCCTCCTCAAGGAATTCTGATGTACGACAGCCTCAAGGTCGTACCGACGGGAGCGCGTCTGCTGGGTCTGGAGTGCTTCAGTGCCGTGAACCTGTGGACGCCACCTGGGAACCGGGGCGTGTTTGGTGGCCAGATCATTGCGCAGGCCCTCATGGCCGCCAACCAGACAATAGACGGGATGGACCTGCACTCGACGCACTGCTACTTCCTCCTGCCGTGTGATTCGCGTAAGAGTGTCACGTACGCCGTCGAGCGGCTTCGTGATGGCAAATCATACAGCACGAGGCTGGTGCACGCGATCCAGGACAGCGAGACCATCTTCACGCTGACGTGCTCGTTCTCCATGCCTCGCGGCAATAGCGGGACGAAGCGCTTCCAGCGCGAGTTCCCGGAGGACATCACGCCGTTCCGCGACGCGTACGACAACAGGTGGAACGACCACATCACCGTCATGTCCGACTTTGGCGTTAAGTGAGTCGCTTCAGGCCGCCTGTCACTGGGAACGTCCCTCAGCGGGTGGCCGCTAGTTGAAAGAGTGGTGTGGAGACCAGTGCTGACAACTAGGATCGCCGATACGGAGGAGAACCGCCAGAAGTTCTTCGCGTCCAAGGAACGTCCTCTGACCGCCTTCGGTGCCCGGCCCCAGGAGGGCAAGTACTTCAACCAGCGTGCGGTGTGGCTTCAGCCGCATCTCGGTGACTCGCGCAAGCTCACGCCGAACGAGATCAGGGCCATGATCGGATACGTGACGGACACGCAGGCGATCGCGACGGCTGGCCGAACCATCGGCCTCAGCGCTGACAGCAACCCGAAGCTCGGCATGGTGGCTACGATCGACCACACGATTCACTACTACCCCTTCCCCGAGGGGTATGACGGCACGCAGCCCCTCCTGCACGTCCTGGAGGCGCACATTGTCGATCTCCAGGTCGGGCGCGGATACATTACAGGAAGGGTTTATACGGAGGACGGAGTGCTCATCGCGACCACGAGCCAGGAGGGCGTCGTGCGCGCTCAGGCGCCGGGGGTCAAGCCGCGCCGAGAGACGGCCAAGCTGTAGTGGACCCCATGGTGAACATAACTCTCGCTCGTTATCATAAGTTTCAGATATCATAGTCTCCATAGATCCAGACATTCTCGGTGCATCGTCTTCAGTCGCTTGTTTTGCACGGGTAGAGTGGAGCAGCGGCTCTGATCCGAAAGTGCACGTTTACCAAAGTGGTTTCGGGAATGAAATTACCGGCCCGGTCCACCGGAGCCCGAACGGAGGTAGCCGACGCACGAGCCGCCCACTGCTGTCGTTGATGGGGAGGACATCATGCGATGCGTTCCAGCTCTCTAGCTCTCTCACTGCGCTCGACGCTAAGCAGGAAGTTTTGCTTCTGCTCCAGTCGGCGCCTGGGTTGCCCGTCTGCCTCATGTCCCTCAACATCACTGCGCACCGCAACGCCTACGAGCCAGTTCAACGATCAACAACCCCTAGTCCACCTCTCCTCGTCTGGAGCCAGAGATAGTGTACCGCTCCTCCTTGGCAGCCCACTCAACCGCCTCCCCATGATCCGAGCGGCCCACAATACGTTAATGAGGCACTCATCGGTACTGAATGCTGTACGGCAGTACGGTAGTTCGCAGAGTCTGACGTCGATCGCACAACGTTCGAAAGCGTCGAAAAGCGTCGGCGCAGACGGCGAGCATGCGTTGGAGTTGTGTTCCGTGACTGCGGAGCCCTCTCGGTCTTGCTGATAGTCTGCTCGGTGGATTCCAAATCATCAGCTGACCACGCGACAGAGTTCCAACAAGTGCTATTCATTGCGTTCCGCACTTGAGCGCACTTGACGTCGACGGCTTGAGCAAGCTCGGCCTAGCTGACCTAGTTCGGCCTCTTTACGGACTAGCGCAGGGACACCTGTCAACAAACCCTCTACCCATGATCAACCACCACCATACGGAGGATACGGAAAATACGAAGTAAGGGACCCACTGACGTCCTACTGAAATGACTAGCTGCTAGCTCTGGAGACGTAGTACGACGTTGGCCGCTGCGCTGCCGCGAACTGCACGACTGTACCACGCGCTTCAAGCACCGGTCCAACTCGATCCCACTCGGTCTAAGCAGGACCCCGATCAGGGGACAAAGCGACCCACAAGGCCATGAACGGCCGCGTGCCCGCCAGCCCTATTCCAGTCTATGCCGGGCCGCCTGCCGATGCAGGCATGCATGCCTTGTTTGCCTGGCATCTCCCTCCCGCGTGCCGCCAGACCCCGCGCGCGCCCCGCATGCCCTAGGCAGCTGGGCTGCATGTGCTGCGCACGAGTGCTCGGTCATTGGGGACCCCATGGGCTGGTTCGTTGGGCACCCTAGTTGTTGTACTAACGTCTTTCGAACTCGACTGACACAGCCCTTCGCTCCGCTCGCCTTGCTTTATGCTGGTGTTCTGCGCCTCCGTCTGCGCCGCCAGCGCCTCGCCCAAGCCCCGGCTGATCCGGTCGAGCCGCGCCGGACGCCATTGCTTTTAGTCTTTCCGGATGCTTGCGGAGCGGCCTCGCATCGCCTGCCGCCCCAGAAGACGGTAGTATGCTTTGTGGGATACATATAAACAGCGTTCTCGAAGGGATGGGTAGTCCCCACAGTCCTTCCTTACCTTCTTGACTTTCACTTTCCCGGCAAAATGAAGTTCTTCGCCATCTCTTTCGCGGCCCTTGCGCTCGCCGTGCCTGCTTTCGCCCAGTCTGGCGCGCCTGCTGCCTCGGCCGCGTCCAGCGCTGCCGCTCCCCCCGCGTCGTCCGCTGCCGGCGGTGGTGGTGCCCCTAAGCTTCCCGAGTGAGTTACTCCCCTCTCCGCGAGTGCTAACGCCCAGCCTTTCCAAACTTTCCAGCTGTGCCATGCAGTGTGTCCTCGGCTCGGTCAAGGCTGTCCCGAACTGCTCCAACCCGCTTGACCCGAAGTGCATCTGCGACGAGCGATTCGTGAACGCGGCCACCGACTGCCTCATTGCCAAGTGTGACCACAAGGACGCAGTCCCTGCTCTCGACATTGCCAAGCAGATGTGCCCCGACCTCGGCCTTCCGGACCTCAGCAAGCTGGGCGACTGCGCGTTCGAGTGTGTCATCTCCACCCTCACGGGCGCGCACTGCAAGGGTCCCCTCGACAAGCAGTGCATCTGTGGCATTCCCTTCGGTCTCAAGGCTGCCGGCTGTCTCGCCCTCAAGTGTGCCCTCGACGGTGCCGGCGAGGCTATCAACCTCGAGTTCGGCATCTGCCGCCCGCTCGACAAGCCCGGCTGCGCTGCCACCGGTATCTGGGCCCTGACCGACCTCCGCTGCCTCCTCCCCGGTCTCTTCAAGAAGGGAGACAACCAGAAGCGCGAGGTCCGGTACGCCACCCCCGCCGCCCTGTACCACCGCGCCCTCCTCGAGGCCGAGGCCAACGCCTAAGCACCCTCTCTTCTTACTTGTCACTCTCTATGCAACCCTCTTCACCTTTGTTTATAATATCTCTTGTACACGGTCTGCATGACATGGTCTACACGTTGTGGCATGTGCGTTCCGAGCTGAAACGGACAATGGCCCGTGACAGCCCGTCAGACCAAACCTCCCCTATTTGGTCGCATGTCGCTGGGCGTCCAAGCACACGCGACTTCGTAGGAAGGTGGCGTGCCAGCGCAAGCGATGAGGGTTGCGTCTCGTCTAGAGAAACCACCCTCAGACGGTGAGGCGATCATGCTCTCCTCATCGGTGTTGCCGCGGTGAGGCATGCCGCGCTGCGGGGGATCGCGGCCGTAGCCGAGATAGGGCGTGGGCACAAGCGCTCGAGGCTTATTCAAGGACGGGTATGGCCCACTGCCTTTGCGGGCAGATCTCAGGTCGAGAGGAAACGGCGTGACGGGCGTGAACTGGCGCACAAAGTCAGACCCCTCAGCCTGCGCGGAGAGGGGGACCGAAGCCTGCCGTCTGGGTTTGACAGGAGTGGCGCGAGAGCGGGGCGAGAGGACGTTGAACGGCGACGTCGAGGCTTTCGTTTCTCGGGGCTGAACTGTAGTCCTCCCCGGGACGAGCACTACGGGTGTTGTCGACGAGGCCGCTGCGAAGGGGTTGGGTGAAGTCGGAGAGGGGACAGAGCCCGGCCGGCTGAGGTCGAGCGGTGGCGGGACGCGCCTGACCTTCCTCTCGGGTTCGGAGTCGGGAGAGTCGGGAGGCGGGCGGCGGAGACGACGAAGAAGCAGCCACGCGACCAGGGCAAGGACTGCGAGACCCGCTATGGCAGCTGCTAGACCTGCTAGTACTGCGCGGGAGACCGGGGCGGAGGTGCTCGCGTCAGAGGCGGATGCGGCGGTGACTGCGCCAAGCGTGGCTGAGGCTGTGGTCGCGGAGGCAGTGGGCTGATGCCAGACAGTCGAGAGAGGGATGGGGCCGAGAGGACTGGTTCGGGGGGAAGTCGTGGAGGTGATTGTAGAGGAGGTAACAACGTTGTCAAGGAGGCTGTACGTCGGCAAAGTCGAGTTGGACGTGCGTGTGATTCGAGCAGCAGACCACGGACTCGAGAACACCGCACCACCAACTCTCGTCCCATCATCCTCATCTCCTTCCTCCTCCTCCCCCGTGCCGTCCTCATAATCCCCCTCGTCACCCGTCCACTCAGCACCCTGCCCCCACTCCGGCGTGTAGCTGTCATTGAACAGCACAGGCGGATCCCACGCGCCACACTCCCCCGGTCCAGTCTCGACAAACTGTTCAACCTCCGTCTGCATCCACATCCCGTCCTCGCCAGCGACCGCGAATGCGAGCCAATTCCCCGTCTTGTATCGACACACCCAATCTGCCTCTCTCGCAGTCACGTTCGCGAACAGAGTGTGCGATTCGGAGCGCGCCGTCACCTGAACGCTGAAGGGGGGCAGGCCGCCGGCCCAGCGCAGCGTGACCTCGGCACACTCCCGGAGCGTGGGGAAGGGGAGCCACGAGAGCGGGGTCGTCCTCGGGGCTGTGAGGGTTGGGGTTATCGTCGTGTAGGTCGTCGTCGTCATCGCTCTGGGCGGATAGGTCAGGGTGGGCGATTGCGAGATTGCGGTTGGGCATTGGGAGGGCGAGTCCAGTGGCAGGCGGGGGGAGACGAACTGCGCCGACGCCGCCGGCAGCGTCAGCAACAAGCCAAGCATTAGTAGGTGTAGTGGAGTAGTGGGCGATGCATCCCGAAGAGATTGGTGAGATGGAGTGTTGTGTTGTGCTCGCCACCACGTCAACAATGGGCCCGGCGACGTGGTGTGAACAAAGGACTGTGGTTGCGGGCAACTGTGCTCATTGCCTGGTTCGTCAATAACTTCATCGTGCCCGAGGCCGAGTATCGTTACGCTTTCTCGCTGTACGCGACGTCACGTCAGTGTCAGAGTCCATGCATGTCTCTCTACTGCACATTTAAGCCTCTCTATTGTGGCCAACTGGCATACGCGGGCGGGTCGTAGCGACGTTCCGAGGACCCGCTCCCTGTCGTTCTGCTCGGCCCTGCGCCGGGCGTCTCCAGCTCGGCACCCTGCATCTCCGCCCTCTGCTCCCTCTCCGCAACCTCGAGGAGATTCGCCTGGTTCAGCTGGCTAATGTCCATCGAATCCCTCGCGCGTGGCGCGCCCGCGAAGCCCGCGCTCCGTTCAGTTGGGACCAGCACTGTGTCCGTCATACTCTTGCGCACTCCTGTTCCCGCACCGCTGACCGGACTTAAGGGTTCGAAAGGCTGCACGAGGGGTCGGGCTTCCCTTGGCAGAGGCTTGAGGGGGGCATAGCGTCGTCTCCTCCGGCGGAAGAACAAGAATCCTGCTCCCAGGAGGATGAGAAGGGCGAGGGCGCCGAGGACGCCGCCCACAATCGCGCCGACGGGCGTGCTGGACGAGCTGGAGGCGGCGGAGATAGCGGACGGAAGGACAGTCGGGGTGGCTGTGACAGTGATGAACTCGACTGTTCGAGTGCCGACGGGTTTGTTGGGAGGGCTGAGCGAAGACCCGTCGGACGCCATAGGCGGCAGCACTGTGGGGGTCGGAGCAATGGTTGTCGTAGTGCGAACAGAGGGCACCGCCGGCCCCGTCGGGGTGTCCATCTGTGCGCTGGGCGATCCGGACGCCGCTCCTGAAGCTGTGGCCGCCGCCTGCTTTGTGACGTGCTCGACAGGACCAGCGGACGTTCCCGCTGGTGGGACGTAGTTCGGAGCGTATGGATCGGTAGACTGGAGGATGTGCGCGACCTCTTCTGTTCCTCCGAGTGCTGGTGATGGTGGGAGTTCGGGAACGATGACGGGGACGCCGACAGCTTCGGCCTGGTACTCTGCGCCGGGAAAGTCATTGCGCACCGGCGGCGCGACCTCCTCTCCCTCCCCGCCTGCGATGCCGTCGACGTCTTCGGGCCATGGCCACTCCCGCACCTCCATCTTGTCGTCCATGTCGGGCCGAGTTTCGTCTCAGTCGCCACTGCTGTTAGAGTAGTTGAGGTGTAGAAAACAAGTGACGTTTTGGAAGGGGCGACATGCGCGATGCAGAGCGAGCCAGGCTGTATATATTGGCGGCGGTGGCGCACAGGCATTGAGCGCACCGCCCCGTACCTGGTGCGCCGACTTCTGAGGACAGCCCCAGCCGCCTCTTGGCCAGCCGTGCGTGTGTCGTGCGGCCGATTCGCCGGGTGAGGGGCCCTAGTCGCCATCACACGGATCGGGCGCAACGGGGCGACGGTGCGGGGCAGATTCGAACACTCAACACCGAATGCGACGAGGTTTTGACCGGATGGAGGATAGGAGACGGCCCATGCAGGCCTCGAGGTGCGGGGCGCGGTAGATCATGAGGCTGTGGGATCTTCGCAGATCAACAGCAGGATAGACGAGGCACTACGGGCAGAACGGAGCTGCTGTGCCATACGGAACTGGCATCGGATGGACAGTCATCGGTCAAAAGCCGATGTTGAGACTAGCGGGTGTAGCGACTACGATAATACAGCAGTGAACTGCGGATGCTGCGGATAGCGTGCATCTCGTTATCGGCGGTATTGATTATAGACCAACAAGAAAACCGAAAGCGAACGGAGAGTCGATACATTGCGAGAAAAGACGGAGAACAAGAGGCGGTAATGGAGGTGATATGGCGGCAAGAATCCTGCCCTTTAGACTGCCAGCAATCTTGGCATTCCACGAACAGCCGTTGACCACAACTAGCTCTTCCAGTTACCGTACATCGGTGGAAGTTGGTCAGGCTGTGCTGGGCCCGCATCCTCCGCGTGAGCCGGGTACGCCGGCTGCGATGGGCTGATAGGGCTGAGAGGAATCGAAGGCGGCGGAGCGGGGATGGTGCTCGGTGTCGTCGGTGGCAGGCTCAATCCAGCACTGGCCCCGGCACTGTAGCCCGCTTCGCGCATCTTTGCTAAAGCTGGGTCTGTCGGCGGTCCGTCTTGCGCGGGCGGCTGGGCGAAGGGCGTGATGGGTGTCGGCTCCGTGTCCTCTTCGATCTCGAACTTCTCCGTCTCCTCTGGCTGGCGGCGGCGGCGTTTGAAGAGCCAGAACAGGAGACCGAGCAGGAGGAGTGCTCCGACGACGCCGCCGACGACTCCGCCTGCAATGGCTCCCGTATTCGACGATTCGCTCTTCGCGACGGCGGCGGAGGCTGAGGCAGATCCCGAGGGCGGGGACACGGCTGAGCTAGATGTCGCAGACGAAGTAGCGGAACTCGATGCAGAGCGGGACGAGCTGCTCGTCGGCTTCAAGTCGTCAATAGCGTGCGTCGCCGTCGCGTTCGACACGAGACAGTCGCTCGTCCCATTCCCCACAACGTTGTCGGGCACATAGCCGTAGTAGATGCTCTCGTTCCTCTTATCCCAAATCGTGATCGCGACGTTGGTGCCGGCGGGATAGTCGCATGTCCACTCGGCGTGCGACTCATTCGTGCGTGCGACGACGCGCGGCGCGTCGCTAAACAGCGCGTAGGCCCGAACTTCGAAGGGCGGCAGGCCGCCGGTCCACGTCGCGTTGGCGGGGCTGCACTGCACGAGAGGTGAGAGGGATTGGACGATGACCTCGCCGTCGATGCCGTGGCTCTGGTTCATTGTGGGTGCATTATGATAACAAAAACAAAAGCAAGACGGTGTTATCGAGTTACAACCCCGCGCTCCCAACGCGTAGGACGCTAATTGCGAGACGCGGTTACTTCTTCGGCTCTGCAGAGAAGACCGCACAGGGCGGCAGACGGTCAAAAACGCCATGAAAAGCCACGGACCCTCATTCCTCATTCCTCCCCCTCCCTTTCTCCCCTGTCGGATGCCAAGACCCGGTCTCCGGCTCTTGCGCCGAACCCGGACCCTAGATCTCAGACGCAGGTCGCGGACGAGTGCTCCGAGGACGACCTCGCATCCAGACTCTTCTTGCCCTCCCCTTTGAACAGTACCGGCGCCTGGTTCTCGAGTAACGCAATGCGAGCGCGGAGTGCGCGATTCTTCCTCCTCAGGCTGTGGATCCAGGCTGCCAATCCGAGAATGACAGCGAGCACCACGACGCCAGCCACCGTCGTGCCTACAATGAGACCGACGTTGGGACCACTGTCGTCCTCCTTTGTGGCCGGGCGGGGGATGGGGTCGCCCGTCTGCGGCTCGCGCATCGACATGGGCCCCCCATCATAAGGGCGGGGACTGTACGTCTCCTCGGACGGGCTCCACCCAACTGCGGACACGCCCGTACGTGCGCTCGTGTACTCCGACGGAGAGCCTTTCACGGCACTCGCCATAGTGACAAGGACGCCGGGGGCGGAGCGGGCGGAGCTGGCAGAGGCGAGCGCGTTCCGGGCCGAGGACATGGCCGTGGGGCTCGGGCTGTTGACATACTCCGGCGGCGGGGTGTAGACCTTGCATGTACTCGGTCCATCGCCGACCGTGATCGGCTCAGAGGAGGCGGCGATCGCGCCATCGTCGTCGATGACTTCGAGGTACAGCCGCGTGCCCCGGGCGTAGTCCACGTCCCAGTCGTAGACTACGGCGTATGTCTGCGCGAGCACGCGGCGCAGCGGGCCAAAGGTCGAGCTGCCCTTGGCGGCGTCCCACTCGGCCACGCGCAGGGTGTACGGGCCCTGTCCGCCGGACCAGCGAAGGGTTGCGGGACGGCACTGCTCGAGCGGCGGGGCGGAGCGCAGTTGGAGAGGATACTCCTGCGCTGCTGCAGTAACTGCGATGAGGAGGAGGGGTGCCCACAGCATGGTGTTCAGTGAGGGGTGTTGCACAATAGGACGGGGTGGGGCCTCCCAGCCGACAGCGACAGAATATATGGCGCACTTCACATGGATCTCGGAGCACATGCTCTCCGCACGCTTGACCCAGTGACCTAGCACCGAGCCTTTAGCTCGGAATCCACCAAAGGCTTAAGGCACATATGACATCGTCGCCGGCAGCATTCCTGGGAATAGCTGAGAACGAGGTGTGGGAAAGTCAGCTGAGCTTGGCCTTCTCACGGTGGACCAAGGCTCTCGATAAGATAGTGGGTCGCCGGTGAGCTGAATGGAAATGGCCTCGTCAATTGATTTCAGTGAGGAGTCAGAGCAGAACATCTATAGCTCCGTGCAGCGAGTGTACAAAGACAAGCCAGCTTTCCCCGTTTGGCTGGGTATCTGCCCATGCTGTATGAAAAGAGAAGTGGTCGACGCAAAGTGCGTCCTCTCCGCAAGGTTCGGTGCTCGGTGGAGCCCGAGACGACGGAAAGTGCCTGAGGTTTGAATGCCGATAGAGGCAGGTTCGGAGGCATGTTGCGGGTAATCTGTGGTGTTTCTGGGTCGTAAGTAAGGGTGTTACGTTCAGCAGGTGACGGCACCGCTGTTGATCCGGTTCTTGCAATCGGAGCTGGGCAACCATGCTACAGTGCAATCAGCTCAGGCGAGCGCGATCAAGGGCCAGAGATGACAGTGCATGCCTCGATGTACTTGTACATCAGCTCAGGCGAGCGCGATCGAGGGCCAGAGATGACAGTGCATGCCTCGATCTACTTGTACCGCTCCAAGTCGAGTGCGTACTGCGTCTGCACAAGCTCGTCCATCTCCTCCTTCGTAACGGGCACGATGTGGCACAGTTCCTGCAGCACCCGCTCAGCGATGGAGAGCACGAAGCACGTATCGTTCTCCAGGTTCTGATTAGCCTCGAACCAATCATTCTCAGCACTCCAGGATGAGTACCCAAGAACGTCGCCATCGGTATCGTCCCAAGGATCGAAGGTCCGCCAATCCGTCTCATGGGCCACGGTGTTGTCCGCATCGCTGCCCGTCTCGAGCAGCCACTGCCGGGTTCTCTCACTGTAGAGGGAGCGAGAATCCGAGGAGCCGTCGTCAGACTCTTCACGGTCGGACTCAATTTCGTCGTCTGCCTCTGAGCCAGTCCTGTCAGCTTCAAGTGCACCACCGCCGCGCTCATCAACGACATCGTCGACGTTGTCGCCAGCATCGCCGGAGGGAGTCATGTTTCTATCGAAGTCGGAGGCAGCTTCGGATCCATCAGATTGATCCTCTCCGGCAGTAGATGCTCCACCTTCGCTGGAGGTGTTCTCTGGGTAGTAGTCCCAGCGAGGATCATGACCGTCCCTCCAATGCTTCACGAGACGGCGCCAGAGGCCTTTACTTTCCGGCCGGCCCTGCTGTTCCTCAGCCGAGAAGTCGAGGTATGCCGACAGATTGTACGGGCGTCGAGCCTCCTCGCGGATTTTGATAGCCAGCTCCATCGGTAGGCCCTTCTGCACGATACAGGCGAGAATGTCGGCGTCGAGGGAGTCTTGAACGGGAGCCGGGAGCTTCTCAGAGATGGGAACATGGGCGTTCACGGCGCCCAGGCGAACGACACCGGCTGCCATGAAGTCGATGTATGTCTGAATGCACCCGAGGTCCGCGGACGTTTGGCACCTATCAAACTTCTCGCTGGGCGTCGCATCCTCCTCATCCTCAACATCGCAACTCGTGACCTGATCGCCGAGTTTGTCGAACCAAAAAGTGCGCGGCTGCCCAGGCGATAGCTCGTCGCCCGTGAATCGCAGAGGGAGCGCGGCATGCAAGTCCATGTGCATGATCCGCGAGTACGGCAGCCCTCCACGGCCTTGCACTGGGGTGCCCAGATCAACGAGTTCACCAGCAGTCGAGAACTCCACAGCAATACGACCAGAAGAGAGCACGTACATTCGCGCGAACCTGCGATCGATGACAATGCAGCCATAGACGGATCCGCACATCTCGAAAAGATTGAGCAGATGGGCGACGACAGCCGCGAAAGCTTTCCGCCCGGCCTGTCGAAGATGAGGCAATCCGGCCTCATAGACTACCCGCTCCGCTTCCTCGGGCTTCACGCTTTGGAACAGTCCCTCGGGCTGCTTGTAAGCGTGATTAACCAAATCGTGGTTACACCTACCGTTTCGCCCAGCTGCAGCCACCGCCTCCTGGCTTCATTATGCACACGCTTGTCGACTCTATCGCGCAGCACCAGCTCACAGGCATCAATCCTCTCCTGGGTGGTCATACTGTTCCAAAGCTCCTCGTCGTACACCCGAAAGAAATCGCATGGCTGGCGGAACGGCCAGGAGGCCATCTCCACTGGACACTCGGCAATGACAGATGTCGACTGCAAGCGACTTCTCGCGACGAGCAGGACGTCAGGTCGCCTGGGGCCGTCCCTGTAACGGAGATGCGTTCTAGCCCTTTGCCGATAATCCCTGTCATAGATTCCCCTGTACAGTTGTGAGAACGGGGTCTGCGCGAAAGGCACTTCGGAGCCCACAGATATGAGGCGCAACGAGAAGACAGTCCGCGCCAGCAAGGACCGCTTCAAGTGTCGGTCGCCCTTGAAGTACCACTTGGTCTCATCGCAGTCCAAATCATCTGTCCAGAAGTCCATGCCGTGTCCTTCGAATGCCTCCTTGATCACGAAGAGGCTGGTGAGCCTGTGAAAGTTCTTGCGCAGGCGGTAGTGAGAAACCCATCGACTTGTAAAGTCCCTTTCAAGGCCACCGATGATATGGTTGTAGTCTGGAAGGCTCAGAATCCGCTCGATTGTCGAGGGCTGCTTGCATTGCAGGCGCGCGAGGAAAGAACTGTCGGGAAGATGCGCTGGATAAAGTACGCGCGCGGACGGAGCCTTTCCGGGTAGGTGGTCAAGTCTGGGGCCTTTCGTAGGATTGCGGCAGTTTGCACTGTGGTCGTAAAAGATGGAGCGCGCCCAGCATCGCTCGAATTGCCCCAAGTCGTCGGCCGAGATGTCGATCATGATGGGCGCTCGAACAACAGATGACGGGGGAGTCGGACCAGCTATCTGGTGAGATTTAACGAACGCCATTCAGGCACAGACGCGGGCTACTTTATCCCGGCACATAGGGAGGGCGGTGCAGAACAGGGTGGGCAGTGTACGGGCATGCATCGAACAGCGAGAACGGTAAACTTACACTCGAACAAGAAGGGATGTCCTGAACCCGAGTCAAGGCTCCCGAATTTGCAACTGCACACGTAGTGTGAAGCGCATAGGGAGCCTCCGGCTTATATCAAGGTCTGGATATCGCTCTTCCCCCCAACCGGGTACCGCAAATCAATGGGAGTGATGAGCAGGGGCCAGCACTTGTTCTCTCTTGGAGGCAGAGGTGCCGGCGGGCCAGGGGGTGTCGAGGTGGAGGGCGAAGGCGTGGATGAAGGAAACAGTGGTAGGCAGATGGAAAGACAGTCGTCAGTACTTTCATTGTATCGGCTTGACGAGATTGGGGGTCTGAATGAACAGTAACGTCGGGATCGTAACGACACCCAGAGATGGACGTCGCTGAGTGATGAAAAGGTGAAGAAGAACAGAAAAGTGAGAACGGCCTGAGGAAGGAGGCAGTTTGGTGAAAGAGTAGTAGCGGACATGCGCTTCATGTCCGCACCGACCTCCACACGCCGGTTGACTGGACCTCCACCTCGACAACATCGACGAGGGACAGGCCACTGCATCGTTGAGCTCTACTTCAACTCGCATCCTAGTACTTCAAGTTGTCATCATGTCACAAGCATCACCCATAGCCGAAAGATTATCACGATACGCATACTCGCCGTCGCAAGGTGCCTCCCGCAAGCGACCTCGACCTCTGCCTGTCAAAGAGGAGGTGCCTTCCTCCTCCGATTCTGAAGGTGACGACTCCGACAGCAGCCCCAGCGGAAGCGACGCCGAGGCCCCCAGAGAGCGAGCAACAAAACGACGGGCTGATGGCACTGTGATCAGCTATGGGTGGCCCAAAAATGTCAAGGTTGCCCACCCCTCCAAGTACGAAGGCTATCCCGAGCTAGACGACCTCTTGCGGCCAGGACTGGACTGTGAGTTAAGCGATCACGCATCGAAACTGACATTCAGTGGTGTTCATTGGTATTAAGTACGTGGTTGGTTGAAGCCAGAACTGACATGAAGCCCGGGAAAGAAGTCGTCGCTGGAAGGTCACTTTTTCGCCCACTCGACGAATAAGTTCTGGGTGGGTCCAGGCCCCGCGCGACGCTGACAGAGCAGAGATCACTATACGGAAGCGGTTTGACACCTCGCCTTTTTACGCCTTATGAGGATCTGAAACTTCCCGACCAGTGCGACATTGGTCTCACTAACTTGGTGGACCGGTGCACGTCCATGGTGAGTTGCGGGAAGGGCGGAGACAAGGCTGACCCCACAGGCGTCTGAGCTCTCGACCCTTGAGCAACGCATTGCGGTGTACGGTCTCGCCAAGAAATTGGCTGAGAATGGCCCGAAGGTTGCCTGCTTCGTTGGAAAGGGCATCTGGCAGCAGTTTGAGTCAATCGTGAAGCGGTCAGCCTCGCCAGCTGCCGGGAACGGAGCAGCGGTGAATCAGGAGGACGAGGCAGGTCCCAGCCAGGGAACGAACAGAACCCCTCGCGTCATCCGCTACAGCTTACAGAACGGGCAGGTGACGGAGGATCAGACTTCAGCTGCCAACAGCCAAGTCAAAGCTGAGCCCGAGTCGCCTTCATCATCCTCGGCATCGGTCGGGGAAGTGGAGATGAACCTTCTGGATGATGGTCTGGATGAGCCCATCACTCCACTGCGAAACGGGCGCAGCCCGACCATCACGCCCACACCGCGAGCTCGAAAGGGCAAGGCCAAGGCGACTCCCAAGCCCAAGCCGCCCAAACGGCCGTTCCTCTGGGATGCTCCCCAGATGTACCGTCTCCCATCCTCAGCTGAGGGCGGATACACCTATCTCTGGGTCGTACCGAACACGTCCGGCTTGGAGCGGTCCACGCTCGGCGAGCAGATTGAGCACTTCTCTGCCCTCAAGCGACTGGTGGACCGGCGCAAGCGTGGCGAGGGCCCGCTTGCTCCGGACGAGGACGGCAACGCGCCTCCTCCCGTCGAAGACGTGTTCTGGAACATTGACCTGGACGCTGTCAGACAAACCTGCGAGGACGAGAAGAACAAGCGACTCGCAAACAAGAAGCGCAAGTAGGGCTGCAGCCGGATCCGTGCTTTTTTAGACTGTATCTCACTTTAACATATTCCCTTCCATCATTGTATGCAGCTGTATCTACCGAACGCATGGCAACAGCCTGGCATCATCGCACCGTTCGCTCGTGACGTTCGGCTGAAACTCCGAGTAATGTCTGGTGCGCGGCCCTCATTTCTCTGCCCCCATTCAGAATCCACAGACGCCATACAGGAGTTAGAGCAATTGATGCAGTGTGCCAAGACCACACTAGTGCCCGGATCCGAGGAGAGATTGACGCAAGATGTCCCTTCCATTCCTACCCTTCCTGCAACGCCAGCATTGCGGATTCACTAGATCGCCGCAGCCACATGGCCAGTCACAAAGGGGAGTGTCCGCTGAGCCTGGCACGGCGTGCACGGCGAACAGGACAACCCCCAGTCCCCCGAACCTTCCGTGAGCCCAGTGGGCGAAACCATAAATGCCTCAACTTGCGAGTTGCATTCCGCGCCACACCGCCGTTCGCAGCCCCCCCCGCACCGCTCGCTGAATCTAATCTCGCGGCTGACTGAGGTGACTGGGGGTGGAACAGCGCCACACTTTGTTCCGGTCGCATTACCGCTTACTGCTGGTCTTCTGGCGGTCCGGTCCAGAGCAGAGGGAAGGGAAGGGGAGGGAATGAAAAAGCAATATCCGCGTCAATGCACACGAAAGAACAAGAACCCCAGAACTATGACGAACCAGAGTCTAAAGCTAGCGGATCCTCGTCTGCCCACTGTTAATCTGGCGCTCTGGCTTGGCGCCAGAATCGGGCCAGAAGACCTGCACACGCTGCGCACGCTGCACTGGCTGCGCCGCGTCCCAGATCGGATGCGGTGTGCACATGACACCCATCCAGCAAGCAGCTCCGCTCACTGCGCCATTTTGCAGCGTATAAAAGACAGCACCAATTCGCACTTTCCAGGCAAGTTCAGTGACCTGAGCCACACAATCTTGAACCAAGAGCTCCACGCGAAATATGAAGATAGCCCTCCTCCCCCTCCTGTCGGCCACGCTCGCGAGCGTCGCTTCGGCCGCCGCCATCGCGGACCCAGTCGCAGACTGGGAACAGCGCTACCTCTCGCGCCAGGACTGGGCGCACGACAACTCGTCCCTGAAGCTGATCGGGTTCAAGCGGTTAGTCTGCCCCCTCCTCTCTCTCTCTCTCCCCCAAGATGGACGGTTGGCTGATGTAAGCATCGAGATGAACGAGGAAGAACGCAGCACGATCGACGCCGCCACGCGCCGCGACCCCGCGTCCTGGGCCGAGCTCTCCCTCTCCTCCTCTGCATTCTGGCATCCCGACCTGCGCGAGCTGCGCGTCTACTTCCCCGTCCGTGACGCGCTGCTCACGCACGGCCGCTCCCTCGTCGAGGCCAACGAGCGGGGCGAGCTCGCCGAACGCGCCCTCGAGGGCGACTGCCGCGTCCTCGGCCGTCGCGCCACAGACGACGTGCACGGCGTCCCCTCCAATGTGATCCGGGACGGACTCGTGCTCCTCTCGTCGCCGTGGGGACACGCGTACAAGCGCGCCGACAACGTGTATGTTTATGACTTTGGCGTCCGGTCCGCGCACGACCATCACGACGCGCACCTCGACGCGAGGGACAAGAAGGGCAAGGTGTCCTGCTACAAGAACCATGGGAACAAGATCTGCTCCTTCCTCCCTGGCTGCAGGCAGAATCGGTGCGCGGCGCCGAGCAGGTCCTCCAAGTCCTGCGTCGACTACAATGGCTGGCCTGTGAGTATCCCTTCTATGAGTTTGGAGCGGAGGCGAGGATCAAGCTGACGCCCAGTACAAGGACTGCAAGGGTAAGAGCAAGAAAGGCTTCATCGGGAGCGACTGCCAGGTCGCGCTGGCCAAGGGCAAGTGCTGGAACGAGGTGATGTGAGCACAGGCGCCGAGCGAAGTGTACCTCTTCCCTCCTCAAACCTACATTATCTCTCACTCCAGGCCACAAGCTCAAAATCAATGAGACCCCTGGTCCGCCATTCAGTATGAAGAAGTCAGTGAATGAAGTAGCAAGTAGTGAAGTAAGTAGCGATAGGAAGTAGCAATAGTCAAAGCAGTGATCAGAAGACTCTGTAATCGTCGATCAGAAGCATGGGGTGACCCAAGTGATCAAGTACCAATCCCCGTCCACGGCCATTCCTTCAGACACGGCGAAAGCAGGATCCGGCTATCATGGCTATCTCTGCTCGGCCAATCAGCCGTCCACTGCGCTCGCGGGGTTCGCTTGGGCAACACTGACGCGCTGACGTGCTGCCCCTCAGTCGTCCGAGCTGAGGTATGCCGAAAGCGCCGATGTCCCTGTGGTGTGGAGAGAGCATGCCAAGCAGAGCAGCAAGCTGCTTCGTCTGCATGCGAGGCGCAGACGCCCAGAGTCCAAAGAAAGGGATACCGGCACATCCGGCTGTTGTGAGTGGACGACACTCTGCTCCGTACAATAGATTACGCGCAGGCTTGTAGGTCGGGAGCGCCGACGCCGCGAGAAGAGAGGCGTCTTCTTGGGGACGCCAGGCTTGAGGCAGCAAACAGAGCAGGACAGAGGGGCTCTCTGGCAGGTACGTCAGCAGCAAGCCCTGCCTTCACATGGGCCGTGATAGGCGATTGGCCCTCACGCCTATCCCCACGCCGTCTTCAGCCGCCCCTCCACCGCTCTGTTCAGGTGTTTCAAGGGGGCACGACGCGGGCAGCTCAGGTCCAGCGGGCTACGGCGGGCTCGGCGGGCGCGGCGCTGAGCGCCTTCCTGCGCTTTCATCAGCTTAATGCGATACCCGGTCGATCGATAGGGACTGGCCGTCTCGGCTGGGTTTTGAACATTTTTACGGTTTGACGGGTTTTGCGAGAGCGATGTTGCGGGCACGCATGGGTGCTGATTGGCGCAGGGGGGAGAGGGGACATCAGGAACACTTTGTCGAGCTTTAAGCGGGCTTTAGCCATGCTCTTCTGGCCGGTTTGCAGGGTCCATAGACGCGAGAGGGGGGTTACAAAGGGACGGGACGTGTGGAGGTGGAGAGAGAGGTAGTTGCTTGGGGCAGAGTGACTGTGGGGTTGTTGCCTCGATGAAGAGAAGAGACAGGAGACAGGACCGGGCATTGGATGTACGAGGGGGTGGAGATAGTCGGCGGTAAGGACGCGGGCGGGGCTCAGGGAAGGAGACTCTGGGGCTCAACAGGTTGCCGAGCGGGGCCACGTGATCGCCTAAAGTTGGGATCCCCCCTCATGCTCTCCTGTGGACATCTCGGGACGAGCTCGAGCAATCTCTCGCTCGGCCTTTGACCGATGCTTGGAGCATTGCTCTGCCTCTCCCCCCCTTTATAACATCGATAGCCCCTGCTCCATCTTTTCCTCTCTTTTTCCCTTCTCCCCCAGATCACACTCACTCGGTGTCCTGTCTGTCCTCTGTATCTAGCTTGATTTAACGCCTTACCCTCCTTCGTACCACCGACAACAGACACCACCACCACCACACCATGGGCAACAACGGAAAGGACGCCCAGGCCACCGCCGCCGACCGCGTCAAGCACCACGGAAACCAGATCGGCGGCTTCTCCAACCCCAACCACCTCAAGTTTGTCGCCAAGCTCCCCAAGGGCCTCCCCGTCCACATCACCCCGCTCAACCCCATCAACTTCCTCCTCCGCTCCGCCTTCATCCGCCCCCACCGCATCGCCCTCAAGCACCCCGCCATCGGCGTCGAGTGGACCTATGCCGAGTGGTGAGTACTCCTTCTCCTTCCTCTCGGAGTATATATCGCTCCCGATCACACACCCCGTTAGCTCCGCGGAGACCGGGGCCGGGGCGACCGGGGCAACTCTTGGGAGACCCCGGAGCGAGTTGCTCGACGGTGTGTCCGACGTCACCAGCCACGGCGCCAAGGCCTCCACTTGAGGTGTCCACGGTTACGATCACGCGCTATCAGTGGTCCAGCGGCGCGGGGTTGTGTCTCTGGCCACTTAGTAGAGAGATGCTCGGACACGCCCGAATGCGGGGTAGACGCCTCGTGGAGCAGGACATTTGCCGCAGCGTCGAATCATGGGTGGATCCGCGACATTAGCGAGATTTGCCCGAAAGCACGCTCCGCTAGCCGAGAACTTTATCCCTCCACATGGAGCTGCAAATGCTTCGAGAGCTCGTGCACATTGCGATGCATCGCACAGCGCACTGTGCTGCCTAGGACGTTCTGCCTGCTCGCTGTGCTCGCTCGCCGTCTCCCCGCGATGCATCCCCACGAACTGCCCCCACAGAGAAAACAATCAGCTGACCTCCCAGGGCCATGCGCGTGTGCGCGCTCGCCTACGCGCTCAAGAAGAAGGGTATCAAGCGCGGCGACCGTGTTGCGGTCATCTGCCCGAACGTGCCCATGATCCTGGACATGATTCAGGCTGTTCCGGCCGTGCACGCCATCATTGTGCCGCTCAACATCCGTCTCACGGTCCCCGAGGTCGACTACATTCTCGAGCACTCTGGCTCCAAGCTCCTGATCGTGGACCACGAGTTTGCGCACCTCGCCAAGAACTTCAAGGGCGAGGTCATCGTGTCCAAGGACAGCGGCGGCCGCGACCCGACCGACGCGTACGAGCAGTTCATCGAGACGGGCAAGTACGACGCCGACTTTATCGGATGGCAGGGCCTCGAGCTCATTGACGACGAGGACGCGGGCCTCGCCATTTGCTACACCTCTGGCACGACTGGCCGCCCCAAGGGTGTTCTCACCACCTTCCGCGGCACCTACCTCGGTGCGCTCGGCAATGCGTTCAGTGCCAAGATGGACAACGAGTCCAACTACCTCTGGATCCTGCCCGCTTTCCACGCGCTCGGCTGGTGCTTCCCCTTTGCGATCACTGCCGCGACGTCGGGCCAGGTGTGCCTCCGCTCTGTGGGCGACTACAGCCCGATCTGGGAGTCGATCAGCCGCGATAAGATCTCGGTGTACTGTGCTGCCCCCACGGTGCAGATCGGCATCATCAACCACCCCTCTGCCAAGCCGGTGGACCACGACATCCGCACGCTCGTGGCCGGAGCCGCGCCCTCGGCCTTCCTCATCAACACGCTCGAGACCAAGCTCAACATCAAGGTCGTGCACGTCTACGGCCTGACCGAGACGTATGGCCCGATCACGAACAATGTGGAGCAGCCCGAGTGGAAGGTCGAGCTGACGCAGGAGGAGTTCTACAAGCGCAAGGCGATGCAGGGCCACGCCTTCATCACCGCCGACGAGTGCCGTGTCATCCGTCCCGAGTCCTCCGCCGCCGACGGATACGAGGACGTGAACCCAGACGGGCACGAGGTGGGCGAGATCGTGATGCGCGGCAACATCGCGCTGAAGGAGTACTGGAACGACCCGGAGGCGACAGCCAAGGCGTTTGAGGGCGGGTGGTTCCACAGTGGTGACCTGGCTGTGCGCATGCCCTACGGCATGATCTCGATCCAGGACCGGAGCAAGGACATCATCATCTCTGGTGGCGAGAATGCGTCGTCGCTCTCAATCGAGGCGGCCATCTACCAGCACCCCGACGTGCTGGAGTGTGCGGTCGTCGCGCGCCCGCACGAGAAGTACGGCGAGCGCGCACACGCCTTCATCATCCTCAGGCCCCACGTCCAGGCCAAGTGGGACGGCAAGCCGGACGCGTTCGCCGCCGAGCTCAAGGAATTCTGCAAGCCCCTCCTCCCCGGCTTTGCGCGCCCGGAGTGGGTCGAGATCACCTCCGACCTCCCCAAGACGTCGACGGGCAAGATCCAGAAACACGAGCTCCGCAAGCGCTTCCCCCGTATTGGTGTGCAGTAAGCGGCTCGAGCTCGACGGGGTGCGCATTGAGGCCGCAAGGCCGAAGGCCGAGATGCCACCGAGGCCAGGGCCAGTCGGTGAGGCTCGCCGGGCAGGACGGAGTGGCTTGCGCTCCGTGAGCCGAGCTGGTCGCGGCACCAGGTTGTGATAGAGTGTAAGAGTGAGATGCGGCACGTCGCCGGCGTCTGCAGTGGAAAGGAAGCAATGTCGCGCTTACTAGCGCAAGCTACTGTGCAACCTGTCTCCCTATCTCGAGTCAGTTGTAAGACAAAAAACGTCAAGAAGGAAGTGTTGATCTGAAGAAGCGTTGAAGTTCATCTTGGTCATTCATTATTATATCTTGATTTGTAGACCGATCCCCCTGTTTATGAAAGGGGGAGGTGGCTAGATACCATGCATTAGTGTCGAAGTTATGAGCGCGTGTAAGTGCAGAGTAGCAAGAGCGTCTGTGGGCGCCAAGTCTCTCGAATCTCGACCGACGCTGACCCCCCTGGCGCCGAGCCGAAACGAAGGAGAGGCAAAGGGCTATAGCTGCATGCAAAGGAACGCGCCGCGTTATGCTTTTTTTTAGCTTTGCTAGCGGCGTGGGATATATTCTATAGTGTACAACCGGGGTTGGAACGAGAGTCAGATCGGGAAAAAAACTAGAAAGGAGCGTGGTGCGTGCGTTGGAGCGGGGATCTACCGAAGTGATCGCTTTGTTTTGGCATAAGAGGTTGGGCGCTGGTGCGCTGTGTGTTTGCTAGAGGTCGCTGGTGGTTGTGAGGGGTAGTGGGTGGGAGAGGTGTGGGAGAGGGGGCCAGTGCGGCTGGCGACTAGCTGGCGTCGGGCAGGTCGGGCTGACCGGAGATGGCGAGATGGCGAGGTGAGGCGGGATGAGAGGAGAGTGCGAGTAAGTTAGGACCCAGGCTAGAGGTATCCGGCCACGAAGTGGGGATTCCGCTCCAGTTTCTGCGCAAGCCCAGCCATACCTGCCCACTTACACTCGGCCTCGACCCTCTTCCTCCTGCCGTCCAGCAGCGGCCACTGGCCCGAACACAGCCTGCTCGCAATGGCGTGCCACGCGCTCGCGTCTCGCTGGATCAGCACCGTGAGCTCCGTCACGACGCCGCTGGCGGAGGGGCACGTGCTGGCGCGCTTCCGCCGCATGAGCGAGGATGTGACGCTGCGCTGCGAGGACTCGCGCGAGACGGACGCGCCGCTCCACCCGCTGTTGGAGTAGGAATGCGAACTGCCCGAGGGCGCGTAGCTCGCCGAGCTGAGCCAGTGGTGCTGGGGACTGGGCGAGGCGCGCGGACGCACAGAGAGCGAGGGCAGCTCGGCGAGTGGCGGGAGGGGCGTCGGGCAGGATGAGAGAGGCGCGCGGCGCCCGGGCCGCAGCGCCGGGATCGGGGATACGCGCTCCGTCTCCTCCATGACTTCGAGGTATTCCTCCCTGTAATTTGTCAGCTATCATCATCTCGGCTCCAAAGCTGCCGGCGAGCCTGTGTAGTATATCACTCACTGGAAGAACCGATAGGACGGATTCGGGTCGTACTCAAAGTCGCTGTCGCCATCTTCCGCGCTCTCAGCAGAGGATCCATCCGTCATGTCCGGCCCGCCCTCGCCGCCCCCTTCGTACGCGCCTGTCGAGTAGACAGAGTTGACACTCTCGCCCGACCCGATCAGACTCGCCGACGATGCAGAGTATGGGCGCAGCGCGTCCTCGACGAACTGCACGAGCCTGCCGCCCGCGGGGCGCAGCGTGTCCAGCGTCAGCGTGACGGTGTGTGTGTTCGGGTCCGTGTCGAGGGAGAACGCGAAGCGGAGCGTGACGAGCGTACTGGTCTCTGTGGAGGGACGGATCTGATGTCCGACCACGATGGGCGTGAAGGGCCCGTCGGGCTTGGAGGTCTGCGAGGGGCGCCTTCGCGGCATCGGGCCGGGGACGCGGGGCGAGACGTCTTCGTCTATACTCGTGAAACTGGCGACGGAGGGGGAGGGCACGTGGGCCAAGCGGGGTGATGGCGCGGGCGCCAGGGAGGCGTGCGAGCGGTGTGTCCGGAGCGAACCGACCTGGAGCGGCTGCGTGGGCAGTGTGGCCTGCGAGCGAGAGCCGAAGGAAGAGTTGTGGTGCGACCCGAGAGTGGAGGAACCGAGAGACGTGCTGAGCCCAGAACCGCCGTGGCCAGAAATAGAGGATTGGGCATTCTCGGCCGTGATCGTCAAGGACGACCGGCCCGTGCCGCTCGTAAGCCGGTGGCGGTGGTAGGCAATGTCGATGTCGAGAGTGTCCTCGGGCTCGGGGGTACGCGGCGTGTCGGGCGTCTGCGGGCCCGCAGAGCTGGCGGTCGAGCCGTGGCCGGTCGAGCTCAAGGCCGTGCTCTGGCTCGAGGGGGAGCGCGAGAGGCTGACCTGCACCGCCTGCGCTCCGTGCGCTTGGTGCGTCTGTGGAACGTGGCCAGACACAGGGGCAGGCGACACAGCCACGCTGGGCTTCGGCTGGTGGAACTTCTGCGCCAGCGCCTGCTGCGAGCTCTGCCTTGAGGGCGGCTGGTGGTACTGCTGGTAGCTCTGGTGTTGGCCGTTGGGAAACTGGAGGCTTTGGTGGGGCTGCGAGTGCGAATGCGATTGAGAGGACCAGTCCACGGACTGGCTGGGCTGGTACGGTTTCCGCGGCTGGGACTTGGGAGAGCGCATGAACTGGATCTCGACCTTTTCCTCCTCTACCGCCAACGCCGGGCCTTCGAGGGAGGGCTCGGCGCGGGGCGGCCGCTGCATCGGTGCAGTGGTGGAGGTCACGCTCGGCCGGCGGGAGCCGATCGGCGAGCCGTTCGCAGACCGCAGGCTCGACTGGCGCGAGGGATACTGGCTGCACTTCTGGCGTCCGGCCACGACCGAGGGCGCATGCGAGATACTGGCGTGCTGCATGTGCGCCGTCGCATCCAGCGGTGTGCGGACCACGGTCGCACCGGCCCCGAGGCCATAGTTGCCATGAGCGTGGGATTGGGAGTAGGAGCGCTGCATCGGACGCGCCATCCTGCGTTTGAAGCTCGAGAGGCGCCCGAAGGTGCTGTTCGGTGAGTGGGGAGGAGAGGGGGAGATGGTGTCGTCGGTCGCGGACACAGGGGCGACGGGGACGACGGGAGCGATGGGGGAGAGGCCGGTCGAGGGAGGACACACGGAGGGAGACACGGCGGCAAAGGGGTCGGAGATGAGGTCAAAGGAATGGTCGGGAGAGGTAATGGGTGTTAACAGGAGCGTGCTCGTGTGTGTAGTGGTGGTAGGCGATATCGAGATGGAGGAAGCAGTGGAAGAAGACAGTGACCAGGACCGGCCCTTCTTCTTTCCAATGCTAGATTTCGACATGGTCGCAATGGTGCACGATCACGCCGTGCTGCGGTGGGTACTTGGGTACTGGGTGGCCTGGGTGATCTGACTGCGAGTACGCGCGAGCCGGTCGCGCTTACACTGCAGCGCTGGAGTGGGGATCGAGGGATACCTGCGGTGGTGGTCGGGTGGACGGGCGGTCGATGCTGATGAAGTTACGCTAGCGGCACAGGGAAGGGCCGCGATCCATGCGGCGGGGGTGCGCCAGGCAGTATGAGTTGTTTTATGGTGAGAGGGTCGAGAGGGTCGAGAGGGTCAAGAAGAGGGATCGAGGAACGCGAGGGCCGACCGGCAGCTGTGGCTTGATATATACCTGACACCTCGCGCATGGACTGCAGCGTGGGACCAGAGAGACGAGCCCAGAAGGAGGGGAGGGCCTGCGGTGAGATGTGTGAAGCTGCAGGAAGCAAGAGAGAGGGGTCAGTGCATGTGCAGAGTGAGTGAGTGAGTTTGCGGGGGAGTGCGTGCAAGGTGCGAAGACTGCAGACAGAGAGAGGGGGGTGTTGTCTAGAGACGGCTGGGTGTGATCGGTGTGCTGGCAGCGGTGCTGTGCCGTGCGCCGTGCGTCAGGAGTCGAAGTCGCAACCAGCGTGCCGGTCGTTCTTCTTTCTCCCCTTGGGCCCTGGCGCCGTGCCCCCGACGCGGCCATTCCAGCCAACGCCTGGTCAGAGAAACTTCAGCCTTAGATGGATGGGACCCAGCAAATCGAGGGTGTTTGCGGCGGGCTGGGCGGCACACGAGTCTGGAGACTGTGGAATGATAACAATCGGATCCTCTGGAAACGGGCGGCTCCACATCTTCCGACCGAGTCCACTGCCAGCCAGCCCCGCTGGAACCCGTTGGACCGCTCGTGAAACGCTTCCGCTGGCCCCCCTCATCCGGCAGATTGGGTTATCATGCCGTACTCGTGCTAGTATCTTATGCATACTGCTGAGCTTGCGAACACGGCTGAAAGAACGTGGAGACTGCGGACAATAGATGCATACGGGAGAGGGGACAAGCTCAGCCTCCGGATCTGGGCACGCGGCACACAGGCTGCGGCGTGCGTCGTCGAGCACCGAGAGGGCCTCCGCAAGGCCCAGATCAACTGTTGTCGTCACTGGAACCTGGACATGTTTCGTCGTCTAAGCAAGTGTCGCACCAGGAAACGTGGGTGCCGTTTCCAAGCTTATGCTTGAGCCAAAGGCAGCTCGAGTCGAGGCTACAGTTCTGTTCCCCTCTCAACAGCCCACACGGTGACTGGAGACTGACAAGGAGATGACAATGCCCTCTGAAGCGATGTGGGCGTGAGAAGCTGTCCAACACACACAAACACGGCCTTGGTACAGCGTGAATGTGAGTGATCTGGGCCCTCTCCGAGGCGTCAGAAAGGGGTTGTTGCACAGAGTTCCGCCAGAGTGTGCAGTTTCATCTCGGACGAGGGCGCCAACTGACGTCGTTGGCGCTGCTGGCTCTCTGACTCGTGTCTTCCTCATCTCATCCTCCTTTGACTTGGGAGCCAGGAGCCCCGAATCTCGGCCCGTAGTGTGGGAGTCAGTTCAATGCTTTCGTACATATCTCGTACGGATCGTACTGAATCCAAACTACCAGTTTGGGTCTTCATGGACCGCCCCACAACACCTGCCGGCGCGCCCATCGCAGCGACCCTCAACCACATGGACGGCTGGCTGAGGGGCCGCGAAGGGTAAGAAGGACGACTTCATGACAGGAAAGGGCATTTTGGGCAAAAGTTGGGGACACAAAACGAACGTGGACAGAGAGGTTTTGGTGGCTGGTGGCGTCGCTCGGTGCGCCGCAGCCACCGATGGCGTCGCTGGCGCTGCCCCGAGTGCGCTCCTTCCCACCACTTCATGTCCGGGCGAGGGTTGGACCCTCTTTCTGTCCTGTGTGTCCTGAGCCTGCCATGACAGACCAATGTCGCGAACACCGAAACTCGAGTTGTTCTAGCTTAAGCTCTGTGGAAGCTGGTGGGGGAGTGGGCTCATGGTGTCTATGATGATTTGAGGCCCCCCGCACATCGCTCTCAAAACACTGAGAGACGGACAGACCCCGAGTCTTGGCTGTCCAGATCCCGACAAGAATCTAGTCGTCGTCGATCAAAAGTACAATGAGAGAAATGTCGAGAGCATGCCGCGCTGGAACAGCCACGCCACGGACGCTTGTTGACGCTTGTTTCACCCCGTTTTCATTCTGTTTCACAGTCGTGCCGTAGCGTCGTGTCCTCCACCTCTTGCCGTTCTCGTCTTGGATGGCTTGCTTTGCTGCATCGTATTCGCAGTGGGTCGACCCGCTGACAGCTGGTTACAGACACAGCAGGTGCCGTAAATCCCCGGGTCGCGGCGAGTTTCTTTTGCCCTGTCGCTGACTCCGCGATGACTTCACAGACATACGGAAGATCGCAAAGAAGTCCTTGATGAAGCAGTGTGGAGCGCTCAACTAGGAGAACAACAGGGGAAGCTCGAGGGGACGAAGGGGCACAGAAGCTAGCATGGAACGTGTCGTCTGCGTAATGATGCATTTGGCCATCTCAGCATGACCATGCAAGAGGGACCCTCGGTCGCTCAGAATGCTCGAATGCAGCAAGGATGCCTCCGTGCTTCGGGCTACCCAGCCATCCGACTGGTGCTCCCGGCGCAAATCGCTCCGGGTTCGACCCTGCACCGTCCATTCCAGCGAACCTGGAACCCTTCCTTCGTCTGCCAGTTAGTCACTTCTGCCCGCAGGCCGACCTGTGCGTCCTGCCTGCCTTCTACGAGCGTCTTCGTGCAGGACTGAACCAGAACCTCTCTCGACGCAGAGATGAGATCGCCAAGACTCGTACCATGATCAAGCACACTGGGAGCAGCGTTACCTTTCAATCTCATGGAGAAGGAGGTCGCTGGATCTCGACCGAGTGTGGAGGCCCGGTGGACCCCGCTTGGGAGCATTGGAGACGGCGAGCGCCGCATGGGTAGCCTCGTCGCTGCTTCTGATGTTGAGAAGGCGACGCACCTCAGCATGCGCGAGAAGCATGGCGCACTGTCATCTCCGCTCCGCCAACGAGCACATGTGTCTGCACAGCCATCCGCTCGTCGTCTTCGCTACCACCCGACCCGCGCTTGAGTACGTCTCCTCTCTTGGCGATGAGATCTGGTCATCTGAGCAATCTGGATGCCTTGACGATCTCCTCGGACACTGGTGCATCCGAGACAGGATTACCTTTGTTCCTCGAGTGCACTGACCTCTTTTGTTGCTCACAAACAAGAGGTCACACGACCTCTTTCTGACCACCTCTTCTCTGATGTCAGTCACTCTGCACGATGCGACGATGAAAGGATCGATTACACGAACCCAATGCATGTACGAAACACTATGTTACAACTTTTGAGATTGTCTATTTACTTTCCATTAGCGGTGCCATTAGCCTGGGCCCGGATGTCGTCCTCGGCCTTCTCGCCGTCCTCCTTGGCGAGACGCTCCTTCTTGAGAATGTCAATCGCCTTGTTGGTGATCTCGGGTCCGGCCTTGGCTCCGAGCACAATGGCGAGCTGGGTGAGGAACTTTTCGCGGTTCTGGACCGCGTCAAGCGCCTGCGACAGCTGGAGCCAGACGTCCTCGCGGTCGCTCTGCTCCTTGGAGAGGAGGACGGGGTCGGCGATCTTGCTGTTGGCCGGCGCCTCGGTCGCCTTGCCGGCCTTGAGCCAGGCGTCGACGGGGGGGATCTTCTTGCCACGGGCAAGGACGATGCCGTCCGGACGAACGACGACGAGCTCGCCAGCCTCGGCACCCCAGGACGCGGCGGCGCCTCCGTCCTCGCCCGCCTCGAGCGGGATGACCGTCACGCGCTCGTGCGGGAGGGCCTTCTGGATCGCCGCGGCGACGTTCTCGGCAGTCTCCGTCGCGGGGCCGACGGTGTAGACGCCGAAGCCCGGGCCACGGGCGCGGTGAAGCGAGGTCGAGCCGATGACGCGGTCCTCGAGCGGCTCGCCGACCTGGAGACCGTTGGCCTCGGTGGCAAGGTGGCAACAGTGAGGGGCGAGCGGAGGGCGTGGGTCGCAGACGACTGGCGCGGGTTGATCAGGTGGTTGAACTCGGGCAGGACAGAGGACACCTGCAGCAGCGCGTCACGCGTGCACCTGTATCCGTCCGAGCCGGGGGTCATGATGAGGGTCGACTTGCCGGCGGCGGCAATGTTCTGCTCCCAAGCGTCGTGACGCTCCTTGGAGAAGGTGTGGAGGAGCTCGGGCGAGGCATCGCCGTAAGTGACGGCAGCGAGCATCCAGGCGAGGGTGTCGGCATCCTCCATGCCCGAGTTCAGGCCACGGACACCGAAGATGGGGACGAGGTGGGCGGCGTCACCGGCAAAGACGACGCGGTCGTGGCCCTCAGGGGGGCAGAAGTCCGGGAGAGCGAGGGCGAGCGCCTTGTAGAACGAGTGCCACTCGAGCGTCCATGGCTCCTTGGTGATGGTGCCGTTGTCCTCGAGCCAGGACAGGTGCTTGGTGATACGGGCGACAATGGCCTCGCGCGTCGTCTCGTGAGCAACGTCCTCACCCTCGTTGAGCTGGTAGTCGATACGCCAGATGTCGTCCGGCTGCTTGTGCATAATGACGGTCGAGCCCGGGTTGGAAGGGGGGTCGAACCAGACACGGCGGGCGATGGGGAGGGTGCTCTTCCAGTGGATGTCGGCGATCACGTAGCGGCCCTCGTAGGCGGTTCCCTGGAGGTGGAGGCCGAGCGACTCGCGGACCTTGGAGCGGCCTCCGTCAGAGGCAACGACGCGGTCGGCGCGGAGCGTGCGCTCGCCGTCAACGCTCTCAACAGTGAGGGTGACGCCCTTGTCGTCGGGCTTAATGTCCTTCAGCGTCGAGCCCCAGAGCATGGTGACGTTGGGGCAGTTGTCGATCTCGGCGAGCTGGAAGTCCTCGTACTCGCACTGTCCAATGTTGAACATGGGCAGGCGGAGGTTGGACGGGTCCTGCGGCATCTCAAAGCTGAGCACCTCCTCAGAGCGGTAGTACGAGGTTCCGCCGACCCATCCGAGCGCGCGCTTGGCCAGCTTGTCGCCGTAGCCGAGGCGGTCGCAGATCTCAAACGTGTGGCGGGAGTAGCAAGTTGCGCGGGAGCCGAAGGAGGCGCCGATGCCCTGGTCAACCACGGCAACCTTGATGCCGCGCTTGCCGAGGCCAAGAGCCGTGGCAAGACCGACGGGACCGGCTCCAACAACGATCACGGGCCACGACTGGCCCTCCGGGGTGGACTCGTAGTGCGCCGCCTCGTACTTGCGCGGGTGGTAGTAGTGTTCAGACGGCTGGTTCTCGATGGCAGTGGGCATGGTGGTCGAGGGTGTTGGGGTTGAAGTCATCGTGGCTAGTCTTTGTTCTTATATGCAGTGTGTGCGGTGCTGAGAGCGGAGACGTTCTCGAACCACCCGTTTAGGATGAGTGTGGTTGGTATGGCCGCCCCCGGTGGTGAGAACGGGAGAACCAAGAAATAACCGGTCACTAACTGGCCCAAGGTCATGTTCGTCAAAGATCTTGCCGACCCCGTTCCCCGCGCTCATCCTCCGACCGCGCGGTGAAGAATGCGCACATGACCTTTGCAGTGCCTATTCACCGAACTCTGCTATTGTTGGGGCTGCGTAGTGCTGATATCTGGCTGCACGTTTCTTCTGAGGGTTCCGTGACATTCTCATCGACGAGATCGTCGCTGCGTTCGACGAAGGATGCATCGAAGAGCAGCCATCGAGCGCTCGGCATCGAAAATCAACACCTGGCCCAAGCCACAATCAGGATAGACACCGATCTTGGTTCATCCGGGTAAACCAAACGAGCAAATCACCAGCTTATCTCTTGTGCCCATCTCTGCCCATCTCTGCCCGCGGGCACAGTTTTCGTGTCGTAGGGTGCAAGTCAAGTTCTGCCAAGGGTATAAAGTTCAAAGCAGGAGGTCACCTGGCTTATCCGGCCCCAGCGCCGCCGCCGACGTCTCCCCGCCTGGCACCCGCCTGCCCCGGCCTCGCCCCAGTCGCATTCCCACCCGGTGCCTGATTGAGGGCAGATGACGATGCATGTTACCGGGTGATCGATCGCTGCGTGTCTGACGCACGCCCGAACGGGGCCACGGACGGTCCCCAGGCTCCGCGGCCAGCAGCGCTCGGCACACCGGCACGCAGTGGCTTCGGGGACCCCAACCTCGCCCCAGGCCAGGCCGGGTCAACCAGCATGCCTCCCTCCCTCATGCCGCCAATGACAGCGCATCAAAATGCGATTGTTGGGACGTTGGAACGCGAAACATCGCGCTAGCATTGGCTCCATCACGCTGGCGGGCAAGATGCATAGGTGATGACGCGCCAAGAAGCCGTTCATAGAGACCATGACCCTCGCCGGACCTTGACCTTGCAAGCGAGCATGTCAGCTGAGCGGTAGCGGAGGAGACGTGGCCCCACCCTTAGGGTCACATATAAGAAGCTGCAGCGGCGTGATCTCGCTTTCGCCGAGAGAAGAGGGTCAGCTGCCCATTTCCAGCCAGGTCCGAACACTGTCTCGGCGTCATGGCACGCCGGTGTCTGCACGTGATCTCTCATGTCCGTGGCCGGATGATTGCGGCGATGACTTCATATAGTGTCCATATTTCAAGAGAGTGACTGCAGTGATACCTAAGATGGAAGGGAAATTGGGGTATAGAGATAGATATAGAGGTTAGGAAGGGATAGATTTACGCGAAGAACGCGCCATACAGGGCGGGATCCTGGAACAGCTCCATCATGTTGTCGCGATAAGTGTTGGGGATGGGGTACACGCCCTTGTCGGAGAACAGCTGGGCCTGGCGATCGTTGGGTCCCGAGTGAGCGGGCCAGTTGGGTTGTCCGTTCGTGTTCGGGTTCTGGTTGTGCGCAAACGCGATCCAGTACGCCATCATGGCCTGGCTGACACGTTCCGACTTGCTCGTCCATCCCACCGGGAGCCACTTGGACACGATGCCGTACGTGAACAGCAGCTCGGTCGCGTGCATGCACCCGAGGAAGGGGGGGATGATGGGCGTTGCCGCCTCGAAGGCGTACGTCCACACGTTGGGGTTGCCGTGCGCATTCGCCTGCTGCAGGTAGTACCTGGCTTTGCTCACAAACAATGCGTCCGTCGCAATGGCAGCCGCCTGCTTGTAATACGGCGAGAGGAGGAAGGTGTTGCGCCCCGTGCCGTAGGGCGAGCCGATGGCGGGGTCGTTCGTGTACACGGAGAAGAGCTTGGCGAAGAGGTCCTCGGAGATAGGAGAGGGGAGGATGTTGTTGATGAGGCGCTTGTTGTCCTCCTCGCTGTGCGCGAGCCAGTTGACGAACAAAGTGCCCTCGTCCTTGTTCGTGCCCGTAATCATGGGGATGTTGGCAAACTTGCCCTCGGCCTGGAGACGGAACGGGGAGTCGGGGATGATATCGCCGTCAATTGTGGGACGCCAGGTGACGGACACGACGCCGAGCTCGTACTGCTTCAGTCGGGAGTGCTGGGCCGTGACGGACAGGATCTCGTCCTCGCTAAGGTCGCGGAGACAGTCGAGCGTGTCCTCGCGGTCGGCGCAGCCGGCGAGCTGCACAAAGTCGTCGTACGGGCGCTGGTAGTCCTCCGTCTTGGGGACGGGGATGGTGGACGCATGGCCACTCTGCATGATCGCGCCCTTGAACACGTCCTTGTTGGCCGGGTTCAGGAGGTGGATGCTGGTCGAGATGGCGCCGGCGCTCTCACCGTACAGCGTGAGCTTCTTGGGGTCACCGCCAAAGTTGGCAATGTTCTCACGCACCCAGTCAATGGCGAGTCGCTGGTCACGAATCGCGTTGTTGGCCAGCTTCTCGGACGCCATCTCCCGGCCCATGCCGAAACCGTGAATGCCGAGGCGGTAGTTCATCGCGACGTGGATAACCGGCTGGCCCAGCTCTTGGCTCTTCTTGACCATGAGCGGGGCAAGAGTCGAGTAGTAGCTTCCCGCTCCGCCGAAGAAGCCGCCGCCGAAGAGCCAAATCATGACGGGGTGCTTGGCATCGGTGCCGACCGAGTTGGTGGGTGTCACAACGTTCAGGTACAGGCAGTCCTCGCTCTGGCCCGTGACGCCGTCGAGCAGCGGAAGCGTCTGGAGACACGCCTTGGCGTGCGTGAATGCCTGTACGTCCTCGGTGTAGTTGAAGGCAGTGGGGTGGTCGAATCGCTTGCGCCCCGTGAGGGGGTTGGCATAGGGGATGCCGAGGAAAGAATCAAAGTCCGGGAAGTGGTGTCCAGTGATGCGGATACGGCGGCCCGCTGCAGAGGCCGGGGTGATGTACGCATCGACGTCGCCGAGGGGGTTGGCGAACGCATTGATCCGGATCGCCAGATTGAGCAGGTCTGCAAACACATTCGAGACCTGCCTCCACAGAACGGAGAGGAGGCCGCCGCCAGCGAACAAGGCTCCGCGCACCACCTCCTGCGCGATTGGACCGAAGGTGTCTCGGAGATCGTCGATCAGGTCCGTGATCAGCCCGGCTGACACGACCGCCGACAGAAGAAGAATCGCGCCGAGGTAACGCATGACAAGAAAGCAAAGGAGGGTGAGGGGGGCGAACTGGGGATCCGTCTCTCCGCACAGCGGGCCGCTTTATAGGAAACAACCTCGCAAAGTGGGCCGGTTGTTGACACAGTCTTCACGGCTGGTGTTGCGCCCAGCGATGCCCCGCGGAGATGCCCCGCCTGCACTCCCTGCGCTATCCCAGCTGCATTCCTCTGCCAGTCTGCGAGATCCTGAAAGTCAAGTTATGGTCGCGCATGGGTGGATTCATGATGGGTTGAGCGGTCTTCTAGATTGCGCGAAGCGAAGAGCAACGAGCAGTTGAACCAATTCACCGAACGCGTTCGCCGGTCCGTAGCGTCATTATGTCCTGGAAACAAGCGCTGTGCCTAACTGTTCCTGGCAGTTAATCAGCGGGTGAACGGCTGCTGGTCCTTCAGAGCTTCTGCGGTGGCATGCGAGTTTGTGAACTGCACGAACTGGCCTGCGGTGAGTTGTTGCGCGGCGATCCGTCCTGGGGGGTTGCCATCCGGACAATTCATGGAGACTCGAGCCCTGGCGAACTTCTTGTGCGTCTTGCAGCTCTTCTGTTCGGTTTAAGGTTGCACAGGTCATGTATCTGCACTCTTGCAGCCCTTGCATCCTTGCAAGATGTCGCAAGCCCGAGCAGGAAGGGGGCACATGACTGCCGGTCCGCGCTAGGAAGGACGAAACTAGGCCGGTTTGGGATAGTCCAAACAAGTCAGGTGACGGCATTCCTCACTAGCCGACGCGGCGGCGCGCGCAAGGCACGAGGAAACGGACGCGTTTGCCGCGCTTCCTCGGTGCTGGTTGAAGGCTGCTTGGCAGGACATTCTTCATGGCCTTGGGTCACCTTAGCTCGTGCTTGGGAGACTAAGACGCCCACGCGGGTAGTACGATGTCGAATAGACGGAGTGCGACAGCCGTCGCCACTTGACCGAGAGGTGTGGGCCCCGTGGGCGAACAATGTCGAGCGCCGTAGTCTCCAAGCAAGCACTGAGCCAGACCTTTTGAACACGCCCACTCAGACGAGCGCGGGAGACGGGGAACCGAAGAGGGCTGCAATTGAGCACCTGGCCAACGTGTACGACGTCTGGGGCCCGCATGAAATGTTTCACTCGTCGGCGCTCCAGAGTCGGCGATTGATGCGAAGTATCACTTAACGCGCTCCAGCACTGTGGATCGCGGGGAATATCCAGAACACCGGACACCCCAAACCGGAGCGCAGTGTCAATCATGGACGAGAGGTACGTCGGTCAAGAGGATCAGAGTTCTATTCAAAGCACAGCATGGTATGCGAAGGCCGCTAGTCTACTTTCTGAGAGACCTGGAGTCAACGTGCCCTCGGCCGAGCGCCCAATACAGAGAAGGTCGTCGCAGTGTTTCAACCTATTTGTGAGACGCTACGCATCCTGCCGTTGACATAAGGAAGTTCGTAATCCTGCAGTGAACCCATCTGCAGGTCGCCCCAAGAGCAAAAGCAGCTGCCCCGGAGAAGGACAAAAGATTTTACGATGACGGCAGGATTTGAACCTACGCGGCGATAACCATCAGGTATTTTGAATGATGCTGATTGCAATTCAAATCTGACTCCTTAACCACTCGGACACGTCACCGATTTACGTTCCATTGATCCACACGGTCTGTTGGAGGGGGCGCAGGGGCGCAGGCACGATTGCCACCGGCTTCTGTCAGCGATCTGGCAGGCACTCAACGGGTGCCAGCAATCCGTGTCTGGCTCATATGTCGGGGATGAGGGCGTGCTTGCGGTGGGCGTCTATGCTTCACAAGGTGTCACTTGTCTTCAACTCAGTTGTGCACAACTACACCATACAGAGGCTGGTGGCATGCTCCTAGTGTAATCCAGTCGAAAGCCTGAATTGGCGAGGTTGATGTGGTGCGCTCGGATGGCATTCGTAACGCTTTGATGAAGTAGCATCCCATTACGAGGTGATGTAGGATTATAAGGAGATGTATATGCGGGTGTAAACCAGTATGAGCTGAATTATGGACGTCGCGATATTATAGAATGACATGTTGTGGTTCGGAGGGCATGGCAGAGTGTCGCCCTCAATGACATCCACAGGAAGGCCCTACGCGCTGCGTGTACGCTGCAGTCCAAAGTCACCACTGAGTATCCTCCACTTCTCAGAAGTGTATTCGTCGCGAGCGTTCTGAAGCCTGTCCCCATCACCGCCGAGATCGAGGATGGCTCGCTTCTCCCGCAAGTACCTCTCCTCCTGCTCGCTGCCCTCTCCCTCGACAGCTGTCACCTCCAGAATCGCCCTCTTCTCGCGCTCGAAGCGTTCTTCAGCCTCGCGCAGGAGCTGCTCCCGTCTCTCTGCCAATGCCAACTCCAAGCTCCGCCGGCCAGAAAGGGGCGAAGTCCAAGAGTCCGAACTGAGCCGTACGGTCGACAGCTGCTCCCCATCGGCCATAGAGGGCAGCGGGTCCGCGGGCGGTGCGTCGTACCCCTTCCATCCCACTGTCACAGGACTCTCCGTGAAGGGCGTGAGGGGCGGATCATCCAGGACGCCCATCCCCGCTGCGCGAACCACAATGCCCTCGTCGTCCCGTGCCCAATCGCCCTCTGTAGAGGAATCAAACGCATCAAGGGTAGCGAGTGAGCTTCCCCACTCGGCCCTGGCGAAGTGGCGCATGGCATAGATCCTCTCCCAGAGGTATGTCGCGAGCAGCGACGCGATGACAGCTGCTGTAAGAAGGTACGACACGAGCGCGTGCGTCGGGACGTATCCCACGCCTGTGGTCGTGGCGTAGACCACTTCTCCGATTAGGAGCCACACCAAAGCCACAGTACCGAGGAGAATGAAGGCGAAAAGTGTGCGCAGCTCGGAGCGGATCGAGCGCGTGCCGCTGTTCCGGGGCGTAACAAGCAGAACAAAGAGCCACACGAGGAGCGCCGTGTCCCAGCCCATGACGAGGCACACGGGCACAGCAGTAGAGAGCACCCAGCCCGCTCCACTACCGTGCTGTCCGGGCGTCGAGAATCGGGTTCCGACCGGCTGGTCGATGGACGACAGGTCGTGCCGGAGTTCGTCCGAGACTAGCGTTAGATTGAAGCAGGAAGGGAGGGCATACAGGTTACGACTAGACGGAGGACGTTCCACCCCATCTCTGTCAGGGCGAGGGGACAGATGAGGGCGTACAGGAGCCAACGCTGGGTTTCGTGCGCGCGCATGATGGGTGCTAGGGAAGCATTTGGGTGTGTGATGAGATGTCAAGCGTCAATGCATTGCCATGGAGAAGATATTGTGTGTATGTATGCTACAATGTTGAGATCGGCGCGGAGCAACAGACTGCGCACCTGCGGACTAGCACAGCCCCGGGTGCAGAGCTTATCTCTGGGTGTTGGTCTCGTGATCACTCCGAGGAACAGATGCCACAGTTGGACAGTGCCGGCTCCGAATGTCTGGGTGGAGCATATTTCGGGTTTCCCGACAGTGTTCCGTTTGGTTTGGAGCTTGGATCAATATCCTGCATGCGACTATGACTACACTCGCCCCCAATCTACACATTGGAGCCTGCCTCGTTCCTGCGCTCGCTGCGCTCGCTATGCTCGCTCAGCGCCTAGTGGTTCTGCCTTCCGACCGGATTCGTCTGCGCGATCCTCTGATACTTGACAGCGCGGTTTAGGACCATGCCCTCGCTAAGCTCTCCCGTCTCATTGCGGAAGATCTCCTGCCAGGGCGTATGGCTCTTGGGCATCATTTTCTCCCTGTAGCTTCCCATCTCCTGCTTCCTCTTCTCGAGCTCCTCGGGCGACAGCTTCACGTTGGCCGTGCGCTTGTTCAGGTCCACGCGGATGATGTCCCCGTCCTTCAGGTAGCCGAGCATGCCCCCCGACGCTGCTTCGGGGGACGCGTTCAGGATCGCGGGCGTGCCGCACGTTCCACTCTGGCGCCCGTCGCCGATACAGGGCAGCTCGAGGCCTTGCTTGATCAGTTCGGCGGGGGGAAGCATGTTCACCACCTCGGCCGCGCCAGGGTAGCCCTGCGGGCCCGCGCCGCGCATGATAAGGATGTGGCCCTTGCCGATATCGGGGTTCTGGTCGATACGCTTGTGGTAGTCCTCGGGGCCGTCGAAGACGGCGACGGGGCCCTCGAACGCATTCGGGTCCTCGGGGTTCTCGAGCCACTGCTTCTTGAAGCTGTCGCTGATGACTGACGTCTTCATGATCGCGCTGTCGAAGAGGTTGCCGGAGAGATTGAGGAAGCCGCCGGCTGACTTCATCGGCTTGTCGAAGGGGAGGATCACGCGGCGGTCCAGACTGAACTCGCCCTTGCAGTTGTCACTGATCGACTTGCCCGTGCAGGTCAGCGCGTCGGGGTGCGGCAGCTTGCCGTGCTCGAGCAGCTCGGCGACGACCGAGGGCAGTCCGCCCGCGCGATAGTACTCCTCGCAGAGCCACTGGCCGGCCGGCTTCACATTCACAATGACGGGGAGCTCGTATCCGACGCGCTCCCAGTCGGCAGTGGACAGGTCGACGCCAATGTGCTTCGCAATGGCACCCAGGTGGATTGGCGCGTTGGTACTTCCGCCGATGGCCGTGTTGAGCGCGATCGCGTTCTCGAAGGCGTCCTTGGTCATGATGTCTGATGGCTTCAGGTCCTGGCGGACCATGTCCACAATCCGGCGGCCGGTCTGGTACGCGCAGGCTCCACGCTCGCGGTATGCGGCCGGGATGGCGGCCGAGCCGGGGAGAGCCATGCCGAGCGCCTCAGCCATGGCGTTCATGGTCGAAGCCGTGCCCATAGTGTTGCAGTGTCCGACAGACGGCGCTGACAGGGCCATGTTGTGGATGAACTGCTCGGCCGTGATTTGGCCTGTCACGAACTGGGCGCGACTGTCCCAGGCCACAGCTCCGGAGCCCATCAGCTTCTTGCCGTCGTTGGAGTAGCCGTTCAGCATCGGGCCGACGTTGAGGCAGAGCGCGGGGATGTTCATCGACGCGGCAGCCATGAGCATCGCGGGTGTCGTCTTGTCGCATCCGGTCAGGAGCACGACACCGTCTAGGGGGTATCCGTACAGGACCTCAAGGAGTGAGAGGTAGCTCAGGTTGCGGTCGAGAGAGGCAGTCGGCCTCTTTCCCGTCTCCTGGATCGGATGGCATGGGAACTCCATCGGCGTTCCGCCGGCCGCGATGATGCCGTCGCGCACGCGCTTGGCCAGCTCGAGATGGTGACGGTTACACGGCGAGAGGTCGGATCCAGTCTGCGCAATACCGATGATAGGGCGCTCCTTTCCGTTCAGCTCGGCCAGCGTCGTACCGCTGTTCAGGTAGCGCTCGAGGTAGATGGACGTCATTCCTGATGTTAGCCTCGATGGTTACGGGTGAGCTCACCTGGGTCATTCTTGTCGTCGAACCACAGCTTGGAGCGCAGCGGGACCGCCAATCCTGAAGAAGTCGAAGCGGGAAAGACACCCTCGGCGGGTGCGGTGAAGGATCGGAGCTCGCGGGTGTACGTGTCCTGAGCAACGCCCTCGTCAGAGTTGTCGCCAGCAGCCCTAGCGGCGGCCTCGGCCTCGGCGCGGCCGCAGTTACATCCTTCGCAGGCCATTGTCGTGTGAGTTATGAGTGTGTGGTGGAAAGAAAGGTTGTAGAGTCGACGATGTCCTAGGTCAATGATGTTAATAAGGGCTCTTCTCGTTGGTCATCCGACTCCTGCTGAGTAGCCCACCGCCCACAGAGGCCTCCACCTGCAACTGCCGGCCAAGTACCGGCGGCAGAGCCCGGTATGGCGCGGCTACGTGCGGCATCGGCGGTGTAAGCTCCCGCTTGGCACGGGGTTGGCCGAGTCTCCGGGCCGGGATACCGGGTGGGACACCGTGGGAAATGTACGGAGGGTGGTGACCATCAGCGCTAAAAGAAGATCCGGGCTGGGCGCAGAGTGGAGGTGGAGGATGCGCGGCATGCGCGGATATCTGGATACGTGGAGAGCCCAGAGCGTCGTTACTGGTCCGTTTATCTCGATTCTGGCGACAAAGCAGCGGGAATGCTCCGAGCCATCCATTTGCCGATCTACAGGATGGCCTGGTCTTGGGACTGGTGACATATAACATACCTGGCAAGGTTGGGAGAGCTTGAGCTATTCATGTAGCGCATCCTTCCTGGTTACCAACTCGCGGAACAGGTGGTGTCGGGACCACCGTGGGAAATATGCGATCGACGCAACACGACCTCCACGATGCCAAAGAGATGATCGCCCCATGTTTCTCCCATCCTCCTCAGTCAATGTGGGCAACAACAATCGACAATGGCGCCCGCGAGACTGGCCCGGACACTATCACCTGCGATCGATCTCGCTCATAGCCGACGTTTCTGTCACTCTCAATGAGCACCATACTTTGTTCCGCTTCTTCTGACGCCTGATGCTGATGCGTCTCACCAACCGCCCACATCTTGTGGGCCTGCGGCCGTCCGCCCTTTCGCTCCGACGTTACCCCACCGTAACGAGACAAGTGTATCCGGCACCCCCGCTTGACCGCGCTCGATAACGAGCAAGTAGTAGGCAGAAGTGCATGTCTTCCTGCGCTTCAAGCCCGCCGTGCTTGAGACGCCCACGTCCCCGCGTGCCGTCAAGCATCTGAGGCTGTTTATCGGGAATCGTCCATCAAGCTTGAGCCAGCACCGCGTGAGCACAGCACTACTAATCACAGACAGACCTGATGATCATCGAATGATTCGCTGTCTGCGCTCGACGCATTCGACGGCGCTCTCCCATGCCCAAGTGCAGGCTTTGGACCGCTGCCTTCCTTCCGGCTCGTCGGACGGAGGGGGAACCCGGAACACGGCATACCTCGAGGCCAAGCTGAGGTTGCTGGACTCTGACTCGAGCACCAGCCAGCAGAGATCTCTCCCCTCTGTTCCCAACATGCCCCCGCCCAAAGGGTATCCCGACGAAAAGGCAGATCTCCGCGCCGCTCATGCTCAGCCTACGAACGCCGGGTTTAGTAGGGAGAGCCGGGATAGAGTACAGGAGGCTCGGGAGGAGTATCGCAAAGAGAAGAGACGACTGCAGGAGGACGATTCTGCCTGCATTGGGTGAGAAGAGCGTGAGTCAGTAGCAAACTTTGAGGGGCTTTACTGCTCCGTATGGTGCTTATCCTGCACTCGCCTGATGTTGTAAGGGAACCCAGCCGGTACGAGCTCAGTGTTCAGCGCATCATGGAGTGTAACAGTAGCGCATCATAGAGTAACAGTCAACTGCATGCGAGTCTCAATATAGGCTTAGGAACGACGCACGTCTCTCGCATCGCAGAGGCAGTCCAATGGCAGACAAAGAGAGGTCGTAAACATGTACCGGGGAAGTGGGGGGGAGGCAGGCACGCTTGTCGAAACTGTTCAATGTCACGGTCATTCATTCATTCACCTCCGATCAAATGCTAGTGTCATTATTAACGATGATCCTCTTTGTAATCCGCAGTCTTTGATGTACACACAGATTTGCTTGAGTGCACAGTATTGCGCTAGGTATGCACAGTCCACCGAGCACACAGCTGAGCGCATCGCAGGGGACTGTCTGCGCGTGCTAAGTTCGGTGACGGTGAGCCCCAGGAAGCGAACAAGTCGGTCGGGTCGGAGTAAATGCCCATAGTAGTGGGGCGGGGACGATAAGATCACGCACGTGGTTGCTTCCCACCAAATACATCGCGCGGGGTCCGACCAGGCTCGGCGATTTGTTTTCCCTACCTCGACCATCCCATCCTCACTTCATACCCCCCGTCTTCTTTATCGTTGTTCGGATCGTCACTTGTCATACCCCCTATCACTTGTTACCTCGGCCATCTTTTACCGCCGAGACATCCCCGACGCCGCCCGACGCCACCGCCGCCCGACGCCCCGAGCCCCGCAACGACCTCCACACTCGCCGCCGCCGCAACCGTTTGAAGCAGACGGGATGGCACGATGAAATACGGCAAGGAATTCCAGAGCATCCTCGAGTCCTCCTCCTTCCCCGATGACTGGAAGCACTCTGCGATCGAGTACCGCAAGCTGAAAAAGCTCATCAAGGATGTCGTCCTCGAGCTCGAGGGAATGGGGTTATCCCCCGAAGTGCTGAATCGATTGCTCGTCACCGACGCCCGATCACCTGGCAACAGCGAGGGTAACACCCCAGAACCGCTGTCGAGGTCCGATGGAGAGAAGGAGCCCGAGTTTGAGTTCGAGTTTGAGGACCCGGGAGTTCTCGGCGCGAATGGGGAACCGGAGCTGAGGGTCGAGGAGCTCGAGAGTGAGCATCGGTATCGTGTCAGGCTGAGGGGGAGGGAAGACAGTCCCGCGAGGCTAGCTGGCAGCGCGACGAGTCCCGCGCCCATCTCCGTCTCCGATCTCATGATGCAGCGCACGCCCTCAGCAACATCCAGCGTCGAGCACCGACCCCGCGTGCGAAGAGGCGTCAAAGCGGAATACATCCTGGACGGTGAGTTTGCCACCCAACATCCGAGCGTCACTCCCGGTCACGGGCCCAGGCCCACACATCCCTTCCGCGCACCCGCGGCACTCTCCCAATGCTGACATCAGGCGACGACCGGCCTATTCCCCAGATCCGGCTGCATGTGTCAGAACTCGAGTCCGAGTCTGACGACATCCTTCTCGAGTCGCCGGCGACCACGCTCTCAGAGCTCGATACCGAAGACGAGAGCGACGACATCGATGAGCCACCCGTCATCCCTCCGAGCCCGCAGCTGCGAAAGATCCGCTCCGTGCCCTCACCCATCTGGGCCATGGCGGCGGGTCCGGAGCGGGGAATGCGCGAGCTGTCCCTTGGCGAGGCGCACGACGAGGATGCGACCCCGACAATGGCGGCGAGGCACTATCCCGCCCCGCCGACAGCCGGTCTTAGCGAACTCGGCGCGCCGACACTCAACAGCATTCGCGAGATGCCGTCCCCGCCGCAAGGCTATGCTGAGCTGCCCACCACACCGGCAGCGTTCACGGGCGGCGCAACCATTACGGAGATCCCGTCGCGGCCCGGCTCCGTCGCCTCCGAAGCGGGCATTCGGGGCGTCGCCTCAAGCCCAGGGAGCGAGTACATCATCCCGCTCGAGGCGGACGTGCGCTTCTTCGAGGTACTCACTGCAGCGCTGCAATCTCTGACAGAGTTCCACAAGGATCAGCAAGAGCTCTTCAGTGCCTCCGTCCGACAGCTGTGTGCGCTTGTTTCCGCGTCGATCCAGCCCAGCGGAGACGTTATCGACCTCCCGACCCCGCCCAACTCCATGTCCGACCCAACGCCCTACGTGTACCACAGCACGCATCCGAGCCAGAAGGATCTGTACGCCTGGCGGCAGATCTTCTCGCTGTGGGTCGAGGCCGAGATCTTTGAGAGCAATGCGGAGAGGGACCGGGGCGAGCGCTCAGTCGACGAGGCGCAGAAGAGGCTCACGTCCTTTGCGAATGCAGTGGTCAAGCGCGGCCTGGGCGATCGGCGAACGCTGCGGGGCAAGAAGACGCGAAAGGCATGGGACGAGTTCCTCCGTCTCAACGTACTGTTATTGGATCTGAAGCGGTTCCAGACGGCCAACATCGAGGCGGCGCGCAAGATCCTCAAGAAGCACGATAAGCGCACGGCCTTATCCGCCGGAAGTCTCGTACCCCTGGCGCGAGGGCGTGGGTGGACGTTCTACTCCACCTCGTTGCCGCACGTCCTGCTCGCCTCTTTGACCGAGACGCTCCTGCCCATCCTGCCAAGCCTGGACGACTACGCGTGCCTCATTTGCATGTCGATTGCATTCAAGCCGATCCGTCTCAGTTGCGGACACTTGTTCTGCGTGAGGTGTCTTGTCAAGATGCAGCAGAGGGGGAGCAACAACTGCCCCCTGTGCCGGAAGGAGACGGTCCTCATCGCGGACAAGACGAATCTCGACTCGCACTTGATGAACTTCATGAAGGACTGGTTCCCCCGCGAAGTGCGCGAGAAACAGAGCGAGAACGCAAAGGAGATCGCGAAGGAGAATCTCGAGGATGCGGGGATTGACCCGAGGTGTGTCATTCAGTGAGCGTCGGAGGTCAGCGCGGCGAGCCGCAGTCGTTACCGCTTGAGACGCACAACCGGAGAGAGGGTTGAGGACAAGTGTGGCAGCCGGAGATACAGCGCACAGTGCATAGAGAGATGTGTTGTACCATTACGCGACATGCATAGACATAATCGGGTTCCCTCCAGCATCTGTAGCCAGTCGCAGATCAGTCCGATAGCGGAGAGATGACAAAGTTGCGATGAGATGAGCACCGCAGGGACTATGGACGAGACGAGGGTGCAGCATGGACTATCTGGCCAAGGCGCGGTGGACACCGTGGGAGACCGGCGCTGTCCGTCGGTAAGGCTAGTTACCGATATCCATGTATCCGGCTCGGCAAAGGACGCAAAAGATGACCAAGATAAATGTCTCGCATTGCTCATCGCCCGTCCACACCACCCCCGACAACGACAACGACCATATCATAACGATCAGCACGAACAGACCAGCACAGACGACATGGTGTCCACGTTCCCTCCGCACCTCGGCCCCTCAGTCGCCCCCTCCCCTCAAGGCCCGCCGACCGTCCTCCTGCCCCTCTCGCGACCTCCACCCTCCACCGCCCCGCCGCACCCAGACCGTCCATCTCTCCCTGCGTCCTTCAACCCCCCAGCAGGATGGGAACGTACCCTCCATGCAGCCCCAGCCGCATACCCGAAACAGAGCCGGGTCTCTTACGGCGCACACTCCCGCTCTTCTGCGCCGTACGGTCCCGAACCGACATCCAAGGAGCCGGTGGAGGTCCGGCGAAAGCGGTTCGCGGACGAAGCGAAAGTGATCGTGAAGGGAAATCTGGAGGCCGAGGCTACGCAATGGAAGCCGGAGGAGATCGGGCAGGCCCAGAAGGAGGCAGGGGAGGGCCAGTGGCTGAGTATCGAGCGGTGGAGGCGTCTCGAGCCCGTCGAGGGGGGCGTGACGCTCGTGTGTGCCCATGCCAATGGACTGAACAAGGAGGTGAGCGGCGTGTCGTATAGGGGCTGACGGCAGCACTGGATCCCGGCCATCCAGCATCTCCTCACATCCTCCCGCCCCGGGGTGTTTGGCACCGACACACCCCTCCCTTCGAGCCTGCAGGTCAACGACGTCTGGCTAGTGGACGACACGCACCACGGCGTCTCTGTTGCCCTGAACGCGGGCCGGCTCAACGAGAAGGTGACCTGGGACGACGGGGCGCGCAACCTCCTCAACTTGATCAAGCACGTCATCCCCGCCTACCCCTCGACCGCGGGCTGGCAACTCGACTGGCATGAGAGTCCAGGCCGCGTCCCAGTCATCGGCGTCGGGCACAGTATCGGCGGGAACAACGTCGTCCTCGCCGCGCTCACTGAACCCGAGCTCTTCACGGGCGCCTTCCTCGTCGAGCCGATGTGTACCCCCAAAGCCTGGGGACATCGGCAGGCCATGGCCCTGACGACGCTGAAACGGAAGGATACGTGGGCGAGCCTCGAGGCCGCGGCAGAGATGAGGAACTCGCCGCTGTGCAAGGACTGGACCGACGCCGTGTTCGATCTCTGGCTCCGGACGTCCCTGGTCCCGCACCCTTCTGGTGGAGTTCAGCTCGCGACACCGCGATGGTGCGAAGCCACCTGCTTCGCGTCCCCCTCCGCCCCACAGAGGGCATGGGACGCGCTCGAGCAGCTCAAGATTCCCGTTGGGTTCGTCATGGCTGCCGATACGAGATGGATGGGCGGGGAGAAGGCGGCGCACGAGATGTGTCACCGCCCCAGGAGGAGTAGGCACGAGGTCGCCCACGCGGGACACTTGATCGTGCAGGAGAAACCGGAGGAACTCGGAGAGGCGATGGGCAGGTTTATTGCTACGCTGGGGGCGGGGGTGTGGGACCAGACTGATGCGCGGTTGTAGATAGAAACCTAGATGCGGATGCAGTGGTGGCATGGAGATATGACGCTTGACATGAGTGACGTGTCCAAGACTACCATGTTCAGTCAATGGAGGGCTGTGCGACGACTGAGCACCTAAGCGGTCTCGTCTGTGCCGGGTTTAGCAAGCTTCATTGATGATAGTGACTCAAGCAAGGAAAACGAAGACAGGAGGCTACAGTACCAAGAAGGTGGTTACAGCACTATGCATTTCGGAAACCACGGGGGCGGAGTCTACTTGATGCGCGTTATAGACGTCTCTTCGGGGTCGGGGCACTTGTCCGGGTCCTGATGACAAGCCCTCCAGCAGGCACTGCTGTCAGTTTCACCTCATTATGTCATTATCTCACGCATCACAGCGCCCATTGGCGGCGGACGCGAAGCCAGCGGTAACGAGGAGGGCGGCAATAGTAAGGAGCTTCATGGCGAGTTGGATGGGTGTCTGGTGGGTCCGGACGATGCTCTCTTATACACCACACCCAGGTGTGGCACCACTGTGCCGAAGAACGGTGAGAAGACGGCCTTCACTGATCGCCGCGCTGTAGCGGCGCACCAAGTGCTATTACTGGACAACGCTGTCAGTGGACCCGCCGGTCTACCCGACACCAACGGCCAGAAGGTGCTCATCTCCTCTTCATGATCACGCAAACCGCTGTTCTCCGATCGCGAGGAGTGTCTGAGTCCAACACCCGGGAGCAGGACCATCCGAGGTAGCGACTCGAGCAGTCCCGAGATCAGCTTGGTATTAACAAACTAGCACGCTCTTGGTCTACCCTTCTGGGAGCTCCGATGGGCATTGAGAATCGGGACGATCCCGCCGACGCTCCCAAGTGTGCTCGTTGATTCTTCACGTTTTCAAGTCAAGTACGATATAACAAGGGAGGTTCCGGTGGGCGGAGAGAGTGCATGTTAATGCAATGCTGACAGCAAGCAATTGAGCCACGGCGGCTACAATCGTTGCAGTTTCGGCAGGAGAAGTATAAGAGCAGAGTATCAGTTGCATAATGACAGTGGAGGGCACACAGGGGCATGCATGCACGATCACAATATGTGTACTACGTCTGCAGCCGCTTCAAAGTGATTAAGCTGAGACTGCTCAGCTGTTGCGGCGCGACGTCTACCAGTGGATCTTGTGGGGGTCGCTGTAGGCGTCGCAGTTGTCGGGGTCCTTACGGCATGCCTCCGCGCATGCACTGTTATCAGCCGGCGACATCTCGGCGGACTCACCCTGTACAGGCAGGGACTGCGGAGACAAGACCGGCAGAGACCAGAATAGCAGTGACGACAGCGAGGAACCTCATGGTGGTATAGTCACTGGTGAGGCATTGGCTGCGGGCTCGTGGTTATATACCACTGGGTGGCGCCGGGCCCAATGTGCCCCGCTGCCTCCACTTCCTCTGCGTCCGCCTCGGCTGTGCGTGAGATCATCTGACTAAAGGAGGCGCTTACTATCAGCTCGAGCTGGGGGTATCCGATAACAAGCGTCGGGTTGCTCGGCGCCCTGCGACAACGGTGCCGCGGCCAGATCACCGATGACCGCGCGTTAGCTCGGCACAAGCTCCTCGATGAGTTATCTTTGGGCACGTTGGACGCCGAGGTTGCCGTGGTTCTATTCAGTCACTGGACCGGACCCACTTGAAAGGGCTGCCGGGGTCCACTCTGCCCCGGGGCGCCATGATGGAGCAGTCGGCGTTCTGTTTGCGACCCTGGTACATGGTCCATGTGAATGGGAAGTGGCGTTCTGACACAAAATCCGTCAAAATAGAAACAATTCATAGAAACTAGCGGCTACCAAAGGCGGCGCTTAGTAACCTGTTTAGTGACTTCGGCCCATGTGGCATGCACTCGTGAACGCAAGGCCCATCACAACCGCGGGTGACATGGCAACCTCCGCCGAAATGGTGGGGGGGGAAGCGTTGGAGGATGGTGCAATGGAAGAAGAGATCCGACGGGCATCGCTCAGCGCGGTATCTTGCCTTGAGCCCAGCTCTCTCGCGGGCTCATGACTCCTAATCATTGCATCACTGGTGTGTTCACGTCTCGGAAAACCCACAAGAGAACCTACAAGAGCATCGACGACGTTTGCGCCATCCTTCGTCACACACAATGAGGGAGGCTTTACTTATCAGCCACGGTGTACAGCAGATGTCCTGGCGGCGAAATAACTCATGGAGATGTGTGCTTCAAGGTTACATAGCAGCAGTACAGTAGGCGTACGAGGATGGTACTGTAAGAAGCTGGGTAAACACTTAGTAGCCCTCCCTGCACTCCTTCGGGTGTGCCAGGCAGTACTTCGCGTACGCGTCACTGTGATGGTCAGCAACGCCCACAGGGCCTTAGCTCACTCCTGATCGTCCCTCTTCTCCACACTCTCAGTTGCAGTGACGAAGCCGATGGTGGCAAATAGAGCGGTGGCAATGGCGAGGAACTTCATGATTGTCTTGAGATTGTCGGTGGTGTGATTCTACTGCTCTGAACAACCGTTTTATATGCTGCCAAGGGCAAGTCTTCCGCGCAGCTGCTGACTGACGTCGGTCAAAGCCGATGGGCGGAGCGGGGACACGCGCTCCCCACAGGAATGACTTTGCAAGGAGGCGAGAAGAACGGTCTTGAGACGATGACCGCCACAGCGATCGAAGAAAGCACGAGGTTACCAACTGCCACGACCGTCGCCGATTCGACTATGACTCAGAGCGGCGCAATCGCCGACAACGCTGTGCATGCCAGAGCCGGTGTCATCAACTCCCTGCCCGCCTGGGCGCCGAGGCGACGACCCTGTTGGGAACCAGACCTGTACATGAGGTGGGGGTGAGATATTGCCCTAATTTACGCTCGATAGGCGCCCAGAGAACGGGCCCGTCTTCTGCTACATTGAATTTTCGTCGTCGACCTTAATCCCAGACGGGACGACAAAGCCGCTGAGCCACGGCGATCCTGGCCAGGCCATCCGGGACACGCTGCAGCCGCTTCGGAGTCAAAGGCGGAGACAACCATGTGGAAGAGGCAGGCGGTTGAAAACGTTGCGTTCACCACTCGTCGGCGATCGACTAGCTTCCCCGGCGGGCTCCAGGGCTATACGCTCGGTATGCGGTCCGTCGGTCCGAGAGCCGACGCTACAAGAATGGTCGAGTGGTGCTGAGGCGTAGTCTCCCCGATACCCGGCGAACTGAGCGAGGGGAACACTACGCCTAGCGGAAATGCCCACAGGCGGTAGTCGCGGCCTTCGGTCACTACTTGAAAGGGTCCCTGTGGGGGTGGGGCAACTAACGCGTAAGCTTGCCCATGGCGAGTGTTGGCAGACAAGGGCTAACGCGTGCGGGCATCGTGCAGTGACCATTGCGCTATATTAGGGTTTGGACGGCTCTCACTCGGTTATTTTCTGGCGTACGTGGCCTTTTGCACATATGGAGCTCAGTGTGAAGCCTCCGCAGCCTCCATGAGCTCGAGATAAGCTGATCGGGAGAGAGCGGCCAATCTGATTTGTGCCTGACTGGAAAACCGCACGCAGCGTCTGTCAGTGCCACGGATACGCTATAGCTGCGAGAGCAGTTGGTTATGCATGTGGTCACTATATACGTCGTGCCCCTGGCGAAGTATAGCATCACTAACCCTGGCAGATGTTCGGGTGCTTAAGGCACCACTTCATGTACTCATTGCTGATTGTCAATTGGTGGTCCACTCGTTACTCACTGATCAGTATCACGTTTTCCTTGACAGATGGTCGGGTGCTGGAGGCACCACTTCATGTAGTCGTTGCTGTGGGTAAGCTTGGGATCTCCCCGTTGGTCACCCACTGATCGTTGGGCGCTGGGGCAGCAGAGGCAAAGCCGATGGTGGCGATGAGGGCGGTAATGGCTGTGAAAAGCTTCATGGTCGTGGTCGGAGATTGATGGGATTGGAGCTGTTGTCCGTCAGCGTCTGCAACCTACAAAATGATCTTATAACCAGGTGGGAAGCACTCCGAGGCTGTTCCACTTGCACGATAAGAGCAAAGTACTGTCCCTCCAGAGCCTGAGGATCGGCGTTCTACGCAATGGCCGCCCCGGAGCACATGGTGCAGTCGCTCCATCATCTTCACTTTGCCGAACTTTCCGGCGCTACGCTAAATACCGGACCGCCTGCCGTCAGAGGGGCCTCACTGTCCGGCGATGAGACCGAGGTGGTCAACATCCCCTCGCCGCTCCGAACCCCAGCTACTGGCAAAGTGCAGAAGGACATTTGGTGCATGATTCAAAGAGTATAGTTTACGGCAAAGGGGGCGGCTTAAGCCTCAATGCCTTGGTCGCGCTTAGGACGGCACAGCAACGGGTGAGAAATGCACCACTTCGTCTCGGGGCTGCATGTTAGTCGAGGACGACTTCGCAGAGGCTCACTCCTGAGGAATCGGCGAAGCAGCCACAAATCCAGCGGCGGCGAGGAAAGCGACAGCGACTGCAACGAGTTTCATTGTGTGTCGAGGCCCGGGGGATTTGGAAATATGAAGCAATTGACGCTGCTGGTAGGATGGAGCCTCGATGCCAGCTTATATGGCTCGGAAGACTAGTGGGGCAGCTTTGATGAGGCAGGTTGCACACCAGAGAACACGAGGAACGTGCACGCTGGTCATGTGCCCCGCCTCGTGCGAGCATGGGGCCAAGTGGAGCAGCTATTCCTGGCAAAGACCCCACGCTGCCTACTCACTAAGTGAATTGCATCTACAGTACGGAGAGTTTAGAGTTCGTGGGTGCGGCGTGTTCTCCGGCGATTAACCCTACAATACACATAACCGCGGGCACATTGAGCCATGCCCGCTGGAAACATCCTGCACGTTGCCGTTGAGGTGTGAGGATGCACTGGCATCGGATGCTCACATCGTTGGTAGCCGTGCACCAGGATTGTGATCGACACCTAGCGGAATGTCTACGATAAGTCACCACCTCAACCCTGAGGAGCCCGAAGTAGACGCTGCTGAGAGGCAATGCGTCATGCCCATGGTGCTCTCAGTATGGTTCTGCGTGGGCCCTTCTAAGCAAGCTATTTGTTCATCGGTCATCATAGATGGACTACAAGCGGCATCATGCCTCAACGATCTCGACGTCTTCGTTGCGCTTGCAGTTGGCCCAGTTGTTCTTGCACCAGTAGGGGTCGTCACTACAGGTCAGCGGTCTGTGACAATACGTTGTACCCACGCCGAGCCATCTCCGTATCCGCGCTTGCGATGGCAGTTAGCCCAGTTGTTCTTGCACCAGTAGGGGTCATCGCTGTGGATCAGTGTCATTGAACGGAATACTGGACATGTGCTTACGCTGAGCCATCCCCCCCCTACGCGCTTCCGGTGACAGTTGGCCCAGTTGTGCCTGCACTCCCAAACGTCCTGGCTGTTCATTAGCTTTCACTGACGCTTCGTACATACTTCTGATCACCGTTCACGGGTGTAGGCACAGCAGCAGAGAGGCCGGCGGTGGCGAGAAGAGCAACAGCAATGGTGAAGAGCTTCATGTTGAGGACGAGGGAATGGCTGAGGTGTTTCGAAAGGACATGGCGGACCTTATATACAGAGACAGACAGCGAAGCGGGGCAGAGAGCTCCTATTACCGAACGAACGTTCCAGGGCATGCAGCCGATCAGTGGTCTCGTGAGTAGTTCGCACGACCACGTCAGGTGTCGCCTTGCTGCATTGAGCATGACCCCACCTATTCCCGCTAGAGATAGTCTAGCAGGACCTACAGTTTGGTAGTACGGCGTGCTTACCGCAATCAACGCAATCGGAACCAGACCTCCTGAGAAGAGCTAAGCGCGCCGTTATCACGGAAGTGGGATCATATCATCAGAGGGTGGGTGAGTCGGTCAATGCATTGGTGGGGCTGGACATCTGACAACTGGGGGTGCTGTAGCCTCGGTAGTCACTTCTAACAGGTAGGCAGTGCAACAAAGCAATGGAACGCAGCTCCTGGACATGCAGTGGTTTTACGTTCTTCATGGACGGCAAGCTGATTCAACAGATTCCGCGCTTTGGCTGTAGTTGCATTCGATACTTGGATCATGACAATGTCGAAGATATCGACCCTCTTTAAGCATTGACGGCTTGAACATCTTCGGAGCGCTTGCGCTGGCATTCCGCCCAATGGTTTTTGCACCATTCGGGGTCGCGGCTGGGTATCAGCTACATACTGAGACAGTTGAGAACTCACTGGTCCCAACCATTCTTCGAAGGTGCAGCGGCCACGAGTCCGACGGTAGCGAAGAGGGTGACAGCAACAGCGATGAGCTTCATTACGATGAGGCAATGAGGGTAGCAGGTAATAAGGAAAGGCAAGTTGACAAGGGATCATGAGGCTCCGGCCCCTCTTTTATGCGTCCAGCAAAATAGAAGCATCTGCAGTACTGAGAGAGGGTGGCCACTTTTCGTGGTCTCGAGCGGCCTCTGTAAGACCACCGTTCGCTAGCGTATCGCGGTCACGGACGATAGACCATCCAGAAGGGAATGTCTGCGCAGTCTCCGCGTTAACGTTGCGGCACGGCGTGCTCACCGTCTCCGGTGGTTCTGCCTTCAGCACAGAGCTAGCCACCTGACCTGCGCTATCAAGATGCGCTTATCACATATTCAATCTGCGCAGGGTATTGTCAGTCTGCACCGCTGAGATCAAAGTGCGATGCTCCGCAGTGTGCTGCCTGTGCTGGAATCAGGGGTTTAGTGCTTCCCACGCCCCACTCATGATGGACGTCTCGTCGGGTTTTGACGGTATTGTGTGCCACTCGGCCCGGCTTGCTACTCACCGTACGCCACCGGCGGGCGTCCCTCTTCGACTAGAGCTCGTGATTGTATGGATGCTCGAATGAGGACTGGAGATGGGTGAACAACACCGCGGACGGCAGCACTCTGCGCACGCTGGCTGACTACGGCCGCAGATGCTGGCAGCGCCGTGACTTTGCGCCACTTGCTCTGCGATCAGCGGCGCACCAGCGGAGTACTATGTGGGCAAGTCTAGCCATCTCCGTGTATCTGAGAGCATTTGATTGCTTCTTTTAACTTAACATTGATGGCCCTCGACCAAACACAGTCCTGTCAGAAGAAGCCTCGGACGCAGAGACGTCAAAGGGTCGGAGGCCGGGAGGATCGCCAATGCAGGACTTCATATCTGCACCCCCCATTACCGCCAGGGAGAAAGGAAGGTGTCTTTCGGTGCCCTCGTTTCACCCGCGACCGCAGTTCCAACAGTCTGTGTAACCCTTTGTACAGTCGCAGAACTGGACATGAGCTCAAGAGCTCAGCACCAAAACCGCGTGGTCTATATATTGGCCCGACTGTCGGTACTGACAGAGAATAGCTTCGGCCAGCCCTTAAGGCACCCGGTTCGACGGCAACGCCACCGGCGCCACCGCTGGGCGTCTACGGACTGAGAAATGATTGGCGCAGCATCCCACGACCGTCCCAACCTGCACGCAGTAGTCCACGTTGATGACGTAGAGAACAAACAGTCGTTGACGTTCTTGTAGAGTCCCCGCGATAGGAGCTTCGCGACACACATGACCACCCGTGCCTCCCTCCCCATCTCGGCGTTCTTCATGCGGTGCCTGACATGGTCATCGGACTCGGCGCGGACTCCGAGCGGCCAGCCCAACCCCGCTATGATCAGGAATGTGAGCTCAACCGAATGTGCCTTCGGTGTTGTCAGGCAGCCAAGTTCGAGATGCGGAGTGGAATGGCTCTTGCTGAGCGTCGAGACAACATCATTATCTAGCGCAAGCTGTGTCCTTTCGTTGACAGACCTGAACTGTCAACAGATCGCATCACCATGCGCGCATACGACACGCAGCGTCTGTTTTTGTATGGCCTGCTGCTGCCTCTCTCTCTGCTGAACATTACCTGGTGGTTGATACAGCTCTTCCTCTGCTGTTAGTGGCCCTTGCCTAGGGTTGTGCTGAAACGCATAGTCGATGACGGACAAGCAATGGGCGATCTTTTCCATAACAGTCTCTTTGACGTGGTGGGAGGAGGAGTCAAGGGGAAGAACCCAAAAGACTACCTACGAATGGGCCAGGTGCCATCAATGAACTGGGGAGCTGGCGGTGCACTCTGCGAGATCCTGCCAGCTCTGCTGTGCTTGGCGTGGACATTAGCTGTGCTCATCTGGGTGTTCCTTGCGTGAGTCCTATATCTCCGCCTGCTGACAGCAGCGTTTTCTCTTCCCGAACGAGTCGCATTCGCTCCATCCGTAACGAGATGCGCCTGCTCCTCGGTCTTGTCGTCTCCGGTTTCATTGTGCAGGTCTGGGCTACGATAGGCCAGTTCACCATGAAGGAAGTCTTGAATGGATTCTTGAAGGTGACGCGGTTTGTGGTCATGCGATGCTTCTTCGCGTGGGCCCTATGGGTCACGGTGCTGTGCGTCTATCTTTGGGAGACACATTACGTGAAGCGTCACTACTCGAAGGCAGAGTGGGGTGCGAGTTTGCAGACGCTAGACAGCTTTGACGGGCCGGATGGAGACTGGAGCAGAATGGGACCGGATCTGCTGCTACGTGGCACAGCGCTTGGATACCGAGACCCCGCAGTCACGCCGTATTTGGAGACCTATAACGAGCCAAGCGACACGAAAGGATACGATCGTCCTCCGAATGACTGGAGCAAGACTTCGCCCCCCGAGAGCCTCGTGACAACGAGCGCGGGACGCCGCACAACGGAACTGCCGTCCGCATGTCACCCTAGCTGGAAGGGGGTTCTACCGAGGGGCGACTGCATCCTAGGACCTCATCTTTCGAGCAAGGGTCCTCCGGAATCGAAGCGGGTGGGGATGACGAAGGCCTTAGTGGACTCTTACAAGAAAGTGGGTCTTAGCTCTGATTTCACGAACACAGAGAGGGTGGTGACTGCGCCGCGGAGGTGGGTGCCTGAGGACCGGTATTGGTCTGAGAAGGTGCAGATCATTCAGGAGAGTTTCGGACCGACGCTGTGCAGGACGCGAAGTATGTAGAGGCTTGATACGCAAAGGCAGTTGTACAAGGGAGTCAGGCGAAATACTGGGGCTGTAAAATACTGGGACACCGAAAGTTTATCGTGCAAGACACGGAGGGCATGACCTTCTCTAGCTACGAGAGTTGGCATTCGGCCTCATCTTAGAGTGACATGTTGCAGCCGAGGGAATGACTGAGCGCACTGATACATGCGGAGGGTTATTCTGTCGTGTACTAAAAACTCTATGGGTGCTCATCAAAGTGCGCTAAGGGTTGTGTACACGCATGTATTGACCCTTCGTCTCGGTGGGCGAGATTATTGGATGGGCTGGGGCGATGGATGCCTCGTGATCTTGGATAGGACGTCCTTTCGCATCGGTGGAAACGCTGGGCCCGGCCTGCTGGAACGGCGTGATTTCCGTCTCACTTGTGCCAATAGTCGTGTCGTACGGAGTGCGGTAGGCGTTATAGCTAGGACGCTCATTCTCGCTGTCCCAGTCCTTGTTGCCAGCGTAAGCGTTGAAATCGAGCGCCGCCTCCTGGGACACGAGCGTCTGCATGCTCTGCTGCGTCTGGCCGTGGGCATTCTTCTTCGCCCACCGGGACTCGTACACCCAAGCAATGCAGAGGGCGAGCCACAGCAGCCAGCCCCACACGAAGAGCAGCGCCATGAACGTCGTGACGTACAGCACAGGCACCTTCGCAGCCAGGATGCCGACGGGGATGAAGAAGCCGAGCAGCTGCCAGATCATGAGCGCTAGTCCAAGCCACGTGAACACGGCCAGGGTGCGGGTCTCGGAGCGGAGAGAACGCTGTGCGCTGATCGGGCTGCTGAAGGCGATGATGAGGAGCCACACGAGAACGGCGAATGACCAGAACATGACCAGAAACGTGGGAAGGATGGTGGCGAAGACGGCTGCGGCGATGGCACCGTCCGTGTTAACGACTCGCAATCCGCCAGGCGAGCCGGAGGCCGCACGATTGCCCGACGAGGAGTAGTACGCGCGCCGCCAGCTGCTCTGCGGAAACCCGCTGCTGCTGCCGTACTGCGTCCGATAGGGACCCCCCGTGCCGAGGTTGCCGCCCGCATGCAAGCGCAGGCCATCCGCGATGTCCACATTGGTAACTGGTCATTAGCAACAGGGGAGTAGCAGCACTTACAGAAGCTGACAATGCGGATGATGTTCCAGACGAACGTCAGAATTGAAAAGGGCAGTACACCCGCGAACAAGATGATTCTCTGTATGTTGTGTGCCTTCATGATTGTGCGGATTGACGAGGGGATGGGCTGGCGCTCTTGATGGCCATGAGCCAGCTTTTATGCTTGCGGCCGACGTACAAGCAAGCTGTGCTCGGACTTCGGAACTCCGTGCCTGGTGCGGTTCACCATCGGTGCTGTTGTGTTGCTGAGTGCGGGTGGTGCGCGTCGGCGGGCATAGCTCCAAGGCCGCGCAGCGGTGGGCCACTGTTGGCCAATGCCGACTACTAGCGCCGAGATAGAGTGAGGTTGTTCCAACGACGCCCATGGATTTCCTGTGCACATTACCAGGCACGATCAGCGAGCTGCTGCAATCAATGCGATTCCAGGTCCAACTCATGTCAGCCTGAACATCTCCGGCTAGGTATCAGTCACGCTCTGGGAGACAGCTCCCCCTTGCATCGGCGCCTAGTGCAAGACAAAGTTGTACCACAGCCTCTTAGCGTCTCATTGAAACTCTCCCTGAGTAGCCAAAAGATGCGTCATGAGCGAGAATAGGACGTACGAAAGTTTTGTTAGGGATCGAAAGCTTGGCCGAAAGCCTATCCTGAGGCGCGATGGTGATCCGAACTCCGAGACGGTTAGTTTCCGACGGAATGACGGTTGCATCATGCGGTGCCATCGAGGAGTGGGGCGGTGCTGATAAAGAACGTTGATCAATGACGATAACACAGCTTTTCGCCACTTGAGTGCCAAGATCGATGACGGGCAGGAACAGTAATGAGAGGACATGAGCTCTGGCGTGTGCTCCGCTGTGGTACAGGTCTGCAGCAGATCGAGAGCATCCCGCAGGAAGGTGATTCTCGACACAAGCAAGAACGCTGGTAGGGTTTGGACGCTCGGTGGTGGGGTCAGGGCGATGTCGATAAGGGACAGATAACGCCGCCGGACCCTGAGAACATCGCTTCTCCACTTTCGTTACACACGGTAATCGATACCCTTCATTCTCCTTCTGATCTCTATGTTTTCTCTAAATGACTACGGGAAACAGTGAGTATGGAAAGAGTTAAGGGTTGCACACCCTCATGTACTCGGCTTTCGTAGCTTGTCGTTTTGAGCTAGTCGGACGTGCCGACGGTCCTGCGATTGGCTGCCGAAGCTCCTTTGGGCTGGGCTGCAAGGCAGCGCTGTAGCCCGCTCCTGGTGTTGGGCTACGGTAAGCCGGAGGTGTGTCCGCTTCCTTGAGCTCTGGAACGGTTATGGCGGTCGTGTGGGCGTATGGCTGTGTCGGCGCCAACTGGAACGGTGTGACCTCGGTTTCGCATTCTGCCTCAGCCTGCGTTTCGCCGTCCGGGTCACCAGACATCCTTGACCGGAAAGATTCTTCGTCGTTCTTCCATGACTCGATCTGGTAGGTGTTGAACCCCTTCCCCTGCTCCAATACCCTCACGCTGGCATGGTACTGTCCGTTGGCGTGTCTCTTTGCCCAAGTGCGCAGCCAAATCCAAGCGCAAAGAACTGCCAGCAGAAGCGGTAACGCCCAAGCGAACTCCAGTGCGACCAGGCGGGGTACGTATACGATTCCTCTGTGACGAGCAAGCACAGATAGGCGGGCGAAGTATCCGACAATGAACCAGAACACGATCACCCCACCGGCAATGCTGAGCCACTGGAGAGCACGCAGTTCCGAGCGCAGAGAGCGCACTCTACTCAGCGAGCTGCAGCACGCCCGAATCAGAAGCCAGACAAGGACACCTGCAGCCCAGCTCACAACGAGTAATGTCGGGATCACGTTGGCGAACACCACCGCAGCAGAGTCGGACCCGCGGACGCGCTCAATTGCGAGATTCTGGCCAGCGTACTTCCACTTCTGCGACCAGGCTTTCGACTTGATTTGACCCGCGCGGCCGAGGTTGCCGCCTGCCGGGGCGAGCAAGCCAGAGTCGAGCTCGACCCATGCGACTGATGTTAGCTGGGACGAAAGAGTAACTCACACATTGCGATGGCGTGGATCAGGCAAAAGACTAATGTGAGCAGAGCAAACGGCGCTACGGCAGCGTACAAGACGAAGCGCTGGATAGTGGTCGCCCGCATTGTGGTCGCTGTTGTGAATGTCTGAAAGTATGAGAGGGAACAGAGGCCTAGTTTTTATGCTCGCTGAGTGCTGCGCCTGCTGGGCGGAGTCGGCCTTGACGGGGCGGTGTGCGCTAGTAAACTACCTAAGTAAACACCGCTCGGCTGTGCGGCTCACCGCTGGTCGCCATACTAATAGTGAGTGCCAGTTGATGCGTCCAACGCTATGGCACACCTTCAGTCCATCAATTCAACCGTTCGCACAGCTTTTGCCTTCGCGTGAGGTTTGTGCGGTGAGTTCTCTCAGGGTCGAACGGCAACCAATCTCGGCCACTGGCCGCTAAACCAGTGACAAGTTGGAATACACATCTCCGACTCCGATAAATCATGTTAACACCGAGAAATCCGCCAGTGGCGCAGAGGCTGTGAGTGTAGAATCTGAAGAGAATCCAAATGGCCGAAAGTCTGAAGAGAATCCAGATGGCCGAAAGTCTGAACAGATCCATTCTCCAAAGGCTCTGTGTTCGGCTCAGGGTTGGCCCAATGTAGGCCCTTCTACTATCCTCCTCTTTCCCCAAGTACACGCCCTCTCGTACCCACATGCCCATGCGCGTTTCTGCAACTCTCTGATCTCGTGATGTAGAGTATCTGCGCAACTGCCGCACAGCCGCGCTCACGAAGGCCTCTCGCACCACGCTCCTAGAGCTGACAGCCCTCACAATCGCGAACCGCCCGGCCGACTTGTCAGGCCGCTATCCAGGGCACAGCCACCAACCACAGGCGAGCTCTACCCTCATCATTGACCCCACATCAACTCGCCAACCCTCCCATCTCTCTCGCTCCCTCGTAAAGCTCCAATGCATGCAGCAAAAGAGCTGCGAACCCTCTGCGGGGGTCGAACCCGCGACCGTTTCCTTTCAGTAAGCAACACCTGCTTGAGAATGTCGTAGGAAAGAAATATTCTACCACTGAAATAAGAGGGCCGATCCTGTTGCGGATCACGTAAGCCAGCGCTCCGCCACGCTCTTCTCGCTCTTCTCGCTCCGTCGCTTGGCTCCAGCATCGTAGGGATGCTGCAGGTCGCACGACAGCCTGCACCGGTGTGGAATGTGCACCGAAGACGGATTGGGTTGATTGAAACTGCCGGAGGGGTAGTGCCATGGGATCATTCTCGCCAGCTCAGCGAGAGAGGTTTTGAGCGACCTGATGCTTGATCATGGAACTAAAGCTCGCGTCGGTGCTGATACTCCCTGGTTCTCCGCGCGAGACGCTGACTAGTCCGTGCAGGAGAGGAGGAAAAAGCAACGAACCTTCTGCGGGGGTCGAACCCGCGACCGTTTCCTTTCACCGGTAGTTAGGAAAGAAATATTCTACCACTGAAATAAGAAGGCACTTCTTGTGCGAAAGACGGCGGAATGGTCGCCGGTCAGACTCCATTGCCCTCACAGGTCACGTGACACCGTCCTTGCTCTGGTACGCCGTTGGGGTCTCTATCGGCGCTGTTGGGGACATCGGAAGCGGGATGCTGAGTCGATATGGCCAGCATACGGTGTTGATGCACAGAGAAGGTACGGTTTGCATTACGATGTGCCCCACGGCCACCGCCTAAGCTATACGAACGGACCTGTCGAAGCACATACATTGACTACTGGTGGAAATTCTGCTGAGGCTGGACAGGCTGCGGCTGGTACATCGGCTGGCCGGGCTGGTGCTGCTCCGGGTAGCCATGATAACCCTGATGGGTCTGCTGGAAGTGCTGCCCAGGCGCCATCTGCTGCCCCTGTGGGAGGTGGTACTGCTCCGGCGACGCGGGTGCGGGATGGTACTGCTGCACGGGCGAGGGCGGGCCAGGGCTGACCGGAGCGCCGTGCTGCTGGTGCATGCCAGAGTAGTAGTCCTTGGGCGGGGGGCTGGGCGAGGACGCACTGTGCGCGTCCACGGAGGGCGCGACGACAGAGGGCGCACCCATAGAAGGAGCTCCCGCAGACGGCGCGCCAGCTGAACCGGTCGGGACCAGCTGATAGGTGTATCCAGCAGGCGCGACCGGAGCCTGGGACGTCGGCGGAGCATATGGTAACTGCGTCTGTCCGTACGCCGGCTGGGTGGGCTGAGCAGGCAGAGCAGACTGAGCAGGCTGAGCGTACTGCGGCTGGGCATACTGCTCCGTCACGGGTGTCGAGGATGTGGAAGGGAAGGCGCCGGAATGCGCTTCGTTGGCTCCATAGGGGAGATTAAGTGGCATGTCAGCCGCGTCCACCTTAGACTCGAGAGCGGGGTCGGAGCCCGGGGAGGCAATGCCTGCGTCCTCGTCCTCAACGGCCTCCATGGAGCGGTGAAGCTGTCTCTTGGCGTGCTTCCTGCCCCAGCGGCGGAGCCAGAGCCAGACACTAAAGAGGACAATTGTGGTGAGCCAGATAAAGACAATGATGCACACCGACAGGCCGGTGGCCGTATAGTAGCTGCTCATGCCGGCATTGTACCCGACCACAACGACGGTATAGAGCGAGAGGATGAGTCCCGAAATCCAGAAGCCGAGCGTCGTCTTCTCCATACTGTCGAGCGAGCGGGGTGCGGCCTTTGCCCGGCTCTTCGCACTGCAGCACGGCAGGATGCCGAGCCAGATTAGGACAGCCGCTGACCAAAAGAGGCCGAGGAAGTTCGGCACCTTGTTCAGGAATGCGGCCTCCACCTCGGCCTCCATTGTTACCGACCCAACGTAACCGGCAGAACCGCCCGACTCGGCAGCCTCGCGGAGGTCGTCGAGGCTCACGCCATACTGGCGCCTGGCAAGTGGCGCAGCTTCCATCTCGGGAGTGGGGGCACGCTCTTTGACAACCGAAGCTGCGGTAGGAGTTGGCGCGTGCGTCGGTGCCGCGCTGGACGCCCGTCCCTCACCGTCGCGACGTGTTGCCACGGGCTGAGGAGCAGCTGTATCTAGGGCCCGCCGACGCCGAGTGAAGTACTCAAAACGCGTGGGGAAAATTGTCGACGTCCAAGGGGCATCGGTCGTGACCCAGGAAGCAGCCCTGACGGTGACCGTTGCGACCCGCGGGATATCCAAATTCGACCCTGTGTATGTGTAGTACCGGGTTTGTGGACCTGTCATCCAAGTCACGACTGGGCCAAAGCCAGTTATCGTTGTCCGCGTCATCGCACGATACGATCCGGGGTTGCTGTCTAACTGGTCACCGCCGCCAGACCCGAGGCCGCTGCCTGACCCATTGCCGCCATCAGAGCCAGATCCACTGCCAGTCCCCGAGCCACCGCCACCACCGAGGTCTCCCATGTATGATTTGTCGACTCCAATCGGACCCAGGCCGGTTTTCATGATATCCACGGCTGCTTTTGGGTCATCTGTAGGTTAGTACAGCCCAGCCGCCCACGTACAGTTCACAATGACCTGGATCAGTTCCCAGACGCAGGTCAGGAGCGCCAAGGGAAGAACCACTGCGTACAGAAGGACGCGCAGGAGTTTCGACGCCTTCATGCTGAACGCGGGCGTGGTGACCGTTGCGGTATCCGTGGTATCGAGGTGTTGGAAGTTGGTTAGGGTTGCTGGGTCAAGCGGTGAGGAGGAAGAGGGCGAAGGGCTTAATGGAAGGGCAGCGATAGACAAGACGATGCCTTTATTGCGCGAGGCGATGGATAGGCGGGATGAAGAGCTCGGGGGTGTTCGCCAAGCCTCGACGAGCCAGGGAGGAGGGAGGGGGGGGGGCTTCGCTGTTTGTTTCGGGTCTGGAGCCAAACAGCGTCCCGACCCCGAGCATCCAGTAGGCCAACAGCTGTGCACCCATGCTCTCATCGGTAGGGTACCTGTCGCAGAGCTCGCCCAGGTGGACAGGGGCTGCTCAACGCCTCGCTGCCTCGTTGCCTCAAGTCTGTGCTTGAGAGGAACTCTTAATTATCTCAGGCACCCGTCTGTTCAGTTTCCAGGCCCGGGAACAAATCAATTAAGGCGTCGGCTCCAAGCTGAACGAGGGGCGTGAGACGCGAGTGCCTCTGATGCTTACCGCAGTTTGGCTCGCAGGCAGACGTTTCGAGACCGCCGGAACCAGTTGGAAGCCTCACTCTCGTAGGCTACGGTTTCCGGCCCGCTTGCATTTCGCTTCCCATCGGTTCCGGACGACCGGGCCGGGGTGACAGTATCAGGCTTGGGAGCCCCGTTGACACAAAGCAGATCCCACTTCTCCCCATCCCGGGCCAGGTGGGCCCTTATTGAGTTTGTGCACTGCCTTCCCTGGCAGTGCGTCGCTTGCTCGAATGCAGATTAGCGCGCGGTGCGGATCAACAATCTTCACTCCACCGAGCTGTCGGCAGAACACCACAGTAGTCAGAAGAGTGGAGTCAGTGGAGGGCTTGGTCCGGTGCGCGTTCAAGTACTCTAAGCCTATGAAAGATCATCGGCTCTTACTGCGCACAAGGTCACAGACACTTCCAGGCCCGACTGGCTGTGACATTCGGATCCGAGCCAGGAGTACGTGCTTGAGCTTGGACGCGACGTTGGAGAACAGAGGCACCAGGAACATGCGCAACGTTTCGAGGACACTATCGTGGGCGATGCCCTGAACAACGGATGAGAAGGAGGCGAGCCGGGAATGGACCAGGAGTGGAACGGACCTTTCCGCGACGTGAAGCTCTGAATCCAGATGCTCCGGTATGGCTCGAACGGAGTTATAATCAGCGAGCGGGGGCACCGCCACAACCTCCCATGGAAGCATTTACGCCGACCACTGCTGCGTTGAAGACGTCGTATGATGGGGTGTGCCACGACGCGCTGGCGATCTGCGGATGGTCGGTCCTGAGCGGCAGCCACCTGATAGCGATAAGATAGCCGCGGCTACGAAGCGCAGCACGGATCCACATGATCTGCCGCTCACTTTGAGTACTGCCTGCCAGAACGTCAGATCGACCGCCCGATGAATTCTCAGCTCAACGCGGCAAAAACTGAGATGCACTGTAGTCTTTTCACAAGGTATCCTTCAGCGACGGCATCGCCAGCGTCGATGGTGGACCCTCAGCAGGTTGGTCACGAGACGACTAGCGATTGTGAACCTGTCTTCAGCCGCGAGGTTACTTAGAGAAGAGATGAAGTGGTGGAGCCTCCCCGGCAATTGGTGCGTGTTCGGTATGGCTACAAGCCCACCGTCTCTGGATTCAACAGCCTGACAGTGACTAAAACCCGCCGGACGCCGACGGCGATCGTCGCCTATGCCATGATTGTGTTTTTTAAGTGCTGCGTCTCTCCGTCGCCCTCACGCCGCGAAGCGGACCTCATGCGACGCATGCAGGCTGCTCCAGGCTTTGCCTCCTGCGTACAACGAACGCTTCAAATTCATACTTCTCTACCTACCTATCGAAAGCCCATCAGACCAACCATTAAACTCTATCTCTTTCTTCTTCTCAAATGACCGTCGTTGGTCTGTTCACTGATGATGCGGCTGCTGCACCGGTTGCTGCGGCTGATACATGTTGGGAGAGTAGAACATGGGTGGAGGGCTGGGACTCTGCCCGCTGTTTGGGACGGGGACGAGGGCATACACGAACCCAGTCGGAGCGAGAGGGGGCGGGGGTGCAGGCGAGGACAAAGGCTGGGCGTACGTCTGGCCTTGGGACTGGCGGAACGACTGCACTGGGGTGATTCCGGTCGGAGTCGTTGTCGAGTTCGCGCCCGAGTCTCCGCTGTAGGGCAGCAGGGAAGGACGTGGTGTTCCACCGATTTTGGCGTCCATGATGCCAGGATCGACGGGCGTGCCTGCGTCCTGCTCAATGTCCTCCATGAGCTGCAGTGTACGCAGCTTCCACGACTCACCTCGGTAGCGCCCGGTAGCCTTGTATTGATAGGTCAGCTGCCAGCTGCGTTTGAACTGCTCCAGGCTCGAGGTCTAATCCTCTGACCTCTGGCGGCCAGCCTCGTCAAACATGCCGAGACAGACAGCCTAGCAGGTCCAGACCAGGCAACACCCTCAGCGAAGGCGCGAGCAGAGGCAGCTTCGGACCCGGAAGGTCGGTCCTAGCTTGAGCTTATCGTGCACAAAGAAGTTGCGTGAGCCACAATGGCGCATCGCCCAAGAGGTAACAGAGGCAGATTGGATGCCTCACGACTGGTCGAATGGTTGAACCGGTCGCTTCCGATCGGTTCCAGTTGAATGATGGGTAATGCATCACGCGGATGTCGAGTGCTTGGCAGGGTCCAGGCGAGGTCGGTCATCAGTTAGGTCTATGCAAAGGTGGAGGGGGCGGATCAAAGTTCGTCACCTACTTTCGAGCGGCATACACGCGGTCATTCTGATGTATCCGGGAAGCGCTCCTCATTCCCGACGGGCTTGCATTGCTTGACGATTGGTCTGCATCACTCTTGGATCTGACGTGTGTGGGAATGTCTGCGGACCGGCTGTCCAAAGGTTTGCGAGGCTCTAGACATGTTTCGAATTTTGTGACGTGAGGGGGGCCATTTCGGTTCCGGATCCGACCCTGATCTGGCGTCTACGCAGGTGACAAGGGCTGGGCGTACCTGTGCTCGCTCGGGAGAGTGACCGAGAGGCGCGATCAGCGGATCTGTCGAGAGTCCCGTCAGCTAGGACGGAAGAGGCGAGGATGGGTCAAAGAGTCTGGAGCCAGCAGTGCATGTAGCGATGTGCATGCCGGTGAGGCGTCGACAGCCGCCACCTAGCCTCTGAAGCCATTTCATGGAGCGTACGGGGCCATATGGGGTCTGCGCTCCCCCCCCCCCCCACAAGGGTTCTGACCTTTTGACTTGTCATTCATGGTCCACCGGGTGGTCGCGTCGAGGTTGATTGGTCCCAAGATACCCTCACCGCATGTGCGGGTCATCTACGCATTCGCTGTCATGGCCAGTCTCTCAGCACCCGAAAGGCGAAAAACCCCCGAGACACTTAATTTTCGACAGGGACGGGAGCCGATCTGGCTCGGAAGGAGCCGAACCCCACCATTGGCGATAGCGATAAGATAATGCCGTTGTTGTCACGACAGTGGCGGCCTTTGGAGTCCCTGATACGAAGATCGTATCATAGCCCGTTAGAATGAGGCATCCGGGCAAGTCGCGCGTCCGACCCAGCCCTGAGCGTAGCGGACCGCCACACGATGACCTCCAACCTCCGAGTCTATACCTCAGCGGATCAGAAATGCACCAAGCCCTGTGTGCGACCTGGAGCACAACGTTGGGCATCCCCTGCTCAGTGAAGAAGACGATGTATGCCGCGACACAAGCTGACTACGCCTCTAAGCGTGACTGACAGCGATTGCGACAAGTTAAGCCCGGCCAGATTGGTGCTCTTCTCCCAGATCATATCATAGTCATTACCAGCCTACCTACCTATCTAACGTCCGTTCATGTTCCGTCACCACGCCCAATCATAACGAAAGTTGTTCGGCCTGATCATGGGTGAGTCGGTCCCTGGGGTCCCTGAGCGTGCACCGGCTGCGGCTGGTACATGTTGGCCGGGTAGATCGCGGGCGTCGTCGGCGGAGGGCTGGGACTGCTCTGCACCCCGTTCGGGACGGGGACGAGGGCATACACGTACCCCGCCGGTGCAGCGGGGGGCGGCGAGCCTGGCGAGGCGGGAGAGACGGACGAGATGGGCTGACCGTGCGTCTGCATAGGGTCTGTGCCGGGGGGAGGCGGGGTGGGGTAAGCGCCAGGATAGGCGGCGTAGGCTAGCTGTGGTGGCTGGGGCGTCCCGTCACCCTTGCCCATGTAGCTGGGATCGACGTGGTGGCTGTCCTGCACTCCGTCCTGCTCTAGGTTCTCGATGGACCGGTACAGCTGCCCCTTTGCGTGCTTCCTGCTCCAGAGCCTGAGCCAGAGCCAGGCCCCGAACAGGGCTATAGTGAGCAGCCACGCAAACACGAGGATGCACACCCACAAGCCCCAGACGTACGATCCGCGCCCGGCCGCGACGCCGATTACGATCGAGGTCCAGAGCGAGGATGCGGCGCCAATGACCCAGAAGCACAACAGTGTCTTGCTCATGGATGCAATCGAGCGTGGCGCCCCGCTCGTGCAGGGCAGAATGAGGAGCCACAGTATGACGGCGAAGGACCAGAACAAGCCCAGGAAGTTGGGGATGTACGACATGAAGGCCGCCTCGGCGTCTTCGCCCGAGATGCTACCGCCGCCGCCGCCACCGCCACGGCGACGCTTCACGAGGTCATGACGCTCAGGTACTGCGCGTTTCTGGATAGGCGCGGCCGCTTGCGGAGCTGGAGTTGGAGCAGGGGCAGGCGTGGCCGTGTCGTCGGTGAGGGGTGCCGGCTCGTGCGCCGGGGCGTTCGCAGCGGTGGGAAGCGCACGTACGGCGTACCGATACCCTCTGCTTGTGGTCGTGTACCAGTCCGTGATGGTCTGGTACCCGTATCTCGTCACGGTGGTGGGCGTGTAGTAAGTCGAGAGGCCGTCGTAGGTGTAGAAATTGATGTCGCCATTGAACAGCGTCCTTGTCACGGTCTCGGTCGGAACATACGTGTACACCTTGCGCGAGGTTGTGTCCGGGTAGTCGCCCCAGCTCGTGCGTGGGCCGTAGCTTGTGATCACGGTCGAGGTGTACAGGGGCGCGCTGTTCAGTGGGAGATCGCCGGAGCCGCCGCGCACCACGCCGCCAGAACCTACACCGATGGGGCCCAGCCCCGAGTCCGCCAGGGAGCTTGCAGTGCCCGAATCGACTGAGGTCAGAATATCACTCGAGGGAAAGAGGTTCAACACACATGTTCCGATGACTGTGAGCAGGTACCAGATGCACGTCAAGAGTGCCAGCGGAAGGAGGATAGCGTACAGCAGCACGCGCTGGGTTTGAGACGCTTTCATGGCCGCTGCTTGCTGGTATGCTGGATGTTGGTTGCTGCTGTGGGGTGAGGGAAGAGCGGCAAACAATGAGAGAAGGGTAGTATCGACACCCTATTATAGGTCGGATTGCCCACACATCATGAGGCAGTAGCGCAGTAGCCTGCCCAGCTGAGTCACGAGGCAGTTGGGAAGAGCCCAGTCACATCAGGCTCAGCGGTTCAGGTGATGCGGCACAGCTGAAAAGTTGCGCGCGAGATGCAAGCCGTCGGTGGGCGGCCGTGCACATACGATCGCATCGGTAGGTCACCTGTCTCTGCTTTGCGCCGTCACTGAGGCCGCTCAGACCACTTTGTTCCGGCTCTGCCGTGCCGCCTTCCTGCACAAGCTCGGAGACTGACATTCCCCACTGGCCACCCCCGAAACGAAAAGGCCAGGTGTCCTCGAGATAAGGTGAAACCCGCAAGGGCGCGCAGGGTTCTGGGTCCAAGGATGTTCTCGGGCTGAGGGTGGGTGGGCAGGCGGGCGGACAGAGCTGCAAACCGTAGGTCTAAACTCGTCAGGATCTAGGAGCAGCTAACTGCCCCTCAGTTCATTCAGACGGCACTTGCTTGAGCCGCTCGGCTCCGGGGACAAGGGGAATGGAAGGTCAGTGCATTCCGCAAACCCTTCCAGCGCTCCATTCGAGCCAATAGTGTGAGCTTGTGAGGCTGACGGCTGATGTGTCGCAATGTCACGCGGGCGTATTCGAGTTCTTGGCAGGGACATAGAGTGTCGAGCAGGGGTCGGAACGTCCCCGTCGAGTCTTGTCAGCAGTGCGGATCAACGTTGCTCTCTCGTTCGAGCTTGCCTTTGTGATCATGCCACAGCAACAACAGGACTCCTGGGTCACAAATTCATGCACAGCACGGCTGCACTGGAGGACCGCCGGTTGTAGTAACGTCAGTTCAACTCAGGAGTCACACGCTCACGATCACTGCTGCGCGCTGCGCCAACTTGTCTCACCCATCCATCTCAGTCTCCATCTAGCGGGGTCGGCTCGGATTCTCGGATCCGGGCCCAGATCTGGCGTCCACGCGAGAGCCATGGACACGGATATGCAGAGAGCCCGCTCCCCCTCATGACCCTCAAGCCGCCCTCAAGCTCTCTCTCATGCATGCTCCGATCTGTCTTTGCTGCATCACGCTCACGTGTACTCGCACCAGCGACACTCATGACATCCCGTAAAACCCTGAACATCCATCTCCCAACCCTCCAGTCCACACCTCACAACGCCAAGAATAGCACAATGCCCCTTACTGGAGCACCACACCTGCCCCACCCGGGCCGCAGATGGTCCGCCAGCCCGCAAAAACGACGACGTATGCCCGGCCCCTCTGCGATCCGGCAGTACTGCAGTGATCCTGGCTGCGATAGCGATAGCGATAGTGATAAGATAACCGCTGGCCCCGATTTGCGGCCCGATGTGAAGATCTCAACCACCTCGATGCTCCACTCGGTCGGACGGGCATCCCCCCTCGGACACCTCAGCGCATCAACATCTCCTCGTGGTACCTACTCTTTCCTCCCAGCTCATACACCGAGGTTGAGCCGTGTGCTGCAAGTCCGTTGCATGGGAAATGGTACAAGGAGCGATGTAGAAGCTATAAGCCGGGGCTGCTGTGCTGTCTAGGTATGATGGCTGTGGTGTGGTAATGCTATAACCCCTGCATTCAGTGATGGTGGGGGGATCAAGATGTGAAGAAAAAACTCTATTATAATCTCTCAGTATGAACAAAACTCGTGCGAACGGCGGCCCAGTCCGTGGCCCGGGCTGCCTAACGGCCCGACTGCGTCGCGCCTCGCAGCCTTACTGCCGATCCAGCGTCGGGATGGCCGACACCCTCCGTCCCTCCTGCGGCTGGGTGAACGCCGTCGTGCTCGAGCTGGCACTCATGCCTCCGGCGACTTTGGGCGTCTCTGGCTCCTCTTCGCCAATGCTCCCCTCCTCGAGCGCCATCTCCGCTGCGCGATCCTTGTGCGCGTCCTCGGGGGTGAAGTACTCGGGCTCATTGCGGAGGTCGAGCTCCGCCTCGCTGTCCTTTGGCAGCGCCTCGCCACTCGCCGCCGCGCGCGCGCGCTCGGCCTGGTGCTTTTGCGCAATCGCGCGGCCGAGATCATCAGCCTCCCGGCCCGGCTTGGTCCAGCGCCGGATCCGCCGGCCGTAGATGTACATCAGGATGGGGCAGGGGATGAACAGACACGCGAGGAGGGCGACAAAGGTCCCCGCCCAGTTCGGGCCCATGGCCGTGTACATGTCGACTGTGAAGAGGGGGAAGACGACGCCGAGGATGGAGCGGGTGACGGTGGCTGCCGCCATGACACTCGCCGAAAGGAGGAGGTATGTGTCGACCAAGTACACGCTCACGCCAAGCATGAGGAGCACAATGCCCGCGCCGATCGGGAGAGTCGAGCTGATCGCGCCGATCCAGTGGATACGGACCGGGACGCAGGTCCAGGCGAAAATGAACAGGCCGACGGGGAGGAGGATGGATCCCACGGTCGCGGCGGGGAGACGCGCCTCGGGCGGCAGGTAGCCCTTCTCCTCGTGCGCCTTGGCGTAGCGCGGGTTGACGTAGACGCCGAGGAACACCAGTCCGAAGAAACTGCCAAGCGTGATACCGATAAACGCCAGGGCGGAGACGCCCGAGCTCCAGCCGCGGTACTGCTGGAAGATGATGGGGAACGCCGTGAACTCCATGTACATGATGGCATACACGACGGCAAGGTAGAGGGACGCAATGGCGACAATGGGCTCGGTGAAGAGGAGCTTGTAGGGCACTTTGAGCTGCTCGCGGAACATTTTGCGCGCGTCAAACTCCTTCTTCACGTCCTGCTCGTACCGGTACACCCTGCCCGTGTTCTTCTGCAGGCGCTTGGCCCTCTGCCGCAGCAAGACAGGCTCGTACGTCTCGGGAAGGAAAAGCGTGCCCGCCGTCGTGAGCACGCCGGAGAAAATGGCGATCAGGCCCGCGACCCACTTCCACCCCTCGGCGTCGGACAGGAAACCACCGCCGACGGGGCCGATGGCGGGACCCAGCATTGGCATCTGGATGTCAGCTGTGTTCCACCCGAAAGCTTCAGAGTTTGAGACATGCTCCTCTGGCTCCACTAGCCCGAGCTTATCCGCAAACTTACCATGGCGAAAATACCCATGGCGGCACCACGCTGCGCCGGGCTGAACATGTCGGCAATCGTGCCGCCCGAGTTGGTCATGGTGCTCGAGCCAAAGGTGCCGGCAAAGAATCGAAGAACAAGCAGCGTGTTCATGTCCTGCGCGCCGCAGCACGCAGCATTGAACGCCGTGAAGGGGATGTAGGTCAAAACAAACAACAAGCGGCGGCCGTAGATCTCGCTCATGGGCGCCCACAACAAAGGACCGACGACAAAGCCCAGCACGTAGATGCCCGTGATCATGATGTAGAGCATCGAGTTGTGCCCGGGGAAATCCATGCGGATTGACTTGATCGCGGCGGAAAGCATAGACGAGCCCATCGTCACTGCGAGTGTTCCCGTCGCGGCTGGTTGTCAGTATATGCATTCCACCTCTGCTGCAGCCTCCGTGCCTCCGCCGCCTGCGGCGACGGTGGAGACACACTCACCAAGCATAGTCATGCCCCACTTGTACCCGTTACCAAAGTTCATCGGGTTTTCCGGATCGTCCGGCAGCCACGTTATGACGTACGGGTCGGCCTCGGTGCCGGCGCCTTTGTACTGGTGTCCGACAATGTCGGCCCAGGGGGTCGTCTTGCGCAACCAAGGTTTGCGGCGGAGGGTGTGGTCGCCGCCGTCCGCGACCGTGAGCGAGCTCGCGTTCAGGTCGCGCTTGCTCTCGGACATGGTTTGTCGGGAATGCCGGTCGGCCAATAGAAGGTTGTAAAGGAGTGTGGGTGGAGGTGGGTGTGTGAGGTGGGCGCCGGGCTTAAGAGGAGATGTCGGTCAAGAAAGTTAAGATGGTGATGATGAATGCGATGCGAATGCTGAAGGTGAAGATGCGATGGGCGATGTGGTGCTGGCGAAGAAGGAGGCAAGGGCGGCGCGTGCTCTTCGGAAAGGTGCGTGCATATATAACGGGATGTTCGGCGCCCGGCGGTGGCTCAAGGAGGATGCGATCAGGTGCCAGGATGCAAGGAACGGTCCCTCCCCCTCGGCGATGGAAGTCAAGATGGCCCGAGGTGGATGCCGCAGTCCTCAATTGGCCAAACAGGCAGAGATGGGCGTGTGACCCAGGCACGTCCAGGTGGAAAGGGGGCAGGTGGGCTTGGCGGGGCCATCCTGTTGTAGGTGGGCCCACTGTGGGCCATGGGGGAGTACCGCTGCATAGGATCTGCATGCAATCTGGTCCCGATGCATCGGAATCGCCGCAGGTCACGCCGGTTGCCCGTCTCCCTCGCCAAAAGTCGCCCAGTCCCAGCAAATCGCATGTCCCGGCCAGCCCAGAAAGCAGACGCCGCCGTCCAGGATGAAGCCAATAGAGCGGCACAGGGTCGCGGCCGTTCCGGGATCCGGCATCCCATCCGGCAATTCCTCCACTATCCACTACCCTGTCGTTTCAGGCTCCAACAGCTCACTGAGTTTGGAGCTATCGTCCAGCCCAGAACACAGATGCCCGGATAGCCTCGGGGTTGAACTTTCCATTACACTTTCATCAACAGGCATCATTGCATGTTGCTGAGCAGACATCCCCGCCGGTCGCCATCCAGACGAGTGCACGGTGAAACAATGCAGATGCACGGTGTCGGAAACATGGGAGGGCTCGGACCACTCGGTCTACACCGAGGGCTCTGGCTAGGTTATTTTCGGCCCCCGGTACGTCGGGCGCCGTGAAGAAGACGGGTCACGTGCTTCACAAGTCCCTGCACGTGGTTATCTTCGCCTGTGCGTAATGACTGAGTAGTTCCTGTGGTTCGTGCGAGGGCCGCGATCGAGCGAAGCATCTGATTGCCGCACGGGAGGCATGCGTGCATGCTGGAGTGCCCGACGGCGAGCAACGCACTGGCCACTGGGGTGACGACGCTGGTGACTGGCTGCCGCAGGCTGAGCGCTCGGGCATCTGCGGCGATGGATGGTGTGACGCGTCACTTCTAGCTGATGCGTCGTTCGGAAGGCCGGCACATTCTTTGGCATCGTTAAAGCGCATCAGGTAACAACTACGGCCGTCTCCAGGGACCTTGTATTGCGTTTCGCGGCCATATCAGGTGGCAACAGTCTTTCAGACAACATGAGACCGTGCCCAACTGGGCGTGATACGTAGACATGGTTTGCGTTCCCTCACCTCTCACCACGAAGGGCCCGGATTGGATAGTGTCAGACAGAAAACAGGTCTTCGGAAAGCTTGACAGAGCTGGGCGCTTTAGTGCTTAGTCTTAACAGGTAACTCGGAGCGGGTCTTCTGCTTGGCCGAGTACTGGTACCGGACCCCGTGCTGGCCATACCTGCTTATCACAAGCTTTGCTGTATAAACCCTCAAGTCGTCTCCTTCTTCACGGAGGGCGCAGTCCTGTCCGCTCTCAATGGCGAACTCCTTTTCACCTATCTCTGCCTTGTACTCGGCGAGGGTCTTCAGGCAAACGTTGGGCACGTGCTGGCCGTATTCATACAACTTGTTCCCGCAGATGGCGTAGACGGGATGGAAGAAGGAAATGGGAAGCTGGTCCGCTCCCACCAGGGTGATGGGAACTTCGGTGTCGATGGCGTCAATGATGGTCTCGAGACAGCGGAGCGTGTCGGGGCAGTGAGGCTGCCTCTTGTGTTGCTTGATGCAGGGGCGGGCATTGACAATCAGCACAACCTCCCTCAGCTGAGCTGAGAGGACCATTTCCCGGAATTTGTACTTGCTGATCGACGAAAGGTTGACAACCAGTTTCTCGGTTGCTGCGGAAAGAATCGCCGAACGGGGAAGCATGGGATCGGAGAAGACGATGCGGCGCACGTTGGGCAGTATCTTCGGCTGGTCGTCGGGATCTTTGAGCCGCCGGAAGCGTACAATGTCAATCCACGGGATCAACTCGCGCTGCAGCTTGCCAAGTGCATGTGGACGGACGGGGTCTGAGTCGTCGATGTCGAGAATGCGGCAGTACTGGAAGAGCTTGAGCTCGTCATTGCCGTCAAGATCAGGCTTGTCCGGGTATTTTTTGCTCGAAGGGCAGTAGAAAGTGTAGTAGAGATCGGAACGCTTGTATCTGAATCCGGCCAGGTGTTCGAACTGGCTGGCAACTCTACCTCTCCAATCCGAACAGACACGACTCAGGGCGTAGAGAGAGTCCAGTGGGGCAAAGTCGAAGATCAGATCCACGATGTGAGGGAAGTACCGGTGGTCGATGATGAGGCTTACGTCGCTGGAGGGAGGTGAGGATGGGGACGAGTTCGATGGTAAGTCGGAGAACATGACTGGGCCGCTCGAACTGCGGAAGAAGGCTCGGTGATGTGATGTGATGAAGGCAAAGTTGAGAGAGTTGATGGAGGTTGACTCAACGGGGCGCTCGTAGGGCGCAAAGCACACATGGCCAAGTCGATCAGCTCCGGGGGCATCGGCCACCGTCGGTTCTCATCGTTCATCGCAGCTCTATATCGTTGCACAGAGCTTGACATGCCTCCAATGCAAGCAATGCAGCGGTCTGCCCTGATGGTTGCGAAATGTTAGGTGTCAACGTTGATTTGAGCTTCAGAGAGACACGGGTCCGTGCGCCCCGACGCGTCTCCGCCTCTCATTCTCAAAGCCATCGGGACGTCGGCCTCCACCATCCCTCCACCTCCACCACCACACCACCAGTGTCAACGGAACGTCACAAGCACGCACTTGTGAGCAGGCCTAGTTGTATGCATGTCCAGCTAGAAACCAGGTGCGCTACGGACAAAGCATCTTCGTCCAGTCCGTCATTACTGACCACTCCCTCTCACCGACAAACTTGCGATATGTCCCCAGAGTCGCAAGGGTGAGGGGCCGGAGGATATGCAGATGCTCATCGTAGTGCTCATAGACTCTGTCAATATCTAATTGGAGAGCGTCGAATGTTTCCACGCTCCACCGCTCAGTGCCAACCAGCACGACCGCTGTGGGTTGATTCAGTGCTTCCTCTATGATGCTCTTGATGGCACGCAGTGCCGGCATAGAGTGGTCGAGATTGCTGTCATCTTGGCCGTCATTGTTTGATTCTGTGCTGGGGCAGTCTTCTTCGTCATAGTCGTTGTCTTCAAAGATGAACACGAGCTGCCGCACGTATGGCAGCACCCGATTATACCATGCAAGCTGCTCAATCCGGCCGGTGAAGTAGATGACGAGACGTTCAGCGACAGTGTTGCGGTACCTGAAGGGTGGCAACTCGTTCTTGAACACGAGTTGTCCTGCCCGCAGTGGCGGGTAGTCCACCAAACCTTGGTGATACCGGACCGTCTGCAGATTGTGCAGGTACCAGACGCGCATTGTCACGTGATAAGACGTGATATCGAGGACTCTGCAGCCGGCTAGAAGGGCTAACTCGCGACTGCTCAAAGATACTCGTGTCCCGTGGAGATCGCTTAAGGTAGCCAGCCGGATGTTTGGTGCCTTGAGGATGCGGAGGTCACTGATATGGTAGAACCGGTCAAGACATCGTTGACGCCAAGCGCGACATGTTTTCGCCATCGGGGCGAGAGAAGCTGGGCCACTGTAGGCGAATAGGGCATCAATGATGTGAGGGTAGTAGAGATGGTCGATGGTGACCATGGCCGAGGGAGGGGGTTACGTTGAGAGGAAGGAAAGTCTCAAAATGCCTGGGTGACAATGGAGTGCACACGGTGTCTCCCTCCACCGTCCTCGATGGCGGAATGGAGCTGATGCGGGGTCCCCACACACTAGTGATCGGCACGCACTGGGGCCTCGATTGATGACCAATGAGATGCATGGCGGATGTACGTACCAACATTCCTCCTGATGAAGCAGCGGCCTCGAGGCGGTCAGAAGGAAGTGGAATGCACCCTTGTTACCGAACCACACTTCCGCAGACGTACACGGACGAGACGAACAGGAACTTGCTCAGTTCAGAGGGATGAGGCACGGCCCCTGCTGCTGCCCCAGACCCTGCGAGGTGCAGTCGCAACGGAGAGGGAGGGGGACATTGGAGTACAGCGCCCACGCGTCCTCGCCAACCTCGGCCCGGAACTCCTTCTCGTCCTGGTGGGTGACCAGCCCCGATGTGCGGACGTGGTGGCCCACAGGGCTCTGCCAGATGCGAATACCAATGTTATGCAAGCTGTAAGCGAGCGCCTCGGGGCCGTCCCAGGGTTCGGTGGAGGGGGAGCTGCCAACAAGAGTCAGCTGAGCGCCAATGCGCACGGTAACCTCCAGAAGCGGCCAGAGGTTCATCAGATAGTCACGCTGGTCTCCGAAACAGATGATGACGACGTTCTTGATCTGCTTTGAAAGGCGCATACATTGGTGAGATTCAGGCAGCGATCCAAAAACGATCACGAGGGTGTCGATAGACGTGTCCTTGATGAAGTCAATGGAGAGGATGCCGGAGATAACGACGGTGGTCACCGTGGGTGGCACCCAGAAGGTGCTGGTCATGTTGGTGCGGATGCGCACGACGCGGAGGCTCGGGATTGCCAGAAGACGCAGCTTGGTTTCGGCTCCGCAACAACCCACATCGATGACCTCCACGTTGTTGAAGACGTCGGACGGCAACTTGCTCAGGCGGAGGATGCGGCCATCGAGGTCACCCTTGAAGAGAATATGAGGAATCTTCTTCCGGTGGTCGGCGTCAAGAGGAATGCTGACCGTGCCCTCAAAGTAGCTAAGCGCGGCCTTGATGCGGGGCTTGGGCTCGACCACAGACACGTAGAGGCCATACAGGTGTGTGAAGCGGGACAAGGCGTGCCGGCGGGACTCGCGAGACACGCGGGTGAGCACGGCGAGGGACTCGGGAGGGGCATTGTTCACGATTGTATCCCAAATGTGGGGAAAGCAGTTGTGATCGACGAGGGCGGCCGTCTCAGTCGAAGGGGAGGAGACAGAGAGGCCCACGAGCTTGCGAAGGAGGTGGAAGAGGCGGACGATGAGGCGGCGGATGCCAGAGATCATTGTCAGTCGAGGAAGAATGATGAAGTGAATGGGGAACGACACCTCAGTGTCCTTCTTTATGAAGTGTCGACGCGGTAGCCTCCCCATCGATTCGGACACACAACAGCGCAGTCGCCAGCTCCCAGCGGCGTCAAATGACCTGCATCGCTCTCGCACCGTCGTACCGTTGGGGAGTTGGGAAGCACGTCGACGCATATACACAACAGGGAGGATTGGAGGTCCGACCGAGAAACCTCCCGAGACAAAGCTTGGTAAGCATTCTCTTCAACGACCGCTGATGGATGTTGCTCTCATGCATGCCCGTGATAGTTGAGCGTCCAGCATCGCGGCACATGAGGAAATCAGGGTCGTATCAACCATGGAGGGTTCTGGGTCGGTAAGGTCGGCTAGCGAGGTCCACCTGCCAAAAAACAAAAACAATCGCGATTGAGAGCTTCATTGTTCCGTAACCCGGCAAAAAGCATGCATTGAACAAGGCTGCAGGGCCTACAACACCAGCGCTGAGCAATTAGGGGGCCAGAACCTTGCCAAACTCCGTCTCAATCTCGTACTCCTTTTCTCCTATGATCCTCTTGTACTGATCTAAGGACCACGCGACGGTCGGGAACATCAGCAGCGGAAGTGCCGGCCGGTCGCCATTGGCCGACACGATGTAAACGCGCGGATATCGACTCGGAGCTCGTGCCCTCCAAAGCTCCAGAGCACCGTTGAGCTCCATCCAGAACTCCTTCTCCTGGGCTGTCCGCTGCTCATTGGGTCTCTCGCGGCAGATGATCACGATGGACCTGAGGCTGGGTAAAACGTGCGGCAAGGCCATCAGCTTATTGGCGGGACTGGTCCGGAAGTCGTCGCCGTAAATCACGATGAGGTTCGTGATGTCGGCCCACTGTGAGGTCACGATGGGTGGCCAGAAGTTCTGACAGATGAGACGCTTGAAGGGCACTCTCGGTAGAGGCGGAGAGCAGCAGAAGGAGCTCGGGTTGGTGAAGCGGATCGTGTCGGTCATAGTAGTGACCCAGGTATAATCGAGAGCGCAGCCGGAACTGGTGATGTCGATGACTCGGCAAGCCAGAAGGAGCTGGTGCTCGGGCCAGCGGAGTGTCTGCTGTCCGCCGTCGGACGAGTGCCTAAAGGTGACCTCCTCGTCATTCCCGGTCGGGTTCAAGAGGTGGTAGTATCGTTGAAGGATCCTGTGACGCCACGAATGGCAGACTTGGGACATCTTGATCTGCGTGGACGGATCAGCCACGTCGAAGATGATGTCAATGATGTGAGGGAGGTACCGATGGTCGAGTGATACCGGAGGTCTATGCGTTGCCAGCCCCTTTGCGGGCGGTGCCGATGCTCGGCGCGCCGATGCTTCAGAATCGGTCGGTTCAGAGGTACCGGAGCTAGTGGGACTCGCTGGCGGAGACTGCACCTGAGAGCACAGCTGTGCCATGATGGTTAGAGGAAAGGTCAAAGCTGTGGAGCAACACCCAACATCAGTGCCCAAGCCGTCCTTCAGTTAGTCTCCGCTTAAGCTGATCACTGCGCATGCGCTGGTGACCAAACGTCAGCTGGCACGGCCAAGGCTGAGGTACGATGCATCGTCATATTGTTGTAAGGAAGTGATGCAAGCCGAGAGACCCTAGAAAGCACCCATGCCATTGTGCGCGCACTGATCTCCTGCTTCAGGCCCCAGTGCGGTGCGGAAAGAGGGGCCCGTCCCAGCACGTCTGGATGGCCCACTCCTCCTCACCAACGTCACGGCGGTACGCGTCGAGCGTGACGAAGCTGTACCATCCTTTTGGCTCATCTGCACCTGCGTGAATCCTCCCCTCGAAATCAAACCGGTGAATTTCGGCAACATCGTCGTCCGAGAAAGCCTCCGTGCCGACGAGGACTACGGCAGCCCCGACATGTACCGCGGCTTGCATCAGACGGCGAATCAGGCGTAGCTGCTTGCACGGTTCACCTTTGCTGTGCCAGCCCTTGCGCGACAGGGTGCTGTCCTTTGCGATTACGATGTTGATGATGCTCTTCCCGTCGTGGATGGCATCGTGAAGGGGTTTTTCGAAGATGATAATGAGGCGCGTGAGTTCAGAGAGGCCGGAGAGGTTCACCCTGCCTTCCGATACAAGATCGGCGCCCCAAATGCGGAGGTTGGCATGTGGTTCGGCGCAGTGAATGACGACAGTGTTGACAGCGGGACTTGGGCAATCGAATGAGTAGACGTGATTCTGGCATACAATCTGCTTTGCCCCAAAAGGTTCAGTCCTGCTGGTGACTCTCTCAGGGTCAAGATGGGCTTGATAGCGAACCGTCTTCAGGTTGGGAAGGAACGTCGCGGGCTCCGGCTTGGCGTGGCTGATATCGCGGATGTCGAGCACGTGGCAATCGGCGAGAAGGGCTAGCTGGGACCTTCCTCTGAAGAAGAGGACGTTGTCAAACTGATCCCACACAACAACGGTTGGCTTGGGGTGCTCCTCGAGGATTTGGTAGCCGCGGATGGTATGGAAGGGCGAGAGGGATCGGCGTCGCCATTCGCGACAGGTCTGCGCCATTATGGCGAGGGACGGGGGTACACTTGATGCGTGTTTGAATATGGCATCGACGACGTGGAGGAAGTACTGGTGGTGGATCGAGAGCATGGTGGGAGTTGACGAATCGAACACAGAGTGGAGGAGAGTTGAATGGAGATGGGTGCGACGTGTGGTTGACTCAGCGTGACTAATCGGATAAAACACCGCCCGTGTTGCGCCCATGCGCGCCCAGCTTTTCCCCTGAGTGCATTGTTTTGCAACGTGACTACTATGCATGCCTTTACTCAAGGAAAAAGGGGGTCACGCCAGTTGGTTTGAAGAGCCCACTCCTTCTCTCCGATGCCTCTACGGTACGATTCGAGGGTGACAAGATGAATCGACCTGTCCGAATCCAATGCGCTCTGGTAGCTCTGCAGAGAGTATCCATCTTCAAGTCGGAGATCAGCCACGGCATCTGAGGAAAAGCTCTCGGTACCGACAAGGAAGAGCTCGGCTCCTTGCTGTCGAGCCGCTGCGATAAGGTTTCGGACATGTCGGAGGTGGTTGTATGCGTCGCTTTCATAGGGATTCAAGGTGTAGCTGCTCGAGTTTGGGGAGACGGCGTAGTCGCTTTCGTGCTCGTACTCAACAAGATCCTCAAATGTGTGCTCGAAGATGACGACAACTCGCTCAAGACTGGTTAGCCCAGTCAGCTCAGCCTCCTCGTGGCAGCCTCCCCAACGGTCCCAGCAGCGAAGCTTTGCCTCCGGCTTTGCACAGTGGATGGTCAACAGCTTTACTGCTGGATTCCAAAAGTCGAAAGCGGGCACGTCGTTCTGACATGCGATGTGTTGGACAGGGACTTGAGGAGCTTCGTACTCAACGTCAATGCTGACGTGCCGGACGTAGCGCTTGACCCCGACCTTGAAAAGAAACCATGCTGGTTCGGGGTTGATTTGCGAATCGGAGCGGAAGTCGAGCATGTGACATTCAGAAAGGAGAACAATCTGAGACCTGCCTTCGAAGTAGAGAACTCGGTCGAACTGATCCCACACAACAACAGTGGGAACGGGGTCGTCCTCCAGAATGTAGTATCCGCGGATGGCGTAGAAAAGTGAAAGGCAGCGACGTCGCCACTCTCGGCAACTCTGAGCCATGGCCGCCAGAGTTGCGGGATCACCGATTGCGTCGAAGATGGCGTCCACAATATGGGGGAAGTAAGCGTGGTCGATGCAGACCATGAGGTTGGACAGAGCAAAAGTCGAATGAGAAGGAAGGTTGAGCAGAGGAGTGGAGGACGAATCAACATCAGGTTGGCTGAGTCGTTGCGCCCCTGCTCGCGTGTCCGATCGTCAGCCACGGAAGCATTGTTTCGACCCAACAACCATATGTCCCAGCTAGCTCTATGCATGCCCTCCTACTTCTTCAGGTGCTTCAAACGCTTAGGCGAGAGAGTACCCTTCCAGTCCGTCATCACCGCCCACTGCTCCTCTCCAACAAACTCGCGGTACACGCCTAGAGTCGACAAGCTAATGCGACGGTAGAAATCCAGGTTGTCATCGGAATGCTTGTACACCCTCTCCACGCCAAGCTTCAGAACGTTGAACGTCTCCACATTCCAGCGCTCTGTTCCCACGAGCATGACTCTTATCTTCTTCTGGACCGCAGCGACAACGACGTGCTTGACAGTCTCCAGGAAGTCGTAATCCATGTCCAAGCGGTTGGCAGGTGAGGAAGTACCTTCCGAGGGTGCCAACTTGCTGTTGTCATTGTCGTCGTCGAAGATGAAGACGAGCTGCTCAGCAGACGGGAAGTGCGCAAGTGCTCGCTTATGCCAGTAAAGTCTCCCGCACTCCTTGCTGATGTAGATGACGATCTGTTTGGTCTGCTTGATCTTGTACAGGAACCGGCTGAACGGAGGCAGATGGTTTTGAAACACAGCCTGGCGCGCATGCGTGCGTGGTAACTCAGCCAAGCCCTCGTGGTACCGCACTGTTTCGAGGTTAGGGAGATACCACGGCCGCCAACGCCTCTCCCGGCTCGTGATGTCAAGCACCTTGCAGCCCTTCAGAAGCACAAGCTCCCCCTTGCTTAGCGATATCCTTCCAAGCAGGGGGTTGTCGATGCTAACGTGGCGAACAATGTGTGCCTTGATGACGCGCGGGTTCTTGACGTGATAGAATCGGTTGAGGGAGCACCGTGTCCAGTTGCGACAAGTCTTCGCCATCGCGAGGAGTGAGGCGGGAGGGGCATGGTCGAGGATCAGGTCCACCACATGCGGGTAGTAGGAGTGATTGATGGTAATCATGAATGGCCACTCACGGGGTAAAGTAGATTGAAGAAGCAGCGCTAGGGGAGAGCAGTCTACGTGAGGTATAGGAGGAAACAGGAGGGGGTGTATTTGCCGACACCCATTGCATCGACACCTGTCCGTTGATCCGTTTTTCGCACTCTCTTTATCGGGAGCACACCGGAGTCAAGCTGACACGCATTGTGTGCAGCAAGCCTTTTACTCTGCACCGGCGGGAAGGTCATCAACCTCCTCTATGAACGCATGCATGCTGACCCACGTAGCGGGCGAATGTGGCGGTTTTCGTAATTTTGGCGTTAGGCTGGAGAAACACCTTACCGTAACTTATCTGGGACCCTGTCTAAGTTGAGACTTGTTGCTATAACTGAAACGCCATAGTGTGCATGTAATAACCTGGGGTACTGATATCAAAGCTCCTGATACACTGGTTTGCTCATCATGTCAACGGTAGCTACGGGCTGAATACAACGCTGCCGAAATTGGTCTCAATCTCCCATTCCTTTTCGCCGACGAGCTCTCGGTACCCATCAACAGTCATCAGGGTAACACCATCGTCGGCAGAGGTCAATTCAATGTCGTACGTGCGCATCAAACCCCTCTTCAGGGCTCCGAAGGCGTAGGTGTTCCACAGCTCCGTTCCCACCAACAAGACTTTGGCTCCTTGCTCCAGACCTGCGTGGATAACATCCTCGACAGTGCTCAGCAGCCACAGAGGACAGTCGAGATCCGGGGAGAGATCCTCGTCGCTGTATTCAGCCAGTTCATCCTCAGTGTAGTCGAAGTCCTCCAAGCACGAGAGGACATCCTCGAAAAGAAGGACCAGCTCCTCCAAGGACGTCAAGCCGCACAAGTCGGGGTATGTGTTGGAGTAGAAGTAGTCGCTTGAACCACCACTGTGGATAACCAGGCGCTTAACCGTGGGGTCAAACTCCATAATGGGGTAGATGTGGCCCGCGCAGACAATTTGGCGGGCGGAAATCGCGGTATAAGCCTGCCAGTCGAAGTGGTAGCGAACTGTGTCGAGGTTGGGGAGCTCCCGGATGGTGCGGCGGGATGGATCCTCAGTGATGTCCAGGATCTTGCAGCCGGCGAGGAGTCCCAGGCAGTTCGGGGTGAGACCCACATGATTGTAGTAGACGCCCTCGTTTGACTTGGTGGGGATATAGAAGACAGTTTGAATGGCTCCGTCGACTTGTTCGATCCGCACGTCCTGGACATGGTGAAATCTGCTGAGGACGCAGTCGCGCCACTCGCGGCAGGCCCGTGCCATGACAGCAAGCGAGGCGGGTGGAGCGGTGTCGAAGATCACGTCAATGATATGCGGAAAGTATTGATGGTCGATGGCGGTCATGTTGGTAGGGTTTTGTGATAGTGGTGAATTGAAAGACCGCCGTTGAAAGACAGCACGGGGAGATGCGTTGCCGCTAATATACCGCGGTTCTTGCGGGTTGCGGACGGGGCCCTCGCCCCGGCTTGTCCATCACACACGTTCCGCCCTCGTTTTCTCAGCTACACTGGCTCCGTGTGTGCCGCCAGCTGGATGACGAGGACCGCCTCATCCGGCGGTACTGTCCACCGTTTGGACGGCCGCTTCTGCAGGCTGCGGAAGCGTTCGTTTGCATCCGTGCTTCACTGACTGCTGAGTTTGAGCTAACTAAACTCCTGATACACTCTGGGAGGTAGGAAGAACCTCACTCCACGCATTGTAGTGACGTGCACTTGCAAGTGGAGGATATGGTAGAAACGGCACGTCTGGGCCATGACGCGCGGTGAGGCTGTGGGCGCCATCTCCAAGATAAAGTCATCCATGCTGCGGTAGTATCGATGGTCGAGGATCACCATGACGGTCGAGTCGGCAAGAGCGAAAGGGATACCAAGACTTGCGCATGTGTTGAAATGCTGTGATGGACAACCGCGCGTATTAATCGTGGCCGTCAACGGTGGTATCCAGGTCATCAAACAATGCCTCAGCACAATCGTCAGCGATTGTGCATCAACAGGTCAGCACATGTGGTCATCGCCGTACGTCTGTGTCCATTGTCTCGTCTGACGCATGCGCGAGAGGCACGAATGCCGGTCACGGCTGCCGACCAGCCTCATACATATTCCCCAAACGAACGCCCAGCTTTTTCTGCAGTCCCGCACCTTGGTGCGGGCCATAAACCTTAACTTCCGACCTCACACGGCGAGCGTAGAGCGACAATGGGCAACGCAGGGGAGCTCCAGCCCCCAAACAAGATGGTCATGGGGCCCCAGGACAATGAGCCGCCGCAGGGTATGTCGGATAGCAATGAGTCCTCAGCAGAGACTGCAGCCTTGACCCCTCGCGCGAACAGGAAGGCCACCGCCAATCTTCCCAACCCTCGCCCGTACGCCACCAAGACTATCGCAACGGTCGCGTACTTGAAGGAGAAGTATCGGAAGCAGGCGAAGACGAAAGCGGCAGCGAAGAGGCGCCATCGTGGCTGGTAAATGCAGTCAGTGACCCGGTGGAGTTCGCGTGCCGTACAATACTGCAGCGTATCTTGTCAGGACTTCGCCACTCATGCATGCGCTGAGCACCTGAGGTACACCGGCGATTTATCACTGATGGTGAGGCGGCTCGCTCCATGCACCCAGGGGCTCGGACGTCTCCATCTCCCAGACCTCCTCGCCGACTATGGCGCGGTACTCATCGCGCATGAGGAAGTTTGGAGCGTAGCTGTCGGGCAGAGGCATAAGAGAACAGCGCTCCCTCCTAACTGTGTTCAGTTCCAGATAGCGCAGCTCCAGTTCTGCCTTTCGCGCTGGCCAATCGTCTATGTGCGTGGGCAAACCGAGGTCGACATTACGGAAGTCCTCAAGCCCAACAAAGGTGACCTCGCCGCCTCCGTCGAACTGGTACTCTTCGAACACGGGCCATGCGAGCTCCCAAAGGTGCATAAGCATGCCGTAGTCCGCGTCGCGGTGACCATTGCGCCACAAGCGGAGTGCACTCTCCCAGTTAATTTCGATGAGTGGGGCCTGCCGCGCCCAGCTGAAGGCTTCGTCCGCATCCGGATAAGGCGTGGGACTGAAGATGATGACGAGGTGCCTGGGGCCAATGCGCTGCGTGATGGGCTCTGAGGAACGGCCACTCTTCACAAACCATCTAGCTGCTGGAAGAAGCGGGTGGTTCGGCTCGTACCGGAGGTTGAGGACCAGCGTGGTCGCACGCGAGCCGTCGTGGTTTCTCATGCACGAACCATCGTTGCCGCACTTGAAGATGTCACCATGTATGGCAAAGTCATAACGAAAGTAGCGCTGGCGGTACGGAACCTCGTCTGGCGGCAGCAGGAGTCTCGGCCCGGACTCCGGACAAGCCTTGTAACGAACGGCGTTGAATGGCAAGGGCTGTATCCTCGACACCCCGCCTGTCCCAAGTGGTGGATATGGGGGAGTTAAGTCGATGAAGAACACTGCTTTCTGGGCAGGCGGGGGCGGAACAATGCGGGTGTCTAAGTGCACCGGATACGTGGCAAAGTCTGCGTAAGAGCGGTGTCCCCAGTACGACGCACCCCATTCGAGGTAAGGCACCCATAAACTGCGTGGACTTGCAACTCGGACCAAATCGAGCTTCAGGGTCTTCATCCACCAAAGACACTGAGTGAGATCGGCCGGCGCATGATCGGTGTCAAATGGGTGGCGGCAGATGTCGAGAATGCGAGTGTGCTGTTCGAGGCGCTGTAGCGTCACTGCTCGCAAGCCTGGAGTGAGATCTAGGAGGCCATGTAGTCCTGGGATGTTGAGATCGTTTGATGAAATGAACTGCACTTCGGGAATGCCAGGGTACGTAGCGGCCACGGTGACGTGGCGATAGAGACGGCGCTCGGCTTCAGCCTTGAAGTGGCGGCAGACTGTCCGTAGACAGGCGAGGGCTGACGAATCGGCCTGGTCGAATATCTCGTCGAGAATGTGCGGGAACGATAGCCAGTCGATTGACGGCATGGTATGTGGTGGATAGGGTAGCAACAAAGAGTGATGATGATGACGGTCCGTAATGTTTTGACGAGCAACGCAGCTAGGCCATCTCATCTACCGCGGCTGCCTGTTCGTTAGTGGCAAATACGGCCGATGGGTCATCGTTCGCAGCCACTGAGGAAGGACACGACATTGCCTAACGCTCCGTATCAGACGTCGGTGTTGCGGAATCGAGAAGGACCTGGTCGAGAACCATGACTTTGTGAACAATCTTGCCGCCCGATCTGTCGAACGCGTAGCAGATGCGGTCGACTGCAGGCTTGGGGGCCAGTTACCGGGTACGTTTCGCCTCTCTGAAAGCCGCTGACGTTGGGTTCAGCATCCAGGCATGTACGCAGGCTCGCAACCCCAACGGGCATGGTGCAGCTGCCTAGACAGATCCTAGGCTTGCGGCGCACGAGGATCACGTGTCTTCGATGTTTAATGGTTGACTGGACCGGCCCGGGAGCAAAACTGCGGGCACCCTCAGACGAAAGACCCCTTGTAGAGACATTGATAGATAGGAGACACTCCATCTTCGATGCCTTCACTAGAGTAAGCTGAGTCTTTTGATCTTCGCGGAAGACTGACAGCCGGACGACAAAAGCGCAACTACGGCTCCTGCGTATCACTGGCGGCCCTCTGAGCTGCGACGTCTGAGCTCAATGTCCTTACTTCCAACGGGGCCCAGCTATGTCGTTCCATGGGTGCCGGTTCGCCTTCCCAACAGTCACCCTGCGCATTCTTCGCGCGGAGTGTTGACAACAGGCTTTGCTCAGGGTCATGGTCACCCACGGCTAGTTTCCTCAACGGAGCGCGGTCACTTTCCGCAATCTCGGCAAATTTCCATCCTTCCAGCTCGCTCCTCACCAGACATGTGAGGAAACGTTCTACTGTCCGCTCTCCCGGCGTGGAACTCGTATTGTTCCATTACCTCGTCCGTCTTGAGCGCAAGCTCGATCGAGCCAAGACCACGCACTCAACATCAACGGCGTCTAAGCCCATTATACTCATCTCAAGCCCCAGCGTCTTCCTGACACTCAAGGTATGTCAGCTTGAGAGGGATGGACCTGACAGCAGAAAATGGGCGTGCCGAACCCCCTCCTCCTCCTCGAGTATGACTCTCGCTTCGCCGTCTTCTCGGAGTTCCGGGCTTATGATTACGCCCGCCCGCACAACGTTGGGAGCATGTCGCGCGCTCAGATCAAGGAGGTTAAAGCCGCTGTCGTCCTGCTTGACCCGCCGTACATCAACAGTGACTGCTTCTCCAAGACTGCAACCACCGCGCGCGCCCTCAGCACGCCCGACACAAGGATCATCGCCTGCACCGGCTGGAAGATCAGGGACACTGTGCAGGACGTCCTCGGAGCGCACATGGTGAGGTTCCGCCCTGGGCACGCGTGTGGACTGGCGACCACGTTCAGGGCGTATGTCAACTACGAGGGAGCGGGGCTGTACGAAGCCGACCCGGATCCCGAAAACGGCGACAACGACGGCACCGCCTTTGCTGGCGCCGGAGGCGTTGAGGCTGCATAGTGCTCCTGGCCTGGACCTTCATAGATCTTAGATGCGCATACCATATGCATACAGCTTGCTACGGCGGTAGGGATGGAGGCTGTAATCAGATCACGTGCCAGTGGAGGTGGTGGTGTGAATATGTGACCGAAGGAGAGAATGCATGAGCTAAGGTACAAACGGGGCTAACATGTTACACGTCACGGAAGCTAATTCACGTGTCGTGACAGGTGGAGGTGGTGGAGGTGGTGGAGGTGGTGGAGGTGGTGGAGGTGGTGGAGGTGGGTGGAGGTGGCAAATTGCAACGACAGCATTCAACATCACGAACTCGGCAAGAGCAGTGTGACTGACGCTCTCTCGATTATTCGTAACTTCTGATGCATGATTGACCCTATTTCTACCTTGCTACGTGACTTCTGAATACTTATGACCCCCTTCACAACCCTCCAACAGCTGTCTAAGGCTGGTAACGGAAGTTCTCGTCGTTCTCAAGGACGACCTTGCCCTGGTCCGCCTGCCGGTTGCGGATGCGGTAGTACAGGCTGAGCAAGCCGGCTCCGACGAACACGCAGGCGTTCATGCCGAGACAGAAGTTGATGCCGGTCGGGTATCCAATAGCCGCCTCCTTCTGGAGCATGGTGACGGCTGCGAGGATGCCGCCAATGCCGCCCCAGAGGATGATCAGCGCCGAGGACACGGCACGCTTGCTCTGCTGCCTCAAGCTCGTCTGAGACCAGGAGATGATGAGACCGACGTTTGCGTTGGCCCCACCCACGGCCAGGAACACGCCTGCGTAGCGTGCGGCCTTCTGATCCATGGAGAGCTTGGAGAACATGGCAGTGCCGGCAATGGCACACGCGGTGTTGAACATGACCATTGGGGCACGCATTCCCCGGTAATTATCGGCGATACGGGCGCATACAATCGACGGGATGATGGCCCAAGCATATCTAGAGGGTCAGGAAGACTCCCCAGAAGACAAGAACACTCACGTAGGGGTTCCGAGGAGCATTTGACCCACGTAATCGAAGCCCATTGACTTGAGGATGACCGGGAGGAAGTATGCTTGCCTGCTCTATTAGCTCTTTGTGATTACGTAAAATACTCAAGAATACGTAAGCAGGTTATTAGCGCAGAACGCTATACCATAGCCCCAAAGCTTCCAATCGGCGAGATAACGGCCTACTTTGGCCCAGGTAATGGGGTCGTCGACTGAGTCGGCTCGATCGCGCTCGATTCGGAGGTTGACGATCGCCCGTTCCTCCTCGGTGAGGAACTTGGCCTTATTCGGCACATCCGTTAAGAAAATGAAGCCGATAAGGCCTACGATAATGGTCAAGATGCCAGAGAAGACGAACATCCAAGCCCAGCCCGAGAGATTGCCCTTGCGGTGGAGGAGGCCGTAGGCGTAGCCGAGGGGCGTGGTACAGGACGCCACAAAGGCGGAGGAGATGTAGAAGAAGGCTGTGCGCGAGGCCATCTGTCGGCGGGGGTACCAGCAGGCCAGGAGGTAGGTCGCACCGGGGAAGAGGGCGGCCTCGAAGGCTCCGAGGGCGGCGCGGAGACCGGCGAGCTGCGACCACGTGGTTACGAAGCCCATGCACAGCTCGATGATGCCCCAGATGACGACGGCACCGCCGAGCCAGATACGGGCGCCGAAGCGACGGAGGCCGAATTGAGACTAGGGTCAGCGATGTGTTCTTTCCGCACTGCACCCCGGCTCCGCCGCCACATCCAACCTCCACCCCCCTCCCCGCCCCTCTCCGCCCCTCTCTCACCCCTCAACTTCAAGCTCGCCTACTCACCGGGATCTCCAGGATGATGTAAGGGATGAAGAACACAGCGGTAATGATGGAGTAGCGGTTGCCGTACTTGGTGCCGAGCTCGGTGTCCATCCACATGTTGTTGGCCTGGCGGGCGTAGGACAGGTTCGTGCGGTCGATGAGGGACACGCAGTACATGGCCGCGAGGGTGGGGACGAGGCGCCAGTCGACCTTGCGAATGATGCGCTTGAGGAGGACAGGGTCGATTCCATGGTCAATGTCGACCTTGCCGTCCTGTCCCTCGAGGCCCGAGGGGTCGGAGGAGGCGTACTCGTTGTGCGAGATCGACTCCTTCTTCTCGATCGAGTCGAGCCGGTCCAGCTCGCCTCTGGGAGGTGTGTCTGCGGTTGTTGGGCCCATTGCTCTTGATTTCTTGGCCGAGGGGTGGGGAAGAAGCTCCTGCTGCGTGCTCCAGATGGTCTTTATGCTCCATCTCTGGCGCGCGGGAGGCACCTCATGACGCGCGACTCTTGCCCAGCTCGCCAGACCAGATCCAGTCCCGGTGCCCCACCCGCTGCATGCGTCCCATTGTTCCAGCCCTCAGCGCAGCCCTGCGCAGTATTCCCACCTCGAGCTGTGACTGGCTCCCTCGAGACGCTGCCGCAATCTTGGCTCTCGGTGTCCCCTGGCCCGCATAGGGATCAGGTGTGGGGCCCAAGGGTACGTGATGCGGGGGTGGCCGCTCCCTGAATGTCTCCTGAGCGGGGGACGATCAGGTGATGCATTCGTCGCGCCTGTCGCCTGGAAAGTCTGCTCCGAACTCCAGTGGGCGTGCTGGGCGTGCGGGCGTGCATGGCGCACCACCGCATCTGGGTGGGATGTGTCGTATCGGCGTCTATCCGGTGTGATGAGCTGGGAAAGTGGGCAATCTGGGTTCAGCCGAACCGGACTTGACCGGGGTGTTGTCCCAGCCTAGGTGCGTCATTGCTTCCTCCTCGCTCCTTCTATCGTGTCTTGAAGCGCCATGTACTCGGACTGGCCCGATGAATCTTGGCTGCTTCCAATGCTATGCTGTAGCCGGTGATTCCTCGGAGAAGCACTCTCTGTAGCCGGTTGGTGTTTCTTATCGCGGCTCACGGCCCACATACCGCCCCACCGCCCAGTCTCGGCGGAGGGGTCGGCACGGCAGAACCGCGCTGATTGCACGGCTACGTACGGATCCGCCTGATCGTGCCTTCGCCTGTTGTCTGGACGCGTCCACGTCTCCGGCGGAAGTGGGATATCCAAATGCAGGTGGGCTTGTGAATGCGAACGAGTCTGGGGTTGAATTGAGATCTGCATATCTCGGGCAAATCCGTGTTCTCGTTCCTCCACTGCCCTCCCCAGCTATTTGGAGTCCGGCTGTGCCGACAGTTGCATCGGCAGAAGAAGGCTCACGCCGGCATCGCTGGCTTCGGCGGCCGCGAGACACGCGAGACACCGTAAACAAACAGCGGCGTCGGCGCTCGCCACCAGGCACACACAGGGCTAATCCAGAGCAATAACGAATGGATTCCGGACTCGAAACCCATAAGGCCGTGGGGAGGTGTCCACGTGATTACATTCAGAGGCTGGAGGAGGCGCCAGAAGGAATGAACCCCGCTGCTTCTTCGGGTTTGGCGTCGTCGGCGACGCACCCGCCCCAGCCGCAGCCGCCACCGCAGCCACCAGCGACAAGAGGCACGGACCGGAGTGACGTTGAGAGGCCATTGGGCAAGCGGAGCGGCATGGCCAAGCTTTCGGAGGCGTGCCCTAGACGATTGGACCCACTCCGACCAGCGGGATGTTGTTCACCGGCCGACCAAGCGGCCAACAAGAAGTAAACAAGACCCAAAGAAATGGCATTAAAGAAGTCGTTAGTCTATATTTTACACTGTCCCGCGGTTGGTAGGCGTCCAAGCACGTGTGCTTTTCAAGAATCGCGCAAGGAGCTGGCGGTTTGGCTGGTCGCTCGCAGCCGGCGACCGCGCAAGCTACAGCTCGAACGCGTTGTCGGGCAAGCGGCCCGGTAGCGACCGCCCGCGCTACGGGCTCTTCTTGCGGAAGATGCGCTTGAAGATGCCGTCCTTCTTCTTGGCGTCTCGGGCCTGGTCAACCACCTCGCCCATGCTTCGCGAGCCGGGACTGTTGCCGCGAGACCGGTCCGTATCCGAGTCCTCGGCCGCCTTTGCGTTCGCGTCGACCTGGTGCGTGTGGTCCGTCATGACACTCTGCGCGTTGGTGACAGTCTCCTGGCCCTGCGGCTCGGCGCCATGCGGCACATCGGTAGGCGGAAGGAACAGGTCGAGCACCTTGCCCGGACCCGTCAGGCGCTCGTACACGTTCTGCGTCGTCGGAAACTTGGCCTCGCCCTCCGCCTTGATCGCATCGAGCAGAAGCAGGGCGTACGTTTGGCAGTTGTTCGTGATCAGGTTGTACGCTGGTCTTGTCTCGCGCAGCTGCGCAATCACGTGCTCGCCCGTGCGCCGGATCGCATCGTCGTTGAAGCGCGTCGACCCAACGGGGTACGTCGTCCACTCTTCCGGGATCACCTTTGCGTTCGTGTAGATGACATCGAAGTTCTCGTCCTTGGTTGTCAGCTACATCACGTGGCGAGGAGCTTTGCCGCTGCATGCCTAGCGAGCCGTGCGTTACGACTCACCATCCACAACTGATGGGCGTAGTCTCCGACGAGCACGGCCCAGTGCTGGGTCGGATCGGGATATGAGTTGATCTTCTCAGTGATGAGGCGTCCGAGGCCCGTCTCCTTTGCAAACCACTTGCCCGCGAACCCGCCGACGGGGTGCCATCCAACACGGAGCTCGCGCGGCTCGCCATTTGTGATCGGCTGCGCCAGCGGCACCACGTTGGGCGTCGCTCCGAGTCCGACAGCCTTCTTCAGCTGCTTCTCCGAGTAGTCAAGTCCCTGCTTCCTGGATGTCAGCTTGTCCCAAGAGCTGCGCAGCAGCTGAGCGGATCGGAATGCAAAAGGAAGGCGCGCCAGTCGGGCTCAGATTGCCAGGCCTACTCACATGTACTTGGCGGCGATGTCGCGCTTGCGTACGCGTTCACCGTTCTGTTCTTCTGCCATGGTCGCGATGGGGATGCGTGTCTGGATGCGATGTGTGCTGCGGTGGCAAGATGCGATGCGATGCACAAACAAATACCGGTTACGATGATCGATCCACGCCGATCGCAGTAGGTCACGTGTGGGACCTCCACCGCACCGCCTCGTCGCACCCGAAAGAGGTGCTAGAGCACGCGGGGCAGGTTATTTCCGCTCCTCACCATCACTCGCTTCTGCATTGTCAGGCTATTTACGGCACCCCATCGACTACGCAACGACGCCATTCTCAGTTGCGGTATCCGTTCACGAAGATGGGGCCGGGGATGCAGGTCAAGTTGAAGGCGTTTAGTGGGGGAGTGGGGTTGGCGGGACCGCGGCTGGGCAGGGAGATCTGGGGAGATGAGGGATCGAGGATCCAGGCTGGGCTGGGCTTTTCATGTGCGACCCTGTTCCCGAACACCGGCTCTCCTACAAGCCGTCACTCAGCACCCCACCAACTCTTATAAACGAACGGCTTTGTTCACGATGCCTTCCATCACTAACCCATGCAGCTGACGGGGCCCAAGCCCGCCGCCTGGGCGGGCCAGGTTGCAGACCTCACCCTCGTAGGTGACATCCCGCTGGCGAACATCACATACGCCGGCAACCACATCAACGCAACGTCCTCGAAGAACAGCGATGGAACGACGACTGTGCATATTCCGACCTCCCTCGTCAACGCGACGACGGTGCAGCAAGTCGACATCAATCTGGGCGACTCCACGTACAGTGTCAACATGACCGTCTTCCCCGCTGCGACACCTCAGAAGCTGCCCGAGGACCCCGTATGGATTGAGATGTTCGAGAGCGCTGCCACCGGTTGGACTAGCAGCGGCTGGGACTTTGACACACTCGATGGCATCGTCGAGCACAACGGAACAGAGGGCAAGCAACGCTTCTCTCGAGCGAGCGGCGTCGTCGCCCACGCCCAGGGCCCGGGCAGGCTGACATCACCTCCGGTCAACCTCCCGTTAGGGCGAGACTACGAGCTGCGCTTTTCGTCGCACTTCTCAGGATCAGACGCCGCGGTCTCCGTCACCTTCGATAACAGCACGACCGTGCATCGCATGAATGCGACCGAGAGCGGACAGGTGCGGATCCCATTCACACCTTCGGGTCCGGCAAGCTTCGCGTTCGAGCTGAAGGAAGGATCGTACTGGCTGATCGACGATGTTGCTGTTGTGCGCCCACTGGGCAACTCGACCGGCCCGATCCTGGAGACGATCGACATCATCAGCGATATCCAAAACATTCCCTGCAACAAGTGGATGCACGACAGCCTCCTCCCCGGCCTAGCACAGATTGGACCGCGTGCGACAACGCTCGTCATCAATGGCGACCTCGTCGGATGGGACGGGGAAGACAGCTGGTCGTCGTTCTCCAAGGCTCTCAAGCCTGCCAAGTCTTACAACCACGTGATCAGCACCGCCGGCAATCACGAAATGTTCGGCAAGGCGGACGAGGAGACGAAGAAGCGTCGTTTCCTCGCTTACACTGGCATGGGAGCGCGGCACAATGCGGCGCAGGAGGCGGGCGCTAACGGTGTTGGCACCATTGGCGGCGCGGGTCTATGGGGCGAGCACGTCACTGCCTCTGGCGTGCCGCTGCTCTGGCTAGCCTCGGAGCGGTGGTGGCAAGATCCCTCCTCTGAGCCGCAGTACGTCGTTCTATCGGACGAGCAGTTCGGCTTCCTAGCGAGAAGGCTAGAGTACTGGCGTGCCAGATCCCGCACCGTGCTGCTGTTCTCGCACCACCCGCTGCCCTTCAGTGTCTCCGGCACGTGGACGCCGTTCGAGTCTCGCAACTTTGGTACCGACGAGCTGCGATTCCGTCATCTGCTCGCCGCAAACCCGCACGCGGTCCTCGTCACGAGCCACTCGCACTGGGCCATCGAGGCCGCGGACCAAAACGTCGACCACCGCCCACTCGTCGGGTGGAACAGCACGACGCCCACATTCAACACTGGCGCAACGATCAACTGGTACGACCTGGGTGACAAGGAGTGGCAGGGCGTGTGGAAGGGGGAGAAGGCCCCGACGGCGATTCGCGTAGAGGTGTATGCGGACCGAGTGCGTTTCAAGGCGCTCCGGTTCTGGAACTTAAGCACGACGGCGACGGTGGTGAACACGAGAGACGTCGCGTTCCCGGCTCAGGGGAGGTTGACTGTGAATGCCGTGCACTCGGCGGCGAGCCGTACGGCGCCGAGTACGGGCCTGGTCGCCACCATGCTTGTCTTGTGCTTCAGACTGTTGTGGGCTTGATAGACACGATAGATCCATTGCATTCATTCACAAGCACAGCGCCTGACATCACTTGTTATGGCACATGCACTCTCTACAACTTCCTTTGCTCTTTCACACGAGCGGCGCTGTCAACAAGGGCGGTGAGGGCACACCTCAGCTCCGCGGAGTCAACCGTCTCTGCCTGTTCCTGCAGCCTTTTCACGTCGAGGACTGCAGCGACAACATGAGACATGTCCCCGTCGATCATCTCACTCAACACGGTTGCCTCAGCCCTGTATCTCCGCATCTCAGTCTTGAGCAGCCTCTTCTGCTGCGCCCACGTCCTTGAGTCTTCTCTGTGGGAATCACGCTCCTTCATCAGCTCGCGCGAAAGGTACATATACCTCTGGCATGCGCCGTAGCTGTCGTCCGCCTTGACAGCGTCGCCCAGACACTTAATGAGCTCCTCGGATGACACGCCCGTCTTCTCCGCCACGAGCATCATGATCACGGCGTCGCCTGTGCCCTTCGCCTGGCTGATCTGGTGGTGCGCTTCGTGCACTTCCTCCTCGGCCGCTGTGAACAACACCTCGGCTGTCTCCCTGAAGTCGTAGATAGCAGCAGCGAGATCGGGGTCCGAAACGCCGTCGCCAACCTTTGCGATCAGGTTATCGAGGGAAGCAAAGAAGGCGTCTGAGTGTGTGCGTTGTTGGCGTAGTTGGAGCAAAGCCTCGGCACGGCGCTGGCGCTGTTCCTCTTCAATGGTTTCGCCGTGCTTGATGAACAGCTTGAGGAGGCGGTCGGCGATGGTGACCGGCTCTGGTGGCGGGGGACTGATGTTAGCTTTCGACTTCGATCATTGGGATTCAAGGCTGCCTGAAGCTGGACATAGTGAGGGCAATGAGCTCAGAAGAACCAGCGTTTCGATACCATCGAGCATGCTTGCCTGATCGAGGGGCTAAGATTGCTCTGTTCGCAACGCGCAGAGTACGTACGGCGGCGGTGGTGTCGGTGGGGCTTTGCGCGACCGACCAAATCGACGGAAGAAGTTTGGAATCGTGGAGCCAATGGCCATGGTGTAAGTGATGTGGTGAAGTGTACACGTCTGAGTGTGATGACATTGTGCACCTGTAAGAAAGAGTGCGTCGTTGAAGGGCGCGCCCCCTACTGCGCGAGGTCGTGAGTGATGCTCAGGCTCGCCCCTGCCCCACTAGTCTACTCACCCTCTCAGCTACGTGTTAGCCGACGCCCAAAATCCACACTTATTTCTGTGCAAGCTCTACACTCTGCCCATGTTTGTCCTCTCTCAGCTACCAGGGCCAGTGTAGCCGCCACTGCCTTCTACCGATTGCAGAGCACGCGTTGAGTGGACCAGGGTTCGACGCGGAGTCCCATGGAGTCCCACCTCCACCTCCGCTTCGTGCCGCCACCACCGACGTTTAAAGCAGAGTGCAACGAAGGCTGCATGGTGCAATTGGGGTCGGTATGCGGATGACCCTCAGCTAGCCAAGGCTGAGGAGGGAGCAAGCCAGTAACAATACTACATTCTCATGTGCATCGCTGACATCTGCCACTGGGGCAGCTCCCTGAGGCGTAGCAGCGGGCGACTGCGGTGTGCAGGTGAGACGGTTGTGAGATCGTGCTAACTTGCGCCCTGCGCCCCATGTGCTCATGCGAGTCGACGCAGGTTGACTCATCCGCGACTCACACTGAGGAGCCCTCCATACACAAACACTCGTCTTGACGTCTCATCGTTGCTCATTCCAGTCCACATCCACCATGTCAGACCCGAAGGAAGAGGTCGCAACGGCCGCGGCTGGAACCTCAGTTGACGTCAAGCCTGGCATCACCTCGCCTGCAATCGACGGCGACAACAAGACCGTCACCAAGCACGGATTGGAAGACACTCAAGTAGCTCAAGACAGCCCCAGCAAGAAGCCTCGCGTCGAAGAAGCGAGTGGCAACAACAAGGTCCTCCCTACCCCTCCCAACGAGGCATCCGACGCCATCGCCAAGGACCCCGGTGCTAAGGCTCCCAAGCCTCGCATCAAGGAGGTCTACGAGGTTCCTCTTGGGCGCCGCTGGGTGAAGTACGTCCGTCCCCCTGCGCCCAAGGTCAATGGCACATGGCGCGTGCTCGTCGCACACCACCGCGCCGCCGATGGCGACCTGCTCGAAAAGTTCCTCGAGATCGACACCTTCCTCGAGATCAAGCACGCCGGACTTCGCGAGTGGCTCAAGCAGCGCTACCCCTCGTGCTTGAAGCTGTACGACTACCCTCCTGGAGTGAGTTGAATCCTTTGCTGCCCAGCTGACGGAAAGATCGATCTGCACGAATTGATCCACGACCGCGACGAGATCCGCAGGGCGTGGGAAGGGCTTGAGAAGGATCCGAGCCCCGCAGCTCCCGGCGATAATAAGGAGGAAGCTCCCGCCACTGAGACCTCTGCCGACATGACTGAAGATGACGACTGCGAAGACGACAGTGACAGTGACGATAAGATCGACGCTGAAAGTGACTCTAGTGACGAATCGGCTGAACCCACTGGTTTGCAGACTGCGCTCGGCGTGCTTGTCAAGTACCTCGACGACAAGGCGGGTGAATAGTGAGCTCGCCAATCGCACACCTCAGCTAAACACCAGTTCCAAACAACTGGCTGCCCTTCCCCAGGGTCGCATCGTGTTCCGTCTGCTGTGGTGGATCTTCACCCCGGGCCTGGAAGTGTCCACGACAGACAAGATGACCGGCTTGCCTACCGCTTACCGCGTTAGTAAGGTGTCCTACCATAAGGATAACCGGAGCCGTTACATGATCTTCAAGTTGCGCGCGTGGCGCTGGACCGGCCTCAAGTTTGAGAAGTATGACGACAGCCGTATAATGCGAGAGTTTGATGTAAGTTCCTCGGGCGATTGTAGAGCTGACCGCAGGACGTCGCAGTCATCTCCGATCTCGAAGTCTCCCCTCTGACTCCGGAGGGGAAGGTAGCTTTGGCCGACCGCGGTAGGGTCTACGCGAGCAAGTACGCCAGCATCGTGCACGCCAGTTACACCGGCTCGATGTACGTGATGAACCCCAGCACTGGTCGCTACCATGCGCGCCCCGGCTCGGGACGTGTCATTGTCGACGTCGGAACCCACAGGCAGGACTATCCCTACGAGGACAACTACGGGTACGTTGCGTCAAAGTACGTGGAACGCTGACATCAGCGATGAGATCAACGATAGCGAGCAGCGCCGCTCGGCCCCCAAGGTCACCCTCAACGACAAGTACCTGCACCTGCTGCCTCCTTCGATCAAGGGCTTTCACTTGAAGCACAAGATCTGGGGTCAGTTCGTCATTACACGCCTGCAGGACATCGAGTGGAATGACATGGCATTCAAGCATCTCGTCATCTCGGACACGTACCGCAACATCGTCCAGTCGCTCTGCGATGTGCACACTGGCACACTGGGTGCTGGGCTCGTCAAGGACATTGTGCCGGGCAAGGGTGAAGGCGTCATCATGGCGTTCCATGGGCGCCCCGGCACGGGCAAGACCCTGACTGCCGAGGCAGTCGCGGAGCATCTCAAGACGCCACTGTACATGGTTTCAGCGGGCGAGCTCGGCACCCATGCGCTCGAGCGCAATCTGCAGAACGTGCTGCGCCTCGCGACGGCGTGGAAGGCCGTGCTCCTGATCGACGAGGCGGACATTTTCCTGCAGCGTCGCTCATCGACAGACCTCGAGCGCAACACCGTCGTCGGTACGTTCCTCCGCCTGCTCGAGTACTACAACGGCGTGCTCATCATCACGACCAACCGCATGCACGACATGGACGAGGCGTTCGCATCGCGCTTTTCGCTGATCCTGCCCTTCGAGGACTTGCCGCCCGCGTCGCGCCGCCAGATCTGGGCAGGAGTAAGTTATCAGTGAAGGTGTCACAACTAACCTCAGTTCGTCAAGCGCTGCCGTTCCGAGCTCGAGAAGCCCGAAGCCGAGTTCGATCTCGACGAGCTCGCCGCTGCCAACATCAACGGGCGCGTCATCAAGCAGGTTGTGCGCACGGCGCAGGCACTCGCGGTGGCGGCCGGTGGCAGCCTGCAGATGGAGCATCTGCGCCAAGTTCTGCGCTTGACCGACTGCCAGACCGAGTAGCGAGTCATATGCATTAGCTCACGCTGTGATCGCCCCGGTATGCTGACGTGAAAGAGGCCGATCGCCGACAAGGCACTTGGATGATCCATGTTCCGACAGGTACTCTTTGTCGTGTGGTGGGGAACAGGGTTTACAGGATCGAGGGAATATGACGTCAGGAACGTCTTCAAGGGATGTTCCCAGACATTCGGCGTAGTCGAGGACTTGTGCCGTGCGGATTGGTGCGGAGTCATGTCTGCGGAATGCGAAGCCCTTCCGAATGCGGGTCTGGGGTTGGATGCTCAACATCCGAGGCTATTGACGCCGAGCGACGAGCCCACTGACCGAGGTCTTGACACGCTATTGAGTCCAGAAGGTCATTCTCGAATGACGCGCGGGATGCGAGTCCTATCTTCCGGTATATAGGGAGCATACTTGGCAGCTGCCATTCACACACCTCCTCCTAACACATCATGGCACCTCTCAAGACTCTCGTTTTCGGCGCGACGGGCGCGCAGGGCGGCTCGGTCTGCAAGTACCTCCTCGAGCAGCCGGACAAGTTCAAGGTCTACGGCCTGACCCGCCACACGGACAGTGCGCACGCCAAGCAGCTCGCCTCGCAGGGCGTCAACGTCCTGCAGGGCGACCTCGATGACCCCAAGTCGTATGAGGACGCGCTGAAGCAGGTCGACGCCGTGTTCCTCAACACGAACTGGTGGCAGTGGTACAAGCCTGACGGGAAGGGCGGGGACAATGCCGACGAGTGCACGAAGCGCGAGACGACGCAGGCCATCGCCGTCGCCGACGCCATGCAGCGTATCGGCGGCAAGCGCCTCGTGTACTCGACGCTCGGCCACTTTGAAATCAACGGACAGAAGGTCGCCCACTCCGAGTCCAAGGTTATCAGTGAGTTGCACGGCCTGGAAGTAGCTGACATCCAGTCGAGGGCCACATCAAGAAGATTGGCCTGTCGACCGCCTACGTCTCGTGCGTGTACTACATGAGCAACGTGCTCGGCTACCCGACCAAGGAGAACGCCGACGGCTCGATCACGATCGAGTGCCCCATGCCCGACTCGGCCGAGATTCCGCAGGTGCCCATCGAGCAGCTCGGCCTGTGGGTGCGCGCCGCGCTCTCCGACTGGGACAAGTACGACGGCCAGACGATCCCGTGCGTCACCGACAAGCTGTCGGTCAAGGGCGTGACCGAGGTGCTGTCCGAGGTCACTGGGCGCAAGTTTGTGCCGATGCACGTCACCGAGCAGTGGTTCAAGAGCAAGGAGGCCGCCGACCCCAACCCCGAGATGCACCTCAACTCGTACGTGTTCGTAGAGGACCTCGTCAAGCCCGAGATCAAGGAGAGCCGCGCCATCGCCCCCGACGCTTGGGACTTTAGGGGATGGTGTCTCAACGCTGGCGGCGTTGAGAAGAAGTGGGGTCTGAAGAAGTAGGCCGCCTGGCGAGCGCAGCGAGCCGCGAGACGACCTCTCTCAACGGAAACCCTCACGTAGAGTAAAAGCTAGTCATATGAATACAGTAGCAATGTACGAAAATCTACAATCAGTCCCGCTCGACGCGGAACCAGCGCCGGACGCTGTCCCAGACCAGCGTCCTGAGGACGAGGAGGAGAATCTTGAGCCGTCCTGCGCGCCTCTGCCCAACCTGACCAGCGTAGTGCTCCGCATACCCGAATCCAGGCCTAGTGTAGGGATATGCCGCATTCACCTGCCGCGCCTCGAGCTTGTCCAGCTCTGCCACGAGCATGCGCGTAATAGGCGTCTCCCCATGCTGTGCCGCGTGCTGACGAAGCGTCTCCCGGACTGCCGAGAGGGTGCTTGAGGCTCCGCTTGGCGTTCCAGGGGCCGGACTGGGGAAGGGTGTGCGCCGCGGCTTGCGACGAGGTGGCTGCGTCGGCGACATTGACGGTGTGACGCTTGCCTCGTCTCGAAGGGCACTGTGTGGGGCCCGGTATGTCGACTGGCTGGAGTGAGACGGCAGTGACGTCGAATCGGACGACGAGCTGGAGGAGACGGTATCGTGCGATGCAAACGAGAGCAGTTCAGTCCAGGTCGGCTCGGGCTCGGACTGGAGTGTCCTACTCCGCGCAGTCGCGTACGTCGATGCCTTGCCCGGCCTCCTCTCCTCGGGCTCGGCGTAGGTCATGCTCGTCTCCCAGTCTCCTCGGCCGTTACTCGGCCCGCTGCGATCATTCCACTCACTCCGCTCATCATGAGGAACCAGCGTGATTCTCGGCACCTCCCGCGCCTCCCGCTGATGACGCCGGAACCGCCTGCAGCCCTCGTATCGCCTTGCCCGTCTGTCGTTCGCATCAACGACCTTCTCGACCCAGCGGCGGATGCGCCCTGCTTCCTCCTCGAACAGGTATCGGTAGTCTGGTCCCGAGCGCTGCTGCAGTGGCTGGGGCATTGTGCTGTGCGCCTTCACGTAGTGTCTTGATTCGTGCGGCGTGCGGTCCGGGGATCGAGCCGGCGATCGTGTACTGCGGTGCGTACGCCGGCTTCCCACGCCAGCGCTACCAGACGGAGAAGCTGAGGCCCATGGCTCGTCTCTCCAGTCGGCAGACGTGCCTCGAGAGTACTCACTTGATGGGTGCGAGGAGTAGATTGAGACGTGCTGAGGAAGGTCAGTGAAGGGCAAGGGCGAAGTGAATGGGGCGAAAGCGACGGTGGCGGCGAGGTGGCGGAGATACGTGTCGTAGTCCTTCCTCTGAGCCGGATCGCCGAGAACGCTGTATGCGTCTGTGTTCGTCAGCTGGCGCAAAGAACCGTCGAGCTGTCGGCCCGCAGAGCACTCACTGCGTAGAGGGATAAAGGAACCGACACTCCCACCCATGTCGGGGTGGTGCTTGCGCGAGAGGTCAAAGTATCGCTGCCGGATGTCGTTTTGCGCGCAGTCTGGAGGTAGGCCGAGGACGGTGTAGTGCGTTTGCGGCCATGGGGGATGGTTCTTCATCAGCTGCGGCGCGTACGGCGGCAAAGACGTGGGAAGTGGGGCTGAAGCGGCGCTCATGCTGTCTTGCTCTCTAGCTGGATTTAGCGAAAGCGATGAGGGCGTTGTCGCTGGCGTGCCGCCGGATTGTGTAGTTCAGCGAGAGAAAGTGAGTTGTCAGGTGAGCGATGAGGAAGAGGGATGACTCGACCGCACGGGCATGGTGATGCCCCATCTCGCCCCCGGCGTCTGAGCCTGGACCGGACACACCATCTCCGATTGTGCAGTGCCGGCTGCGGGAGAAGAGAAGAAGGGGAATGTGTTGATCGAACATGCTCATCGTGCGTTGGTGTCGCGAGGTTGCGTCCGTGCACGCCGATCTGGGTCCGCCTGGGGCTTAAGCACGTGAGTCCACCATGAGTGATGTCAGTTGTAAGTCATCGTGAGCCCTTGTTGTGAGCGCCGGCACGTTGGTGCTAATCTTGATGAAGCGAGTGCCGATGGTCGAGGACGAAGACACAACCAGTTCAAGGGCAGCATGGACATAGCCATCCAGGTTCGCAGGCCGAGCAAAACAGTCCGGTCTATTCTCGGCCATGGGATGGTTCCCGCCGGCCGACGGGACCTAGTCATCGTATCGATGCTCGTTGACCATCTCAAAGAGGCCGCATAGGCCATGCACCAGGTCTTGATGCTGAGATATCATTGTCGGCATCCCGATTTCGGATGGCCATCACATCAGCGAATAAGCTCTTACCGCCCGGCCCGGCGAACAGTCATCAAGCCGAGGCTACTCAGTCATGTCGGGATCCTACGCACTCTCCCTTCTCCTCCTATGTGCATACACGCACTTTTCCTGCCGAGTCGAAGCTGACACTGCGGATGGACGAGTGCCGGTTTCGGCGCCCAAGTGACCAATCAACAAGCTCGGTGCCTCATTCGGCCGGCTTGGTCTTTTATCTGATAACTCGCCGTCCCTGGTTCTTGGCATTTTTCCGTGCTGCTCTCCTCACACGCCCGACCGAACGAGGGCCACGACCCCTCATTCCACAACCGAAGGACGCCGAAACGCCATGCAGCCCAGCATTGCAGAGTCGAGACCATCGGTTTGAATGCAGTCGGTGGGCGCCACTTGCTGCGCGGGTCTCGCCTGTCATGCAACGTCTTCCCGGCCGACTTTTCGCGACCTCTTGGCACTCTATAAAACTGCAAAGCGAGTGGTTTTGTGAGCTTTTTCGCCAACCTGTTCATCACCGCCAAAATGAAGTTCACCGCCGCCGCCCTCCTCCTCGCTGGTGTCTCCTCCGCCGCTCTTTCCGAGTGTATCTCCAACTGCGCCAAGGAGACCGGTCTCTGCGCCTCGGGCGACTAGTACGTCCCACATAGCCCCAACGCTAACCCCAGCGAGAGCGCCGAGTGCCTCTGTAACAAGGACTTCCAGAACAACACCCGCCACTGCATGTACACTGCCTGTGTGGGAGAGGTTGGACAGTGGGTCGGCGTGTACAAGGCCGCTACCTGCCCGGAGACCGAGGGCTCGGCCGCTCCTGCGGGTGCTTCGGGCTCTGAGTCCGCGGCCCCCTCTGGCTCCGCCGCTCCTTCCGGCTCGGCCGCTTCCTCTGGCGCCGACGCCTCAGCAACCCCCTCCACCTCGGCCTCTGAGACCGAGAACTCTGCCGCTGGCCCCGCCGCCGGTTCTGTCTCTGCCAGCGCCGAGCACAGCGGCACGACGGGCGAGAGCCACTCGACGAAGCCGGCCGACGGCGCCGCCTCGTCGGGCAGCCCGACCGCTTCGAGCGGTAACGCTGCCAACTCGGCCGGCAACGCCCCGTCCAGCGCCGGCGCGTCTCGTTCTGGCGGCGCTGCCTCCTCGGTCTCCTCGGCCGTTGCCGCTGGCGCGTCCGCTGCTGCTGGAAACAGTGGTGCTGGCGCCCTCGCTGCCCCCGTTGCTGGTGTGCTTGGTGCCGTCGCCCTTGCCCTCTTCTAAGTAGTGTTGTATTTAGACATGTATGCGGATCTCTTGTGCTGATGAATGATGCATGCTAATGATTTGATCTTGACTTCTGCTGAATGCCCCGTTGTTTGATCCAAGACTCCGGTTTAGGCCCACGGGTCCTCGGCGAGGTCCTCCTTGAGACGCTCGTGCGCCTTCCTCTCTCGCTCCTGCTGCTTCTTTCTCCGCGCCTCCTTCTCCACGTCGTGCTTGGCCTTCTTCTTCGACTCCTTTTCGACGAGGCGTTCCTTGGCCGCCTCGCGAATCTGCGCCTTGGGCTGGTAGTACAGCACCCAAAGACCCTTCACGCGCTCGTCGTCCTTCCACTTGTCGCCGACTTCCTCGAGCGCCTCGTCAAAGAGGGCGACGACCTCGGCCTTCTTCTGCGCCGAGACCATGGACTGTGTGCCGCCCACACGTGTCGCGAAGATGACGTGTACGCGGTCGCCCTTTTCGAGCGCCTGGCGCGCCATCTTGGCCTTGTGCTGCATGTCGGCCTGGGCCGAGTGCCAGCCGACCTGAATCTCCTTGTCTTCGACGGCAAGGCGGCGGGAGAGCTTTTGGCGCGCGAAGCGCTCACGTTCCTTGACCTTCTCGCCTTCGAGGTCAATGATGCGCACCACTGGCGGGTCGAGGCGCACCAGTCGGACGGCGTGCGTGTCTTGCGAAATGCTGTCGACGACGTCCTTCAGCGGCTGAATCGGGCCAAGGTTCTCCGTCTCCGAGTCGACAACGTGAACTTCCGCGAAGGGAATGTCCATGTTGACAGCGCCAACCTGGGCCCTGCGCTGGTCTCGTCGGCTCGCGGCCACTTGGCCGGGGAGCATGAAGGCTTGCTTGCTCTTGGAGATTGGTCGGGGGGTTGCCGGGGGTTTCGGAGCGGGTTTCTTTGGGGCGACATAGTGGCGAATGGGGGTGACGGCGCCGGAGGTGAAGCGGAGCGAGCTGCTCGACGCCAGTGACCGGGGCAAAGTCGCAAGTGATCGGAGAGTGGCCATGGGGGTGTTCTGATGAGGGATAGCAAGCGATGAAGTCACTCACGAGCATGGACATGGCCCGCAATCGAACCTCGACCACGTGAGCCACAATGATCGGTCGCTCGGAAACGCCGATTTGGGCCGATTACAAAGTTGAATTAGAACTGCTGACTAATCAATCTCTAATGGAGGATTTGCCACGTGGTGCGGACGTCATTCCAGTGTCCTCTACGGCATTCATGACGACGACGAGACCTGAAATCCTCAATTTCTCAAATCCTATAAAGGCGCTTCTGCTCTTGTTCGCTCTCACCAGCACACAACCACACGCACCATGTCCGCCATCACCGACATTAACAACTTCAACGCCGAGGAGGCTGCCAACTTTGAGGAGATTGAGCAGCAGTTTGGTGAGTTGGCATGTCTGCGGGCGTTAACTGACCTCCAGCTGTCAAGACGGTCGAGCACCTCGAGGCGTACCAGAAGCTCCTTGAGAACGTTAACCCGAGGACTCTCAAGCTCACCAAGTGAGTCATTGTCACCTCGCGCTTAACTAACATTCAGCATGGACGACGAGATCTTCGAGGACATCATGACCCGCTTCCCCGAGTTCAAGGACACTGAGAAGCTCCGCGTGCTTGACGAGGACAAGATGAAGTCGCCCGAGGGCAAGCAGCGATGGCGCGACTTCATCATGCCGTACGAGAAGACGCTCACCGACTACAACTTTGGCACTCTCATCCGCCGCGACGCCGACCGCGAGTACGCCGAGGACAACTGCATCCTTGTCACGCGCGCCCAGTTTGTCGGCCTCGAGATTGCCCGCAACCGTCTCGGCGTCAACGACAAGTTCTACCAGGAGCACCAGAAGAAGAAGGACGACGTCAAGCCCGCCGCGACCCGCTACTAGACACTGTAAAATCTATTGACCGCACGGTTCATGTATAATCAATCTATTCGGGATCACCAGTTTGGATCATAGCGCCAGCGCACGTTGCTGGGGCTGGGTACCTCTGCGTGGCGAGTTGGAACTGACGACTGTTAACTGATAGCTTTGAGAATGGTTTACCAGCGAGGGGAACTTACCAGCGATGCGACTCTTTAACTAGATGGACTCGCCACTCTCAGGTCCTTGCTACCTTGGGGAAAGGCTCTGGGCCGCTTGCATACCTTTGTGACTGTCAACGTTGGCGGCATAACACTCTGCTCTGCTCAGAACGACATCGCGTTTTTAACTTTGCCTTTTTCTGCATGCATGACCGAGGAGATGTCCAAAGAGCGGCGCTCAAAGCGTGTGGTGGAGGCGGGGTAAAAGTGCGGGGAAGGCGTCCCTCTACTCAATTTCGACAGCCACGTCATGTCCGTCTGTTTGTTTACACCATCCTCACCATCGCCGCCGCCATGTCCGACAAGTCCGGCAACCCCGGCAAGTCCGGGAGCGACGCTGGTCTGTCGAGCGCACTGCGCGCCGGCCGCGCCCTGATCCTCCTCCAGCTCCTGAGCCGGCTGCTCACCTTTGCTCTCAACCAAGGCCTCGTGCGCCTAGCCTCTCCGGCCGTGTTTGGAACGGCGTCGATCCAGTTCGACCTAATCGCGGCCACGGTGCTCTTTCTTTCGAGAGAAGGTGTCCGCAATGCGCTCCTCCGCGGCGGGACGTCTAACGGTGGCGGGCGACTTGCGCAGATACCCCAGCAGCTCGGTCTTGCTGTTGCTGCGGCAACGGTCGGACTGTACCTTTACACGTCGCCCGTAAGCACGAAGGCGCAGAAGGACTTCTACCCCGCTCTCGCTCTCTATGTTATGGCTGCGCTGAACGAGCTCGCCATCGAGCCGTTCTACATCGCCTGCATGCGTGACGGACGTATGCGCGTCCGCGTCCAGGCCGAGGGTGGAATGGCCATTGTGCGCGCCGTCGTATCTTTTGCGTGCCTGTACCTCTTCCCCGATCACGCTCTCCTTGGTTTCGCCGTGGGACACTTTGCCGGCGCGGCATGGCTTGCCGCGCGCTACATTTCAGCTGGCGGTGCGCTGCAGGGTGACAGCGGGGACGAGAAGATTCGCAGCCTCGCTTGGGCCAATACACGGCAGAGTGTCGTCAAGCATGTCCTGACTGAGGCGGACCGGATTGCCGTTGGGCGCATCTCGCCGCTAGGCGACCAGGGTGGCTACGCCGTTGCGATGAATTACGGTATGCTACAGACATGGCATGGCTGACAACAGGGTCTCTCGTCGCGCGCATCGTGTTCCAGCCGATCGAGGAGACGCTACAGCTGCACTGGAGCCGAGCGATTGACTCCTCGGCACCGCTGCTCCGGCTCGCGCTCCGGCTGTCACTGTATCTCCTTCTGATTTTGCCCGCGTTTCTCCCGCCAGTGCTCCCAACTATTCTCCCACTGCTTCTGCCGAGACGCTATGTCGCCGAGACGACCGCGGCACAGACGCTGCAAACCTACCTCGTCGCATACCTTCCCCTCATGAGCTTGAACGGCATCCTCGAGGCATTCCACACCGCCTCGGCGACACCGGCGCAGGTTGCAAAGCAGGCCAAGTTTATGATCCTCAGCAGTGCCACTTTCGTGATCACCCTCCTTGCCCTTGTGAAAGGGCGGATAGGCACGACGGAGCAGGCGCTCATCTACGCCAGCTGTACCGCCATGATTGTCCGCATTGTGTATGCGTGGACGCATGCTGTGCGCTTCCAGGCCGGAAAACTCGGGATGCGCAGCGTACTTCCAGACCCCGCTATTGCCTTCAGCCTGGTCCTCCTCGGTTGGGGTCTCCGATTCGCCGCCGTCGAGGCGCAGAAACTCGACACGATACGGGCCGTCGCCCTTGTCGTGGGCTGTGCGGGGGTCGGCGGCGTCTCAACCCTCATTACAATGTAAGTAGGCTGTATTGTCAGAGCTGACCCCAGCTTCCTCACTGAAAAGTGGTCGTTTGAAAAGCTGAAGCGCAAAACCGAGTAGTCAATGCAGTAGTGATATCCATGAACACAACAAAATGTACCGTCTACCAGGCCCATCCGCTGATGACCTTTCTCCTAATCTTTCCGTCCTCGCGAACGACGCCTGCGCTCTTAATCTTGTTGAGCTCCTTCTTCCGGCGCTCGGCGAGCTTCTCCTGATACGTCTTGCCCTCCTTGAGGAGGAAGTGGACGCGCGCCGACTGGTGGTGCTTGATACCCATGCGTCCACGGCCCTTGATGTCGAGACGGGCGACCTTGGAGCCCTTGGACACCCACGACTCGGACACGACGAGCTTGGAGCGGTCCATGCCCTTGGCGACGGCGTGATCACGGGCAAGCGCGAGCGTGGACTTGACCCACGTCTTGGCGACACGCTTCTCGGAGAACTGGAGCTGGATCAGCGCCTCGTCAACGGGCAGGCCGGCGACCTGGCGCGAGATGTCGTTCAGCTTGCGGGGCGACATCTTGTGGAACGCCGACTTGTACGAGTGCTCGCTCGCGCGCCGCGACTTTTGCTTCTGCTCGGCAGCCTCGACAACCTCGTCGAACACGCTCTCCGTCTTCTCCTCGGCAACGGGCTCAGCGGCAGCAGGGGCGGGCGTAGTCTCCTCCTTCTTCTGCGAATTGCGGCGCCATGACTTTGGAAGCGCAAAGTCGAACAGGGTACGCGAGCCCATCGGGGCAGCCCGCGGGACGACGGGGCGCGCGACGACGCGCGAAGGGCCGGCAACCTGGGCCACTGGGCGTCAGCTGGTACAGCAGCAAGAGAGCTCACGGAGGACGGCGCTGCGGAGTGTCCTGGACATGGTGGTGGGGTTTGCAGTAGTTGTAGCTGCTCCGAGTCCGATGATCGAAACCGTTATCCGAAACGTCCAACTTTCGGACGGACTTTGTTTTATCACAAAAACAGCCTGACGTGGCATTTCGTATCGCCCTCTGAATGCACTCCCTGCACTCTATGCATGTAGTAGAAGTCGAATACAACTAAAATCAGCATGCATCAAAGCACATATGCATGCATGCAGAGAAGTAGAGACGAAGAAAAGATGGCGAAGTGTCAGGCTGAAGAACACGTGGGATGTCAGGGTGATACTCTTCGGCCAAAGTTGGTCTTCTGGTCCAACTTTCTTTTCGCCCAACCCACACCACCATGCGTTCCGTCATCGCGACCCTCCGGCCACTGGGCCGCCTCCCCTTCGCCCGCGGCCTTGCGACTGCCGCCGAGGTCCCTGCCGCCACCAAGGAGGAGGCTCCTGCCGAGGCTGCCGCCGAATCATCACTTGCCGGAAGGTGGACGCCGTTCACGAAGCGTACCGGTGTCATTGCGAGGAAGCGCGGCATGACCGCTCTCTGGGACCAGAATGGACGGCGCTGGCCTGTCACCGTTTTGCAGCTCGACAAGGTGCAGGTCGTTCGTCACTCGCCCCCGCCCGCCAACGACAAGAAGGGCCTGCACTCGCTTCAGATCGGCGCGTCTGACCGCCGACCCAAGACTGTCACCGCCCAGCAGCTCGGTCACTTCCGCGCCGCTGGCGTCAACCCCAAGTATAAGCTGCAGGAGTTCCGCGTTACTCCCAACGCTGTTCTCCCCGTCGGCACCGAGCTTTCCGCCGGCCACTTTGTCCCTGGACAATACGTTGATGTCACTGCTACTTCGTGAGTTGCGGCATCAATCTGCAACTAACGGCAGGATCGGAAAGGGCTTCCAGGGTGTCATGAAGCGTCACGGATTCCGTGGTTTGAAGGCGTCGCACGGTGTGTCGCTCACGCACCGTTCCGCTGGTTCGACCGGTCAGCACCAGGACCCCGGACGTGTTCTTCCGGGCAAGAAGATGGCCGGCCACATGGGCAACGTCAAGAAGACGCAGCAGAACCTCCTTGTCCACCGCGTCGACCTCGACCTGAACCTGATCTTTGTCCGTGGATGTGTTCCGGGTGTCGATGACGCCTTTGTCTCTGTCCGCGACTCGATCAAGAAGGTGTCGTACTCTGCGCAGAAGCGCTTCATGGACGGCAAGAACCAGGAGGAGTGGATTGGCGGCGGTGTGCTCTCGCTCCCTGTTCCGGCTGGAACGGTTGAGCGGGCAGAGAAGGAGGGTTGGCCCAAGGTTATGGAGTGGGCCGGCAAGGAGCAGCAGGAGTAGTTAGACCTTAGCATGCATCATTCATCTCATTTCAGCGATAGGGCTCCGCACAACCATGATTCTCGGACACCAGTCTTTTTGGACCTCCACCTCGGGACCAAATCGCTCGATCACCCAATGGTCCAGTCGACCTTTTGTCAACAACCCAGCCAGTCGACCGTTGCCCAACACACCATGCCTCCACGCAAGCGCGCGCGCGCCGATACGGCCGCCGCAGCGCCAAAGACACCCACGAAACGCACAAAGAAGGCGGAATCACCCCCACCGCCAGTCCCGACCAAGGCCAAGTCACCGACACCCGCAGACGAGCCATCCGCGTCGCACCTCGTCTCCTTCCTCACGAGCTACACCGACCGATACGATGAGCGCGAGCATGGTTCCGACTCGGACTCTGGATCTTCTGACGGCGAGAAGGACGACGACTTTGAGGACCACGCAGACGATGATGACGACGACGAGACGCCAACGACACCCCTCCGAGGTCTCGTTGGCACGCCAGGACGGAGGAAGGCGCCAGCGACGACTCCGCGGAAGCGGGCCGCTGCGACGCCGCGTAAACCCAAGACGCCAAAGAAGGTTGAGCAAGAGGACGAGGGCTTCCTGCGAACATCCCGCGCCGACAACTACTTTATGAACGCGACGCGTGGATCAAAGACGAGCGGCCTGTCTTACTCTGCCCTGGCCCGGCCGCTGAGCCAAGCAGAGTATGAGGGTATCGTGAGCGGCGCACGCGGCAAGACCAAGGCCGTGCAGGAAAAGCTCGAGGAGCTCGCCCGTTTCTTTCCGCAGTGGGCCTCGGAGCTCGAGACGGGCTTCAACCTCCTGCTGTATGGGTACGGTAGCAAGCGCCGCCTCGTGAACCGGTTCGCGACCGAGACGCTCAACGACCTTGGCGATGTTGTCGTCGTGAATGGCACGTTTCCCGGATTGGGACTAAAGGAGGTACTCGCAGCCCTTGAAACGAGGCTCCCGCTGAGCGACGAGGTGCCTGCTCCGCTTGGCGCTAGCCCGCTCGAGCGCGCAGCCTATCGCGTTTACCAGTCTTACCGCTCCGGCAAGGATCACCTGTACATGATCATTCACAACATTGACGCACCGGGCATGAAGGCGCCAAAGAGTGTCGCGGCGCTGTCGTTGCTCGCCTCGTGTCCCGGCATCCACATTGTCGCGACATTTGACCACGTCCACACCCCGTTACTGTTCAGCGCAACGCTGTCAAATGCGCCCCCGCACCCTCCGACAGAGGACGAGATTCCCTCATCCCGCGGCTTCAACTGGATCTACCATTCGGCCCCAACGTTTGACGATTACGATGTCGAACTATCGTATGCGCGCCTGTCGTCGAGTGCGGCCCTCGGCCAGTCTTCTGGCACGATATCGGAAGAGGGCGCGCTGCAGATTTTGCACAGTGTACCGCCCATGGCCGCGCGACTGCTCAAACTCATCCTGCTCAAACAGTTGGACAATGGCGAGGGACCACTGATGGGTGTCGGCGGTGCAGCGCCCGCGTACGCTCTCGATGTTGATCTGGTGCAGAAAGCTGCGAGGGACAAGTTCATTGCCCGCGAGGAGGAGCGCTTCAATGCTCTTTTGGGCGAGTTCAAGGACCACGGACTCGTAGTGACGGCCGAACTGGACGCGGAGGGCCGCCAGGGCCGTTGGGCGTGGGTGCCACTGCCGCGCGCCGCTATCGAGCGCATTCTCGACGAGATGAAGAATGTAGAGGCCTAGACTGTATGTATGCATGTACCATCAAAACTTTTTCAGGCCCCACAGCGCAATGCGCCGGTCCTTGCCCCCGCTCGCAAGCCATTGGTCTCGGGGCACTCCGTCGTCGTCATCATCGTCCGAGTCGGACTCGCCCAGCTCGATTGTATCGTCTTGCGTCAGAAGCTTTGCGTCTGCCCTTGCAAAGGCGAGCGCCTGCACGCTCTCGCGATGAAAGCTGAGGCTGCCCAGCGGCTTGAAGGTTGCGGCAGAAAAGAGCCGTATCCGCCCATCCCATCCTCCGACGGCAACGACTTTTCCGTCGTGCGAGACTGCGACTGACGAATTCCCGATCTGCTTCGTGCTGTAGCTCTCCACCTTTACTGTCGCAGGCTCGCCAGAAAGAATCGTGCCGAGGTCGACGCGGCAGAGGAGGTGGTCAGCTGACACGGTGAAGGCGCGCGTGAACGCTGGGTCCACGGCTAGTGCCATGACTAGTCGTCAGCAGGTGGGTCCAAGGCAGGTGGGTTCGATCACACTTATACTCACGAGCCTCGTTGTGAGCCTTGCCCGTCCACAGCCGTTGCCATGGCCGCGCCGAGTCTGCCGACGCCTTTCCGTCCCACAGCTTGTCGAGCGAGGTGACATCACACGCCCACACTTCCAGTCGCCCGTCCTCGTATCCCGACACTAGAGCAAGTCGATCCCCAATCACCCGTAGCGCAACGGCCATGACGAGGCCGGACCTCGTATTGCCTGTTTCGGTCTTGCCCGCAGCAGCCTCATAGTTGATCTTGGAGTGGAGGCGTTTTCCGCTCGGCATCGCATAGATATCGATCAGCTCCGAGTCGACCAAGTTCGGCAGTGCCATCAGTGCTCTGTCCTGGTACGGCGTGAGTGCAAATCGACAAAAGTTTAGCGAGTTGGAATCCATTGACGTCTGTATCGGTGGTCCGGAGGAGGCCGCCGCCGCACCATCGAGTCGCTCCACGTGCAGCCGCTCATACAGGTGCAGCTTGTTATCTCGTCCTTGTCTGATGTCAGAAGACTCGAGAGACAACTCACGATAAGATTTGCCCATCCAGCTCTTCTACGTTTAGGACGCCGCCCTCGTGCGCCTTCCAGTAAGCCACGACTCGGCGCGTGCCGAGGTCCGAGACGGACACATAGCCTTCCTGGTCGCCTGCGAGCAACAAGGCATTGCCTCGAGTAAAGGAAACACACGAGACTGGTGCTTGGTGTGCTCGGAGAATGTGGAAGGGGGCCGGAGGGGGTGCCATGGAGATTGTTGACAGTCGAAGATGCTGGTTGATATGACGTCGGGGTGGATGCGATAAGGAGAGTCACGTGGTTGTTCGGAGCTGGGCGGCCGAACCGGACGATGAGGTGCTCGCACAAATCTCGCAATCGTCGCCAGCAACGACGAGCAACGTCGACACTTTGCTTACTCCATCTCCTTTCGCATCTCTTCATCCACGACAAACACACACCGCTCGGTCCGGTCACACACACCCACGCCCCGATCGACTGACGGTACCTCACCATGTGGACACTGAACGCCGCAAGGCCAGTGTACCACGCGTCGCTCGCGGCCGCGAGGGTCTCACGACCACGGCCATTGCAGCGGATTGCACCGCGGCGGCCGACACTGCCGTTTGCTCCGCTGAGCGTTGGCGTGTTTTCGACGTCGGCCTTCCGATCAGTCCCCTCAAAGGCTGCAGCGAAGAATAACCACGGCTCGCAGAACAACAACAACAACGGCTCCCAAAACAATAACAACAAATCTCAGTCATCCCAGCCCTCCACTCTCAACACCGACGTTGCTTCCAAGGCTGTCCCGGAAAAGAAGCAGGCTCTCACCGACTGGACGATTCTGAAGCAGCTCGCGAGCAATGTATGGCCAAAGGACAAGCCTGGCGTCAAGGCGCGCGTCGTGCTTGCGCTCTCGTTGCTCGTGGCCGGCAAGGTGCTCAATGTCCAGGTGCCCTTCTTCTTCAAGAATATCATCGACTCGCTCAACATTCCGCTCCAGGACAACATGACTGTCTGGGCCATTGCTGGTGCCTCGATTGCCGGCTATGGCCTCGCGCGCATCTTTTCCACCGTCTTTGGAGAGATGCGCAACGCCGTCTTTGCGACTGTTGCCCAGGGCACGATTCGCAAGGTTGCCCGCGAAACGTTTGGCCACTTGCTCAACATGGACATGCGCTTCCATCTCGAGCGCCAGACGGGCGGTCTCACGCGCGCAATTGACCGCGGTACCAAGGGTATCTCGTTCATCCTGTCCTCGATTGTGTTTCACGTCATCCCCACGGCGCTCGAGATTTCCATGGTCTGTGGCATTCTCAGCTACAAGTTTGGCTGGGACTTTGCCGCCGTCACGGCGCTGACCATGCTGGCGTACACTTGGTTCACGGTTAAGACGACGGCGTGGCGAACCCAGTTCCGAAAGCAGGCAAACGCGGCCGACAACAAGGGTGCGACGGTAGCTGTCGACTCGCTCATCAACTTTGAGGCCGTCAAGGAGTTCAACAATGAAAAGTACGAGGTCAAGCAGTATGACGCGACACTCAAGACGTATGAGCAGTCGTCGATCAAGATTGCGACGTCGCTCGCCTTCCTCAACTCGGGCCAAAACGTCATCTTCTCATCGGCGCTGACCATGATGATGCTGCTCGGCGCCAACGGCGTGTTCAAGGGCACCATGACTGTCGGTGACCTCGTGCTCGTCAACCAGCTCGTGTTCCAGCTGTCGCTCCCACTCAACTTCCTCGGAACGGTCTACCGCGAGCTCCGTCAGTCGCTCATTGACATGGAGGTTATGTTCAACCTGCAAAACGTCAAGCCTGCCATTTCGGACAAGCCCGGTGCTCCGCCACTTGCCCTTCGTCACCCCGGCGGCGAGATCAAGTTTGACAATGTCACATTCGGCTACCACCCCGACCGGCCGATTCTGAAGAATCTGTCGCTAACCATTCCCGCTGGCAAGAAGGTTGCGCTAGTCGGCCCGTCGGGCTGTGGCAAGTCGACCGTGTTCCGCCTCTTGTTCCGCTTTTACGACGCCCAGTCTGGCCGAATCTTCATCGACGGGCAGGATATTACCGACGTTGCTCTCGAGAGTTTGCGCAAGCAAATTGGTGTCGTGCCGCAAGACACGCCCCTGTTCCACAAGGACATCTATTACAATATCCACTATGGCAACCTGGACGCTTCCGAGGAGCAGGTCAAGGCTGCCGCGTCCAAGGCGCAGCTCGATAAGACGATTGCGCGCCTCCCCGACGGATGGCACACCAAGGTTGGCGAGCGCGGCCTCATGATCTCGGGCGGCGAGAAGCAGCGTGTCGCTGTCGCGCGTCTTCTGCTCAAGGACACGCCCATCAACTTCTTTGACGAAGCCACGTCGGCGCTCGACGTCTACACCGAGACGGAGCTGATGCGCAACATTAACAGCACGCTGGTCGACGGCACCAAGACGAGCGTGTTCATTGCGCACCGCCTGCGGACAATCAGTGACGCGGATCTCATCATTGTACTTGAGGATGGCCACGTTGCCGAGCAGGGCACGCACGAGGAGCTTTTGCGCAACATTGGCGGCGTCTACTACCGCCTGTGGAACGCGCAGCTGACCGAGGGCATCGAGGAGGAGGTTGTGGAGGCGGCAGTCGAGGCGGAGAAGCAGGTCAAGGGAGACATCTTGGGCAAGAAGTAGCAGCACTCAATCACACAATGCATCATCATCATCACTGGGATCTCGATTGTTGATCTCGCAAATCTTGCAGCAGGTTGAGACTGGATCTCAACGTGACTGGTGCTCGGACGCGAGGAGGTCGAGGCGTGGAGTGACATGGGGAGTCCCGCCCGGTGCATGGGTCGATGGATGGTCCATACCCGGCGGGATCTAGGAAACTTGGCAGGGTTCTCCGGGTGGGGCGGGTCACGGACCAGCCAGTGAGATGTTGTTGTTGACAGCCTCGACTCGACGCTACGGCTGGTGCGACGGTATGCATGGAGACCAGAGTCGTACCTGCGGAGGGTGGAGACTCCACGAGTGTCAACGGCAGAGTAGCCGTAAGAGGAGCGGTCTCGCCTTGTCGACGCCGTGCGGTTCGCAAACTCTAATAAACGCTCGAGGGTTGTACTATTTTAGTCGCGGGAGCCCCATCCGCCCCCCCAGCCGCACGAGATTCCTCAGCCTCCAAGCCTCTTGCATCCATCTCTACGCCACCTCGTCCGTAGGCTCTGTTTTCTCCACGGCAGAATGAGGGAAAACGCTGACCCTGAGCCATTTTGCCAGAGTTACCTCCTGTTTTCTCACTGAGCATTTTCACTGTATTTTCTCAGCTGAATTATTCAAGGCAACTGGACTTGACCAGTTTTCACGACATTTTCTCCCTTGCAGAGGCGGAACAACTTGGCTCCGCCATCATCTCCCTCAACCATGGCACTCGGCAGTGCCGTTAGTGTGATACAAAAGAAGTTTACCAACTCTGTGATTGAGTGGAATGTTCGAATCCTCAAGCAACCCATTTTTTGCCTGTCATCCCATGCATGCTTTGCCACCCGGTTATGCATACATGCATGCCCCCTACTTATTGTAGGTGCTTACATAATTTGTCACCGCATTTTCTCTCTGAGAAAACAAGGGAGGAATTCTCCATCTTTCCCAAGTTCTCCGGTATTTTCTCTACCAGGAGAAAACTTGGGATAACGTGGGGAAAACGGCACATCGTCTCCGCTTTTCTCAGGGAGAGAATTTGCCCTCCACACGAGGTGTCTACGCTTTGTCTGTCCCACGCCATTAATATCCACCATCGCTAGTGCATGCGGGGTAAACGCCAGCTAATGCCTACTAACAACAGGCGCCAGTGCCACTGCAGACGGGGCTAGACGCTGCGCCCAGGGTCTTGTGACCCACTGTTGCCCGAGTACGCTCGGCCCGGCGTCGATCACCACATCCATCCACACAGAGAGATCTATTCTCCGCATATTATAACAATCCCCCATCCGACTTGACAACATGGACGCCCCACACCCCAACTACCCACCATGCGGTTGCTCATCGCCGCTGCGACCCTCTTCTCCCTCGTCCTCGGCCAGGAATGTGACAACTTTGGCCAGTCCAAGGATGGATCCTGCTTTTGTCCCGCCGGCCTGACCGGGTCCAACTGCTCCCAGCCCGCCCGCGGCGGCGACGTCTTCGCCCCCAAACCCGATGGCCAGTGCTCCGACGGCTGGCTCGGCCCCACGTGTACCGTCTGTTCGTCCGACGATGCGTGCAAGTCGGCGCTCAACACGCTCGCCAATCCCGCCAATGGCATGCCCATGCCCGGCATGAATGAGACGCTTGTGTGCAACACTTCGCCAGTCATCTACTCGGCCTCGCAGGTGACGTGCGACGTTATCCAGCCCATGTTGCAGGGCGTCTTCCCCGGAGAGACAAAGGTTACCCTCACACGGTTCATGAACTCGTCGACCAGCCCAGGCGGTGATGCGACGTACACCAAGACGAAGCAGGTTGGAGGCACGAACGAAGGTTACATGCAGCTGTGGTACAATGGCAAGCAACAGTTTGCGTGCCACCTGACCGAGTGCAACCAGACGGTCGTCGACGGGGCTAGCAACTGGCACTGTCCCGGACTCAAGTGCCATTGCTTCCCCGGTACCGACATGTGCGGCAGCGACGGCAAGAGCGGCGGCAACAGCCAAGTGTCGTCCATCGTGTCCTCGCTCGGTCTCAACGAGAATACCCTGACGGGTCCCGTCGATATTAACTGCAAGCCTGGCGGCGACTGCAGCTTCAAGCAAAAGTTCCTTAACATGCTCGGCGCCGAAGGCCTGCCCCTTTCTGGGTGCAAGATGGGCGAGTGCGTCAACCAATATGTGATTGACCAGGCCCTGGGCATCAACCAGGTACACACTGAATCGTCCCTGTCGGGCGGTGTCATTGCCGGTCTCGCCGTCGTTGGCGCCTTTGCACTGCTCGCCGTCATTGTTACCGTCTGGGGCCTCGCCAAGCGCCGTAGGGCGCGCAAGCAGCCTGCCGGCAGCCTCGTCAAGATGGGCGGCGTGAGCGTTTCATGGTCTGGCGTCGGATACCAGGTCCGCGGCTACAACAAGCGTGGATGGTACAATCGCATTGTCGGCTGGCTACGCGGCTTTGGCGACGTGCCCACCAGTCGCCCAACTTCTCCAAACGGTGAAGAGGGCCATGGTAACTCGGACATTGTCCTGCACGACGTTTGCGGCGAGCTGCCCGCTGGCGGCTTTTGTGCCGTCCTTGGCCCTTCCGGTGCCGGCAAGTCGACCCTCGTCGACATTCTCGCGGGCAAGCGCAAGTCGGGCCAGGTTCGCGGCCGCGTTTCGTTCCACTCGAACGGCGGACCGGTCAAGGTTGGCTACTGTGACCAGAGTGACGTGCTCTCGCCGACGTCGACAGTCATGGAGACGCTCCTCTTTGCGGCCTACCTTCGTCTGCCCGAGAATGTGCCCAAAGTCGTCAAGGCGGCGCGCGCGACCACGGTCCTTCGCCAGCTCAACCTCGAGCATATTGCCAACACTCGTGTAGGATCCGGACTGCAGCGTGGTATCTCGGGCGGCGAGATGCGTCGCGTTTCGATTGCCATTGAGCTCGTCGCTAACCCCGACGTCCTCATCCTCGACGAGCCTACCTCTGGTCTAGACTCGGTCTCTGCCGCGCGTGTCGTGACGCTGCTCAAGAGCCTGACGACTCACCCCGAGAATCGCACCACCATCATTGCCTCGATCCACCAGCCGTCGTCGGCTCTGTACCACTCGTTCTCCCAAGTTATCCTCCTCTCGCGCGGCAAGCAGCTCTACATGGGTCCCGGCGGCAATGCACCGGCCGAGTTCTTTGCCGCGCAGGGCTATGTCTGCCCGCAGGGTTACAACATTGCCGATCACCTGCTCGACATTGCCAGTGAGGCCCCTGCCGGACTGCCCTCTGGTCCCGACGCCATGGTGTCGACGGACATGCTGCCCGAGTCGCCCATGGAGAAGGCGTCCGACTCTGTCGTCGACCTGGCCATCCTCAACTCGACCGCGCCGGCCAAGCAAAAGTGTGCGACAACCTTCCTGACGCAGCTCGAGGTGTTGAGCTCGCGCGAGTGGCGCAACCTCAAGCGCGACAAGACGCTCTTTGTCGCCCACTTCCTTCTCTTCAGTGTCGTCGGGCTCTTCGCTGGTGGTCTCTACTTCAAGGTCGACCTCACGATTGCTGGCTTCCAGAACCGTGTGGGCTCCCTCTTCTTCCTTGGCACCCTCATTGCCTTCTCGTCTCTTAGCGCCCTTTACAATATCGTCGAGATTCGTCCACTCTTTCTCCGTGAACGCGGCAGCAGCTTCTATTCGCCCCAGGCATGGCTGCTCGCGCGTGTCATTTTCGACGTCATTCCACTCCGCCTCATCCCGACCATTGTTCTCGGCATAATCATCTACTTCATGGTTGGACTTGCACTGAGCGCTGCGCGCTTCTTTAAATTCCTTCTGATTCTCGTCCTGTACACGCTGTCAATGACGCTGTACAACTTTTTGCTCGGCGCGCTGTTCGAGCACCCCTCGATTGCCATCCTGCTCTCGTCGCTGTGGAACCTGTTCAACATGACGTACGCCGGCTTCTTCATCAATGTCGCCAAGATTCCCGCCGTGCTTGGATGGCTGCACTTCCTTGCCCCGCTCAACTATGCTCTCGAGGCTATCGTTGTCAACGAGGTGGGCTCGGGTCTCCACATCAAAGACGTTCTGAACGGCGTGTCGCTCGACGTTGCCGCGACCCTCATCATGGAGACGCTCTTTGGTTTCAACGTTCGCAACTATTACCGCAACGTGCTCGTGCTCTTCGGGTGGATTGCAGGATTCGGCATCATGCTTATCATCACTGTGTTCTTTGTTTTGCGCGAGAAGAGATGAGTGTAAGAGAAGTAGCTTGTGAATAGTCCGATGTAAGCTTTGTGTTCTGACCGAGGTGGGAGGAACGGTGCCTGGAACTCATCACCGCCGAGAAGTTAGTCGCGCTGCAGACGGCTACATCATCCCTACGTAACAGGTCCGCGCACCTCGGTGACGGCGAGTGGAGAAGCAGCAGTGACGCCGACAGCTCGGTGACCTGCGCAGTCTCTGAGGATCACAGAGCAACGACGCCTAGTTATAAACCTTGCCTCGAATTTTCTGCTCTGACCATCTCGCGACTATTCGACTCCACCATGTCCGACGCAACTGCCAACGCAAACTCGAGCGCCAGCATCCCCATCTATGTGACGGGCAACGTCAACTCCGAATACAGCTTCAATGGCCAGCTGACGGCCCCAAACCTTCAACCCCTGCCGCAGCACAATGACTCGGATCCGTACGGAGGTACTACCGAGAACCCCCACTGGTTCTGGGACAAGACGCTCGATTCAAACGACATTGTTTGCGGCACGAGCAACTGGACCATTCGGCAGGTATGCTGCCCTCGCTCAATCGGCATTCCAAACGGCGACCCCAACGCTGGCGCCAACTGCCGCCTGCACGCTACGCAGGAGAATAGTCAGTGGTGGATGAACTGCACACACGAGATTGCCCAGGCCAATGGCGGAGGAGACGTGGCGAGTGCGTGCTGGCCGCTAGAGAAGTACATGGAGTCGGCTGCCGACGCCAAGTATGCCGACTTGAACTTTGGCCAGGAGAAGGTGGAGCGGTGCACCAGCTTGGCGCAGGCGAGCTCGAAGAACAACTACACCATGGGCAACAACTATACCGACATTTGCTGCGAGCAAGTCATGGGACACCCTAGCGCCTACTTTTCCGACGTCGAGCTTGGCGACAGCACCATGGAGACGAACAGGAGCGCATACATGGCCATGGACTGCAACCTCAAGGACAAGAAGGACTGGACCGCGTTTATGAAGTGCATGGACCAGTATACTTGGGCCGTATGCCGCGAGGTCGGCGGTGCGAATACCGCTGGCGTCAGTGCCCTTGTTGTCGCCGCTGCGGCGCTTGCCCTGTTGGTGTAGTCGAGAACAAGCCACCGCGAAGCTACAGTGAAGCCACGACGACACACCGCTTCTACATTAGATCCCTTATCTTGACACTTGCAAATCTCGATCACTCCTAGTAACCTTCTATTGTGACTCCCCACGAGATCGCGTTGCACCGCCACTACCCAGCGTTTGCCACAGTTAGCATTAGATCTCTTCGTATCTTATCTGTGCCACGACTTGTTGGAATGTATATAAGAGGTTGAGCAGCGTTCAGTCGCACCACCACATAACGCGCACCATGTCTATCCCCGTCAAAGTCCCCGGCAGTCCCTGGACTGACCCCGCCGACAACAACACTGGCCTCGTCGTCAATACGTCTGTGCCCGTGCCGTCGTCCGACACACCATACGGCGGCTCTCCCGAAAGCCCCGTCTACTTCTACAATCGCAGCCTCAGCACCAACGACATTGTCTGTGGCACGAGCAACTGGACGGCGGGACGGAGCTGCTGCCCCTCCGCCATTGGTATTGCCGACACCGAGACGTGGACCACCTGTCGCTTCCAGAACACGAGCGAGAATGAGGACTACTGGAACGAGTGCACGAGTGCGGTCGGCGGCGGTGCATTTCCGATCGAGTCGCGATGCTGGCCGTTGAAAGACTTCCTGGCATACATGGAGAATCACACTGCCGTCGAGCTGCGCCAGGGTAGCCCCATCGAGCCCATCGCCTGCGGGTCGATTGGGCTCAGCGAGAAGTGGAACTACACGGCGACATGCTGTGAGCAAGTCCAGGGCAGATCGAACCAGTGGCGTGCCCTGCGCGGCACTCGGGACGACTGGTCGGCAGTAAACTGCCTGATGACCGACAATAACCAGCAATCGGCGTTCAACGCTTGCATATCGCAGCACACGTGGGCCGTGTGCAACAACACGGAGAATCCTGACGACGAGGGCGGCAACGGCGGTATCAGCACGGGCAGCAGCTCTGTGGGCGGCAGTGCCGGTGCGAGCTCGAGGACGTCGGGTCCGACGCCGTCGAATGCTCCGAGCGAGGGATGGGTCACGAGACCGGGCCTGGTGTTATTGCTCGCTTCCGCCGGGCTCGCGGCGGTGCTGTGACTTAGGCCAAGACATTCCCGCTCCATGACTTATTGTGGTTTATGCATTTCAGTCTCTTCAGCATGAGCATACACGTGCCGCCGCTGCGGAAGGACTGGTCGGAGCCTTGTAGAACGCGTCGCTGCCCGCACGGGACTGCGCAAGTCCTCGTTCCCCGTGCCCGTCGACACATCCGAGCCACAGTACGGCGGGACGTACACGGACTAGTGTACTTTTACAACAACTCGGATTTTGAGGGCTCTACCGACACGGTTTGACATACAACCTGACCGCGGGGCGGAGCTGTTGCTCGCCATCCATTGGCATTGCAGACCCAGACAGTTACATCCAATATCGGATGCGCAACACCTCGGCCTGGATGGTGTGCAACAAGGAGCGGTATCTCCCCGCAGGAGCGGATCTCCGGACTGTCAACCTGGGCATGGCAGACTTGTTTGCCGCGCTCGCCGTGCAATCTTAGCCAAGCACTGATGCGCAGCGACTCGCATTCCGCTCCTCGGCGCGTGATGTCAGCGCAGCACCATCGGATCCGAAACAACCTTAGATATATCAGATGACGCCGAGCGCCAATTATTCGGTAAACACCATGCTCGTCGTCCCATTGTTGCCACTCGCTGTCGCCGCTGGCGTTGTCGTCGCCTCCGACGTCCAGCAGCACTTTTCATTCCTCAGCCCTACGCTCGACTTTGCGGGGGATTGGGAGACAAACAATCTCAACGCGTTTACCCAAGGCGGCAACGTGTCTGTCGCCGTCGCCGGATCGGGCATCACGTTTATGGCCATGTCGGACGTAATGTCTATCCTCGTCAACGGATCCCAGCCCGCTATACCCACGAACATCTCGAAAGAGTACGCTGAGATCAGCCACCTGCCCTACGGGTGGTACGAGTTTACGCTCGTCTCGAAAGGGAACTGCACGTTCAAGTCCGTGCGCGCCATTAGTGATGGGGAAAGATGGGCAGTCAATGACACGGAACCGGTCAATGTCGTCAATGCCTCGAGCGTCACGACCACGGGCGAATGGAACAAGGGCACCAATCGCTTCAGCACCAATTCGACAGACGCGGGACTGCACATTGACGTGCCCATTGGGACAACCATGGTCGAACTCCTCGTCGACGTGCCTTCGGCGCCGTTTGGTGGCTTCGACGTGTGCATCTCCCCGCCGCCACCGCTCAGCCCCGCCTTCGAGACCTTCATGCCCAACCTCCAGCCAGCCGACATTCAGCTCATGATCGGTCAGCTGAACGTGCCGGTATACAGCGTGCTTCTGGATCCGGGGGCCAAATACTCGGTCTCCATATCCATTACGAGCACCAATCTCTGGGCCGTCAGTAACGTCAAGTTCTATCCGTGAGTGTTCCTCGAGAGCAGCAGCTGACGAGCAGTGTGAAGTGTTAGGAATCGTAAAGTCGTGTATTGTACAACACCGCCATGCTACTTCTTCTTGCGCCACGAGTCGAGCCAGCTGCGCTTCTTCTCGTCCTCCTCCCCGGCGTGCAGCGGGGAGGAGGACGAGACGGACGCCTCCTCCCATGTGTCGACGACTCGGGCATCGTGGGCAAGGCGCTCCTCCTCGGCCGTCGGCGGCTTCTCGTCGGTCGGCAATGGCTCGGCTGATGTCAGCCTTTGCCCAGTCAGTGCACTCACCCTTGAGATCGATGATATGCTCGAGCTTCAACGGGTGGAAGACGAGGAATGTCTTGCCGCCGCGTTCGTCGAGCCTCGGTCCGCCCACGACGCGGAGGACCGGGTCGGTCTTCGGCTGGAAGTCCTTCGTTTTGAAGTCGAGTTTCTTGAAGGCAGCTTCAAGTACCGAGTCGAGCTTGCGCTTCCCCGTCTTGCAGGTCAGCACCTTCTCGAGAGGGTAGCCCGTGACATCAATCTCGGCGATGACCTTGGCCGGCTCCTCCGCCTCGATCTCCTCCTTCTCGGTCGCGAGGTGCTCCTTTCCATCCTTGTGCAGCTTGCTCTTGACCGCGGCGACGGCGACAGTGACGTAGCGCAGAACCTCCTGCGTGCCTTTGTCCTTCAGCGAGGCGATATGGCTGTTCGCAGCACTGACGAGCTTCCCGTGCAGCTTCTTGCCTCCGGGGAGAAGGGCGACTCGCGCAGCAGTTGTCGCAATCTGACGTCAGCACAAACAGGGGACAAGGGCGCACCGTTGTTCCAGCTGCAGTAACGGCAGAAGAAGCGGAAGCAATGCCAGACATGACGGCGGTTCCCATGCCAGCGAGCGCCGCACTGCCGGTGACGGCCGCAGCGAAGGGGATGGCGAGGAGGGACGTGAGGGCGACAGCCGGCCCAGTGACTGCCAGGATCGGCCAGGCGACAGACCAGGGCGTGTAGGGTTCACCGGATGCACGGACTTCGAGCAGGAAGAACAGGCCAGGAGCGCGGCGCTCAAAGACACCATTCGGCTCGACAGCCTCGTACATCAGCGGTCCAACCTGGTTAAGCGATATGTACAGCGGAATCTCAGTCGCGTTCGCGACGGAATAGCCGTGGGAGAGGAGGTCGGAGCGTAGCTTTGCCTTGCGAGCTTTGAAAGACTCCGAGTGCTCGGCTGAAGACGATGCAAAACGGGCAGAGAGCGAGTCGACGGATGCCTTGGCCTCTTCGGACGTCGGCAGGCGGCTGGAGAGAGAAGGGGGAAGTCGGTCGCGCGCGCTACCATAGGCCTTCACCCAGCGCGCGTCCTCCGGAGCATCGGCGGCGGATCCTTCGGAGGCAGTCGGGGGGTACTCGGCTGACGGCGGCGTGACCGGTGGGGCTGCGGCCTCCGGCTCGAGCGGCTGCTTGAGGTCGCTCATCGTGGATGTTGCGATTGAGAGCACGACGCGTCATGCGGTGGGGGCGATCACCATCACCATTGATGTCATAATCATCACGTGACCTTGCGGGTGCGGCCCGAGTTCCCCAGCATGAACGCATTTGCCCACCGCATCCTCAGCTCAGTGTCCGGTACGTCCGGCAGTCCGGGTACGCTCTCGCTGCATCATTCCTGGCCCAGCACGTGTTACCCGACGTTCCGATCCGGATTGTAACACTCTCAACGAACGAGAGCGGGTTGTCCTCATCTCTCACCTTCTTCTTCTTCTGACTCCCCTGGTATTATAACCTCTCCCACAGATCTGGAAGCAAGCTTTCTCTGGCGCGGCTCCTCGGCTCTTTGAATTTGGCCTGCAAACGGACACGCAGCGAAACAGCCCTCCGCCGAAGCACACACTCGCGACTCTCACACTTCACCGCACGTCCCCGTGTCGCCCGTGTCACATGATGGCACCCACGATGCTTCTCACCCGTCGGGCATCGAGCCCAAACCACGACGACGGCACCTAGCATGCTCTTAGCAAAGCAACCACCTCATTACACCTATCCCATCATTCGACAGCCTTCGCCCACCTCGTCTGGCACTGCATCCGACCACGTCGCCAAGGCGTTGCTGCACTAAGACTCCCTCCACCTCTGCAACAGCCTCTTCAGTGATACGGGATTGACTCGTCGCGGTTCTCGTTGCGCCATCGCGGTTGAAGCATCGACTCGCCCGAGTGCCGAGTGTCTACGCGTTTTCTGCGTTCGGATCCAGCCTTCGCCGACATCATGAGTGTCGCGTACGCCGTCGCAGGCGTGTTCGTCGCCTGGCTGCTCTACATCTTCTTCCCGGCCGTCAAGTCGCGCCAGTGGTTTGCCCACCAGCTCAATGGTCCCCCCTCACCGTCGTTTTTAACCGGCCGCTTCTTCATCGACTTTTGGCAGAAGGACCACGCGCCGCACATGGGCCATGTCCAGCGCTACGGCAAGATCTTCAAGTATCCGTTTGCACTCGGCATCCCAATGATCTTTATTGCCGATCCCTACATTGTCTCCGATGTCTACTCGCACCCGGACACGTACAAGAAGACCAAGGGCATGATCACGATGCTGGACAATCTGTTTGGACGGGGGCTGCTCTCGGCCGACGACGACTTTCACAAGCAGCTCCGACGCATCATCGCCCCCGCATTCACTCCTTCCGTCATCCGCAGCCTCTTCTCCGAGTTTTTGGAAGAGGCGTATAGGCTGCAGGGACGCTTGCAGGACAAGGTCAAGGAGAACACCGAGGTTGACATGCTCAACGAGCTGTCACGCACAACTCTCGACATTTTTGGCACCACGGGCCTCGGGCAAGACCAGCTGGGCGACCCTTTGAACCGTCTAGGCCAGGCGTACACCTCTTTGATCGGAGCTCTCACGGCCGACATGGGCAAGTTTGGCATGCTGCAGGTCATCATCACCCAGCTGCAAATCATACCGTCCGCCATGATGCGCATGATCAAAACGTCAAGGGCGATCATAGAGTCAAAGGGCAAGCAGATGATCGCACAGGCCGGGCAGAAGCGGGACAAGGACTTGCTGTCTCTGCTTGTCAAGTCGAATTCGAACGAGTCGGCGTCCAAGCAGCTCTCCGAGCAGCAGATCATTGAACAAATCACGACGATTCTGTTTGCCGGCCACGAGACGGTGTCGACGTCGCTCAGCTGGACCCTGTACCATCTCGCAGACAATCCGTCACTGCAGACCCGCCTCCACGACGAGCTTTCAGAGCTGCCTGAAGAGCCGACCTTTGAGCAACTTGATGCTTGCCCTCTGCTGGGCAAAGTAGTGCGAGAGATTCTTCGCGTCTACCCTCCCGTTCCCTCCACACAGCGCGAGCTCGCGGTCGACCTGGAGATTCCCCTGTCAGAGCCCGTGACGCTCAAGGACGGACGCGTCATCACCTCGCTGCCGCTGAAGAAGGGCGAGGTGCTCAACCTCTCCGTCATTTGCGCCAATCGCGACAAGGACGTTTGGGGGTCTGACGCCGAAGAGTTCAACCCGGACCGCTTCGACCGCCCCAACACGCCTGCCAAGCAGATCCCGTCCGCGTGGGGCAATGTCCTCAGCTTCTCGCACGGGTCGCGCAACTGCATCGGGTTCCGGTTTGCGCTCGCCGAGATGAAGGCGCTGCTGTTTGTGATCATGCGCAACTGGCGAGTCGAGCGCGTCTGCCCTGTCGAGCACCGCAATGGCATCACCAGCCGTCCGTACGTTGACAATAAGCCCAGCTGCCCGCTGCGCCTGCATGCTTTGTAATAGGATGCACCAAGTGTCTCCAGTGGAAGGTAGTTGATCACGGCAGGTCGAGCTTTCAGCAGTGTTGCAGCAGATGTGGCTTTGCAATCCTACCGACAACCATGTTCAATGGTATTCTGCGCGCAATGTAACAGGTGTTGTACTGCTGGGTCGCGAGTCTGAGGTCGTCCTTGAGACCAGCGACCTTGAGCGACCTTGGCCAAGGGGAGATTACGGTTAAGTCACGTCACGTCAGTGATGACAATAGTGGGGAAGCAGGCTGAAATGAGCCGAACGTAATGTCGACTTATGTCTGAGATCCCAATCCCATTACATGCGCCCATGGTTTGCGGTTAGAATGCACCTACACATGCCGGTATTTGGAATACTTTTTGGTATGGATAACCCCCAAAAACCATCCTAACCCCCTAACCCCCTGAGGGGTTAAGCCCCTAACCCCCTCGCTTTGGAAGCGTAACCCCCTTAGGGGTTACATGTGTGGCTGGGGATGGGGGATGCTAAAATCGCCCTCTGGGTTATTCCGCATTCTGAACGAGTGATTTTCTTGCTACAGATTGAGGTACCCCACTCTGCACGGTGCCCATTTTCAGTCGCACTTCGGGCACTTCAAAGATTCAGCAGAGAACATGACTGAAAGCGCGAGTCTCAGGATGGCGGTGCACGAACACACACTCGTCCAGCTGTACTAGGCCCCCGCAGTAGTCGAGCGGGACAGGAGTGGGACAGGCACGGAAGGTGCTCGAGGGTGTAACAACCGTCGTTGCTCTCGGACACCGTCTCCTTATACCAGGTTCTGGGACCAAGGGAAAATCCGGGGGCTGAGGGGGGTGACGCTTGATATCGACTCCAGCCAAGATTCAAGGGTACATATTTGCAGCTACGTGTCACAGCTTCCAATTGGTACCACTCGCATGTCCGTAGCTGGTCCCGTTCTTGCGGTACAGCTTCGGATCTGAAAGGGCCCAAAATTCATGGTTTTTGTACGATTTGTCAATGACCGAGATGAAAATGAAGAGGTCCAAAGGTGCATGACATAGCCCTTGGATGGCCTCATGATGTCCCAAAATGATCTCCTTGATACCTATAGAAACGGGCAAGATACGGCAAAAAAACTGATTTTGGAG